GGGGGGGGGGGGGGGGGGGGGGGGGGGGAGCAGCCCCACAATACGTCGGTAATGCCGTGAGATCTGTCTTCCGGTATTGGCCATAAATCGCCACTTACGCTCGTTTCCCCCCTCGACCGTAGCAAGTTGCCACCGCGGCGACTGTATGACCCCAAATTACTAGTTCGGGCGATGCTACATGAGCGGGCAGCGATATACAAGTATGGGAAGTTACGAAAGACCCTCTAGCTAATAATAACCGCTGTCAACCAGGAACAGACACAATCGGGGGAGTTCCGATGCCTAGTAAAAAGAACCCAAGATCTCTCGGTGGCTTGTCGGTTTCGAGCCCAGTCTGACTCTGACAGAGGTGCGAGGCCCATCGAGTGGCACGTTATGCTACATTACAGACGGCGTCAACGGCGTTTTTGCCAAAGATTAACCCCGGATTCTCGAGGCCCCTAGCAACCAGTCACTGCCACTAACCACCATACCCCGGTACGCGTAAAATTCGTATTAATGCTATTACTTTTACGTTTCGCTTCACAAGTCGCAAGCGTAGACATGGTCACGATAGTGCACCCCTCGCCCCGGAAGACTTCCGCGCATTGTTCCATAAGGCGACCTCACCGAATTGAAGGTGGCACCATGTTCATTGCGGTTGGTAGTCGGGGCGGACTAGCGGGCGTGGCGATGGTTCGGAAACACGCCCCCGTGCCGAAGTACCCCGGAGTTCAGCAGAACGGCGATGTTTGATCGCCAAAGGTGGGGTGTACGGCGTTTTTTGCTACGAGTCCGGGGCAACAAGGCAATGTTGGCGTCGAGCGTCGACCTGCTGCACACGGCACTCATCGACGAGAAAATATCTGGCAAGAAAAAAAATCTTGCCGTGTGCCTCCGAACCCCGATGTCCGAATACCAGTTGTTGATTGTCGATTGGCGATTGGACCCTAACAATAGCGCCACCGTCGGCTAAGGTTGCCCTGCTGCTACCGATTCGGGCGGGCCCCAGCGGCAGATAGGGTGGGCTCGGCCACGTGAACCCGCCTATCTCGCCCTAGTATCTTCGCACGGCAAATCTCTTCCCCGTAGAGACGGCATACACAATGCGACGCACCATGCTGCGGTACCCCCCACGACCGATGAGGAGAGGGGCCGCTATAAAAGGCCTCCCGGCCCCACAAACCGTCGATCTCACCTCATGACCGACATCGAGAAGAATGCGGGCAAGGCGTCCGTCACCGGTGAAGACTTGGCGTCGGTGTTGCTGAGACACACCCACGAATACGACCTCTACGTCGCCACCCTGAACCCCACCCTCAAGGAAGGCGGCGGTCATGGGTTGAAGAAGGCGCTTTCCTCGCGTCAGGTGTCGATGATTGCCCTCGGTGGTGCCTTGGGTACTGGTTTGCTTATTGGTACCGGGTCGGCGTTGAAGGCGGCTGGTCCGGGTGCGATTTTCGTCGCCTACTCCGCCATTGGGTTTGTGGTGTTTATGGTGATGACGGCCTTGGGTGAAGTGGCCGCGTTTATTCCCCTTAACGGGTTTGCCAACTACTGTCAACGTTACGTCGATGACGCCCTCGGTTTTGCTTGTGGTTATGTGTACTTGTTCAAATACCTTATTTTGCCTGCGAACCAGTTGGTCGCAGGGTCGATGACTATGCAGTACTGGGTTAAAGCCGAGCGCGTCAACCCCGCCATATGGGTACTCGTGTTCCACATCGTCATTGTCATCATTAACCTTGCCGGTGTCCGATTCTTCGGGGAAATTGAATTCTGGATTTCGTCGATTAAGGTCATCACCTGTCTTGGTTTGATTCTTCTTTTGTGGATTATCGCCCTCGGTGGTGGTCCTAACAATGACCGTATTGGGTTCCGTTACTGGAAGAACCCCGGGGCATTTTTGGAATTCAGCTCGGGCAAGGACTTTGTTATACATGGTTCCAAAGGCCGTTTCGTTGCTTTCGTTTCGGTGTTGGTTACTGCCGTGTTCGCATACTTGGGTACGGAATTGGTCGGTATCACGTTCGCCGAAACCCGTAACCCGAGAAAGTCTATTCCTAAGGCCATTCGTTTGACCTTCTACCGTATCGTGGTGTTCTACGTCTTGTCGATCTTGTTCTTGGGGATGTCGGTGTCTCCCAGAGACCCTCTCCTCATGTCCCCCGATGGTAACTCGTCGTCGGCGTCGGCATCGCCCTTCGTCATTGCCATTAGAAACGCTAACATCAGTGGTTTGCCTCACGTCATCAACGCCGCCATCTTGTTGTTCGTGTTGTCTGCCGCCAACTCCGATATGTACGTGTGCTCGCGTACCATCTACTCGTTGGCTGTGGCCGGCTACGCTCCCAAGTTCTTCCTTAAGACCAACCGCATGGGGGTTCCTTACTACGGTATTGCTCTCTCGTTCGCCTTCTGCTGCTTGGCTTATATGACTGCCTCCGACGATGCCAGAACCGTGTTCAACTACTTCGTCAACGTGGTGTCCTTGACTGGTTTGATCGCCTGGTCGTGTATCCTCATCATCCACCTCAGATTCATGAAGGCGTTGAAGGTTCAAGGGTTCGACAGAACTCGTGACTTGGCCTACAAGTCGCCGTTGCAACCCTACGGTTCGTACGCCGCCCTTTTCATTTGTGTCCTCATCATCTTCATTAAGAACTTCACTGTGTTCATCCACAAGTTCGACTACAAGAACTTCATTACTGGTTACATTGTGTTGCCGGTGTTCGTCATCATGTACTTTGGTTGGAAGATCATCTTCAAGACGAAGATCGTCCGTGCCGAAGACATTGACTTGGACACTTTCAGAGACGTCATTGACGCCGAAGCTATCAAGTTTGACCGTGAGGACGAAGAAAGAGCCGCTCTCATGGAGGCTGAAGGCAAGAACAAGTGGACCAACCCCAAGTTCTTGTACGAAAAGGTCTTTGGCTGGATCTTCTAATTACGATTACGACATCTACTTCTTTATGTACATTAATTATTTACGAATATACCTAGACTTTCATGAGTGACGCAAAGCCGTGCAACGATGTGTACTGATGACTACGCAATGCACTGTGATTTTTTTTTTTTTCGCCGGTTGATAGTGATGTTAATTTTGTAACTACTACTACTGCATCTCGCGTATCTGTAGTCATCGCCTTATGCGAAAGACTAGTTCACCACCGACCCGTTCAGCCTCACGATTTTACACTTTATGACATCGTGATCCTTGCCGGGAACCCCTTTTGTAAAGTCAAAGATACTGAACACCCCCTTCCGGTCGACAACAAACACTTTGCCTCCATCCTTACTGAATTCGACCAGCCCCGCCTCATCTCTGCGCTCCGAGCCTGCTACTTCGCCTAGAAGCACGGCGAATTTTTTCTTGGACAGCATGGTCAGTGCAAGATGGAAGTTGGTTGTGTTTACAAGAATAAGCCGCCCATCCTTACTCAAAAACACGACACCATCGCCGCGCGGCGACACTGCACAGCGATGCACAAGTGACCCCAGCTCAGGAAACTTCATCATCACCGTTCCCGCGGTTATGTAGTCACTCTCTTCCATCGACGTCATCGAATGTTGCAGCGAAAACCCATCGTCATCGACCAATGAGTCAATCATCGCACCTTCGAGATGAATCATCATTGGTGGAATTTGCTTAAGAGCATTGAAGTTAATGAAAACCGTATTGCTATAAGGTACACCAAATCGTATATCGGTGATGCCCTCACTAGTTTTGATAAGATCGGCTTCCGCCAGCAGCAGGTTGCCTTTGCTGCAGGTGAACCCGGTAAATATTAACCGAGGTTTGCGATAGTTATCGACCGACGATTGCCGAAGGCGAATGATGAGATAACGGAGTTCCCAACTGGTAGTGCACATTAAGTGCGTGGCAGCCTCATTAAAGCATATGTGCCGGATTGGCTCATGATAAGGGATGGTGATAGTAATCGGATCCACCAGCTTGAGCCTCAAATCAGCACCGAATGTCAACTTATGAAGAATGATAAATGGTTGTTCTTTATTCAGTAATCTCTCCTTGGCAGTGACACCTGTGGCAATCAAATTGCGACTGGATGCGACGGCAATGCACTTGATGGGAAAGTTGGTAACGTAGGTGTAGACGGGTTGACCGATCTTGTATACGGGACTTTTCAGAATATTGAACACTCTCACAAGCCCTTTAGTACCGCTGATAACAAGATGGTTCGGGGTAAGTTCACACAGCACAAACTCCCACTGCTGGAGTCTTTTTTGTATGTCAGTCTGCTTTGCTGACTGTTGACTCGGGAAATCACTGTGGATCACAATCTCTCCGGTAAGATGAGCTCCGTCTTGCAATTCTTTCTCCAGCTCACCAAACTCCCCTGTAGCTTTACCACTACAAATTAATTGAGGTCGAGCATGACTCAGATTGAGCACATTGATGGGTACAGTATATTCGTATAGCTCCCACCTTTTCTCAGTGATCATTGCAAACATCGTCACTTCGACATTTGTTCCATGATGATGTCGAGTACAAATACTCAGAGAAATATATCTCTGGCCCTTCTTCAAAACATTGTTAAGCGTCAACGCTCGTTTCAGAATATCGAAATCACTTCGTTTGCGGTGCAATGGGAAACATAAACTGTAATTGTACTCTTTTTCCTCCGTGAGCTCATTGAGAATGTGTTGCTCATATAAGTTGTCCATGGTGATGCGTGACCGTTGAAGGGATTCATCGGATACTGGTTGGTTGCTTGATATCATCAGTGACTTCAGTATGGGATCGTCAAATATGTCCTCCCTAAATGACGACTGGTTTTCTTCATTGGCGTACCGCTGAAATAAGCCCATCATGTCGACCGCATCGCCATCAAGAGCTATTGCCAGCTGCCTCGACAGGGATCGTCGACGACGATCATTCTCCAAATCAAGAATCCGCCATAACTCCCGCAATGGTTCCACAGCCGCTAAAATCTTTGATTGAGGCAGATGACATAAAGGGCACTCTCCCGGTGGGAGGTGTTGTAGGAATGCAAGCTCAGAGACAAGACAGCCGCAAGTGGTCATGGAAGCATCAGCCACAGGAGTGGTGCTGCCACCCACCAAGAGAAGCTGTTCCAAACTTCGTCGGTCCATGGTTGTCTCAATAGATTTCAGTATGCGGGTTTACATCAGCGCCTATAACTATGGCTGGGGTAGGCATGGTAGCGCTGCGGGGTACCACACTTCCATATCTTCCCCTCTTTCCAACCCAACACTAAAACTGACCTGGGCTCGGCATACAGATAGTAATTATAAACGTGCCTCACCTCACAATTAATTACTAAATATTCTTATTGGTCATAGGTAGGATTCTCAACTCCATGACTGTTTTCTCAAATTTGTAAATATTTACCGATAACCATCAAAAGGTAACACATGATTAATCATACACAAACTATTTACGATCATCATCATGAAGGTTGATCAGATTCCCATTGAAGTAATCCATGTCGTTATCATTCGAGTGATCAAACAGCTGGAATGACTGGTTGCGCAGGACTCTAGATGGGGGCCGAGGAGTCGATGCTCGCGACGATTGTCGCAGGATACCCTCCGTAGATTGGTTGGTATTGATCGTCATCAACGGGGGATGGCTTGGTTCCATTGATTCGTCAGGAAGAGGCGTGTTGGCCCGGGATTCTTCTTCGATTGCATCTGAGACCCCATAATCGAAGAAAGAGAAAAGTGCCAGCCCCAACGCCATCACCGACCCACCAATGGAGCCTAAAAGACTCCGGCGGTTTTCATTAGCCGCATTCGGCGATTGGTATATCGGCTTAAGGATGAGAGCCAGACGAGGGCACAAATCAAGCAGAAGAAGCAGCTTTTCCTCTTCTTCACTGGAAAAATCCAGCGCCATCGGCCGACAAAAAACGTAGCCGATGGGACTTGTGGTACTGGCAAATGATGGTACCGTGTCAGAGTTGGGGATAACCTCAAACTCGTCGTGGTTGTCAAGCCACTCGCGCACAGTTTTGAGAGTATTTGAAGGCTTGAATTCGTGACGAACAGAGTTCCCTTCAAAAAGCTTGATTGATAAAATGCACAGGGTTGGTGTCAGTAGCCGTCGAGGCTTGGGAGCTTTGACCTCTGGCTTCTGTTGTTTATTCGGAACTTTGGCCGGCCTAGTCTCATTGATGAGCTTTTGCACCCGAGCCGGCTTAGGTGCCACCGGAGTTGTCGCTGTCGACAGCAGAGATGTTGTAGGCGCTGCTGGAGTCTCCGCAATTGCTGGAGCTGCCGCAGTCTCGCGGGCCACAGATGCTGGCGCCGGCTTCACTAATTTCAACACCCGCGATCGCGCTTCCTCCAGGGAAACGTCGTCGCCAATGATATCCACCACTTGGTTCTTCTTCAAGATGTTAAAACTGGGCACTGTGAGTTTCGGAATGACCATCTGGAAATTGCGGTAGTCATCCGTGCCGACGTCGACTCGTAGTGTCACAAGCGACCGCTCCACGTCAGGGGCGAGCTCGGCACTGATCCGCTCGTCCCAGAACTGAGTAGAGCCCGCGTTATCAACGTACACAAGTATCGCTCGGTCCGCCCGAAGCGACTCGGCTACCGCCGCCTGCGAGTCGGTGTACATGATGATGAGGGGTATATGGTGCCTTGATAGTTGTGCGGGAGAGACGGCAATGTTGAGAGTGCAGGTGATACGAAAAAGCGTTGAGAGCCCGGGGATAATGCAACTAAGTAGGTCAGGGACCGCGATGGATATATCTATAAGTAAATAAGGTTAATTAATGCTAGAGGCAGACTCAACCTGATCAAGCCATCGAGGATGGTGGCGGGCTAAACACTCGTCTATATCCTCGAGTTTTGCTGTGGCGTCTTGGGTAAGTTGAGTGAGTCGCAGCCGGCACCGACGCCGACCGAGATCCCAATGCAGATCAAGTGAGGCGTGTGACTGCTGGGCAGCTTTAACAACCGATAACGCTTGCCGAAGCCGGGAGTTTTTAGCTGACACTTGTTGCCTGATGAATTTGTTTTCAAACTGAACCCGTTCGAGCTCGTTCTCGAGAGTGGAGATCAATTGCGCCGCCAGCTGTTGCTGCTGAGTCAGCTGTGATGTGAGCTGCTCTACCTGTTGGCGTAATCGAGCAATGACATTATCTTCGGCCAGCCGAAGCTTCGTCCAGTCCAGTACCAGAAGCTTTTTCGCGTTCGAGCGCGCCTTAGTCTTTATCTTCTTCACTTGACTGGCATATGTTAAAGTATGGTATGTCTCCTCAAAGTCACATGGAGAAATGCAAAACACCATCAGCGTCTTTGAGTTGCCCCCCAAGTTCTCTCTGAGCAAGTAGGTGAGGACAGAGTCTCGATAGGGCACCACCAGATTGTCAGCCAGAGCCAACAGGTTCACACAACGACCTAAAGTGGTGAGAGAGCTATTGATCAACAGCCCTTCCCTCACTCGGTCTTGCTGACCATGTAATTTGGTACGATCAAGGCGTTCCAGTCCTGCTAAATCGACCAACTTCATATTACTGACAATTTCTTCTTTGGCATCACCAAGCTCGTTGTCTTGACTGCAGTATATCGTTTGCTTGATAGTAAGTGAAATTATAGCGTGTGATCTCAGCGATTGATCGTTCATGAGCGTTGACGCAGTAGTTCTGTTTCTGAGAGTTTTGGCGAAATGACGGGTGAAATCGTCCTCGCTGTTAACAACTATCTCATTACATCCTTCGACGTAAGGACCCGTCTGGGGATGCTCTCTCACTTTCAACCGAACTTTGTCGTCAACACCAAGCAAGTCATGGACTTTCTCATTGTGAACCTCATAAGCCAGAATCCGGATGGTACAATCGGTTCCTTGACCCACAAGTATCTCTTTTTGCCCAATAATGTCACGTACAAGCTGCGGTATAAGTCCAGGAGTATCGGCAGTACCCAGCATGGTGTAAGTCTTACCTGATCCCGTTTGACCGTATGCTAACAAGCATACATTATATCCCTGGAACGCATGATCCAACAATTCACGTCCGGTCAACTGATAGAACTCTTTATTATCAATAAAATTTGCCGATTCTGGATCACATGACCATACCAGTTTATCAAAAGTGTATGTTTTCGACGCGGTGTCACCTTGTTTCCATCTGGCGTGAAATGCTGACTGCGGTGGAGCTTCAATCGTCGTCGTTGCAGCAGTCATAGATATAAGGTTTCGCTGATCCTGCTCTCGCAGTAGTCGAGGCCTTACCCTCACGATAGTCTTGATTTGGTTGTCCTCCATGGTTAGAGATCAAGAGTGTGCGGCGGCATTGGTCTCGCGACTGATTGTAAACACTGCCATTCATGTCATCAAGTAAATTGATCCAACGAAGTCTGAATTCAATGAATATGAACTGCTATTGATATGATACATTACATGCAAATTCATAGTAACCAAAGTTGTCATTTGAATTATTTCACTGTATTAACTCACTATCTTAGTACGCGAAATTTCTGTACCATCGAAGGCACTTCATGAGTCGCTACTTGGTATTGAACCCTAACCCTGAAGGGCTAGACAAAGTCGTTACCAAGGCAAATGTTCAGAACCAGAAAAATGGACCTTTCGAAGCGGTGTTATTCCTCGGAGACGCCTACCTGGCGTGGCCATCGCAACGACTTGATGTACCAAGTTTCGTCATTGAAGGAAAGGGGGGCGAAATACAATCTCAACCTGACGTGAATGAAACTAATTACAACCGTCTTGATGAACCAGTCGTACAAAAAACCCTTGATCTGGGAACAAAAGTCATGTTTGTTGGTGCTAGTGCCGAGACTGACCTTGATTCACATGTCGAAGAAGTTACCGAACCCGTGGACATTTTGGTTACCTACGACTGGCCCTGGGCAATCGCTCGACAGGAAAACTATGCCAGTTTTGGCAACAAGCAAATCGATAAACTTGTTAATAAGGTGCGGCCTACTTATCACTTTGCTGTGGGACCTGAGCATACGGGGAAATTTTTCGAAAACCGACCGTTTCGGTGGTCCGATGGTCGTCACACTCGTTTCATCTCGTTAGGCCAGGAAGGCAGCGGTGACAAATGGTATTACGCTTTCAAGCTTGAGGAAGAAACTATTGATGACTCGCAGGCAATTGCTAACCCTTTCACCACTGTATCGCGCAAACGAGAGGCTCCTGACGACGAAGCTGTACTTATTGAACGTAAAAGACGTCAACTTGAGCCTAAAGTGGTCAGCCCAAGCGAGTGCTTTTTCTGCTTGTCTAACCCCAATGTTGAAACACATATGATTGCCGCAATTGGCAAACACAGCTATCTTACAACTGCCAAAGGTCCTTTGACACGTCCCCTCAAGAACTTGGCGTTTACTGGTCATGTCATCATTATTCCCATTCAGCACATACCCACATTGAAAGATCATCAAGAGACTAATGCCGAAATGAACAAGTTCCAACAGGCAATTATCGATTCCTACGCGAACACTGAGTACGTCCCAATTTTCTTCGAAATTTCAAGAGCTCTGAATGTTCACTTCCATGTGCAATGTGTTCCTGTGCCTAAACTGAAGCTCGAGAAATTTGAAAGTGTTCTCACACAAAAAGCATTGCAAAATAACGAAAGATATCATGACCGCAACCAGAAACTTGAGTTTGAGAAGCTGGAGGATGGCACTACACCTGACGGGGATTTCATCAGATTTACCATTGGGAACCCTACTCGCACATACTTTGTGGCCCGTCTATTGGAACCTGACAAAATGATTGACTTGCAATTTCCCCGGAGGGTTCTTGCTGTAACACTTAACTTGACTAAGCGAATCTACTGGAATCAATGTAAACAGCCTAAGTTTGTTGAGACCGAAGAATGTGACGAGTTTAAGAAGTTTTTCAAGCCTCATGATTTTACTATTGAATTAAGTTGATGACGATGCTGTTTCATGACAGGAAAATAAATATCTATAATTGTCTAAGGTTGAGCCGCAAGTTCTCGGGTGCACTTATCGCAGCCACAGTCGAAGAACCACTCCGCGAGCTCACGGCGCCTTACTTCTACTGGCTCGTTGAGATAGTTGCCATAATCAATGCACAATTCTTCGCCTTCATCGATATCTCTGAGAGCATGGAACGTGAGTTTGCGACCCTCACGTTTCTTCACAATATTTGGTTCACACAGGTGATTGAAAAACAGAGCCAGTGGATACACCCCAAAGCCGAAAAACTCCCGATCTTCTGCAACCGATTGCGATTGAGACCATATACCAAATGCGTTACTCAAATTGCGACCAATGCAAGCTCTGATGGTGCTGGGAGTGATGTAGAGTTGGAGTTCTGGTCGCGCCACAAGATACAAGAACTTATAGATGTTGATGTAAGCGTCGAGTAGATAAGGATAGCGGTGGACTTTCTCGTTCTCCGTCAGCTGAAGTAAGTTAAACATCGCTAGCTCCATAGCCTCCGCCTCACGATCGCTGACTTCACCATAGTATGTGGAACTCAGAGCACTCGGCTCATGGGCCAAGTCATACATTCGATATAACGCTGCCACCACGTACTTCGCTTCCATGTAATCACTTTCAGAGAGCTTAGGGATCAATTTCAGGCGTTTCAGGGGCTTCATCGCCAACACTTTTTTGTGCCATTGCTCGGCCTCAGCCCACAGCTGTTCGATGGCCTCCGATAGCAGCAACGATGAAAGATCGGGTTCTACTGGTTCAGGGTCGTCCAGCTGTTGATGCTGTTCGATAGCCATCAACGAGTCAAACAAAACTTTGTCGGGATCAGCCTGCTCAAAAGCGGCGACACACGTGGGGCTACAAAAGTATAGCAGCAGACTCAGGTTCTTGCCTTGGGATTTTGAAAGCCGGGACTTGAGAGTTTTCCCATCCTCGTAGTGGAAACAATAACAACAGACCTCCTTCTTAAACGCCCGGGTGACGGTAGTAGCGAACGGCTGTCTGGCTTCGAAGACGATGGCCTTGGCTGGGACTGGCTGTGCGGTGAAGCAACCGCGACCCCCGTATTTGGTAGGTCCCACGGTGAATAAAGGCGATAGCCGGTTCAAAATGGCTTCATCGTCGCCAACAAGTGTTGACGTTTCACTGTTGAGTTCTAGCATGGGATATAACGGTAGGACCAGTCAAAATTCATTATACGCAAAAATGCAGGGTCTGTAGTGGTTGTGAGCCCGTAGAGATAATTGATGTGAAAAACCGTTATCGAAGCTTGGAAGCGATGCTGAGAAGGGTGTCATGAGTAGTGACTTGTCACAATGAGACAAATTAAGTGAATGTCAAAATTAAAGTTGATTTTACTGTTTTTTAGCACCCTATAACTCTTTTAAGGTCATAATGTTAGCATTATACTCCATCCATCGAATATGTGAGCCAAGAACTGTCATATCATAGATTCGACGACGTACCGTTTCCTACCGCCTATCATCTTGCACTGCTTAGATACATTTTTCCAGATCACATTTCGATATACATTTTCATCCTAGTAGGCAACACGACGAAAAATCCATGTAGTGATGACGCCACAGTTTTTCCCACGTTGTCGTGTGGCTGCCACTCAATAAAAGATGGAAATGAGAATAGCTATCAAAAAAAAAAAGGGCTTTACAACTTGCAGTTTCAAGAACACGTATTATCACTCGCATGACTTGAATCGTTTGCATCAAGTCCGCTTTGTCCAGAGTAAGTACCAACTGATGGGGGTGGATAACCACTGATGTCTTCTCCTTCCTGCATGTAGATCAGATGTTATCCTGCAATTACCGCGACATGCCGAGAATAAAATGCCGTGGCATCGTCGCTTACACCACACTCTACAATGGCTCCCACCGTCCCCCCCGCCGTTGACTCGCTGTTAGATCTCATTGGTAACACCCCCCTTGTTAGACTTAACAAGATCCCCCAATCCTATGGGGTCAAGTGTAAGGTCTACGCCAAGGTTGAGTTGTTCAATGCCGGTGGTTCGATCAAGGACCGGATCGCCAAAAACATGGTCCTCGAAGCCGAAAAGCAGGGCCGTATCAAGCCCAACGATGGCTACACTTTGATTGAACCCACCTCGGGTAACACCGGTATTGGTTTGGCCCTTGTCGGTGCCGTCAGAGGTTACAGAACCATCATCACTTTGCCCGAAAAGATGTCCAACGAAAAGGTGTCGGTGCTCAAGGCTCTTGGCGCTGAAATCATCAGAACCCCCACCGAAGCCGCTTGGGACGCTCCCGAATCGCACATTGGTGTGGCCAAGAAGCTCGAGAAGGAAATCCCCAAGGCCGTCATCTTGGACCAATACGGTAACGTTGCCAACCCCGACGCTCACTACTACACCACTGGTTACGAAATCTGGGAACAAACCCAAGGTAAGGTCACCCACTTGGTTGCCGGTGCTGGTACTGGTGGTACTATTTCTGGTATCTCCAAATACCTTAAGGAAAAGAACCCCAAGATTGAAGTGACCGGGGCCGACCCTAAGGGTTCGATTTTGGCTCAACCCGAATCGCTTAACACCTCCACCGACGGTTACCTCGTCGAAGGTATTGGTTATGACTTCATTCCTGATGTTCTCGACAGATCCACCGTCGACAAGTGGATCAAGACCGATGATGCTGACCTGTTCAAGTTGGCTCGTCGTATCATCCGTGAAGAAGGTATTCTCGTCGGTGGTTCGTCGGGTTCTTCGATGCAAGCTGCCCTTGAAGTGGCTAAGGACTTGACCGAAGACGACGTCTTGGTCGTGGTGTTCCCCGATTCGATCAGATCGTACCTCTCGAAGTTTGCCGATGACGAGTGGATGAAGACCAACGGTTTCGAAGTCGAAGAAACCTCGCAACAAACCAACACTGACGACTTCTTGGCGTCGAAGACCATCAAGGACTTGGTGGCTGACAAGGCTCCCGTGGTTACCGTCACTTTGGCCGACACTGTCGGCAAGACCTTCGACTTGTTGCAACTGAATGGTTTCGATCAATTGCCCGTCCTTAACGCTCAAGGTCAATTGGTGGGGCTTGTGACTTTGTCCTCCATTTTGAAGCTGTTGTCGACCAAGAAGGTGCAATTGACCAACTCGATTGCTCTGGTGATCATCGACTTCCGTAAACTTGCTGACTTCGAAAAGTCCTTCACCATCTCCAAGGAATCGGGCTACTCTAAGCGCAAGTACGAAGCTATCACCTTGGACACCCCCTTGCTGAAGTTGAACAAGTTCTTTGAAACTAAGTCTAATGCCATTGTTACTGACAACGACAACAAGCCTGTGCAAATCGTCACCAAGGTCGACTTGATTTCGTTCTTGACCAAGAACACCTCGTTTTAAGTTTTCTCATTCTATCAGCTACATTAATTTCAAGTTTGGGATTGGAAATTTGATATACTTACATAGCTAACCGACATCTAGATGATAAGATTAAAATCAAATATACCACCGATGATTATTGTACATTGAAAATACCAATGTTTATATTGCCGATTCTCCGTCTGCGAAACAGTGTAATCACCTGCATATAATTAACCAATCACCACCGTGAGATTAATAAAAATTTCAATGGTCGCGCACTTAAACGAAGGTTGTCTACGACTCGTTCAAACACCATGCTCAGATCGTTTGCCCTGAGAACGCTCCAACCCGGCCGGTTGTTGACCAACCGCAGAGCCTATTCTGCCATCATCTCTGTCCACAGAGACACCCCTCAAGATAACCCTTCGATCCCTTTCGAATTCAACTCGGAAAACAAGAAGCGGGCCGAAGAAATCATCGCCAAATACCCTCCTCAATACAAGAAGGGTGCCTGCATGCCCTTGTTGGACTTGGGCCAACGTCAATTGGGTTTCACTTCGATTTCGGTGATGAACTACGTCGCCAAGTTGTTGGACATGCCCCCGATGAGAGTGTACGAAGTTGCTACTTTCTACACCATGTACATGAGACACCCCATGGGCAAATATAACGTGCAAGTGTGCACCACCACCCCTTGTCAATTGTGCGGTTCCGATGGCATCATGAAGGCTGTCACTGACTACTTGCAAGTGAAGCCTGGTCAAACCACCAAGGACGGTTTGTTCACTTTGCAAGAAGTTGAATGCTTGGGTGCCTGTGTTAACGGTCCCATGTTGGCTGTCAACGACGATTACCACGAAGACTTGACCCCTGAAGCCACCATCGAAATCTTGAAGAAGTTGCAAAATGGTGAAGACGTTCCCGCTGGACCCATCTCGGGCAGAGATTCGTGCGAACCTTTGTCGGGGAGAAAGGTGTTGTTGTCGAACGAACCCAACGACATCAGAAAGTTTACGAGATCTGATTTGTAATGAGCATATATTTAGCACCGTGTATTTTACACCAATAGACGACAATAAAGGAAGCCCGGTTCAAGAGATTTTGAACCTGATTTCACGATATAATACTACTTGACGGTTGTGGTTGATCGATTGAATTTTAGAAAATTTCGATCAATTCTACTGATTTTGAATACTGTCATCAGCTTCCACGATGCCTTTTCCGCTAATCTGATTTTAGAAGTCTTGTTGAAAACTAATGAAGCTAAATTCCAACTGGCTGTTACCTTGAAGGATGTAGGCAGGGCTGCACTCCATTTCCCCAGGTCTTAACACCGCATTTACATTCTATTTTCTTTGCCTGCAGGTGGCGGACTGTGGGTGACTCAGATTCGGTAATATCTCGTGACCACATAAAAGAATCGATAGCTAACCGGAAATAAAGAGAAACTTTTCAGAACCTCCATCGTCCTTAGTTAATTCCAATCATAACAATGGGGAAAAAGAACAGCAACAAGGTCTATTCGGTGGAAACTGAACTTGTGTACTCGCCTCTGGGTGACCAGCACAACGCTTCCGTCGCCCCACTTTACCAACTGGCGACCTTCAAGCAACCTTCGCTCAATGATATGGGTGAATATGACTACACTCGTTCGGGTAACCCCACCCGGACTCATTTGCAAAACCACCTTGCCCGGATTATGAAGGCTAAGCACACGTTTGCAGTGACTTCAGGGATGGGTTGCTTGGATGTGATCACCAAAATCTTGAAGCCTGGTGACGAGGTGATTGCTGGTGATGATTTATACGGTGGCACTCAGCGTTTGTTGACTTACATGCACAACAAAGGTGACATTGTTGTCCACCATTATGATACGACTAACACTGAACTTATCAAACTGAAGATTTCTACTAAGACGAGAATGATATTCTTGGAACTGCCTACGAATCCTTTGATCAAGGTGGTCGACGTTAAAAGCATTGCTGACTATGCTCACCAAGTCAACCCTGATGTGATTGTTGTTTTTGACAACACGATGATGTCGCCCATCTTCATGACTCCCTTAGACTTGGGTGTTGACATCCAATATGAGCTGGCCACCAAGTACTTGAACGGTCACCATGATATTATGGCGGGGGTCTTGGCCACCCGTCTGGACGAGTTGGCGGAAAAGCTTTTCTTTGTCATCAACCTGACTGGGTGTGGCTTGGCCCCGTTTGACTGTTGGTTATTGCTGAGAGGCTTACGAACTTTGGCTGTACGTGTTGAACGCCAGCAACAGAACTGTATGCGTATTGCCGAGTTCTTATCGCAAGTAGGTTTCCAAGTTCGATACCCTGGACTCAAGAATCATCCTCAGCATGAATTACATAACTCTCAATGTCGCGGGTATGGTGCTGTTTTATCATTCGAGACTGGTAACATCAAATTACTGGAAAAGATTGTTGAGCTGACGGACATTTTTGGTATCGCTGTGTCGTTTGGGTGTGTGAACTCGCTCATTTCGATGCCGTGCAAGATGTCTCACGCTCTGATTGACGCCAAGACTCGGGCCGAGCGGGACTTCCCCGAGGATTTGATTAGGTTGTGCATTGGCATTGAAAACTGCGAGGACTTGATCAATGACTTGACTCGGGCATTATTGAAGCTGGGAGCGGTGAAGGTGAATTCTCAAGACGAGTTGTACTTAACACTGACAGCTAAGTTGTAACGAACCGATATAACGTGATAGACGACCATCAGTCACCTATTGTGATTTGATTTACATAACGAACATATTCTCATAATATCATATATTGATGCTAACTTTTTTCTCGAACCTGTAATTTTTAAACCACCAACTACAATTTCATCGATGGCAAGCACTCGAAACTATCGAGTCTAAGCCATGGGTATACTGAACTGTCATGATGCAATGCATGTTGAAGCTTAAAACTAAGGTTGAACGTCGTTTTTATATCATGGCCAACTGGGCCATGTTTTCCTGGTACCGATGCTTGAGGGTTTGGTCATCGATGAATGCAGAAGCCGGTTCGGCGAGTCTCACCTGGATGATTGACGGAGCTGACGCCAAAGTAGCAGCGATCACTTTGCATACTGCCACCATGGGGTCGCGTTCCGACATCGACAGTACCATGAGCTCAGTGTGAGCATCATACACGAGGTAGTGACGAAGGGTGGCGTAGGAGTTGACGCAGACGTCAAGGAGGAATTGGAGATGATAGTCGACACCGTCGGGGCCATCATGATCGCAGTTACTAACAAATAAGCTCTGTAACTGCTGAGGGGCGGCCATGGGGGTGGTGAACACCGACAGGATCACTGTGAATTCCTCAAGATGAGGCGGGAGCACAAGCAGGGTGAGCACGCAGTTTTCCAAACGAAGCTGACGAAGTACCAGGTGGCAGGGGAATGCAAAGGGGCCGAGGCGCAGGTCATGAAGACGGAGGTGAGCGAGGTTAGGGTAGTGGCCGATAACACCAAGATCGCTACCAATATCGATCAGTCTCAGAAAGAATTTGGTGACTTTGTGAACGATATGGGGCGGGGGGTGGCGCCAGTGGTTATCAATGACCAATTCGCACGAGCGGATATGGTCGGAGTACCCACTGAGCTCGGCAAGGGCAGCGGCACCACTACCGTGCCAGCGGACATCGAGGTTGAGGAATGTGGCAAGGTAGTACTGACACTGGGATGGGGGTATCAGGTTGGCGTCGTCGCCGCCAATGATTAGTGTGTGTCGGCGATGGCGGATCCACTGGCTCCGGGGGTGGTGGGGTCCCAACGCCTGAACGAGGCGGAGCACCAGAGGGAGGTCGAGATATGTCAACACCAAGTCAACGATATCATCCACGAGAATGTCCATAGTATCTCTGGGACAGTCACGGACTATATAAGCGGGTGAAACCTTTGCAGCTGACAAAGAGGGGGCGCCGTATGGTAATTTCAAATGAGGCTCTTGTTGCAGACGCCAACAAATCTGGGGAAATAGCAACGTTTGCAGACCGTGGCGATAATTAGAACCGCAGTGGAGTAGGTAATGAAAGAAGTTGGCGGTAGCGACAGAGCTAATGAGGACGATGGGCAGTCGTTTAGCAACTCGAAATTAGCGGGGAAGCGGGGTGTGCCGCTGTATATATACGGCTGAGACCGGTACAAGTAGTGTGGTTAGATTACAGACCGCGCCGTGAACGTTGCGGTCACGCTCACAGACAGATTTTCTCGTTGGGGCTGAGATGGCCTGTAGAGGTGCTGATTTGTCGCTCGTGCTTTGTACCATTCCAGGCGCCTGCATCGCACTCAGGGTGGTTACTTCTGCAGCGACAGCGAGCGCCGAAGATCGCCGATTAGTGTATAATTTCCACCATGCAACCTCAAGTATACATACGTGTACGTCTAGTCGTTGGATAGTGTTCAACGTCCATCATGCAACCTCGCTCTAAGTACAACCTAGATATGTGGGACGGTGCCGCCGATGACATATTCGTATACGCGGAACGACCACCCGCCCCGTTTAGCCCCCACTTTAGTTAATTGTGGGGGTGAAGAACAAACCCAGATGCATGCTCACGGGGAAGTGCGGGATCCACCAATGAGCTGGGCGTCTTGTGGCAATTTTTCAACTTTGTGACCGTTGGCTTAGCGCCAACATATATCTCGCGGATACCAGTGGGGATCAATTTATCGGCAATCTTCGTATGCGCGAGTAGTGCTGTGAGAAAATGATGAGAAGAGTATGCGGCGACAGCGACGACCGGGGCTCAGAGCCGAGGCTGGCACCGGGGGTGTTTTGATGTGCTCTAGTTTAGGGGGTGTCGCCCAATAAACGTAGGAAGTACCAGGAAGCAGGTCGAGATGATGTGTTACCGCGAAGCATATGCCGGGTCGGGGGCTTGGAGAAAAAAAATGCCTTGTGGTCTCAGGTCGTGTCTGAACCCATCGCGCCCGTCACCTACTTTAGAAGTATTTACGATTGACGATGTAATTGTTGCATCGGTGGCGCTTTGAGGCAGGCATGAGCTTTGTGGCAAGCTTGAGCTTTGTGGCAAGCTATGTCTTTGGATCCTCAGCTGCTTGCTTTGCCCTGCACGACACCACTGGCGTTGTGAGCATTACTCAGCACCAGCATGATTAGACATTCGCCCCTACACCGAGGCTGAGCCACATCGTGCCCCAAAGCTGGAGCCATCACAAACCCCTCCCGTCGTATACGCAGCCCTCGCAAAGTTTAAATGATATTCTCTAGCTGCCTCTACATAACTTCGACTACCTGCCGGCTTATTTGACTTGGCGAACCTGCCTCTGGTCTCGCCGAAGTGCCGTATACTCGCCGAATCCACCCCTGCTTCAAAACACCCCTCTCGCCCCACCTCGCTAGTCATCCCCTCCTCGACGGACAATAACGCAAAATTCATCTTCAAAAAGTTTTATTGATTTGTGTAGCTAACCACAAAAGACTATGCGAGTTTCTTTTCCGCTGATAGGCAAATGATGATTCAATCGGGCTTTGTCCCTTTTTCCATAGTCAGCGGACATTTCCGTGAGGGTGGTCTCGCGTTATTTTTACTTTTTTTGGAGGGTTTTGTATCACTACTACTTTCGCTCATCTTTCCCTAAAGAGAGACCTATCCGTCATTCCTGAATTTGCCCCTGACTCTTCTCCCAGTCGCACTTCGAGTGAGGAAACATTTTTTCTCTGCTCGCTTGCCTATATGCACACCGATACTCATACACGTCTATCACCAGACGCGTTCCTTCTTTCCCAAGAGTAAAATGCTGTTGGACCAAGGAGTGTTATTCAAGGTTTTTAACGTGAAGTACCCCCAAGGTACGTTGGATCCGTTTGTGGTTCAGATTGTTCACATGAAGTCAATCTCCCAAACTGAGCACAAGTACCGGATGTTGCTTGGAGACGGCGAGTGGCTGGTACAAGCCGTGCTGGAAGGTATTTGTGGTGACCAGATTCACAACTTGGGAATTGAAAAGGGGATGTGTATCAAACTTTTGGAGTATCTGTTAGTCACGGCTTCCACTAAACGCTTGCTTGTACTCAAGAATATCGAAATGGTGCCGGGTCTCAACCCAAACATCAAATCAAAGGATCTTAAACCCACCGACAGTTATTACCAGGCTCACCCCGAGGAAGATTTACTTGCTAATGAACTTTCGTCACCGGCGCCACTGACGCCGGGCGCACCCGTAACCTCGTCGACTCCCGGTCCTCGCAATGTTAACGTGCCGACGGGTAGAAAGGTGACAATGATTGAAACCATCTCGCCCTATGGCAACAAGTTAATAATCAAAGCGAGAGTGAGTTACAAGGGCGATAAGCGTACTTACGCCTCGAAAAAGAATGACTCAACTGGTCAACTTATCAATTTTAACCTCTTAGATGAGCTGGACGAAATTCGCGCTGCCGCATTTGGGGAGGTGGTTGATAGACTTGAAAGAGAATTGGAAGAAGGGAAGGTTTACTATTTTCTGAAATTCAAAGTTAGGGAGTCCAATCCCAAATTCACTACCTTGACCCACAGATTTGAACTCGTATTTGACAGGGACACCGTAATTGAGGAGTGTTTCGACCAACAAGATGTTCCCAAGTACAACTTCAACTTTGTCAAATTGGATCAAGTGCAAAACTTGGAGAGTGGAACTATTGTTGACGTTATTGGAGTCTTGAAGCATGTGGCGGACTACCAAGAAATCACGTCGACTAGGACCGGCAAGACGTTTCAGAAACGCTCCTTAACTATTGTCGATGACCTGGGATTTGCTATCGAGGTCGGTGTTTGGAACAAAAATGCCGTCGCTTTCAACATACCGGAGGGCCTGGTTGTCGCTTTTAAGCAGTGCAAAATTGGCGAATTTAGTGGTTCGCGTAACCTTTCTGTGACTCCCGCTGGTTCGTTCATGGCTAACCCTGAACTGCCCGAGTCGTATCGCCTCAAGGGATGGTATGACAACTTAGGCACCTCCACTGATTTCAAGCTGCTCAAGCAAGAATCCTCTGCTGGGGGTTCTTCCGTTATGGAACGGCGCAAGACTATCGCTCAAGTCACTTCGGAGAAATTGGGCCGCCTGGAAAAACCAGACTATTTTGATGTCCGCGCCTCTACTTCATATATCCGTACATCCGGCACCATCGCTTATCCTGCTTGTAACAATCAAGTGGAACGCAATGGACGCCAAGTCGCCTGCAACCGTAAAGTTATCGAGGACGGTGATCAATGGCGGTGCGAAGGATGTAATATCACCATGGACGAACCGCATTACCGTTGGATCCTCTCTGCTCTGTTGCTTGATGCAACGGGCCAATTGTGGGCAACGTTTTTCGACGAAGAAGCCGAAAAGTTACTCGGGAAGTCCGCTAATGAAATGATGAAAATTATGAAAGAGGAAGACCTGGATAACAAGGTGGTATCGGCTGCTGTTTTCGAAGCTGCTCTCTTTAAAGAGTACAATTTCCGTATCAAGGCCAAGTTAGATCTGTACAATGATGAGGAACGGGTGAGATATCAAATAGTGGAATTGCGCGACATCGATTATAGCGCTGAGTCGGAGTATTTGGCTAATGAGTTGGAGAAATGTCTTTGATTTTTGTGGGGGTAAATGGCTAATTTGAGAGATTCTCTTGTTACGATATATATATATATATGTTAATGTTTGAAGCTATGGTAATTAATTGTCTCTTACAACAGGCTTTACAAGTCATTTCATATATTCCAGTCATTATAGGCTCAACTAATCATCTTGGTCCCAGTTTCCTGGCCGCGGCTGCTGGGGCATAACCGGACCACCAGCTCTCTTCGCCATGATTATTTGGTCAATCAGCAAAATAGTGCAAGTGGCCTCGACTGCCAACTCAATTGCGAGCTTTTTGGTGGCGAGCAAGTCGTAAATTCCCAATTGACGGATGTCGCCAACCTCATCGTTGTCTATGTCAATACCAGCACACTTCGCATCTTCGGTATCTTCGGAGTGGGCAGCGTACAACTTAGACAAAAATTCCGCAGCATCAGCACCAGCGGTTTCCGACAAGACTCTGGGGATAACTTCAAACGCCTTGGCAAAGTGCTTAATGGCCAATTGCATTACCCCGGCGGTAGTCTCGCCCTTCTTGGTCACCAAATTGACAAGATCAGCTTCAACAGCCCCAGCCCCAGCCAACAAACGAGCATCTTTCAAAAGGCCTTTGATGGCATTCACACCATCATCAATCGCGCGTTCAACGTCGTCCAAGTTATTCTGAGTGGCCCCACGAATGACGATAGTCAGGGTCCGCAGCACCAGTTCATTTTGACGAACAATGGTAACGCGATCACCACCAATTTCCTTAGTTTCGATGACGTCGATAACCCCCATTTCATCAGGAGTGGGAGCCCCCAACCGGGGAAGCGGGGTTGCACCACAAACCTGGCAAATCCGGCGCACGTCAAACTTCGAGGGCACCTTGAGGACAAGAAGACCGTACTTGTTCATGTAGTGTAACGCCAAGTCTCCAACAGTAGAGCCGGCAATGACCACCCTAACCCCAGAGTCGTAGATTTCCTTACACATTTGGTCCATCTGGGCTTCTTCGCCAGCAGAAAAGTCCAACATTTCTTGGGCGTTGTGTAAAAGCACCGTACCCTTAGTTTCTGTGGTGGTGATGTCGATGGGCGTGGTAAACACCACAACCTTCAGCCGTTCAGTGATATTCTTCACCAGACCTTCAGGTTCACGGGGAAATACCATACCCTTAACCACTTCCAGCTGGCGTAAAGAAGCGCCCATGATCTTGACGACGCGAACGTTATCGATGTTGAACAGTTGAGGCTTTTGCGGGTTGAGAATGAATTTAACGGCTTCCACCACCAACTTGGTGATAAGAGGCTCGTTGGCGTATTGCTTCGCCAGAATAACTGGTTTGATAACCTTTTCCAACTCAGCATCGTCGGTAAGCAGCTTGGCTTCATCGACAACCAACGAATCCAACAGCGCCACGACGTGCTTGACGGCAATTTGGTAGCCCTGAATGATTTCAGAGACCAGTAATCCGATAGTGACAAGCTTCTCGGCAATGGTCAACAATTCACCCGCCAACACAATGACGTAGTTAGTGTTGTCACCCATCTCAAACTCTTGTTGCTTCAGGGCTTGCATCAAAATCTTCACCACTGGGTGGACAATTTCAAGCTCTTGCAACATGGTGGCGGCGTCGTTGGTGACGAAGATCTTGCCATGCTTGTTCACAATAATCTTATTTCTCCCCAGTGGTCCCATCAGTGTCGCCACCATCAGCGAAATTTCCCGAACGGCCAGAGCGTTTCGCAGGATAGCACCATCAGCATTGCTCATTGCCGAGTACCCCTGCTTGAAAAGGCCCGCGTTGGGCGCCAGCGGCATCTTCAATGACATGTTGTATTCTGATGAGTGAGGGTTGGAACAGAAGCGATGAAAATTTGGGCAGATCAACGGTGTGCGCAATGAGGGTTCACCAGTCTAGCCGCTTAAAATCAAAATCGGGGCGTGAATAAAATGAAACTGTATATTTAGACTGATGCTGTTTGAACTCAATTATATTTGAACAGGTGTATAGGGTCTCATATTGCTTTTGAGTTCTAGTCGGGACTCTCGGGTGATGAGAAGCGCGATACTAGAAACCATTGCCAGGAAAGTGGACACACGAAGTAAAAAAGGATATTTAGGCGTGAATGATATCTTTCGTTTGTTTTAAAGGCTCCCTTGAAGTGATATCTTCGTGATTTTCACGATTGCTGTTGTTTAAAACTCTTAATAATTCATCGTTCTGTAAAAGTCAAGTGCTCTCATGAGTCTCGTACAAACATCTATGCTTTCAACTTGAAGAAGATATGTCCAAGTAAAGGCGATGCAACGTATATAGCTAAATTTCTGCCTCGCCGACTCATTAGATTCGTGAGGTTCTGTTATGGTCGAAGTATCTCACCAACTAATTCATCACTTTCTACCAATGATCATGCATTATCTATATCTGCAATGAGTTTAACGTCAAATGAGCTTTGTAGCAAGCCATTGCGGTATAAGGAGCGCAAAGATTCATTCATCCAGCCAACCACCTTCATTGCCTAAGGCTACTGTCCAAAATTGGACGGGCCCCCTGAGACAATAATGTTGCTAAAAAGTAAAGAATGCGTTATATTATTGTTACAGTGTCGTTATGTCGTCATGGTGAAAAACTCGACGGTATAGTTGCTAAGAATAGGTCAATAGCTCGTTCTATAGGGTATCATGAATGCGAACGAGACTACCGGCTTTTCATAACGAACCGACGGAGCTGTCACCCGAAGAAAGCAGCTTTCTCCCAACCGAGGGGGACTCTGAAAATAATCTCGAGGGGAAGTCTTGCTCAGCGTGGTACCCGAGTCTGAACCGATCTCTCTCCTTTCTTTGTAATTCCATTTGATACTTTCTTTCATCCTCGGCAATATCGAGAATTTGGGCCATATTCTTCTTTGTTTCCTCTTCTTGACGTGCCTGACGCTTGATGAGGAAGGCTTCTTTCTTCTGGGGCAGTAAAAGCTTGCAATATAATGATTCGCCGATCATAGAAGTGAACTGAGAAATTGAAACTTGATCAACGGTAGAACGGCTGCAAGCTATATAAGCATCGATGAAATCGTGACGTCATGGAATCAAGCAAATTACGAGTGGAGCCCCGAACGTTGCTGAAACCATTTTCAGCAGCGGAATTCACGGAAGGCGACTTGGCACGAGGAGTCGAACCTTCCGATTGGTTGCTGTGGTAAGCTCAGCAAGCTCAGCCGTGAGCTTCTTATCGTCATATGTATCGGAAATGTTCCACTTACATCCCGCACGCAGGGTCCTCGGTGCAACGGAGAAATGAAAGCGTACGGCGATGATCGGAAGTAACTACAAAATTGGCATCTTCGGAAGCGACGGTGCAAGAGGTGCTTTCATTTTACTGAAGTGATAACACTATAAGGGATTCATAGGTGATTTTCAACGGCGGTGGTTACCAGATTTGACACATTTCACTAAAGTTCCGCATACAAAGATAACGTATTTCGGGGTAAGGTTACGATTTTTTCGGCCTCGATTGACTTAGTGATATCGCTCATCGTAAAGCAACTTCCATCATCGTATTTAGCAAAACCGTTGACCTCGGACCAATATCGAAGATTTGTGTCAAAACCGCCACATGAAGACGGCCAAAAAATGCCTCATTCTGCAATTATCTACCACTTGTAACTACTCCCACTTCTATCATTAATTAATCGTGATTTTGAAATTTGTGAGGGATAAATAGCAAAACAGCCTGAAATTATGAATAATCAGGGATATTTCAGCGTCCCACCCAATTCAGGATTCCTCTCCAGTTGCTACTGCTCTCGAGTCGACGCGGAAGGCTCGGACAAAACTAGCAGGAATGAAGAGGCAATGGTTATGGGACGATATCGACGTTTTGTCTCGGGTTTTCTTTTTCAAATACGAATCGGGTATCCGATGGGCCCACTTCCCGAAATTTAATGACATTATTGTGGATATATTGTAATCCTCGAAATTAGTGAAAATTTCATTGATCTTTTGACAGTTGCCCCCGGCAATCATCGGCTACAAGCCATCAGCCTCACGCAAGCCATACAAGTCGCGCGAAATGGGTAAGTGAGCTTTGGGATGTTTTCAACAACGATGCCGAAGGTAATGATGGCCCCAGCCAAATTCAACTTGGGGTATCTGGCATGTCTCCGGGGGGCTATACGATCACGGTCGTCACTTGGTATATGGCGTACGCCGACGAGAGCGTTGGCCACCCCTCGCAAGCCTAATACCGTCACCACCACCATACCTAAGATGGATCCTAAGGAGTTCCGCAAGGATTTGTTTACCGTACCTAACGTGTTAACCATGACACGTATAGCCACAGCTCCAGCGATTGGGTATTTCATTGTGAAAGGTCAAGTGGATTGGGCGGCGGGACTTTTCACTTATCTGTGCCTCACTGACTTCGTCGATGGCTGGATTGCACGCAGGTACAATCAGAAACTGGTGGTGGGGCTGATAATTGATCCTTTGGCAGACAAGTTGCTCATGACGGTCTGTACGGTGGCGCTCTCAATCACCCATCAAATGCCAGCTCTCGTTGCCACTGCCGTAATTGGCCGCGACGTCATGCTTCTGTTGATGGCATTTTATTACCGATACAAGCTGCTACTGCCGCCTAAATCCTTAAGCAAATTTTTGGATATCCAGGGAAATCCCACAATCACCGTCCTTCCAAACACTTTGGGCAAAGTGAACACTGCTCTTCAGATGTTTTACATCGCTGGGTTGGTTCTCCAACCAGTGCTCCAGCCGTACTACGATATGCTGACAGGTATGGATATATTTGGAGTGGTTGTTTTCTGTACAACCATCGCCAGTGGCTGTTCTTATGTCTTTGGCAAGCATGCTTTCCGATACGTCAAATGAGTACATCATTTAAGTATATACACTATAACCTCATCTGAACAAGATTGGTAATTAATATCATACATCGCTAGCGTTACTAATTGTACCCCTATTAGCGGATCTGTCAAAATTGGCAGGCGCCCGTTTTGTAGTCTTGATTTGCGCAATTTGCGTACCAGTTTGCGCCGTTAGCGCAAATATCAGGGGTGGTGATGTCGAACGAGTGACGAGCTGATGGTACGCCGTAAATCGTAAATTGCGTTTGTCGGTATATAATTATCATATTGCCTCAAGATCGGCCCCAGTTTCTGGGGTAAAGAAAAATTGGAGGAGTCATCCTAATTCGCTGGTCAATACAACCCAATTAAGTCGGACAGCAAGGTACACGGTTGCACGCAAATGAATGAAATTAGTTGTTTTTTCCCCTGCACACTGGCCAACTCTTTGTAATATTTTTCTCGTTAACCTTATCCCTCAATCAGTAATACGTGGCATGCACACAGTGCTATTCAATACTACGCTCCACAAATGAGTAGCTGCCTTGGCGATCACAGCATCCCCCGCCGACGGAGTCCAAGCGAGCTTTGACTTAAAGTCGATTTGATCTGAAACATTTCCATCTACCCTGTGCAAGATAATGTCATCGTGGAAATTCGGAACAAGATATTTTGCTGCATTGTGTAGGGTAAAAAATAAACTATTGTTTTCAGGGTAATCGATGACAAATCGCGAAAGACTACCTAGTCTGTCAAACGCAAATAAGCCCCGTCTTTCACATTATCATGTCAACCTTTCATCAGTTTCTGTCTGACTACATGATATTGATTCGGCACCTAAGGAGTCGATCCAAATTAATCCTGAGCGATTTATGCCTAGAAGACAAATCAAATACATTATGTGTACTCAAGCCGAATGAAGGGCTCGGCGCATTTCACAATACACCTCAACAATTCGGCGATCTTTCGAGGTAGCAATTCCCTTGAGCAACGGAATTGGCAAATGCAGCCCATTCGCTAAGAGTAAACCAATATAGAATGACACTCGATTTCGGGCTTGCTGTAATGCTGGTTTTAAAGTCTTCAGAACTGTTGGTGGCGATTCCAATACGGCGTACTCCACAACCTGATACGCGATTTGAATATGTGTGGCCACTAGTTTCGCAAGAGCATTCAAAATCGGCAATTTCACCGCTGTAGCGATACATTTATGAATTAATGCAACACTTTTTATGGGCAAGTGACGGAACTCAGCCAAACGGGAGGTCACCCATTCGATTGCCCCTAAATCGCTATTTTGACGAACCAACAGAAGAAGCACAGTGGCAAATTTTGTGGCTAATGGTTGCCGACCTGGTACACAATCGAGATGTCGGCGCATCTGAATCTGCCGCCGAAAGCTTACCACAGCATCTGCATTTGGTTAGTATTCGAATGTGATTGTGGTTGGATCTCACCTACCATATGATTTTATAATGCCCTGCGTTCGTTTGAATCGTACAACAGCAGCAGCTACCACTAATTCCATGTGTTTGGTATGAATTAACTGATGAGTATACGTAAATTTAACTTTTGGAGGAAGGGATAAGATGTAACAAGGTTATGAGCTGTTTGAAACAAAGTGGAAGTAAAACATGCGTGGGGGAACGAGGCTCTTGGTGAGTTTGGCCTCATGAAAATGTGGCATTATGTGGAGCAAAGGGTTTTCGTGTAGCTAGTCCGCAGTCTTCACTCGCATGCGAATCCAAATGCGCCTTCGAATGCAATTGCCAGGGTAACACCGGCCCTTCCAGTTGCCAAGTCGAGAGAACACCAAACGAGCGTATAACCAGCCTTGATCATCAACGTCGTCGAGCATCAATACATACCATTGAGGCCACCGCCATTCCCACGTGGGGTCGGGTAGCGGATAATACGCTAGGTTGTGATGGATCACCGGCACCCGACCTCCACCAACTCGTTCATAAGGGGCCGGGTCCACTAGCGGCAATAGCAGCTTCAGAGAAAACATTGGCAATCCCAAAGCATTTAGTCCCCGTTGGTTCTCCACGACGAAGTCGAGATGGTATGGACGGTTCTCTTGCTCAAACTGTGTAATCACTGCTACCAAATCACGATACCGCCAACGACGGCGATTTTTGGCTCGCTCACGTAGGCGCAGGCGAAGTTCATCAATGAGAGCGATTCCATCCATATATTGATCGCTGCTGGCTCGACTACAGAGTTGATAATAACTGTGGTGGAGGAGGAGGCAAGTAGTAGCTGTGTGCACTGATTGAGAAGTATTGCAAGTCACGATTTTTTCACGAGCGTGCATACACTGTGGAGTAGTTGCAAATAGTCTTAGCTTCGACTTGACGGAATTCGATGAGTTTTCGTTTTACAATTAGAGAATCTTCATTGTAATTCAACACCAAAATTTGAGACTTAATGTCGTATTATTCCAGTGATAAACCGCCTGATTATTAATCAGACAAAACTTCTCAACGCACAAATGTTATTAACCTAATTCAACCGCTAAGGCCACGTACAGAAGCTTCCAGCATCCAACTCTTTTAAATCTACGCTACTCAAGGTTGAACTTTCCCATGAAGTCTCTTTAGGCGTTCTTCTGCTCCATTTTTACCCCTCGCCCTCTATTGTGGACCTTCTCGCGTAATTTTTTATGCGCGGTCAATTGTCTTTGCTCTTTTTCGCATCATGGTAAAAAAGGCTAACCTCCACAATTGTCACCACTCGCGAAAGATGAATTATGGAGCCAATCCGGTGGTTTACGATCAGAGACAGCTGGCGCCAGTCGCTCCGACAGGTTATAACCAGCAAATGCTGAGTACCGCTCCTCAATATCCGCCGGGGCAGGCCCCAGCGAAGGAGATCAAAGAGGTCAAGCAAGAAAGCGGACAGACGCTGAGACTGGGATACCCGTTCTTGCCACATCACAACCCATTCGATTTCAACTCATATCCCATCACTAATCCCCCTCTTTTCGATCTGACGATGAATTTACCTTACGACACCCCTGACAAGGTCCACCGCCGCCGACGCATTTCAATCTCCAACGGTCAAATCAGTCAAATCATGAATCACGAAGCGATTTTCGATTATGATGGTGTAGATGACCTGCCACCTCAAGCACCTATACAGGTGCCAGCCGTTGCCGCCCCTCACCAACAATTTCAAAACTTCAAGGGGTTTGAAGCTTCTCAAATAGCGCAGGCGCAGGCCCAAGCACAAGCACAAGCTCAAGCTCAGGCACAGACACAGGCCCAGGCTCAATCTCAAACCCAAGGTCATATACAATCACAAGCTCGATTTCCTCAGGCTTTTCCTCCGTCGAACCATCTCGTGGATCTGCAGAATAATCAACTGGCACCTGCGGTTGTATCCGGGCAACACGCCTCCGAGGTAACCCCCTTGGCACCCACCATACCTACTCCACTTGCCACGGGGGATAACCTGACACCTCTAGCTGCCGGCGTGCCTCCTAATAATCATCAGTTGATTTATAACGATGAAGTGATTTTCAATCCTAACAACGGCCCCATACCTGGAACAGCGGCATGGAAAAAGGAGCGTCTTCTAGAGCGTAACCGTATTGCTGCATCGAAATGTCGTCAACGTAAGAAGCAAGCGCAGTTGGATTTACAGAACAATGTCAATAAAATTGAGAAGCGCTTGAATGCCGAAACCAAGCGTGCTGATGATGCTGAACGTCAACTTAAAGAATATAACGAGGCCTTGGCCGTATACTTTGAGACTCAAGATCCCAGCCACTTGGAACGATTACGCAATAAAGTCACTTCCTTCTATCGGTAACACGGTAATCAGGGATACACGTGTTTAATACTATTGAAGGTTTTTTGTGTGGGGCATTTATAGATGTGATAGCTGAAACTATCCACCCTGCTATACCCATTTTGTTTGAATTATTTGAATTGTGTCTATTAGCCTTCCTGTCATTGATTATGGCTTCAGACCGGCACTGGATGTTGCCTGTGAGGTTTGAAGCGATTGTTCAGAAGTAAGACGTGAATCTGAATGGTTTATTCGTATTACAGATCAAGCTTAGATGGTCCAATACTTTTGAAGAGCGTTTTTGTAAGAACTAATTCTTTTGCGATGACCTCATGCTATGATGTTTGATATTATTTTATTAAAGATACTTCATAGGTTACGTTTTGTTTTACGTACTGCTTATGTACTTTTCATCTCATGCTAATTGCTGCTGTTAGACAATGTGGTCGATCATTACTATGATTCAAGTACAAAAAAACTGAATAGTCGTACATTATCTGTACTATACTTGCTTTACAAGGTGTGCGTGAGACACAAATATACAAGTTAGCCTGTATGGCGACTTGGAGGTGCCTTGTGATTCTCCGAATGTACAATTATCCATCCTATGTATTGATATACGATTAAACTTTTTGCAAGTCGTACAAACGGCTCTTTTTACTAAACGCGACTTAAAATTGATGCAAGATCAAGATGTCATGGCATCTACATTTATTACAATAGGTGATGTCAACAGTCGAAGATATAATTAAGGAACCTACTGCACCTGTTTTCCGTTAGTGTCAACAAGTGACATGTCGCTGACCTGTGGGCCAGGCCCGATTTGCGTCAAGATAACCCGTGAGACCCCTTGGTACAAGTTCGGGTTAGCGGAAATTCCCAGCGGGTGGAACTTTGACGTATCAGCTTTGTCCCAGCCAGAAACCTTACCGAAATGCTCGTAAAGCATGCCCAACACCTTAGACTCATTTGATTCGTCGTAGTAAATGACAGCATTGGGGCCAGCATCGAAAGTGTAGGCGGCAATCACGCCTTCCTTTTCGTTCAATTGATGAACCAACTTGATGATTTGCTTAGATGTATCGTTGAGATAGAAAATAGGAGGGTACGAATCCAAGCACACGGCATGAAACGAGTTGGAGTCTTGCATAGTGAGTTTGGCGAAAGTGGGGAAATCTTTCTCCAAAATCAGCTTCTTCATTTCGTCAAAACGACGGGGTACCTGTTGTTTTATACGCTCCTCAAACAATTCCGAAGTCGCGACCGTGGTTTGCATCCCAGTAGTGGAAGGAGTATCCTTCTTGTCGTCACTGACAACAAGAATTGCCGCCTTCATCCCTGGCCAATGGTCTACATCGGCAATTTGCACAGCTTTCGAGTCGGAGCCGTCAACAGCTGTGCCCATTTCCCAGGCAACAAAGCCACCATACAACGACCGGCAAGCCGAGCCCAGGCCTTGTCTGGCAATTTTCGAAAGCTCACTCATATCCTCATCGAGCTCGTACAACTTGGCGATTGCCGACACTAACGCTGCAAACCCGGCCGCAGACAGCGCCAACCCGGCCGCGGTAGGGAAGTTATTTTCAGACACAATTCGAAGACCGTAAGAGCTCAACGCTTCCGCGCCAGTGGCTTCCTCCTTAGAGCGCCGTAACCGACGAAGTTCACCCAAACAAGCTTGGGTACGAGCCGATGTCAAAGGGTGCTCTTCTCCGTTAATAAGCAACTTATCATCCTTGAACTCAGGGGAGGCGGCGACCGAAGTCAACGTTCTCAAGTCCAGCTGGGCGAGGGTGACCGAGATTGATGAGTTGGTGGGAAGATTGAGCTTAGCATCACGCTTACCCCAATACTTGAGGGTCTAGGTAGTTAGTAAAGATCTCCTGATGTGGGGGTTTGAAATATTTCACGTACAGCGATGTTGACGGGGGCGGTAACCGACGCGGTGTGAACAGCCATGAGCGTGTCTTTCTACTGCGATCTTTGAAAAATCGCGTTCTTATGTGAACGACAAAACAGAGTTCAGCGAAACACTATAATAAAATATAAACCATATAAACGGCATTTCGAAACTGGCCGCGCGATACACGCGATACACACGATACCTTTAACAGTCGTGTACAATTTTCATAGGCGCAACTCCAGTAATCTTCGAAGTGCCTACATAGGTTAACATTCATTGTATTGTTACAAACGTATTATGTGTTGAAAAAAACAAAAACCATTACCCCTTGCGGGTCCATCTCCACAACCGCGCCTTGCAGTCACCGGAACCAGTGGCGAAAATACCTTCGGTGCCCTTGGAGTTAAGAGAAACCGCTACCGAAATCACCGAGTTACGGTGACCTTGCAACATCAAAAGCGGATTCCCGCTTAATTGGTCCCAGAAAATTACCCCACGGTCCTTAGAGCCCAGCAAGATGTACTCATTATTCGGCGTCAGACAAACCGATAAAACAAAGTCCTTGTGACCGATATAGGTAACTTCACACGACGACTTCTTTTGAGCGCCCCCGGGGCCACTCAGCGCCTTGCCTTCCAAGTTCCACAACTTCACAGTCCGGTCCAAAGAACCCGAGGCGATTTGCTTGCCGTTAACAGTGAAAGCCACCGAGTACACCGAGTCTTCGTGACCGTTGCCATTTTCATTGCCAGAATCCAAGCGTTCAACAAGGAAGCCAGTGAGCGAATCCCAAACCCGCACGGTACGGTCCAACGAACCAGCAGCAATGAGGTTGCCGTCAGGCAGCACTGCTACAGTCGTGACACCATCTTCAATCAGAAGCGTGAGCGAGCATTGCGACAGTCTCAAATCCCAAATACGCACGGTACGGTCACCCAGCCCCGACACCAACCGGTTGCCATCGGGGAAGAAATCGAGTGAATAAATGTCTTGTTCGTGGCCACGCAAAATTTTGATGATTCGCTTAGTCGTCAAGTCCCAAATACGAATCAACTTGTCTTCAGCCCCGGTAGCCAAGTATTTGCCATCAGGCGAGAAGCACACCGATCTAATGTACAAGTCGCCGTTCAGGCCCACACCACCACCAACTTCGCCTTCACCTTCCTTACCTTCGCCACCTTCACCCAGATTCTGGTCGTCCATCAACTTAGCCACAAGTTCACCAGTTTCAACATTGAACACTTGAGTCGTCTTGTTGCACCCGGTGGCGATGAACTTACCATCCTTCGAGAACCGCACGCAACAAACCACCAGTGAGTGGTCTAACGAGTGAATAAGTTCAACGTCCAAGTCACGTTTGAAGGCGGGGTTGTACAAAACATAATAATCCCCCAATTGCTTCTTGAAGTCAGGGTTCGCCTTGGCAGCATCCAAGTCCGAAAGAAACGGAGGAATCTCCTTAACGTGTAAAGCCTTTTGTGCCGGATTGACAACGTACAAGGACAGGTCAATTACCTGCAAAGCCGTCAGCGTTTCAGGGGCTTGTTCAGGCTTCACGGGGTCCTTAGGCGCCGGAACCGGCTGAAGAGTGGGGGCGGCAGCGACATTAGCTAGCGGCTTCGGCTCGGTCTTAGGAGCTACGGGAGCTGACTGCTTGAGCGCCGGCGGTTGTTGGGGTTGCTGTTGAGGTTGGGGTGCGCCGCCCACTGCAGGTTGGGGTTGGTAACCGTAAGGGACGGGTTGGCCATTGGGCTTATGTTGCTGGGAGTGCAATTGCGCCTGGCGGTCGCGGTTTTCCAACTCAGTTTTAAGACGTAAAATTTCCTCTTCGTAGGCCTCTTTAATTTTGCGGTGGGCCATTTCCAACTCGTAAACCGTTTGACGGATTTGTTGCATTTCGGCCGTTTGCTGGTTGTATTTGAGATCGTAGTCTTCCTTGACCTGTTTAAAGTTCAGCGCCTCATTGAGGGCGTAGTCAAACTCTTGCTTCACTTGGTCCAAAAGCTCCAGAAGCCGTTGCTGGTGCTGTTGACGCTGCTGGCTCTGCTGTTGTTGTAACGCGACCTGGGGAGCGCCCGGCTGCCCCGGTTGTGCCTGTTGACCTTGGGGCTGACCCACCCCGGAATTTGCATACGAAGACATCCCGCTCGTTCCAATGGTCTCAACAGTATCTGGTGTTGCCAGTGGTGTGGATTTTTTTTCTCGCCAGGGTGCGAAAGCGGTGGTATTACTAGGCGGGGTGTCGAGGGGAGATTTGGCGAGCGCCAGACCATCCGCCGCGAAACGACAGGGGGGGCAACGGGCAACGGACTACGCAATTGATCATGACTTTATGAGGCCGAAGGCAAAGGCTATTATCGTAGACTACATTGAATTACTGTCACACCATCAGTTTTAATGGAGCGAGATGATATGGCCACGGTCGCCAAAAACAGGGGGTGTTTTTTACACCCCCTGTTTTCCATAGGCAATCTTGACCATTCATTGGTAGCAACGCGCGCAAACAACGGACGACCTCAACAATGCGAGGGGGGTGTGCCGTGCCCAGGAGGCAAGCGGAAGGATCGACGCGACTGTTGCCGAAAAATCTTTCTTTAGTCACGAACACTGAAAATTATAGAGGAAAAAGAAAAACCAAAGTGAACTAGGGGGCTACTCGAGATCGGCGGCGTCGAGGTGTCGCTGGCTGCTGACGAGGGATCGGAGTTTGCTGCCACAAATGACGGCAGTCATTAGTCTCTTGTAAAATCTGCGTCTACCAGCACTGTCGCGGTTGCGAGCAGTGGCAGCACTGAGTCGCTTATCACTTGCCGGCGTTAAACTTAAGCTATTTGGGCGGGGGCGGATGGCGTCATGTGATTCCGCTGGTGGCAAAGCCCCACGGGTGGCGATGGTACGGACGACGTACTGCACCATTGCTCGGCGAATAAGGCGTCGTCGACGAAGACTTCCTCAGCGTCGGAAATGGCGCTGTTTAAAAGTAGGACATACATTCGCCGACAAGGCACTCGACGTGCTCGGGTCCTTTTCGGACAATTATCTCCATAACACAACGAATGGAAATTAAACGTCTAATGGGCATGTCAGTTGGACATTTCCGAAGACTAGCGCTTGCGCATTCGGGGTTCTTCGCCGTTCTGTCGTCTCATTACGTCACTTAACGTGCTGATGACACGGCCGCAGTGTAGTCCTTTTTTTTGTGTTATTTTTTTTTTTTTTTTTCCGGCTGGCTAGTGACACTAGAATCACAAACACTTGCATTAGCTTCGCACCCTGTCACCCTACTCATGTCCTATAAAGGCAAACCGCCAGCAAAGCGACGTACACAAAGAATATAAATATAGCTGTAATCGGCGTAGCTTTATTCGTATAAGAATTTGGCCATTCAAGTTGTTGCCACGACCTCACAACTATACCAACCTCGCCAAATTTCAAGTAGTGTGATTCATCAATTCCCACCGTAGTACAAATTCTTTTCTATTTAGTCTTAGAACTACGTGTATCTGACTTTCTCAAACTTCAAAATCTTTTTCAGAGGTCTCTTAGTCGTAGTTCTCAGGTGGGGTCTCAGCTCTTCATTCGCGTCGCGCACCACTTTTCATCACTCATGGACGCTCCACCAACATTGAAACGGCCTCGGGAAGAGGATGCCGGATTTGGGGAGAAACGTTTGCGGAAGGATCCTGCCGATGAGCTCACTTCCAATGTTTGCGGTGATATATGCTCGCTCGACCCCCGGTCCATCGAGGACATTGCTTACATCTCCAACCCTATCGTCATTGAGTTCGAGAAAATCGACAAGTTGAGAAACTTGTTTCTTTCGACGGTGTTTGCCATGATCACCGAACAGCTGTCGAAACTTCATGTGGTATCCGACCTTGTCATCATTTGTAATGCCAAAAATATGGTGGTGGGCAAGTACGTCATCGAGTATATCCACCAAAAATTGCAGGATGCCATCACCGCCAGTGAATGGAATAAGGTGAAGATCATCCTCAAGTTCGTCGCCACTTTAGCTCCCATCATCACTGAAGTGCGGCCTCTTTTCCAACAAATCTTGCAGTTCGCCATTGACTCCAAGCTTGATCAATTGTACTATGGTGTGTGCATTGCCATTCCGTATCTCTTTGCCAACAGTCAGGATGTTGAGTTACCCAATGAATTGATTGAGCTTGCCCTGAACTACACTGTGGAGCTGGTGCCGCTGGAGTTGTACAACAATGGCATCGGTGCTGACGAAAACCAAGTGTACAGCTCAATTTTCGCCGCTGTCAAGCAATTACAAGGCGAAGACAAGCTGTGGACAGCGCTACAAGGGAAGCTTTTCACTCATCGTCAGCAAGTGACGGCGCCCATCATCGAGGAGGCGCTCCAAAATAATCCGATTTCTAAGGAGATGGTGCAACACTCTTTACCTCAGGTGGCTCTTCCAGATGAGCCCAAGCCGCTGAAGTTGTCCCCTCGGTACTCTCATATTTACAACCATCAGACGCTGTTTGACACTGTGCCGCCAATCACAACCTACCAGGGGCTTTTCTTCCGCGACATCATCGCCGATACCGTTAATCTGTTGCACTTTGCCCCTGTTGAAGCTGGCATTACCATGTACCAACTCGACCTTGCTTTCCCTATCGATTTAGCTCCGGAGCTGACTCTGATTGAACAATTAGAAATGATCGACAAGGATAATCAACTGGGGGAAAATCAGCCTCCTTTGCTGACCTGGAAGACGGAAGATGTTGCCGTGGAGAACATTGTCAACTTGCTCTTGCTGCTTCCTAACCCTGAACACCACTGCGTGTTTTACTTCAAGGTGTTGTTGGTCATTTGTCATGAAAGTCCTGCCAATGTCGCTCCAGTGTTCGGCAGAGCCATCCGGTACTTATACCTGCAGCTTGAAACTATGGACTTTGAGTTGCGTACTCGCTTTGCTGACTGGATGCTGATTCAGCTTTCTAACTTCGATTTCTCCTGGAAGTGGGACGAATGGGTTAATGATTCGCAAGAACTCGATCGTAACCACCCCAAAATCAACTTCATTGCTAACTTGATTGGTAAGGAAATTCGGTTATCGCTGAAGAAGAGAATCAAGGAGCTGTTTATCGCTCAAGACGAAGAAGGCGAAGTGGTCAATTTGGAAGAATTTTACAAGTACTTGGAGACTCCCTTATACCCGGAAATTCCTGTTGCTGAATTTATCCGCCAATATGATGACGATCTCTTGGGCAACTCCTTTGCTGACCTTTTGACGGCTTTCTACAACGAGCGGGCCAGCTTCCTTGAGGAGAAGCCACTCGTGTCGGCTCAGGATGAAGTAGTCTTCCCTTACACTGCTCCCGACATGCCATTGCGTGACATTGCTGATAGAGTTTACGACTTTTTGGTGTCGACCTATCCTCGTACCAACCCCGAGTTTAAGGAGTTGTGTAATGACGTTGTGGAAGCGGCTATGGGTCAAGGTTTGAGCGACCCCACCCGGTACATGGTCAATTTGTTGGTACAAACTTACTGCTATGTCGGTTCGCGGTCGATTTATTCGGTAGTTTCATTGTTCTCGAGAGACTTAGCTAAACTTAAGTTTCTTATGGGCTTGGAGCTGGAAGAAGATTTTGAGCAGCCCGCATTGAGCGATGAAGAGGTGGCGCAACGTCAACGGTGGTTCATTGATGCTGTGGTACGGGTGTGGTATCACCACCCGCAAATGGTGTTCTTGATCCTTGAACATGTAGTCGACTTCGACTTGGTGGCGGTGAATTTGGTGTTGGAACGCTATTTCGCTCATGATCTTGTCGTCGGCAACTATGCTTGCTATGACTCGGTGGTGCGGATGAGAGGCGAGAAGACTGATGCCTCTTTGTTCGAGTTGGCGGTGACGAAGATCAATGAAGGTGGTAATGAATGGTTGACCAAGGATTACTACGGGTTGGCGAAAGCGTGGTATCGTCACAGTGAAGACAAATCCAAGGCCAAGGAAGCTTTGGACACGGTGGAGGATTTGGCGATCAAAGAAAAGATCGATGGCTGGCAATAAAAAAATTAATGTAGGATACGAATATACGTCGATTGAGGAATACATCCAATTGTAAAGCCTTTCTCTTGAGAAGCTCTGAAAGCTTTCTCTTGCCATAACCTTTGTGATGGCAGCAACTGCCCTTTCTGGTTTCATCTGCAATGCCGGTTGAATGGTGCGATTGTGGTGCATTATCACGCTGAGTAGAATCTCTCTCAGCCTCGCCGCACCATCATCCATCAGACCATGACTCTAGCCATCGAAACGAATCACTTGTCGTATTCATTCGGTAACCGCATTGGTCTCGATGACATCACCCTCAAGATCCCCTGGGGTACAACAACGTTACTTGTGGGCCCCAATGGCGCCGGCAAAAGTACACTTCTTAAGATCCTTGCTGGCAAAACCCTTATCCCTCAGAATAAGCTTTTGATTGATGGGTGTGACCCGTTCGACCTTAAAGCCATCAATACAAATACATCGATCACTTATCTCGGTACAGAATGGGCGGCAAATTCAGTAATAAAGCGCGATATTCCGGTGCTGGAGTTGATTGATCTGGTGGGGGGCGACACCTACCCTGAACGTCGAGAACGTCTCATGAAGATCATGGACGTAGACACGCGGTGGCTGATGCTTCGGATCAGTGATGGCGAACGACGCCGGGTACAGATCGTCATGGGCCTTATCAAGCCATGGCGTTTACTTTTGTTGGACGAAGTTACAGTTGACTTGGACGTCGTCGTGCGCCAAGGTCTTTTGAAATACCTTAAAGATGAATGCCGTGAGCGCCAGTGTTCGGTAGTGTACGCTACCCATATCTTTGATGGACTTGGGCGTCAGTGGTGCGATCGATTACTTCATATTGTTGAAGGTACCATTCGTGATGATATTGACATGTCTACAGTGACTTTCACTCTTGACAAGCTCGATCTCACTGATTCTCGGCACTTACAGATTCCTTACTCCGAAAGTATTCACCCATTGGCGCTTAATTGGCTTAAGAAAGATTTGAGTGAAAGGGGTACTCGTGACGACGCTGATGCCCGTCTTCAAGAACGTAATCGCTTTTGGTTCAACCAATACGATGCCTAATCATAGATATAGAATCCCGTTAAATATAGAACGTCATCATTAAGTTAACTATGCAATTTTATGTATATGGCCGCCCATTGATCTGAAACTAACTCATTTGATAGACGCTGGTTCATCAGTATGTCAATCATATCGTGACAAGGTCGACAGATCAAGAGCGGCGATGCTTGTTTTCATTTTGGTTCGTAAGTTAAAGTTTCCTGTGGAAAGGAACATGCAGATATGTTTTGCTGGGAGATCACAATTGAGGTTCGGGTTGACTGAACTTCCGCTCAAGTTCAAGGAATCGTACTAGCTCCTTTTCTCGCTGTATCCGTTTGCTCAAAATGTAGTTTTCTAGCTCAAGCTGCCACATCGATGATTTATTCTCCTGCGGTGGAACCAGAACAATCACCTGTTGGATCTTGGCTTCGGGTGATTGCTTGAGTGGATGCCGTAGTTTAGGTGGGGTAACCTGGGCCAATGCATTCTTTTCATCAAGTCGACGTCGTGAGTTGTTTCCCCTGAGTGGCGTCGTAGCCACCCGTTTATTCATCTGGATAAAGAAGTGATTGTTTTTAGTGCCATCATCGGGCGCGCCGCACATAAACATTGGGCGCACTGGGCTCATATGCAGTAGTTTCATGAGACATTAGTGAGAAAAACGAAGCAATCATACGTTGAACTCATGAGGTGAGTGACGCTTATTTACGTAAACATACAAAACATATCTAGTTGCCTAAGATTTCCTTGGTGAAGGCTTCGGCGTTCGGCTCACGACCCAATAATTCCTTCAAGTTGTCCATCGAGTCCTTGGAGCCACCACGCTTCAAGACAATATCGCGGTATCTGATCCCATTGTCAATGTCCATAGGGTTTTGTTTGAACAACGAGTAGTAAATATCCAGAGCAAAAACGTTCGAGTACAAGTATCCGTAGTATCCTGACTCGTATCCACCAGCAATGTGACCGAACGAAGCGTAACCGGGTGTAGGATTGTTATCATCATCAAGACCCACTAACTCGAAACGCAATTCATTCCACAACTTGAACAAGTCCAAAGCTTCAATGTCCTTCTCATCAGTCTTGGTGTGCAAGGTCATGTCAAAAAGTGCAAAGTGCAACTGACGCAAGTTGTGCAAACCCAGGTTAACATTCTTCGTTCTAATTAAATCATCGATCAAACCATCGTCCATGGGTTCACCCGTCTTATAGTGACGACTCAACTTCTTCAATTCGTCCTTCAGCCACGTCCAGTATTCCAACATTTGCGAAGGGCATTCTACAAAGTCTCTTTCAACGTGAGTACCGTGGTGGTTAGAGTAACGAGTCTTCGAGAGGATATTGTGAATCCCATGGCCCAATTCATGGAACATTGTCACTACTTCCGAATGCATCATCAACAGAGGCTTTTCCTTGGTTGGCTTGGTGAAGTTACACAACAATACTGTCACGGGCGTGTGGCGAGAGCCATCAGGGTTTTCATGACCAGGGTCGATACCGAAGTTTGCAGCGTGCGAGTACTTACCTTCACGAGGGTGCAAGTCCAAGTACAACAAGCCCATGTACTCATTCTTCTTTTCACCACGAGCAACATTTTGGTAAATAGCAAACAACTGAGCATCCTTGTGCCACAAAGCGCCTTCAGGCAATTCGTCTTCGCTCAACTTGACAACCTTAATGTCAAAGATCTTCTCATAGAATGAAAACATCGTGTCCAAAGTCTCAGTAAGAGGAAAATATTCCGCAACCTTGAGGTTGTCCACCAGATATTCCTTTTCAAGCAACTTTTCATTGTAGTAGGCATTATCCCACAAGTACAACTTGTCTTGCACAGGTAAGCCTCTTTCCTTCAAATCCTTATTCTTGAAGTCAAGCATTCTCTTCAAATCTTGCTTACCCACGGGGGCCAATTTTTCTTTGAGATCATTCAAGAAGTTGAGAACATTAGTTTGGTTCTTGGCCATGCGTTGTTCGAGAACATAGTTGGAATAAGTGTCATAGCCCAAAAGCTTAGCCAATTCAAATCTCAACTTGATCATTTTTTCGAGAATGGGGCCATTTTGAGGGGACTTCGATTGGGAGCCGAGGAAAGCACGCTTTCTTGTCTCTTGATTGTGTGCGTACTTCATTGTAGGAATGACATCGGGATACTTGTAAGTCATGCGATATTTGTCGCCATTCTTCTCGAAGCCATCAATCGTATCTTGAGGCACGCCGTCCAATTCTTCAAGGGTGAATTCGATAAAGTCCTTTTCTTCATTCTGGTTGGTGGAAAATTCCGTCAGCAACTTGCCCAACTCCAATTTGATCGCTTTAACTCGTTCGAATTTGTCGTCAGGCAATGCTAACCCAGCACGTTCGAAATTTTCCACTTCCCGTTTAAGGAAACGCAAGTCGTCGGCGTCGGCATTGGGATCGGCTTCCAACTTAACAAGTAACTTTTTGAGAACACCGTACACGTCCCTGCGCATCAGCATTTCCACCCAAGTTTGACGAGATTCATTTTCAGCGTCCCTGGCAGCATCACGCAAAGCTTTGTCGGTTGACATGTCCTGATAGAAGGTAAGCACCAGTTCTCTACGAGTGAAAGAGTCGTCAAATTCTTTCCAGGGCTTGAGAACGTTTTCCACAGTGGGGTCTTCGATTTTTGCCACTTTATCATTGAGGTCCCTGGCCTCCTTTTCGAGGACCTTCATATCATCCTTGATCTGCTGGGGAGTGTGGGTCCAACTAGGGTAGATGATAGGGGATTCAGTGACAAGTTTCTTGTAATCAATTGACATGATGGTGATTATCACGCAAAGGGCAATGGCAATAGTTTTAAATGAAAACACCGTGGGGTAGATATTCGTGGCGCGCCCTGCCACCGCATGGCTTCAGTGCCTCACCGACACGAGGACTCATTCGACGTGAAGTTACAAAAGAGATTAAGCATTTGTGCTACGAGTGAAGCCACTATTAAGGCGCAGCGTTGATTTTTGTTCAAAACAGTAAATTAGTGCTTCGAAGGGAACGTGCAAACCTCAGGGCTCCAGAGAAATCTAAAATGACGTGAAATGGACAATTATTGAAAAACACTACTTAACATTGCAGTTAGTTGTGGATCAATCGATAGAACAATCATGATATTTCGAATGATTGTTTAAAGACGTCGCCACCAGATTTGGCTTTGGCTAATCTGCAGGATCACCCATAACAGACGTGGGGAACCATTTCTGGGGAAGGTCGCTGATCCCCGAGTGCGTGTATTTGGATCATCCGAACAGGGACACATAACCGCCGGTAACGAACCCAGACCCGGCTATTACTAAATGCCACCGAGGCGTCGAAGCGAGGCTTAGCAAAACATTCGAGACAACAATAGTACCGAAATTTATCAATTCGCTAAAGAAAATCGTGATCTATCGAAAGTCACACTACCTAGTCATTGCCACTTCGTCTCGCCTTCGATCACCACTGATATAGTACCCCTTTTCTCGCTATCGTCGGCCCGACGCGCCAAAAGCAACGATGACAGCTCTGCATCAGGCCGAAATACGCGTTACCATTCACCATTTACCATTTTAGAACAGTCTTCCGTTGTAGGCATCGACTTGTCGGTGTCTGCCTTACCCCTCTTTTACCACAGTGGGCGGGATTGGTTCACCGACACACGAGCCAGGAGGAATTGTAGCACCAGCAGCGTTTACATTAGACGGTCAAGGGAGTGAAACATTCCTCTTGCGGCGAGTACTGTGTGCCGGCCATATTTGTTATCTGCCCGGAGCATGGTCCACCTGCGCAAGTGACCGCACCTGTTAGTGCGAAGATTTCGTGCAACTCCACGAGGCCCCAAACATGCTCAAGTTCAAGAACCGATTTAAGTGGCTGGAAAAGGACGGCTCTCGCAAGACCATACTAGCTGAAAACGAGCTTGCCGAGTCACTCGAGAAGGTGCTGATCACGCCCACGCATCTGCTGCCCTCCACCTCGCAAACGGCGACTACGCCTCTGCTGCCTCGAAGTCATCTGCCAGCAACGTCTTTGCAAGCTTCAACTCCGCAAACACTGCCACGAAAGCTGAGAGATGAACCCGAGCTGTCGCTGCCGGGGTTGTTGACGGTGAAGGTATACACGCTGGAGCGGGTGAAGTTACCCATCACCATAAACAACAACAAACAAATTTTGGAGGCGTTGGCGGTCAATTCCAATAACGAGGCGGTGTCACTTAGCTTGCAAAACGCCATCCACGGCTTGGACGAGTCACTCGCTACTCTTGACGGCCAACTAGCGCCACTGGTTATGCCGTCGATTATCACCATCCCTAAGTCCACTGTTGACAAGTCGTTGTTGTACTTGACCATCGAATTTGACAATAACGTGCTCGTGATGGAGCCAAAGAAGGGTCTGGTGGCGTCGTCGTCTTGGAATCAGGTGGTTCTGTTTGATGTGACAAAGAAAGTTTCACCCACTCTGACAGGCCTGATCTTCCTCAATCTCAACTTGTTCATTCGTTTACCCAACATCTTGGTACCAGCCCACGAAAAGCTGGACCATGAACAACTATTTACCGGCGGCAACCCGACGACAAACTCGGTGGGCGATTTGTTGGTTGGTCTGATCAGATTACCGCTCAACCTCAAGTGCCACAAGCTGCCGATCAGACTCATGCATCATGAATTCCTCAATTTCACTCAACAAGGCGACAGCATCTCAATGGGTGACATCATGCTCACAATCGAGTTCCAACCTCATATCAAAACGCCTTTACTGATGAACGACTTCGAACTTCTCAAAGTTATCGGTAAGGGGTCATTTGGCAAGGTGATGCAAGTGGTGAAGAAGGATACCAAGCAAATTTATGCACTCAAAACCATTCGTAAGCAACATATTGTGGCGTCAATGGAAGTTGATCACACTATGGCTGAGCGGACGGTCTTAGCGCGAGTACTGAACCCGTTTATCGTGCCGCTTAAGTTCTCATTCCAACTGCCAGAGAAGTTGTATCTTGTCTTGTCATTTATCAATGGTGGTGAGCTCTACTTCCATTTGCAAAAAGAAGGACGTTTCCTGATGGATCGGCTGCGGTTCTACATTGCTGAGCTCCTTACCGCTTTGGAACTGTTGCATCAAATGAATGTTATTTATCGGGATCTCAAATTGGAAAACATCTTATTGGATTACCAAGGTCACATTGCCTTGTGTGATTTCGGATTGTGCAAACTCAACATGAAGGACAACGACAAAACCAACACATTCTGCGGTACCCCCGAGTACTTGGCTCCTGAGTTACTCCTCAATCAAGGCTACACTCGGAGTGTCGACTGGTGGACACTCGGTACGTTGCTTTACGAGATGTTGACGGGGTTGCCTCCATTCTATGATGAAAACATCAAAACCATGTATAACAAGATTTTGAACGACCCGCTCAAGTTCCCGCCCATGTTAGAGCGTACCGACGCCAAAGACTTGTTGACCAAGTTGTTGCAAAAAGACCCCAAATTGAGATTGTCAGACGCCGCTGACATCAAGGCTCACCCTTTCTTCAAGGACATCGACTGGCACAAATTGTTGTCCAAGTCATACTTGCCGCCATTCAAACCCAACGTTGAAAACCTTTTGGATACTTCCAACTTTGATCAAGACTTTACTCGTGAGAAACCTCAGGACTCGGTGGTTGAGGGTAACATGTTGACTCAAAGTGTCCAAGAGAAGTTTGGTGGTTGGACTTACAACGGAGAATCCGCATTTTGATTTGATTTCATAGCAAAATTACTTTATTGACGACTAGACAGAGATTAAAGAGTATGTACGAAGATGATAACCAGCATTTTTATGAAGTAAACTAAAAGCAGGCTTGAGCGGGCAGTCGTGTGACAATTAGTGATAGCGAAGGCAGGCGCGAAGATAGAATTGAAATCTTTGTAGGGATGTTACTTTGAAGTAGACATCGATTAGCTCGGAGCCTACATTTGACGATATTCATAGGCGGCCGATCCACACATCTCACCATCGCGGTGGAAATTTTTCGCGCTAGAACCAACGTCACGAGAGTTGTCAGCCATGATGGTGAAAAACATTCAACGGGTGGCGTTAAGATTCAAGTCGAAGAGTGCCACGATAAACCCTTCGACCCAGAAGGTGTTGAACCAACTCTCGGCAATTTCAGCTAACCGGAAGCAGCCCAAGGTATTGAACCTTTGTGCCGAAGATTTGGCCAAGCACAGAACTATCCAATCGGCATTCAAGCTTTACACTCAGAAGAAGGAGAAGAAGCAACTGGAGCAGCTCAGAAAACAGTACCAGTCGATTGTGAATGCCATGGAAGATCTCAAAACTACCCTGCCGAAGCTTTTCGCTTTGGCCAACACTCCCCAAACCAAGAAGAGATGGCCTCTCGAAATGAGAGTTCCTACCGATTTCCCCGCCAATAAGCCCTGGGTGTACGAATACGCTCCGTTCAAGAAGCAATAAACTGGCTTCGTCTTGTATATATTAATGATCCACGTAACTATTATGGAATGCACCGTAGCATGCATAGCTAATCTTCTGAAACCCTCAGTTTCCGCTTACGCCCAGGGGTGGCGGCAGTAGTTTCCTCTTCAGCAGCCTCTTTCGGCTTCACCACATCTTCATAGTCTTCGAAGTCGGCACTTCCGTTGACGACTCCCTGCTTCTTCATCAACTGTTTGATGTAGTTGGTAGAACTCATCGAGAAGATGTGATCATCATCGGTGTACTGAAGTCGTTTCTTATTAGTTGATCCACTGGCTTTGGAGAAGTTCTCGAATCCTTTAATGATGTTTCCGTAAACACTTTCGTTGAAGTAGTCATTTTCCTTTTCGTAAATCGAGTCCTCTAGTTCCTGAAGTTTCTTCTCGAGCTCCTGCTTCTTTAGAATGTCTTTCACTAGATCATCCTTAAGCTTGCCGTATTTGTCAGTGTCGTCGCTCGGCGTCGGTTTCACCTCTTGCTTCGGAGGCATGGTGCGGTGCGGCGCAGCGTTTGTGGAAGTCTAGCCACCTACTTACATTAAATCCTATACGAGTTTTTGCAGCGAAAATTGATTCCCCACCGTACACAAACAGTCTACCAGGCAAAGCAAGCAGTCTCGTCCGTATTGTCATATTCAATTGTCTCTTACGAGAGTGGAGAATGAGCAAATTAGATGGCAATAAGTAGAAATGCCTCGAAACTACGTCATCATCGATCTATCCACTACGAATCATATAAATTTAGGCCATATCGTGCCATTCTACATAACCTACGCGATTTCCAATTCATTTCCACTTTGTTCAACTGGTGTCACATACACTTAGACTCTAAGCTTATCTACACGTGACCGCGGCCTTCACGCAAACCCCGGTATCCCGTCCTCATTACGTATATTACCCCAGTACATCCCCTGTGTCCCCCGCAATGTTATGTCGAAGCTGTTGGCGAGCGCCTAGCACGGTGTTCACTCCGTTGATGCGGAACTACGCTATGCTGGCGATCCCTGACGACGATCACCACCAGCGGATGGATCTCCACCCTTGGCCCAAAGGAGCCCAACCCACCCCAATGGAGATCTTTGCCATCACGACTACAGATCTCAACCTCCCTCAACTTGACTTGAATAAGCAAATCAAAGCAATGTACGCCAAGTACGTCAAGTTGTACCACCCGGATGTGTCTAAGAACTTGGTGCTTAAAGACCACCGCGGGCGAGAGTTGTCTCCTGAAGACAAACGCGTACGGTTTGACCAGATCCAGGAAGCTTATGACATTTTGAAAAATCCTCGGCGCCGAGTGGCATACCACCGTTCACAAACGACCAAATGGGATAAAGATATTCGCTTCGGTAACGGCTATTCCGGCACGGGGGCACATTTCACCTACGACCAACGGAACACATTTCATGCATTCAGAACCGCTAACGCACACCGGGCTCATTATGCATTTCACAGGGACGAAGCTTTCTGGACGGCGGGGACTTGGGACGATTACTATCGGATGAAACACGGCCGCGAACCGCCCACGATGGAGGAAATCAACCGGAACAAATATAAAATTCTTGCTGGGGTGGTAATCGTGGCGGTGGCAGTCTTTGTCCTTGAATTCTCTATCGCATGGGATCGTACCAATGAAAGCATACGACAACGCAACCTCCAAAGTTTGAAGGCAAACCGCGATTTGCAGCAAAGTTATGACAATTACGGTTACGGGGATACCCAGTTACAGCGGCTTGAGCGGTTTTTGGTTTCGAGAAGATCTCTGTTGGTCAATGGGGATAAGCCAGTTAACGAGGATGAGCTCAGGACAAACGATCACGATATTTTGACAAAATACGCCCAGACTCAAGTCAAAAAATGGGACAATGAGCTTGAACTGCTGCATATCCGCGGCGAAGATCCCGTTGACACCGCACCTACCAACTGATAACGTTGTCGGAGGTATCGCACGATTACTTAAGGTGAAAGAAAAAGTTAGCGGGGAATATCACAATGACATGTGTCAAAGGGTAACTTCCCAACAATAAAGGCCGCATCTAATTTAGCAACATAATCACACACACAACCCTTTATCACTTATTCACCCACGTGGTGAGCCTCACTATCCGTCTCCACGTGAGCGCCACCTCCCGTCCCCGCCTAAGAATAGCTTAAAAATCTGCCACACTATTAGAGATTAAGTTGACGGGCATTCCGATGACATGCATGTCTGTAATCAATCTTCGTATCACGTCTGTCAAACGTTGTGGCCACAATTACTGAAAGCGGAAGTTGGAGCGCTACGAGATTTTCGGTCAAGTCAATTACGAATCCACTAAAGGCCCCTATCCCGTTGTAACGTAAGGCCAAGCTTCGCTTATGGCGGGGCCGCCTAACCCCGGTTTCGGTGGGGCCGTCAGCGGCACCGGCCCCCGCGGTGCGAAGCCCCTCTCTTTTTTCATCGCCCAGCCGTTCATGATCCCGCTGTTGGTTCGCCGCTACGCCATGGATTTTATGAAGAAAGATACCGTCCTCAACCTTGCAAATATTCGTAACGCTCTTGTGCGCATGGAGGACACAATTGTGTTTGCGTTGATCGAGCGGTCGCAGTTCTTTTCGCTGCCGCTGGTGTACCAACGGAACAAGTTCAACATCCCCGACTTCGACGGCACCTTCTTGGAATGGACATTATTGCAACAAGAAAAAGCTCACTCACAGATTCGTCGTTTCGAAGCTCCCGACGAAACCCCTTTCTTCCCCGACCAGATTTTACCCCCGATCTTGCCTCCGATTAACTATCCCAAGGTGTTAGCGAATTACTCGGACGAGGTCAACGCCAACAACGAAATTATGGACTTTTACATCAACGATATCGTCCCCCAAATTGCCGCCGCTGAAGGTGAACAGCCAGAAAACCTAGGGTCGGTGGCTTGTTGTGACATCGAATGTCTCCAGGCGATTTCGCGGCGGATCCATTTCGGCAAAATGGTGGCTGAAGCCAAATTTCAAGGCGACCGCGAGTTATACACTAAACTAATCAAGGCTCAGGACGCTAAGGGGATTGAGGAGTCGATCACCAACCTGGCAGTGGAGGCGAAGATTCTTGAGCGGTTGATCGAAAAGGGTAAGTCTTACGGGACGGACCCTTCCCTCAAATACTCGCAAAACCCCCAACTGAAGGTTGATCCCGAGGTGATCGCTAAGCTTTACAAGGACTGGATCATTCCGTTGACGAAAAAGGTTGAGGTGGATTATTTATTGCGCCGGTTAGAAGACGCGGACTAGACGCTCCACTGTGATTTCATATACACATTATTAGAATTTCATACGCGTCCCCTTAGGCACGCCTCCGTCACTGTTCCGCTTTTGCCTATCGTGCTGTGTATTTTCTATTGTTGGGAAACGTGTGGTAGCACGTTGACCCCCACGTTTTCGCAGTCCCGCGATCTTGGGGCCACGGGGGCCCTTGCCGAGACGGGCAAAATCCACGCTATTAAAAGAAACGCTGTAGCTCCCAATGTTGTGGGAAAGAGGTAGATACTCTATGGTGGACATCGACTTATTGCCCGAGTTCACTTCGCTCCAATTGGTGACGTTCGCCCTGGTGGTGTGCGCCCTGGTGTACGCTTACTCCAAGCTCAACGACACCCTCCGCTCGGTGCCGGTGTTTTGCTGGGCATGCTTCGTCAAGCCGTTTTTTGAACTGTTTACCCACAAGCCCATTGCCACTGGTGGCTCCAACCAGCAAGCGTTGGAAGTGTTTTACCTGGGCCAAGCCCACATCTACGACCAGACCCGCCGCGTGTTATTGCAAGGTAGAGAAGAATGCCTTCAATTGGCGTTGGCCCACGTGCCGAAGAAGCGGGACCTTGTCTGGATCGACATTGGTGGCGGCACCGGCGCCAATATCGAGCTGATGGACAAGTACGCCAAGATCGCCACTTACTTCAAGTCGGTGTACCTTGTCGATCTTAGTCCGTCGTTGTGCAAGGTGGCTCGCGAGCGGTTTGCTCAGAAGGGATGGACGAACGTCCACGTCATTGAGGCTGATGCCTGTGGTTTCACCATCGATGAAGCTGCTGCAGACTTGATCACCTTCCTGTACTCGTTGTCGATGATCCCTACCTTCAACCTGACGATCGATTACGCGGTGCTGTTATTGGACCCGCTGGGGATCGTGGCCCTGGTTGACTTTGGTATTCAAAGTGGTGACACCTCGATGGGGCGGACCGACACTTTGGGTGGGCTGGTTAACCGTCACTACCCGTGGATTCTCCGTAACTTCTGGCGCATCTGGTTCGAGGCCGACCGGGTGTTTTTGGACCTGGCCCGCCGTAACTACTTGGAGTACAAGTTCGGGACGGTGAAGTCGCTCAATTGCTACAACAACACTCTTGGCAAGATTCCCTACTACATTTGGGTGGGTTGTCTCAAGCACAAGCTGGACCAGTTGTTGCACCGCATCAACTGCCTTGCCACTGAGCTGCCGTACTTGGCACCCCATGACAGTCCTGTTCTTGACACCAGCGACGTTCCCGTGAGCAAGGGCCATGCCGCTGCTCTCGACAACCTCAAGAAGTTGTTACCTTACCCGCTGATGTACTACCAAAAGGAAGCATGGAGAGTGTACTACGATGAAACCAATCCCTTGGCCAACCAATTCAAAGACACTTACATTTACGCCTTCACCTGGGAAGACCCCAGAGAAGACGACAACATTCTTCATTTCTCCAGCAACGACACCGTGTTGGCGATCACGCTGGCCGGTGACAACATTTTGCACTACGCTCTGTTGCCCAATCCGCCCAAACGGATCCACGCCGTCGACTTGAACCCTGCCCAAAACCACTTGCTTGAACTTAAGCTTGCCTGCTTGCGGACTTTGCCCCACGAACAAGTGTTTGCCATGTTTGGTGACGGTAAGATCCCCAACTTCAAGCTGCTTTTGCTCAACAAGTTGGCCCCGCACTTGTCGTCGCAAGCGTTCCAATTCTGGTGGCACAAGCTGTGGACTTTCGACCCTAAGGGTCGGGGTCTCTACGACACTGGTTTTTCCAAGTGGGGGATCCGCATCGGCCGCTGGATCTTCAGTTTGTTCGGAGTCACCGATAAGGTGAAGGAGATCTGTGAAGCGACGACGATGAAGCAGCAGTTGGACATCTGGAACAACTATTTGAAGCGGCTGTTGTTCAACCCGTTCGTGGCGCGGATGCTCGTGGGCAACCCCATCTTTTTGTGGCGGGCGTTAGGTGTCCCCACCAACCAAGCCAAGATGATGGGTAAGTCGGTGCTCAAATACGTTGTCGACACCTTGGACCCTGTGCTTGAGCGGTCGCTTATCTCTAAGGATAACTACTTCTACTATGTTTGCTTGATGGGTAAGTTTGCTTACGACAACTGCCCTCAATACCTTTCGCTCAAAGGCTACAAGCGGTTGAGCGCCGCTGGCCCCGAGTCGCCGTTGCTGAATGTCCGCATCCACACCGACACCCTCAACGAGGTGTTTGCTCGTTTGAGCGACAAGACGATCTCGATTGCCATCATCATGGACCACATGGACTGGTTCAACCCTCAGGGCACCGAGGCCTACAATGAAATTGCCGCCCTTAAAAAGTGCTTAGCTCCCAACGGACGGGTGATGCTTCGGTCGGCGTCGACCAAGCCGTGGTACCTTGAGACTTTCGCCGAGTTGGGCTTCGACTGCAAGCCCGCCGCCATCAGAAAGCTGGGCCACCTGATCGACCGCATCAACATGTACGCCTCCACCTGGGTGTGCACCAAGATCGACGACACCGTCGATGCTGAAGTTAACATCCCCAGCCGCCGGAGAATGCTGAGCTTGCAACTTGACAATTTAAAATGATGAACATAGGCGTTTATACATTTCCCCCACCCGCCGCCAGCAGGTGACAAATAATTTGGGGAAGGAATCAAATATACAAGACCAATAATGGCATCGACTATTTTTAAATCTACTTAGTGAGCTTCATCCCCTTGGCTGCGAGCGCATCCACCAACTGCTTGTTGACCACGTCCACCGGCTGGTTGCAGTCAACCTTCACCACCTTGTGCTGGTCCTCGAAGTAGTCGACGACGGGCATCAGGGTGTCGACAAACGTGCGGAACCGCTTCTTGATCGACTCAATGTTGTCATCCGACCGCCCCAGAGTCTCCCCGCGCTTCAACAACCGCTTCAACATCACCAGCTCGGGACAGTCGAAGAAAATGGTAAGCTTGGACGGGACGATCTCGTGTTCGAACGTCAACGCCTGGTCCATCTTCCGCGGGAACCCGTCGACCAAGAACTTGTGATTGTCTTGCTTCAAGTTTTCCCCGATCGCCTGGTTCAACAACGCGATCGTGATCTCCTGAGGCACGATCTCGCCGTTCTTGATGTAGTTGGCAATGAGCTCGCCGTACTTCAGCCCCGGACGCTTCTGCTCCGCCCGCAACAAGTCGCCGGCACTCAAGTGGATAAAGCCGTACTGTTTCACCAACAAGTCGCACTGGGTGCCTTTACCGGACCCCGGCCCGCCAAGGACGAAGATCACCGACACCTGGTCGGGCGAGTACTCGGGCTGCTTTTCCGGCTCCACCGCCGCTTGGGGAGGTCTCTTCTGGTAGACAGAGGCGGCAATGGTCGACCCCACCGCCAAGAACCCGATGGCGGCGAGGATCTTGCCGCGGCTCATCTTGGGCCCGGAGAAACCCCCCTGGTGGTTGTGGCCGTTGGCGCCTCCCTGAGAACCCGACGACCCCGACGACCCCTGCGGCCGCGGGGTGGGCTTGATCGAGTTGAAGCGGACGTGTCTGGCCACGGCGGGGCGGGCGACTCTGGCGACTCGGGTGAACATCAAGTGGTGATTTGGAACGTTTTTCGCGCTACCGTTTTGCTGATGTCACCGCAAGGCTAAACGTGGGAATTGCGTCGCGGTGACGGGGCCATGGCTGCGTAACCAACTTACTTTAAACTTATTTATTCAAGGTGATGATCTACTTTTGGTAGGCTTTCAACGCGTCGTCGTTGAATCTTAAGTACTGGCCGTTGAGCAGCTTGTCCCACCCGTTGAGCGCCAACTTGGCGTACACGGTACCGGGGACATCGGGCTCGAGCAACTGGTTGTTGGCGTGCAAGTCGTGGAACTTTTGCGCGTCGTCACCCATGCCGTCGGCACACTTGGTGCGGATGTCCGATTGCATGTCGGTCTTAACCACCCCGGGGGCAATCAGGATCGCGGTGACGTCGGGCTCTTCCTCGGCGATCGACATGATCAAGTGGTTGACGGCAGCCTTGCCGCACCCGTAGGCGTACCACCCGGTGTAGTGGTGGGTGGACGCTCCCAGCAGCACCGCCACAATGCGGCCGTGCAGCTTGCGGAGCTCGGGCATCGCCGTGGCAATGAGGTCGACCAACGAGAACACGTTGACATCGAAGTGCTGGCGCCACTTGGCCACCAGGACGGCGTCGATCGCGCCCACGGGCTCAATGACACCGGCGTTCAACACCACGGCGTCAAGCTTGCCGTATTGAGACACCGCCGTCTCCACCGCCTTCACCAGCACCTGGTGGTCGGTGACATCGCCGGCAACCACGGCGACGCGGCCAGGGTAGGCGTTGGATAAGTCGGCGAGCTTGTCCTGAGAACGAGCCACCGCCACCACTTTGGCATTAACATCAGCGAGAATGACGTCGGCAATGGCCCGGCCAATGCCTCTCAGCGCACCAGTAACAATAACCACGGACATGATTTATGGCGATGGGGTGCGGATATTGGCCGCTTTTATGCTCCCGGCTAGGACAGCCTGCATTGCGCAGGCTACGATCACGGGCCCTTGACAGGCTAAACCCCGAGTGCAATGTTTGACGTCAATTGTAGTTAAGGGTTTATTGGTTAACAACGTCAATGCTGTGGGGAACGCAATCCCCCCCACTCACCCCCGCCGGGTTAACCCCGAACTCCACTTAAATAAAGTTGAGGCCAACATGGGGATAGTGGCAAAATTCAGTATAGTATTGCTTAGTAACTAACAAATTTATCCCACTTTTCACCACTGTTGGTAATCCATTACATAAGCCGTCGCTGGCCTCATTGACGGTCGCACTCGCGTTTGCCACTACTACGATCGCCACTCGCCCTCACCTTACACCCTCATGGAACGTTTACAGCGCTTGCTTGGAAGCGGAGCCGGCCTCGGTGGAGCCGCCCCTCCTCAAAACGACGGTCCCGTCGTTGACAATGCGGAAACCGTGTACATCTCCTCGTTGGCTCTCCTCAAAATGCTTAAGCACGCCCGCGCCGGGGTGCCCATGGAAGTGATGGGGTTGATGTTGGGCGAGTTTGTCGACGAATTCACCATCCACGTCATCGACGTGTTTGCCATGCCTCAGTCCGGGACCGGGGTGTCGGTCGAAGCCGTCGACGACGTCTTCCAAACGAAAATGATGGACATGTTGAGACAGACTGGCCGTGACCAAATGGTGGTGGGGTGGTACCACTCCCACCCTGGGTTCGGGTGCTGGTTGTCGCTGGTAGATGTGTCCACGCAACAGCTGTTCGAGCAATTGAACAAGCGGGCAGTGGCGGTGGTGGTGGACCCGATCCAGTCGGTGAAGGGTAAGGTCGTCATCGACGCCTTCCGCACTATCGACGGCACCACGCTCATGATGGGCCAAGAACCTCGCCAGTCTACTTCTAACATTGGTTACCTCAATAAGCCCCTGATTCAAGCGTTGATCCATGGGCTCAACCGCCACTACTACTCGCTCAACATCGACTACCACAAGACTCTGTACGAAACCAATATGTTGCTCAACTTGCACAAAAATACCTGGCAGCTGGCGTTACAACTTGAAAAGTACGACCGTCACGAACACGACAACTTGGCCGCAGCCCAGCTGATGGTGAAGATCGCTGAACAATACAACCAGCGAGTGCAAGAAGAGAAGGAATTGACTGAAGACCAACTTAAGACCCGCTACGTCGGGAAGCAGGATCCCAAAAAGCATTTGGGTGACACTGCCGACAAGTTGATCGAGAGCAACATCACCACGTTGTTGACGTCGAATTTGAACGCCAAGGCCATCCAGTAATGATTAACGAGAGTGCGGTTTTAATACATATATACGTATCGTTTCATAGATAACATAGTTTTATCTTGCCGTTTATTAATTTAAAGTCGTAAAATGCACCCACATTAATATAGTATATACAAGTTTTACATCGTCCCCAGTCTATTTAAAAGTCGTCCCATTTGCGGGACAGCCTCGGCGAGCGGTTCTGGAACTTGTCCAGCCTCTTGGAGTAGCTGCCACGGGCGTGGTAGTTGTCAAACGTCTTGCGCTTTTGGTATTTCAGGTTGTTGTCTCTGCGAATGCCGAATCCGCGTCCATTGAGACTGAAAAATTGGTTGGCGATGTCACCACGAATTTGCACCGTTTGCTGGTAAGTCCGGTCAGAAATGTTGAACCGAGCCTCGGGGTTGTTGACAATCTTACGGTACAAGCCAACGATTTCCGGCATAAGTCTTTCGGCGTTCATCTTGAAGCTCAGAATCGATTGACGTTCCGCAGACAACGCCGAGTTGATAAAGTTGTCAACCGTCTCAGCCTCAGGGATAGCGATGTTTTCCCAAAGGTCAGAGATAGTTTCAATCTCCTCACCTTTAAGCTCTTCCTTAAAGGAAATCCCCCGTTCTCTTTGCAACGCCAACACGTACCGACGTTCATTTTGCGACAAGAACAACCAAGCACGACCCAGGGTGCCTGCCCGGGCAGTACGACCAATCTTGTGGACGTAGTCGGCGACTTGATTCGAAGGCGAAACCATGTAGACGTCAGAGATCCCAGTAAAGTCCATCCCCCGAGCGGCCACGTCAGTGGCGATAAGCAACCCGTGCTTGGCTGCCTTGAATTTTTTCACTACTCGGTCACGCTTAGCCTGATTCAAAGCACTCAGCAACAGCACAATCTGCGACCGGTAGGTGCGGTGCACCAAGTCAGTGTCGTAGAGGCGATGCATTTGCGCCAGTTCAAACATTTGTTCGAGCATCAGCACCGCCGCCTTGGTAGGAACAAAAAGAATCGCCTTGAAGTCGGGTCTTTCGAGCCCCCTGATAATTTGCGAGAGCGCCTTTTCGTACAGTTGGGCGATATCTTCTGAGAGCACCAACGTTTGGTGGATGTTTTCATGAGCTTCGGTGTCGTCTTCAGCAACACAGTTGATATAAGTGTAGCCGGGACCAATAGCCTTGGTGGCGAAACGGTCGACGCGAGTATCGATGGTGGCCGAAAACAACATCAGCTTGTAGTCCGTGGTGGGGATCTTCGACTCGATATCCAAAAGCTCATCCTCAAACCCCTGTTCCAACAACCGGTCAGCTTCGTCGTAAACTCGGTATTGTAAGTTCTTGAAAGCCTCAGCCACCGGCAGCTTAGATAACATGTCGGCCAACCGCCCAGGGGTGGCAATGACAATCAGAGGCGGTCTTTGAGGGTTGAAGTATGTGGGTTTACCCCCGGTCATCATAGTGGTGGTAACCCCCGCCAGTCTCGGCAACTTCGACACCACTTTCTGGTATTCTTCTTCGATCTGCATCGCCAAATCACGCGTGGGGGCGATCACCAACGTCGACACGCCTCGACGGTTCTTATTGAGCAAAAGCTCATTGACAGTAGGAAGCACGAATGCAAGCGTCTTCCCCGTCCCCGTCTTTGCTCGCGCCACGACCCCCGAGTTCTCCAACGCCGGCACCACCGTCTTCTCTTGTACGGGGGTCAACTCAGTGAACCCCGCCTTGGTGACGGCCTTGATCAACCGAGGATCAAGTTGAAGATCTGCCACCTTGGTGAACCGAGCCACCAGAGTGGAAAAACTTCGAAAGAAAGACATGAGTTGCAGCCGCGATGAGTTGGAATTTTCGTGGGTGGGGCAGCGGTGATAACGCGCGCCATCAACTGAGGCTGTCGGAAATTACTGTCGGCAGCGAAAAACTTCCGATATTTTGGTTAGGATCCCGGGGACGATCACTGCCTTCCAGAACGAGGAGGCACCCTCACGGCCACCGTCTTTCCACTTGCTCCGCGCAGTCTTCGAAGCCGCCACCACGATTAAATGAACGGTGCCAGCCTGGGATTCTTTCTGAGAATCCGTGACAATTATTCATCGCGGTTCCAGTCCCTTTCCATCAACACCCAACAGGAAAAGGACGGCGACACCGAGGATGATACCTTGATCCACCAGGCGTTCGTGAAATATTTCGATGAGCGGCAAATGCCCTACCCTGAATGGTTGGGAGTCAAGGAAGGCGGTAATGCTGCTACCAAGGACCCTTACGTCTACTCTGAGTACCAGCCGGTGCGTCAAACCTACTCGCTGAATGGCCAAGGGAACTTTGCTCCTCGTCAACTGTGGACTCGTGACAACAGTAATACTGCGGCCGGCCGCAACGGATTCCAACCTACTGGCTACGGCCACAATGCTGCTGGTAGAACTGCTGGAGGTACTGCTGGAGGTGCCACAGGTGGCGCCACTGCCAGTCCCTATGGCGAGGCTGACTCAACGCCGTCTCCGGAAAGACCAGGCTACTCTCGTGGTGCCCTGAGACTTGACAATTTGTACAATAAGCTGAGAATGCAACTGGTACCGGGCCAGGGTTATAACATGGGCCACAACCAGAGACCTACCACCCACTCAGCAACTGGTCTGCGGTTGCGTGAGCGCATGCTTAATGCTAATCGTTCTCCTCGTAGCTCGAGTTGAATGCAAACTTGAAATTTAATATTATACGTCATAATTCATACTTTAACTTGGTATATGTCTAAGATTGTTGTATGATTGATACGCTCTCATCTGATGCTGTGTCAAACTTGTCTAACATCGACAGTAACCTTGAGGCTTTTGTGCATCTGGTGTGTAACCATTTCGTTCTTGCTCTATTGTGTAGCAAATGCATTTTGTTCCCAGAAATTTCGACCTCTAATAAACCATTCCGGAAGCTTATACTCCGGTGGTAGTTTGAGTCGAATTACTTGAACATTCTGATACTGCAGCCTGCAATTATTCTTGTAGTAACTGAAATCGGTGTTGAATGAAAAGCCCCGCACAAGACGGGGAACCAGTCCTGAAAACAGAGGTCGAAGTCGTTGGACTGACGAGCGCCTCCGCTCATAGAAAGACCCACGACTGACTGGCAGAGATTCCGGTGTGCGAACACCGCCATTACCACTATTCTTCTCATGCTTCCTCTGCTCAACCATCTTCAAGAGGTTTGCTGGAATTTGTGGCAGTGCTGACAACTTATCATCGTCAATATCGTCATCATCATAACTAAGCAGTGGCAGCAGAAAGTCTTCCTCTTCTTCTTCCCAAACACTTTCATGGTGAAGTTCAAGTCCTCCTCCAGGAATTAACGCTCGCAATTCTCCCAGCATAGCATCTTGATCAACGCTGCCTCGTTTTTCCGATTCATAAGCTACAAGTTCAACCTGAACAAGCTCTAAGAATGTCGCTGCGTAGTACAGAGACTTGCCACCCAGATATATGCGGTACTCGTTAAGTACCAGATTAAAGTCCCATTTCTGAATCTTGCGGAGAATCCCCACTAATGTCAGTGTCAGATCCACAAGCAACATATTGTGGCGATCCTTATTAAATAGTATTTCGAATGCCTTAACGATTAAATTCTTTTCAAGTAACATCCACTGGTCATTTCGGGATTTCTGGGAGGATGGAAGCTGTATTTGTGGAACATCAGCCTTGTTAGGACTCTTTCCAGCGTGGTTATGATTCAGAATCTTCATTTCCCCCAAGGTAAATAGCTCGACATCGTTGGATTCTAAGAAATTGATCACTGTACGTGGTGGCTTTTCCGCGTCCAATAGCACTAACAGCTTGAGGCTGAGTGTTTCAAGAAACGGGAAATTATCACCATCAATCTTGGTACATCGATATATTCCCGGCTCCACAAGACCGAAGTTATCTGGGGGCACAAGCATGGGGGGTTTGGTATTGTGGCGGCTAAAGGATCGATGTGGATGCGGTGCGCACTGATAGTACCAGGATTTACATGAACGGTACCTGCCCGAGTCAAAGTGACACAAAAACTTAAAACGAAATATATATCATCGTGAATGTATGTTAACGTATTTACTGGTTGGTGGGGATCCCATCGTACTCACCGTAACCCAAAGCAAGGTTGATGTTTTGCAAACATTGAGTGGCGGCCCCCTTAAGCAAGTTGTCGATGGTGGCATTGATCACCACCCGGTCTTCCTTCGAGTTCACGGCGAAACCACCAATGACGATACCGTGCTTGCCCGAGATGTCGCGCACCAAAGGAATGTCGCCGGTGACGTTGATGAGCTGCTCGCCCTGGTAGCGTTCTTGGTAGATGTTACGGATATCACGCGAGGTCAACGACCCCTTCTTGATGGGGATCAGCACCGTGTGCGAAATCCCTTGGAACCATTGAGCCACGTGAGGCATGAAAGCGACGTCAAAGCCCAACTTGTTGGAGATTTCTCTTTCGTGGATGTGGTCGGTCAACGAGTAAGGAATCAAGTTGTTCGACAAGAAGGCCACATCGTTCTTAGGGGAAGGCTTGGTGCCAGCACCGGAGTAACCCGACACACCGAACGTGGTGGGCAAACCGGCAATGTATTTCGAAAGAGGGGCAATGGCAACTTGGGCAGCAGTAGCGTAGCACCCAGGGTTGGAGATCCGCGAGGCTGCGGCAATTTGTTGACGGTCTTGAAGTTCAGGCAACCCGTAAGTCCAGTTGCCGGTGGTGTCAAACCGGTAATCAGCCAGCAAATCAACAATCTTGGACTTACCCTTGCCAACCAGGTCAATAGCATCGACGAATGGCTTGCACACACCGTTGGGCAAAGCCATCACCCACATGTCGACGTCGCCATCTTCTTCCAATTGCTTGATGTCGTCAACCTGCAAGTTGGAGTAGACAATTTGAGCCTTGTTGTAGTCTTGCAACTTTTGGCCAGCCAACTCCCGCAGCGACACGTGAGAGATCTCAAGCTTAGGGTGATTGTCGATGAGCTTGATCAAGTTTTGACCGGTATACCCACGGGCACCAATAAGGGCAACTTTAGCCTTGGCTTCGTTCTTGCTTTGAGTGATGGGGGGGTTGGGGTTAGCCAGTCTGACACGGGCCAGATTGTGGAACCCTCTAGCTTGTTGCGAGGCAGAGAACACCCCCAGTTCTTTCGACGACGAAAGCGCCAGACCAATATGCAGAGCGTCAAACTCCTTAATCAAGTTCAGCAGCTCTTCGGGCGAGAGACCGTACCAGAACAAAATTTGGCCGTTCTTGGCAAACGAACCTTCCAGCTTGCTGAAGTACCAAGCCAAGTTGGCATCGTTTTCCAGCACAATCCAGCACAACTTGTTGTAGTCCTTCTTGATCAGGTTGAAGATGTTGTCGGTGACATTGTTGAGCCACCCCGACTTCAGCAGCAAGAACTTGTCGAGCTTGGGCACACCCTTGCCTTCAACGACAATGGCCAAAACTTCGAGAGGTTCGTCACCGTACAGCTTGAAAGGAGTCAGTTCCAAGAACTTAAGGTACAGAGCCACCGAAAGCTTCCCCAGCTTGATTTCGGGGTCACGCAAAAGCGCAGTTCTCAACAAGTCAGGGTTGCCGAAGTCAGCGAGCGATTGGCGGTTGATCAACTTGTACCCACGACGGATCAAGGTACCGGCCCCCGAATCGGTGAACAATTCCTTTTGGAGATCGTCGACGTTGATGATGGCCACCGACAGCGACCGCGGCAAATGTTGCAACAAGTCGTGTATTTCCTTGATCTTCAACTTGGTACCGTACTTCACCCACGGTTCCTTCATAAGATCGTCGTATTCTTCGTCCAAGTTGATCAGCGATACCTTTTCTCCAGTCAGACCGTTGATGATACCACCCTTTTCGTTGAGGTAGACGATCTTAAGCGGTTCAAATTCACGAGCCAATTCACCGGCAGCAACGTCAGCGTTGACGTTAAGCAATTGCCCCAGAGGAGTTTCGGCCAATGAGGTCAAAATGGGCAAGTACCCGGCGTCAATCGCCGCCTCCACCGGCAGCTTGTTCACCGCAGTAATCTTACCCACCAACTGGTACTTGTCCTTGTCCAAGTAGTCGGCACCAAATACGCCAGCGGTGATGGGACGAGCGTGGACCCCCATCTTTTCGAGAGCAGTGACGAGACGCAAGTTTTGCTCCAAGAAGCACTTACGCACCACCGCCATAGTTTCAGGGTTGGTCACCCGAATCCCGTCAATGTATTCGGGCTCGACACCTTCGTTTTCCAACAACTCGTTGATTTGGGGACCGGTCCCGTGGAGGACAATCGGGTACAAGCCAACGTGGTAAAGGAAGGCGAGACACAGGGCAAGCTCGGGCAACTGGTCGGTGATAATGGCACCACCAACCTTGATCACGGCAAACTGCTGTTGCAGGACCGAGGTGAAGTACTTGAGGTACTGTTCGACCTCGCGCTTCAGCCCAATGTTATTGAGGAGCTGGACCACGGTGGAACGGGTCAGGTAAGCGGCGATAGCGTTGCGGGTGGCAGGCTGAGCTACGACAGCCGCCAGCGCCACCTGAGGGAGAGCGGCCTTCGGGAGCCGTCTCAACGCCCGAGTCGACCGGGACACTTGTCTAATCATGGTGATAGCGATGGAGAAAAATTGATTTTACCAATCGGGCAACACTTTTTTGGCTAAGCGCGATGTTGAGTGGTCACGTGACGCCAAAGGTAGAAAGTTGACTCATCACCCACAGATGTACCCGCACCAAAGCGGAGAGGGTGCCGGAGGAAATAAGTGATAGAGGTGCTGCCATGACATCAGCATTGACAAATTTAATAATTTCACCCTTAGTCAGGGTATGGGGAGTTATTGGAGGTGCGCAACTGCCAATACTGGGTGAAATACAATCCTATGATGGATTATTGGTGGTCGGTGCTTCTGAAATGACGACAAGGCTAAGTTTTTCGCGGTACTGGATGGCAATCTTTAAAGTCTTCGCTTGTCACTACTGTTTTGTATTCTTCATAAGATAAAGGTGTAGCCGTAGGGAAGAGAATAGCAAGTGCGGCGCTACGATCGCGGGGCCAAGAAATTGCCTCGTTCACTCTTTAGTTTCGTCATCTTAACTGAGGAGAGAAAATTTTGCCGTTCAGCTACACCAGAGCAGCTCAACACTGTTTCAATTTCGATTAGTTTAAACCATCGTTGCTTTCTTTTCTTGTGTTAAGGTTGCATAAACTTCCGGGGGACCGGTGTGTGTAACGTTGTGCCAAGACTGCAAAATAATTCGCGTACCGCCCAAAGGCGGCTTTCGTAAAACAAAAATATTCGAAAATGACCTGAAATGAGTTCAGTTCAGTGGCGTCCCTCCGATAAAATCTGACGCCGTACGATCGACTCATGCAAAATTCACTTGTATTTTCGTTCATCAACGATGACGACATGGGTCTGTGCGTAAGGCTGACACACCTCTACATTAGTTTGAGACACACACCATCCCCTGGTCGCAATATATCCAGTTCAACAAGGGTGTATAAACCGCAATGATCTTCTGTGTCAACTTCGTCAAGCTGTCGACAGCTTTGACCAAATTGGAGGTCCCCGCAGGGAAGTTCGCCGCGGTTATCCGATTGCACAACACTTTGCGTTGTAGTTCAAGGGTGATTTTTGCCTCAGCACGAGAAGAAATAATCCCTAGGCGCAGTAGAAGTAGTCGACTGCTAGCCACACAATCATCAGCAATGATCTTCAGAATCCGCCTTAAGTCATGTAAGTAGGTCAGATTGATTTCGTTCGGCTTTACCTCACCCATGATCACGGTGTGTCGAATGAACAGAGTTATCCAAATTTCCATTCCGTCCAGCGGTAATGTCTGTGACAACTGTGGGTCGCTCCAACACGTCATATTATCAAGATGAACCCCGGTTGGTGGGGGGAGTTGTCGGTAGAGGTCAGGGAATAACAAATGGGGGCTGTTTGTGTACAAAGATGCTCTGACCTGCCACCATCTTCGAGTGCTGACAAGCACGGCTAAGTTTTCGTACAATCTCCATGCATAGTGGTTGGGGAAAGAGCACTTCTTCAACCATTCATTAGCCACACAAACCCACATTTCCAGCCAAGAGCCAACTCCCCACATTTTAAGCAGAAAAGGTAACGGCTCCATAAGATGACCCCATATATGATTGAATTGTTCGATGGAAGTTTTTAGCTCGTCAATATTAACGATTGTTGGGAGTGGCTGGTTCAAAGTAACCATAAGATTAGTGAGCGAGGGATGGTTTTCATGGATTGTTATTTGGCCCAGCCTTAACTTCGGTTTAGCATCATAGTATACCCACCAAAACCGTCTCCACAAATCCGGCCCCAACATTGGAGGCACCTCAAATCTATGAGAATGATATCGCATCAGTGATGAGGTACCCATCACTGCCAGAGCTAGCTGGGGACCACGAAGATCGACCTGTTCGATATTATGACATACATCATCGAGAATTTCCATTTGCAGTGGTGAAAGCTGACAGGACTTGGCGCTGCTGATGAATTGACGTTCGTGATCCCAAGTATGACAGGCTACTTCAGCTGCAGCTGAAGATATTTGGCATGCTTTATTGATGATTTGGCGAAGCTGAGAGAGGTGCACCTGCTTGAATATTGGAAATATATTCGCGAATTGGGACCACAACTCCTTGACGGGATCCAAGTGACCTCTCTCGATGTGACTGATTATCGCTTGGCACAACTTGAAGCATTGAAGCCACAAATAGTTAGCCACGCGGTTTTGGCTCACGTTTTCGGTATTGGCATTGGTTCCCGGATGACTTTGTCGTTCTAAGCTTTCTTTGACGTCGACTCCCACGACAAACACATAGAGAAAGTAGCTTGTTGGCGCAAGATTGGCATCGCAAGCAATCCTCACCAAATGGCTGCGGTATCGGCTCAATAATGGAAGCACCAGAGTCACCCTAGATGTTGAGTGAACCTGGTCAAAGAAACCAGTTTCACGAAGATAACGAATGTCGTCGTGAACCTGAGATGTGCACAGTTTGGCGTCTATCTCAGGCAATTGTTGGAGCACCACTTTCTGCGGTGCCGTTATAGGAATCAGCTGCATATCAAGCATCGCCGCTTGACTAGCACGAGCACGAGCTCGAACATCTCTCTGGAGATTCTGACGACGGATCCGGGCCTGCTCCTGAGTAACTTGGAAGTTGTAGAGCCGAGTAAGTTGGGTCAACTTTCGTTTGACCTTCAACCGCAAGACTTTGCGTTGATTGTCACGGAATTTTTGTTGGAGCTTAACCCGCTTCTCCTCAAGGAGCTTATGGCGCCGTTGCACCAGGTCCATGGTCGAATGGCTGGGGCAAGCGTCGTAGATCTTTTGTGACCTCCACAACTCGTATCACTGTCCTGCAGGCTAACCAGTTGCCATCCACAACTTAGTACTAAACGGAGGTTGCGGTACCGATGAGTAATAACCTAAAGAAAGCATTATTGGCAACGTCTACCCTAGTTGTCACGAACAATAAAGGGCTTTTACTAATTTCCCAGTACCGATTGATGATGTCACTTGTCATTGGATAATTGGTCAGCCAGCCCCGCCAGCCATTTAGCCAATCAACCTCGCTTGACAACCTTATCCGGATACTCAATATTTCCAAGAAGTCTCTGTCGAAAGTTTGGTTTACAGGACTTTACCACACGATACGAGCACCCATTCCAGGATACCCAGAATATAATTGCTCATGGCCACAGACACCGGAGTCTCGCAATATTGTGTAGCGGTTTTGTAACTGTCTCGTGACTTGAACTAAAGAGGAAAGGGTAAACGAATTAGGAAGGGCGAAAGTTGCACGACCCGGTGACGGCTTTGCCCTATGCCATCGAAGATACCGACCGCACGAATCGGACATGGGTTTTATGCGTGAGGTTTCGAGACGCCACAAAACAAAGGATACGTTATCCCCGACATGCGCCACACCCACGTTGCGTGGTAGCGAGAGCTGTGAGTCGGAAGTCGTTGTGGCACAATAATGACCGTTGAAATCGAACCATTTGCTGGATTGCTGATGGAGTAGGCTACCACTACAGATGTCAGAAACACAACGTTTGTGTTAGCCAGCGGTAAACAGATGCAATCTTATTTTTTCTATGAAAACTTTTTGCCGCTACCGGGATCCGATGAGATCTGTAATGTCTCGGCGAAGTGCGGAAGATGCGGTCATATCGCACCGTTTCGCAGCCACCACGTCCCCGATACACTGCCTATGCGTCGCGTACTGATTCCAACGGTCATCCCGCCTATACGTTCATACGTCACGCTTTCAATGGCGATGCCTCCAATGGAGACTCGCCATGATAGGGCCATGTAAGACCTGCCGTAGCGATGATCGAGACTCGGGGATACCAAGCATTTACTGCGCACATTAAGAAGCAGTAGCAATCTTCAATAATAGCGATTTGCCGGCGTTAAGCGTGGCATGAATTACATCAGCGGATAATGATGCAGGAAGATATGTTAGTAAGGGGCTGCTAAGTAAACCTATCAGTCACCGGGTCCTCAGGAAGCATCAACAACTTTGCAGTACATTGCCGAGAAAGAGATTTTTGACGGCCCAGCCACTGACGTGTCGGAAATCTCGGGTACATTGACCAACGCTCACAGATACCACCCACCAGAACTTTGTTGGGAAGTTCAATTTATAGAGACATATTCAGTGGTCAAACTACCATTTATCACACCTGCCCATAGAGCGTAGTTGTGTCAAAGGGTGGCAACCCTGTGAACCCCTAATCGTGGTATGGTGAACAATGTACGCTTGCAAGCATAGTTGACAGTTTTCCCAAATGCAGGAATATATGCTCATAGACAACACGTTTTCTGGAGGGTAATGATCACGCTTTTAATGCGCGACGCTGAATGACCACCTACAGGCCTAACGGCTGAACAGGGGCTTAGGGCTCGCCTAACGCGAATCCCTATCTCAACCGCCGGCAAGAAAACGAGTATATCATCACGACAACGATACCCACTGTTATGGCGAAACTACGATAGACATGAATTGTTAATGTAGATCTGTGTGTGTTGTCTATAACTCTATAAATTTCCGATATCCCAATAACCCAATCTATAATCTAATCAGTCCCATGATTGTTATCAATATGCAAAATTCGTAACGTCGTTAGTTTTTTCTTCTCCAGAAGCGAAAGCTACTGTTGTTATCAACCGATAACGGCAGTGTCAGACGCGAGTTGTTCTTCAGCAGCGGTAACAGCAGCAGCCGACGGATCTGGCTCCAAAGCAGCAGCAGTAACAGGATCAGCATTACGTCGGGAGTAACAAGCTTGCGACTCTTGGGAGTCAACGTTTGAGCCAGCAGAACCAGCAGGGTCACCGTCTGCAGCTGAAACGGTGGCAGTGATGGCAGTGTCAGCTTCAGGTATTCAGGCCACACGTTCTCCTTAAGAATCTGCCACACCTCTTGACGGGCTGTAGCGAGCACTGCCGGGTGGACAAGATTACCCACCAGGTGTTCCAAAACCTCGTCATAGTGAGAGGCGCTGAGATTGATTTGCTTTGCGGCATCATCCAAGATGAAGGTGGACAAAATATCCCGCCACATGTTGTTGAGAAACTGGACATGGGTCACGTCCATCTCATAAGGATCTTCTGAAACGTCCAGTGACGCTGGCAGGTTCTCAGGCGACTGATGGACAAAGTCAATGTCGTCATCGTCGAAGCCTGGCATGAAGCCGGTGCTCGTGGTAGTCGAGTGTAACAGGATCTGCTTGGAGAGAGTTTCAGAACCCTTCATTTGCTTAGTGGCTTCCGGCACAAGCTTTTCGTAGTAGTAATCGTAGGTGTAAATAGCCACTAAAAACTCCAAGTTTTCCTGGCAGTGAATACCCTCAATGAATCGACGAAACAGTTCCACTTTCTCTATTTTGCTGGCGTCTTTGAGGACACCAATCGCTTGGAGAAAGGCATCATTGACCACTTCGTCGAGGCACAGCGGGGGATAATAAGGAACTGGGGTAGGGGTACCAAGGAAGTCACCACGAACCAACGATGTTGGAATTGGACGGAGGAGTCCCGGAGGCAGATATGTCGCCATAACGGAATGTTTGAGGGCGGATTTTGTGGTGAGTTGGGTCAAGCTTGTCAACGAGAAATGCGCTCGATAGTATATATATATAAAATGTGGGATGGTTGCGAGCAGGAATGTACGTTGCAGGAAAAAAAAAAAGTGGTGCAGTCTGTGCATATCAAAAACGGTTTGAGCGCGCATGATGAAAAAATATCTTTACTCAGAAAACAAGTTCCGCTGTACCCAGAGTCGAAAGACCTTGGGTATAGGCAGGTCACAGCAATCATTCAGGTGTGTAATTGCGTTGGCGTTTACGTTGGCCAAGCTTACCTGTTTCTACAACAATGGCATTGACATCGATAATACATCCTCGGTGTCACGGAGTACCAGCATTGTCCAGATAAGATGACGTTGGTAGGTGGGGTAGCCCACGGGTAAGGTCATCGCCACAAATTTACCGAAAGCAATTTAATCCGAGGACCGAATATGGCAATTTTAGATCTGGTGCGAGTCATTATACAAGGAAGTGAGTGCTTTGCTTGACTTTGATCCATGTAAAAAAACTCAAGTCCATGATAAGCTTTGCATTTAGACAATGGTTATGGCTTTTTTACCTCAAAGAATTGAAGATATTCCATTATTTTTGCAATGTTTATTGAGTGGTGAAACAACCGGAACTACGTACATCCGGGAGTTTCAAAGAAAAAATGTAACAGTTTCTTTTGCGCATACAATTCATCGCGCTCATAACACCGCATTCAACGTTATTTCGTATTGTTCGGTCGCGATGTTAGGCGATAATCGGAGACCGTTGTGGTTGCCACAGTTTTCACAAAGTGGCGCGGACCGTTGACAGACAATTAATCAAGCTCAGAAGGTATATCTGGTTGGCGTTAATTAAATGTACAGCGATTCACGTGTAGTAGAGAAATTTAAAAACTCTTCGGTTGCCGTAATTAAAGTTTGGAGGCATTAATGGCATAAATCGGCCAGGCGACTTGTGGCGTGAGAGTTTTGTTTAGCGCGTACCAGGAGTTGTAGTGACAGTAGTTAACTCCACCACATACTTTGTGATATCCCGAATCGGACGATTATGTCGGCGATAATGTGGTTCACGACCAAATAACCAAGAACGTATAGCTGAGTTGTTGTTTTGACTACACATTGTTTGATTGACCATGGGCCGTTGTGGCGAGTTAACCGATGCGCCGTTAACCCGATGATGCTTGCGAAATTTGTCGGACCCCGCTTGACGGGGGTTTCGATGCGGCTAGGTTCACAAAAAGAAATTCTTACACGTTGAACTCCGACAAAATACGAACAATCCGGATATAGCCGGTCGAGAACATGGGTATCGCGGTGGTCGTCATCGGAACCCATCCGTCTATCATTTAATTCACGTTCAATATCGCCTGATCTGATGTCGAGAATGTTGCAGACTTTGCTGGTGCACATCTTGCGATCGCACCACCGCTTAAGTGGGTATACCCGCGGAAGCATTGTGGGGCTCGCTTAAATTAAGGTACAATTTGCTGATGAGCTCACATGACTAGTGGTCGAAAACTTTTATTGGTAGCCAGCCGTAAAACCTTACATTCGCTACGCTCATCCCTCGGAGGTATATTTCCAAGGGCGGTGCGAGTTGCCATCTTGAGAAAAGCTTGAACGACAAATCGGTGTTGGACCTTTTCAGTCGTTAACCTAATACATGCTAAAATAACACCCGACATTTCAAGGTAAGTTCAAGATTGCTCAAATCCTCGACCCCTACTGGGAACGGGCACGCAAAATCGTAGGATAGGTGTCGTTAATTCAACACTCGAAGTCAATTCGAAAATTTGCGATCTAAACGTAAGTTCCGTTGAATGTGAATGCTTGTTATAGTTGTAAATCTCGATGAAGGTGTCTACCGAACACAGTTGTAGCCATATCAGCGACCCCGGACCGAATACAATTCTCTTGCATGATTTTGTGACACAAAAGTTGCAGAAGCAATATAAATGCGTATGAGCGTGCCCTTAAAGAAGGGACCCTGGAAAGTCAAATTGGGGAAATTAAACTTTTAGGTTATATTCATCACCAACTCTTGAAAAAGGCTCATCGCTAGCATAGAGGGGCTATTTTGTAGTGTGTAGGAACACAATCGAAAGCTATAAAGTAATTCAAGGTTTGGTGCTCATGACTGTGGCCTTGATTTCGGGACCGTTGAGTAGTCAGATTTGAAAGCTAATCTTCTTTGTTGATGGCTTGTCAAATTAGACCATTTTGGCACGGATGTTATTTGTAGTTTTCATGCTCATCGATATCCACTACAAGTCTGATACTCGATTTCTTCCTTTATTTGCCGCTGGAATCAATTTTCCTTTTTGAGCGCGCACCCCCCGTAATCACTCCCTATCTACCCCCTACCCCTTCCCCTCATTCTAGAATTACCCCCGCCTTAGTGCCGGTGAATGGAATTGATTAAATTTGAATCGGCAAAATACTCAACACCCCGTATTATCTTTCACGGATCGTCTTTTTGTTTCCCTCTAGATTGTAGTCTTTACACCTACTCACCCTTATTTTGAGCACCTGCTCACACCCTCACGGAAATTCCCTAACACCGATATCGGCGAACCCCTAACTGAATCCACAATTTTGCCACTCACACTCACAGTTTATTCAACTCCCATTATGTTGCGTGGAAGGGCAATTTGCCGTACTTTGAGCTGCCGCCGCTACACTCAGATCCCCACGGCAGCTACTCCTGATTTCGTTTCCCATTACTACCCTCAGTTGAGTAAACTACTTGACATTGTTCAATTGTACAAGCAACATGGTCACTTTGACAATGTCTCCCCTAGAGAAATGCAATCGTTGGCCCAAGAGTTTGCGACAATGGACCACGCCGGTTATGTGTGGCAGAAGGTAAATCATGAAGTCCAAAACTCGCCTCAATTCCTTCGTCAATTGACCCAATGGTTTGAGCTTCATCGGTTGGGGCTTGCTCGCTACAATCATGAGTTGTCAAGTGTAACAGAGCAAGCTACACTGACTCAACAAGTTTATGACCAGATTGAGTCTGCTCTTCAACAGGAAAATGCCACCACTTGGCACCAAAAATTAGCTTTGGGTCGCTATCGTGCTCTCCAGTTGTTGCTTACAAATGTACCCGAACTCCCCGTGAGCTTTTTGAAGCAGATCGTGTTGTCTAACTTGTCTGTGCCAATGCTGAAAGCAGAAACTCAAAAAGTCTCAAGATTGGCATTCGTTGTTGATAGCCACAACATACCTTTGACTTCACCAATCTACAAAATTGCTGAGAAGCTTGAAGCACATGATTCTCCACTGTCCCGAGCCGGTCTCGAGGTTGTGAATGAGTTGGTTTGCAATGGAGTCTTGGCACCGTCTGCCAGTTTAGATGATTATCTCGTGAAGTATCTCGACACATCTTTTGGTTCTGAAATTGAGCATCTAGCTGCAATCAAAGTTCATGTATTGCATCGGCCATTTGCGGATTTCACTCCAAAGGAGCTCATCTTGGCAATCCAACAGCTGATTCAACGCGAACCATGGCATGAGCGAGCCTATGACATTATTCGTGTGTTGAGGAAGTTAATACTGTTGGCCGAAACCATGCCTCAAGGTCAATGGCTTCACGACTTGGACGTTTTGATTCAAGGCGGCCCGTCATTCAATATGAACCATCGCATCTCGATGTCTTGGAAGGCCGGTGATTCTGACACCGTCATCAGACACCCTCGAAAGTTTAACGAAAATCCTGCTGATAAGGTCCTCGGAAGTACTTCCAATAGAAGAGGGAAAAAGCTTGAACATACTCGGAGAAGGGGTGGTGGAATGTCTGGAGGTCGCAATGATCCTGAACCTGATAAGCAACTTGAAAACAACGCCAAAGAATCCAAGCTGGAATATGTGCAGATACCCGGGAAGCTATACATCCACAATGAAATCTTTCCGCTTCAGATTTTGCAGGAGTATTTATCGAAAGACTTCTCAAAGTGCACCCCACGTGAAATTTTAGATGCTACCAAGCAACTCGCTCAAGCCGGTGATAATGAATGTGATGAAGCTGATGCCAATCGTCTCTACTCTAAACTTTATCGTTTGTTTGCGTTGAACGGTGGTGACACGCAATGTTTGGACGCTGTACTACAGTCGCACAACCATTTCCGCCGAGTTGAGCGAGCGATTCGTGAAAGATCTAAAATCAAAGCAGTCGAAGGACAGACTTCTCATATTATTGGTGAACTTGACCTCCCTCAATTTTCCGACGAACTCAAAAAGCTCCGTGAAGCTTTGGGCGACAAGCCATTTTCAAGTCACACACAAGATTTGATTGTGAATACACTTCAGGATGAGATTTACCTTGGGAAGCATCTGAAATTGATTCTTGATGGAACTGTCTTCAATTACGTGAGATTGCTCAAGCGACTTGAGCGGTTATTTGCATTGAACGGTGGCCATACCGCGGTGTTGGATGAGATTTGCAGGAAGGGCAAGACCATTTCCACAAGCACTCAAGAGTACCGTCAAATTCCTGATGATTTTGCCATTCATGAGTTTGTCAATGAACTTTCCGAGCTTGCTGTGGACGCTGGCGTTGCTAAGCTAGGTTCACTTTCGGCATTGGAAGTTTTGGACGTGTGCAAGCATTGCGCCGACAAGAATTCAGATTATATTAAACTCCACAGCAATTTGCGAAACTTATTCCGCCACAATGGTAACAACACCGCAGTTCTAGATGCTGTTATCAACTCACAGCACCATTTCGACGCCATTGAAGCCAGCACGCATGGTTTGAAGGTATCATCTGAATACAAGCAATTGCCGGATGACATGCGACTCGACGAATTTTCAACGGAGCTTGAGGAGCTTCTTGAACAATTGGATGCCGATAAATTTGTTGAAGTTTCGTCTTCTGATATTTTGGATGTCACCGCAAACCTATCTTCTGGTCTGGGTATATTCTCCAAGCTTCACTCCAACTTGGCAAAGTTGTTTGCATACAATGGCGGTAATACCGAGATCCTCGATATTGTACTCACTAATGTTAGGGCATTCAAGGACTTGGAGTCTAAGCGTGCTCCTGAGGCATTTGCCCACACTCTGGAACTTCTCAATAACCACGCTGAAGCCGTGAGTTTACTTCTCAAGGAATACAAAGCGGAACATCTGCAGTCTACTACGATTCTGCCTACACTTTTTAGTCAGTTAGTGGCACGTCATTTGAAACTGCAACCAAACCTGGAACCTCTCAGACTTGTGAATCAGTTGAATTTGGTTGTGGACTATTATCCAAACTTTCTCCAACAATTGCTTGAAATTCGAGGAAACAAGCCTTCTCCACAATGGAGTGCTCATGAAGTCGAAGAGGTTTACAAGGCATTTATGAGTGTTCTTGAGTATGACCAAGATATTTGTGACGAGATTTCCTACATTTACCATAAGAACGTCACTGCAAAACAAGAAGCTATGACGTCGGCAAATCTGGAAGATTGGCGCAATGATTATAATGATCTGGAACGTTTAGTGCTGTTACTCTCGCAACAAAAGTCGCCTGTAGACTTTGACTTGCTCAACAAGGAATTGGGTCAAGATGAGTTATTCATCAAAGATGCTGTGCTGATCGCCCTTAATCAAGATACTGGTAAGTCTCGAGCTTCCGCCAGAGAAAACAAGGACGCCCCATCGGTTATACCTAATCCATCTACACTCCACCAATATTTGGAAAGTGCTCATCATCAGCACCAGGCATCGGAGCAGAGTCGAGTTCGTGAGCAAAAGGCTTACGAGTGGGCTACTGCCAACAACAGAAACCATGAAATCCCTGTCGAATTTGAATTTCGTGCAACGGAACCTAAGCACACTTCACCGCTTTACCCCGCTCGTTTGGACCCTGAGTATGAATACAAAGTTGTCACCGCTGATGGACACAGTATTCCTCTGGATGCGGTGCTGATTGGTCATGTTGTGCGTCAACCTGTGGCTCAGGCCATTGGTGGACTTCCTGCTGGTGATATTGATCGATTCATGGATCAAGTGCACCATCACGAACGTCAAGGATGGAAGGTCATGGGGTCACAAGAAGTTGAAGGTCGACCCGTTCTCATACTTGCACGGATTCCTGGTGCTGGCGCTCGGAGTTCGTGGGGTCTGGCGATCAAAAACTTATTGGCGATTGCTGGTGGGGGCTTTTTAGTTATAGTTGGCGTCAACTACTTTGTGGAAGATGAAAAGGTTTTGAAGAAGAATACTCCGGTTGAGGTCGTGAGCGAGTCTCTGAACTCCCCGTCTCCTTCCCCTTCTCAATTGCCTTCAGCTGATAATGCACAAGCGCCAAAGCAGTCCATTTTATCTAGCCTTTTGTGGGCTAATCCGCCTAAGGATGATTAGTTCAGACATATTTTTGTGTACGAATATACATCAATGTTTATTAATCATGAGTTGACTGATGAGACTCTAATTGATTGGTTCATCTAAATCAGTCTAATTCATAAATATGCCGAAGGAAGGAATCGCTATAGCGCAGTCTTGGGACGATATCCAGAACTGTACCTTTCTCGTTGCAACGTGCGCTATTTGCAGAACAAATCTCCAAGGCTGTCTCGATTAGCCCGAGGGAAGATTACTCTTCCATTTCATCAATCTCAGTTTTCAGGCTAACATCTATATGCTTCATCACTGTGAGCCCACCCAGGGTCCCATTCCATTTGCGAAGGTTAGCGACTGTATCCTTATCCGTGAGATCCGGTGCTTTAATACCTGTGTCCCAAAGATGACGGTCGTGCTTCACCTTTTCCTCTAGGATCTGATGTTTCGAAGTCATCGGACGTCCTGGACGTCTCTGCAGGCGGAGTTCTTCTAACTCATCGTCATGGCGTGAAACATGCATTTCAATCATCTTCTTCAATTGGGAAAGAGAGAACACTTCCATCTTAGCAAGGTCCTCGTCATCGTTAATCAACTGTTGAAGAAAGTAGTAAAGAGCCTGGTTGTTGGTTCTTTGCTGAAGAGCTTTGGCTTTCTTTGCGGTGATCTTTTCATCTCTCTGGGTAGCTCTGTTGAGCTGTTTGAACTTTCTACCCTTGACATGGATTGCCGCCAGCGACTTGGCGACATTCTTAGCCACCTTCTTGAGATTGTGGGCAATAGGCATATCGCGATGAGGTCGCACTGATCTAGTAACTGTGACGGAATAGGGAACAAAAGATAAGCAACTGCATCAGAGCGAACGGCTAAATTAGCATGTAATTATGATATTAAACTCGAGGAAAGCTGTAAGTGCTATGTAAGTTTGTTGTTTCAGCTAAATGAGCAGTAAAATAATTTTCGAGAACTAATTTACGCCAAAGCCGATATTGCAAGATGCTTCATGGCGATGCGATTGCCACTGGATACGTAAACGAACTTCGCTTGGAAAACTTATACTTCATCGGACATCAAACATTATCCCTACACTGTCGACTCACCATGAAAAGTGCTAAAAAAAAAAAAAAAGAAATGACTACTCCCCACGATTGAGAATCTGGACCGATACAGGATACAGAATTTAGGGGCTCACAATTGGGTCCATCGGTGAGGTTATAAATGGAAGACTCGTCTACGAGCTGTAAGTTACACTTGTTGGTGTTTGCAGGCATAGAGATAAGTTACAACGTACACAATGAGCATTACCACGGCTGCTCATCTACTGTTCTCCAAATTTAGACATGCACCCTTTTTTCGGACTAGTCGCACAGTTGTACAATGAAGATGCCAGGTAATGATGGAGTAGATATGTTGGCGGATCTTTATAATATGCCACTTACTCATGACCTTTAGCGTGTCTTAGTTCGATGCTCAATTCATCTATCTTGTAATGTTGTTATTCCTTAATTGATGTCATTTTCGACACCGAACGCCTCGTGTGCGCACTGCGAAAATCTTTCACAATCCCTGTTTATCACTTACCCGTATCATGCCTAAGTACACTGAAGAACAATTGTTTGAAATCCAAGAAGAGGCCCACAACCCGCAACCAGAGGTACTTGATGCATTCAACGCCATGGTTGAGGAAGTTCGGGAGCACGAAAAGCAACTCAAGCAAATTAAGTGGTCGAACGGTGACACCTATATCGACGAAAACGGTCACGAAAGACCTTACCACCACCTCAACCGACGCCGGGCACTGCGTTCGGGTGATAAGCCCAACTTACGCAAAAAGCTGGTGGAAACCGTGGTTGGGGAAGATGGCTGGGCGACCACCGTGAAAACTAGAAAGCTGTTTGGTGGTGCTGAAGAGGAAGAACGACAAAAGTTCCGGACGGGGTTGAAGGAAGTTAAGGCCAAGCCCAACAACAAGAACCTCGGGTCGCTGAAGGCAGCCGACCCTCGTGATGCTATTGCTGAAGTTCAAAAGAAGGCGTTCAATGCGTTTGACGCATTAGGCGACGAATCTGATGACGACGAAGACGATGAATAGGGGGACGTTATCTATATTTCCCATGTATTATAAAACCCGTACATATTAGAAAGGTCAAAATGACGACGAATATTATAATTTTTGATGCTACATCATCATACAACAATCATGCGATCATCCTCATCCTCGAGCCCGCCAAGAATCAAGTTGACGTCAGGCATCACTGCCAGTCGACCAAGTACCGAGTCTGACGGCCCCTTAGGGCTCTTACTAGGTGCCACCGTACGCAGCCTCATGACTGCCTCCCTAAGCTCGGTGACCTTTGGCAGGTTGAAAACTCTCATGTCACCAGTGTGTACCAGCGATTGAGTAATGGCATTGTGGCCAGTGTAGCCTCCGGAAGGCTTATCATTACCATTACCATTGCTGCCACCCACATTGAGTTGAGGTAACGGCGGAAGAGGACCCCGAAGAAACGCGGGACCGGTAGTTTGATGCATTAAGTCCAGATGAATCAGCAGAATATCATTCGCAGAACCAAGACCGAGCCGCAGAGAGTTGCGAGCCAAGTTGTACGAGAAGTGGGATTCCGCGTCGGTGGTATCAGCTGCCAGGCGCGGCGTAAGCACGCCCAGAGGTTGCTTGGGCTCCCACATCTTCAGAACATCAAGGATAAGCGGAGCATCAACGTCAATGTACTCATCTGTGAAGTCATTGCCTTCGACAAATTCTTGAAGAGCAGGCTTAGTGCTTTGGAAGGTTACACCATTGAACTTCAGAGTGGCCTTGCCTCCCAAATCTTGGTCAATGTCAAACACCCACATCAGGTTGTTTTTGCGTGAATTAATGTCATCGTTCACGTCGCTGTAAAATTTTGACAGCTGAACGTAACCGCTGCACTGAGGGTATTTGGTTTCAAGCACCCGCAAGCAGTAATACATCACAGTGAACCCGAATGTCAGCTTAAGCAACACATCATGAGCCTGAGAGTTACCCAGTACCCAGTGATAAAAGTAAGGAACATAGTTGGCCATGAAATTTATGCCCAACGTGTACACCACATCTACCAAAACGTCATTCATCAACTGAGCCGCTGCCAAAGGCTGGTCGTAAGCCAAAAACTTGTCAACGTGAATTAACAAACAAGTGACAAAGTTGTCACGAGTAGCAATGTATTCACTGTATTGTGGAGCAAGAAGATTACCTGTTTGAGTTGAAGAGGCACCAGTAATCAGCTTCCCGGCACCATCCTCTTCAGCTCTTTGATCCAGTGACAATTCCTTGATGAGATAATCATCGAAGCATTGTAAGAATTTGTCTTGAATGTGGGAAAACTGTTTTGCGGTAAACTTGTAATCGTTGGGATTAGCCAGAATTATCCCCAACAGAGCTTCCCAGCAGTCCATCAGCACACGGTTGCGGGTAATCAGTGCTTGGTTTTTAGTGACAAGAAGAGCAAAAATCTCACGAATATCATCAAGGAAACTGATGATTAACCCGTAAACTTGATCGGGCTGCTTGGTGTTATGACCTTGGTCGAAAAGAGAATCGACCTTAATCAAAATTTCCAGAACCAGATCAGCAACTTGGTCCAGGTAGTATATGCGGGTTGATACGTGACATACAATATCCAGGTAAACAATCAGTAATTCCTTTACCACATCTGGAGATAATTCACGAGCTTGCTTGAGCACCAAATTGGTGTGAAGTGATAACACCTCTTGGATGACATCGCTCACCAGTAAACCAATCATCAGTACCTCCAGTTGAGCCAATTGTAATATGCAGTTGGCATACAATAACTGGGCGTCCGCTTTGGGTGTCAGCAGTCTCAGTAAACGAGTAAGTTGGCGAAGAAGAGTACCCAAAACCAAGAATCTGATTTGCACGGGGACGTAAGTGGTAACTAACTCCACAAAGCCTGCAATCCACGGCCCTGACTGTGATCCTGCCACCACTTGGTTCGTGAGCTCTTGCACTTGCCATGTGTGAGTGGTATCAAACAAAACCTTGATGGCAAACAAGGCTTCATCGTACACATCATCAATAGTGACGTCGTCAGCTTCGAGCGCGGCATGAATTTTATCCTCGTGCTCAGCAATCTGCCGCAGAGTCACTTTAGACAATTCCTCATCACGGGCCGACGTATTAGTCTTCACTTGTTTGGCAAGACCGGCTACCGTGGGCCAGCGGTCGTGTAATGTGTCCATGAGTTGAGGCACCAGCGCTCTCATGAGGTGCTTTCCGAGTTCGGTGTTGTAATTGTATACCCCCAGGGTAGCTTCGATCGCCAAAATACGCAACAACTGAGATTCATTAGCGTGGGTAGCGTCACCTTTGTAGTTTATGAGTCTTTCCAGGACTACAGTAAACTGCTGGATGAACATCTGATCTCCCAGGAAAATGGTGGGGCCCACGTATTTGCACAACGTTGAAAAGCACAGCACCACCAGTTTGGCAAGCAGGAGATCGTTGACATTCAAAATCGTGGACATAATCAGCAAAGCGTCTGCGGCAATGACGTTCACGTCGTCAGCACACTTGACGATGAGTTGCAGAACAATCTCAAGGGTAACGTGCATATTGCCCGCTCGAGAGTGGGAAGCGTCCAGTCTGGTCTTCCTTTCCAAAAACACCATCACTTTTTCCAATTTCACTCTTCTGGTCAGGGCATAGTAAAGGAGGTACAGAAGCTCCAGCGGGTTGGCCTTCTTGTCGGCATCTTTGCCTGGAGGGTAACACTGTAGAATCAATTTCTGGTGTTTCGACTGGAACATCCGCATCTTGAGCACTCGTCCCAAACCAATAGGAAACTTCCCCGATTATATAAAAGGCCGCTATACGCTTTTGGGAAAATCATGCTCGGGCTCCATGTGATAAACGCGGAGGTACGCCACGTGACAGAAACATTGTGCGACACGGTAGATAAGCTAAAATAGGAGTAGACCTTAAACCGAGGCTTCGTTTTTAACGGTATTTACGAGACAAAGGTCGTTTGACCTGTCACATGGCTCAACTACAACTTTCCTGAATTTTCAATATTCTTTCACTTCTATGTGTAAATTGCGCAAAGAAGGTTAGAGCGTGACTGATGAGATAGTGGGGTTAAAAGTGAGGGAGGCGCCACCACCTAAACCGGAAGGTAGTGTTGGACACCCCACGCATTGGGGCTTAAAACAAGCTTCATCACCTGGGGTACATGATGCCGCCATTCGCCGGGACCACCGGTGATTGCTTCGATTCGGCAAAAGTAACAATAGCGTCATTCACCGACCGGCGCTAGACACACGGCGTAAGGGGGTAAAGCATAGACGTGACAGACAAACATCGATCAACATTGAATGAAGGTAAACCTTATGAGGCTTAAACTTTTCGATCTTAGTTCGACAAATCAAAAGAAAAGATTTCCTCACAACAGTTTCATTCACCCTTAAATCATATGAGGGGAATTTTTCAGGATATTGTTCGTGCAGTTCGTACCGCTTCTCCCCTCATCCCCGCGCGCTTCACCCCATCGAGGTTCCCTTGTGAGAGAGATTACTGATGCCCCCGGTATATGTCAAGGGGGGTACTTGGAGCTCCACCGAGGATGAAATCCTCAAGGCAGCTGTTCAGAAATATGGGCTTCACGAATGGCTGCGAGTGCTGTCTCTCCTCCCGAAAAAGCTGGCCAAACAAGCCAAAGCCAGGTGGCAGGAGTGGTTGAACCCTCAAATTATCAAGCTGGAATGGGTCAGAGAAGAGGATGCAAAGCTTTTGAGTTTGGTAAAGGTGTTGCCTAATCAATGGCGAACCATTTCTCTGCTCATGGGCCGTACACTGACTCAATGTGCCCAGAGGTATCAGCAGTTACTCGATGAGGTTGCTGATGGTGCCGAATACGCAGATTTGGGACTCAGCGGGCCTGGTATCGAAAGTATACCAGGGACAGATTTGGGTATCAACACCGCTTCGATGGATGCTGTGGATCTTGAGGACAGTGGTGACGAACAAGAGCAGGAAATGTTAGTGGAGGCCAAGGCGCGTCTTGCCAGCAACCAAGGTAAGAAGGCGAAGAGAAAGGCTCGAGAACGGCTCCTCAAAGAGCTGCGTCGGTTGGCTCTCATCCAGAAGAAACGTGATCTACAAGAAATGGGGTTGCGTGTCAGTCTTTCACGCAAAAAGAAGCTGAAAGAGTTTGATTACAACGCCAATATTCCTCATGAGCGCGTACCTCTACTGGGTTTGTATCAAGTTGATGATGAGAATGAGGCTGCTGCCGCTGACTTGCAAGATTTCGAGATGAAGGTCAAGCGTGAAGGACAGGTCCTTCATCGTGAATCTAAGAAAAAAGAGAAGACCACGGAAAGCAAACGAACAATTCAAGGAGCTGCAGAACTCATCAACGATTTGTCCAAAAGACCTAAACTTGATTTACCCCTGGTATCGCTGAAATATGATACGACTCTCGACACCCAGATCGCTATCAACAAACAACAGATTCTCGAAGAGAGTACTGAGTCTTCAACAATTGACTCCAAATTCCTAAAGGCATTATTCAAAAAGCTTCCGGAAGCGAAATTCGAATTTTCCGCGGTTATACCTCCGTTTGGCTTTGGCGAGACAATCGACCTCATGCCAATCCCTGAGCCTTCCGTGGCCCAACGCCTTGCTTCTCAAATCGATGATGAACAGGCAAAGACCCGTCGACTGCAGGCAGTTCAAATGCGTCTTCCTATCCCTATCGATCGCATACGTGTTCCAGATGATAATGATGACTCTTTGACTCAGAAAGCACAAGAAATGTTCAATCAGCTTGTGCGTTCTGATTACCGTCGATATGTTGATAACTCGTACCGCGCCCCACTTGTTGACGATCTCGAGCAAGCCGACCTTGATCGTATCGAAGAACTCGTACAGCAGCAGAGTCACACTCCAACACATGAGATGGGGGACGTTCCAGCTTACAAACTCCCTCAATTGACCGAGGAAACTAAGGAAGCTATCGGTCGCAAAATCAAGGAGCTTCAAGACAAGCATACAAACAAACGTCAAGATCTCGATTCCATCACCGACATGTTTGCACAACGCGAAAAAACATTGCTTAAACGGATTCATGAGAAGTATGCTCAGTTACAAAATCTTGATACTGCTTTGGAACTTTCACTGAAATTTAGCGAAGATGAACAACGCTGGGGCGAAGCTGACAAGGTGAGATTGGAACGGTTGGTGGCAGAGATTGGTCAACAGGAGCAGCTACAACAGATGAACCTTAGACAATCGGCTTAATTATAGATATCGATAATTTGCATATATACCAGTCATCTTTTTTTTCAATTATTTGGAGGAGTGTTCTTGTCATTTTGCCTAATATGCTTCAGGTTGCAATGAAAAGTTATCTCAAGAGCAAGGAGGTAACAGTAATTCTGTAAACCATTGGGTGTAGAGATTGCATCAAAAATGGGTTTAGAAACCATATCCCCGGAAACTGGTATTTTCTGATTATGCAAGAGGATCATAAAGGGCGTTATGTGTTTGGCCTAGGTACCCGCTGATGTAAATAAGTCAACCTAACGATCATTGACTTTCACTACCTGTTCGCTCAAAAGCTTATGATTTTCTGAAGTGTCATATAGACTATTGGTTTGAGTTGAATTCGCGTAACATCTTTAGTGTGATTCCGACAAACTAGAATGAGTTCACCTCCATACGACAAGGTCATATTTCAGTACGATTGTCAAGTTGAAGCATCTGTTTCATTAGGCACAGAATGTACACCTTATCAGGTTCATTCAAACGTCAGCGCTTGATAGGCAATGACTCAATTATTCCTGTATACAGTCCTCATCTCAAACAACGAGGATTTTCTGAAAAGTCGTAATGCGCTTTCTTGCAAGTACCAGACTATTTTCAAGGATGGCATCAGTTACGCAAATTACGGAGGGGCTTAAAGGATTGGGCTTGGCTCAACCTGAGGCCATGCCAGCTTCGCTCCCTGAATACAATGTTTACGATGTTATGCGTAACTACATTACTGATGAATTGCACCGCATCACCAAGAAGGACAAACTGATCATCTTCTCGGCTCTCGACACTACCAATGTCTTGGAAAAGGGTGACTTCATTATGCCCGTTCCTCGTTTGAGATTGGAAAAGGGTACCGATCTCAAGGAAAAGGCCACCGAATGGGCTCAAGAATTCAACAAGGGCGAGTTTCTCAGTCAAGTCGTTGCCAACGGTACTTTCCTTCAATTCTACTTCAACAAGAACTTATTGTTCCCTGTCGTTATCAAGGATGTCTTGAAGCGGGGTAAGGACTATGGCTACCTCCCCTTGGCCGAGGGTAAGAAGGTGATTGTTGAATTTTCCTCGCCAAACATTGCCAAGCCTTTCCACGCTGGTCACCTCAGATCGACTATCATTGGTGGTTTCCTTGCCAACCTTTACGAAACTGCTGGTTGGGACGTTACCCGTATCAACTACCTCGGGGACTGGGGTAAGCAATTCGGGTTGTTGGCTGTGGGTTTCGAAAAATATGGTAGCGAAGAGGCTCTTGTGGCCGATCCTATCAACCACTTGTTCGAAGTTTATGTCAAGGTGAACAAGGACATTGAGACCGAAGGTGAAAACCTGGCCACCAATGAAGCCGCTAGAGCGTACTTCAAGCGTATGGAGGATGGTGACGAAGCTGCTTTGGCTATCTGGAAGAGATTCCGTGAATACTCCATTGAAAAATACATTGACACTTATGCTCGTCTTAACATTAAGTACGATGTCTACCTGGGTGAATCGCAAGTCCTGCAAGAAGCCATGAAGAAGGTTATTGATCAATTCAACGAAAAGGGCCTCATTCACGAAGACCGTGGAGCTAAGTTGATCGATTTGACTAAGTTCAACAAGAAGTTGGGTAAATGTCTTGTGCAAAAGAGTGACGGTACTTCTTTGTACCTCACCCGTGATGTTGGTGAAGCCATCAAGCGTAAAGAATTGTACAAGTTCGACAAGATGATCTATGTCATTGCCGCTCAACAAGACTTGCACACTGCTCAATTTTTCGAAATTCTTAAGCAGATGGACTACCCTTGGGCTAAAGACTTACTTCACGTTAACTTCGGTATGGTGCAAGGGATGTCGACCAGAAAGGGTACCGTCGTGTTCTTGGACAAGATTCTTGAAGAGACCAAGGAAAAGATGCATGAGGTTATGAAGAAGAACGAAGCCAAGTACGCTCAAATTGAAGACCCCGAAAAGGTTGCTGACCTCATTGGGTTGTCGTCGGTCATCATGCAAGACCACTCGGCCAAGCGTATTAACAATTACGAATTCAACTGGAATCGTATGTTGCTGTTCGAAGGTGACACTGGTCCTTACTTGCAGTACGCTCACTCGAGATTATGCTCCATGCAAAGAAAGTCGGACATCACCGAAGAAGAAATGTTGAATGCCGAGTTTAACCTTTTGGTCGAACCGTGCGCCGAGAACCTTGTGCGGACTATTGCAAAGTGGCCCGAGGTTATCAAGCGGGCTTTGACCAACCACGAGCCCCTGACCATTGCTACCTACTTGTTCGATCTTTCGCACATTGTTTCGTCATGCTACGATATATTGTGGGTTCACGGTCAGGAACGCGACGTGGCTACGGCTAGATTGGCGTTGTACATGGCGGCGAGACAAGTGTTGAACAACGGTTTGAGACTTTTGGGTATCACTCCGGTGGAAAGAATGTAATGGGAATAATGATATAAATAGGCGATACACGAATTATAACAATTTCATAAAGGGCTGCGACCCATTACCCCGCGGTATATCCGGTAATCTCACCATCGCACCTTACCTAAATAGGCGCCAGCCCCGATCCGAGCGAGACCAATGAGAACTGACGTAATCGCAGCAATGAATACGGGCCCGATCAGATAACCCTTAATGCAACAGCCCCATAGCCGCCTCAGAATTCAAACATTTTCACCACATCCCAGGGTCAGTTTTTGATCGGCCCTTTACTCAACTTGGACAGTAGCTACTTTATCTGCCCCTCAAGTAATAGATTTTTCTTCGTAGTTCATCGCGTTGCATTTGAGGTTGTGGGCAAATGGCTATGTCCGTGTCCTGCACAATGCGCCGGGGCCGGAGACCCCGTGCGAGACCCGGTTTTTAAAGGAGACAATTTTCACTGCTTTTGCTGTAAATACCATTACCAATATGTTTGCCTTGAGAAACACTGTCCGTGTCGCCCCTAAAGCCTTCCCCCGCTCGTTCATCGGCGGTGTCAGAACTAAGGTCACCTTGCCTGAACTTGACTACCCCTTGAACGGCTTGGAACCTTACATCTCGGAAGAAATCATGAACCTCCACTTGAACTTCCACCAAGCCAACTACGTTAAGGGTTACAACACTGCCATTGAACAAGCTGCCGAAGCCAAGGGCAAGGGTGAAGTCACCAAGATCGTTGACTTGCAAAAGGCCATCAACTTCAACGGTGGTGGTTACGTCAATCACTGCTTGTTCTGGAAGAACTTGGCTCCCACTACTCAAGGCGGTGGTCAAGCTCCTCCTGCTGACTCCAACTTGGCTAAGCAAATCAACCAAGACTACGGCTCGTTGGAAAACTTGATTGCTGAAGCCACCAACAAGATGATGGGTATCCAAGGTTCCGGCTGGGCCTGGATCGTCAAGAACAAGGTCACCGGCTCTCTTGACGTCATTACCACCGCTAACCAAGACCAATGCCCTACCACCCACGTCCCCTTGGTCGCCTTGGACTGCTGGGAACACGCCTACTACCTTGACTACAAGAACGCCAAGGCCAAGTACTTTGAAGCCATCTGGCACGTTATCAACTGGAAGGAAGCTGCCAGACGTTTCGACCTTTAAATGAGTATTATATATATTTCCAATTGACCCCGTGAATACATAATGCGGTGTCTAGAATTTGGTAGTGCCAGCTTCAAAAGCTTATTTTGTCAACATATTCATTTCGTCTCAAGCCGCGCTGGCTGTTCACCATCATGAGGAAATTTGGATTCATGCAATTGTCCCATTGAAGTCGTGGAGAGCGTCATCAAAAGTCTATTTTACAAATATAGTGCCGTATTGGCAGTGAGGCTGGCTCAAGTAGACCACAAGATAACCGAACGTGACTGTACTCTCTCGAGGCGTGTTCCTACGTGGGGACCCACCACCAGTGTCGGCTGACTTTCTCATTAGCAAACGAATGCCAACACTGTCCACATGTGCTGGCCGTACCAACGCAGACTAGGGTTTTGTGTCGGCAGAATGACAACGCTCAATTGTAGTGTGACGTTGTCTGAAATTGGGGGGGAATGTGCATCGACACCTACGTAAGATACGGTCGTAATGGGGATAGTGCGGTCCATGTGCTATGACGACATATACGGGGGAAGTATAAAAGATTAAGGGTGCCGGGGGTCGCCATTCCCAGTTAGTGACCTCATGTCTGATTATTCATTCTTCATTTTGATCATCATCGCCCTTGTTGTTCGTATGTTTTACCTCGAGCTGCAAATGAATGACGCTGAGTTCGAAGGGCGCGGATACAATCGTTACTTTTACCCAGGCGAATACCACCTTCATCGGGGATTTCGAATGTTGCGACCGTTGTGGGGAGGTGGGCGTCGCCAACCCACCGCAGTTCTCACACGATCGCGAAACCCATTCTCACGGCATCCATACAAGGCGGACTTATTGCCGCCTGAAGGAGCTGGTGTTGCCTCAGGTATCGGCGGGCCTCGTTATGCCGAGTACCCTCCTCCTCGTTATTGATTAGCTTAATGAAGTACTGAATTTTTCACTTAATTCCGAAGCGCACGTAAACGTTCAGCCAACTTGTCTTCTTTCTCCTCAGAAATGCCCACAACAGGAGCGTTAATTTCGATCTGAGTTTCATTGAGTCCTTGCTTCATTTCGATACCAGCTTCATCCGCCACTTGACTCATTAACTCGTCAACCTGGTCTTGCGGCGTGGTTAAAGCGTTCACATTGTTTGTAGTGGCTTCGTAGTAATTAGTCAGAGCATCAAGATCTTCAAATTGAGACTCAAACTTGTCCATGACCATCAGAATGCGTTCGAGATTCATCGTTTGTAAGGCCTTATCCATCCCACGAATAACTTGCGACATGTTGCCTGTGACTGAACGCATCGTCACGGCAGTTTGCACTCTCAGAGCCACCGCATCAATACGCAGTGCCAATCTCAACAAGTTGACTCGTTCGTTGGCCTTGCGAATGGCATTTTGGGCATAGAGTTGAGCGATATCATTATTGCCCTGGGTGAGAGCCTTCTTTATTTTAGCTCTTTCCTGGGTTTCTTCCTTGGCCGCCTTCGCGGCTTGACGGTTAAGTTGTTTAGCGGTAAACTTGAGTTGGAATAACAGTTGTTCAAGACCGGACATGGAGTTGGTGGCGGGTGGGTGGCACTATAATTCGGTGCGGGTGAATCGTTGAAGTCGGCGACATCCAAGTATGGTAGCGCCGCGATGTCAAAGTATACAAAGATGAAGGAGAAGTGCTTTGCTGCGATAGGAACATTTACAATGACATCGAATATGTCAACTGTAACTCTGAACAATAAGCGCCACAGTAGTTCCTGCCTGTCACGTTACTAGTGAAGAATATATACTGAGATCGCGCACGTGTGTCTGATTCGGTTAACCATGTCTGCCCCATGTCATTGTGCCCACGCCAACCAAGACCTGGCCGTGTCTAAGCCAGGCTCTCAATCGAACGTACCTGAATACTCGGACCCCAACCACCCGGCTAATCTCATTTGCGAGTTGTGCCGCTTATTTTATGATAATAATTGGGTTACTGGTACAGGAGGAGGGATCTCTATCCGCGACGTCGATGGCCCTGACCCCAATATCGTCTACATTGCTCCTCTGGGAGTTCAAAAGGAGCGTATTCGGCCGTGGGAGATGTTTGTGGTGAGCTTGCCGGATGAAAAGCTTCTTCAATCGCCTAATGACTGTCCTCCTGAGTTGACGAAACTGTACAAGTACAAGCCTCTGGCGTGTACCCCGTTGTTCATGAGCTGTTATACCATGAGAGACGCTGGTGCTTGTATTCACACTCACTCCCAAAGTGCAGTGATGGTGACATTGTTGTCGCAAGCCACGTTCGAAATCTCACACATTGAGCAAATTAAAGCTTTGCCAAAGTTAGAGGTCAACGAAGAGGGTAAAGTGGTCAAGGTGGGGTCGATGCAGTACTATGATACCCTTGTTATTCCTATCATCGACAATACGCCTCATGAAGAGGACTTGACTGATTCGTTACAGGAAGCCATTCGCAACTACCCCGGAACATCAGCAGTTTTGGTCCGTCGTCATGGTATCTATGTGTGGGGTGAAACTGTGTGGAAGGCTAAAGTTTATAACGAAGCCATTGACTATTTGTTAGAGTTGGCGGTAAAGATGCACGCCGCGGGAATCCCCTGGGTGAAGAAATAGATCGGAGTAGTAATAGAGAAACGGGAATCGATAAATCTGCTTTTATTAAGTGTCTATAAATTTCCTCTCCATGTCAAATGCGTTTAAATCGTGTTAATTTCATAACGGGTTTTTCGTATCTTTGAGTGTAGCTCCTTTAATCTTGAGCCAATCAATATTTTCATCATCGTCAATTTCACCTACACATACCACCATACCGCCTCTTAGGAAGTAGATCCCTAGGTCTAATTCTTGGTTATCCTCGTCATCCTCATCAATCACTCGCTCAACACAGCTGGATATGACAACGTTGGACTGCTTATCGCATCCTTGCAACACCCCCTCAAATAATCGGCCATCAGTCGTGATCACTCGGACACGCTTATGGAGAATACTGGTTAGTTCATACATGTATGTGTGGTGAAACTCATCAAACGAGTGATGAAACGCGCGGCGAACGTCAGCCATGCAATGACGAGAATGTTGCAACAAAGAAGTCCCTCACATTAATGAACTCAAAAGAAGAATCGCCACTTAATTTGCCGGAGTATGCTTTGAGGGGCCATCAGCCTCCGCGAGACTCACATCCTGATTGTATTGCTTGTGGCAAGGATCGAAACGATTTGGCAACCTGGGCGACGAAGCTTGAGCTCGAGCTGATAACAATGAAGGCAACTTTGGAAGAGTTTCAAAAGTCTATCATTCAGTCTATTGAAAGGGCAGTTAATGGGATCTCGGCTACAAGTCAAAACGATAACGGCGGTGGCGCACTTGATGGCATTTTGGATAGACAAGACCAGATTCTTTCTCAACTTGAATCTATGGAAACGAAGTTCAATCAGCTTCAATTGCAAGTTCGACTGATTATTCCACGTGCAAAACCTTCTAGATCCTGTTGAGCAATTGTGTCTATTACTTTTATTCATATATGCATTAAACAGCCCCTCAAATGTGTTGTAATGGTTACACGTAATGTTGTCAACGGGCTGGCTTGAGATAGTTGATCACTAGCAGTATCTCGTACACGGTATCTTGACTCGTGTTTGTGTGTATATGATTGCTTGGAAACGAATCGATTCCGACTTTGCATGAGGACCTTAAGCAAATCAGGAAAGGACATTCCAGAACTTTTCCCACAAATTCTTTGGGGGTTCTTCTTCAAATTCTTCATCGTCATCAATGTTTCTTGCCCCAGTGTCAATATCACATTCGTCCTTAGGCATCAAGATCGAATTCCAAGTAAATGCCTTCTTGGTAAACCCATTGAACACAAAGTGGAACACAATCCAGCAAAAAATGAACAAGATGGGGGAAATGTATGAGGTGAAGAACTTCGAGGCATCAATGTCCCAGAAAGCATCGAACCCCTGGAATAACACGATGAGAAAAATGAAGCCACACGCGTAATACGAACCATAAGGCATGAATTTCGCCTTGAATGGCAAGGAGTCTCTCGAGATCCCGCGCAGACGCAAGATATTCATGAATCGAATGTGGGTGAAAGCAATACCACCCCAAGCGATGAGCCCTGCAGTGGACGAAATGTTAAGAAGCCAGTTGAATGCCACTGTACCCAGATCGGACACAGCCAAGTAACCCAACGAACCAATGGATGCGGTGAAGAGCACCGCAACCCAAGGAACACCCCAACGGTTAGTCCGCATGAAAAATTTGGGAGCCACCCTCGATTCAGCAAGAGCATACAAAATTCTCGAACCCAAGTACACGTTGGAGTTACCAGCAGAGATCACGGTGGTCAAAATGACAGCATTGAAGATTTCAGGAAGCACCTTGGTACCAGCGTTTTCCATGGCGATGATGAAAGGGGAGGCAGCAGTACCATCACCCTCGAGTTTGGGGTCATCAAAGGGGATCAACACTCCAATGAAGAACATGCACAAGACGTAAAAGATCAAGATCCGGAACAAGACCTTACGGATGGCCAGTGGTAAAGCCTTTCTCGGGTTACGCGATTCACCAGCAGCAATCCCGACAGTTTCACAACCTTGGAACGTGAACGCAGCTGACACCAAAGATTTGAGCCAACCCAAGAATCTACCAGTGCCAATCGGGTTTTTCACAAGATACCCAGGACCCCAGGGGCCAGGGTGTCTCCAATAACGAAACCCAATGGGACCAGTCTTACCTGCACCGCACATGATACAGAGGGCATAGATGATCCACCCCAACACAGCGATAACCTTGATCAGGGCGATCCAGAATTCGAATTCACCATAAAATTTCACTGGGAATAAGTTGAAGACGGTCAAAAGGACGAAGAAAATCGAAATCCAAGCCGCCAAAGGGACGGCGTAAGTCCAACGCTCGATAACTTGACCAACGATAGATAATTCCAAAGAGAAGGTGATAGCCCAAGAGAACCAATAGTTCCACCCGTTGGCAGCCCCCAACGCAGGTGACGCCCATCTTGCGACGAATTGAGTGAACGACCCGGTGACGGGAATATAAGTGGCCATTTCTCCCAAAGCTTGGGTGACCGTAAACACTAACGTCGTCATGAACACGAACGAAATAAGCGACGACACAGGACCCGCAAGCAGAAGGGTGGTACCAGTGGAAATAAACAAACCGGTACCAATAGTACCCCCGAGAGCGATCATGGAGATCATCCGCGGCTTCAAGTCTCGTCTGACTTCCTTGCTATTGCCTTCATCTTCAACTTCGAAGTCTTTGTCGGACACATAATCACCTTTTTTCTCCAAGTCGTACGGGGATGAGTGGGTTTGCACACCGGTCAGAGATCCTTCGGTAACATGTTGGGAGCTCCGACGAGACTGCGGGTGTGAGCCCACATGAGAGAGCTTTTGCTCAATCTCGAGTGACAGCATGGGAATGTTGATGTCCTCCGGTTCCGGTGTCGTGATGTTGAACACCATATCTGCTGAACGCTAACGAAAAAAAATCTGGGGCTGCGTAGGTTGAGTATATATTCGCGTATGCAGCAAGAACGGCAATGGAGAGGGCATCGCTTCCCTGGGTCATTTGACATATTCCGGCGATGCTTTCCTGTACATGAACGGTTTTCCTGCACATAGGTGATCAAAATGCCTTACGGTTTATCGATGCGGAAAGTGCCTTATGGATAAGCTCAAATGTAACGCAAAAACCTGCTTTATCTTGGGGTAGTTCTTTTCTATCTTCACAGATTCTCTCCCCACACTTTCGCTTTACTGAGTAATCGCTTATTTTGCTGAAAATGATAGGCCGTCAAGTCGCTTACTTCAATCCGTAGAGGCTCGCGAGACTTCTATCATAATTCGAGATTCTGAAGGAAATGCCTCCATCGTCGATTATCCTGCAAATTGGGTTAGCCGATATCGGGCTCCGCCGACGACCCGCGATGTTAAACCCTTAAACATCGAGTGAACGAGTTAGACAGTCACTGCCGACTTTTTATGAGGTCCCTCTATGCCTTAGATTTGTGTGATCATCAATTGAACTAATATAAGGATGAATGTTCATCTATCTTCGCCGCACAAGACTCGAATTCTAAAAAACGTTATCCACCCCACTTTAGTCGCCGTGCAGCAGCGGCGATTTCTTTGTCAAAAAAAAAAGAACGACCTCGGGGAGGATTGAACTCCCGATCTTGCGATGTCCTGTGTAAGTAACAGTCGCACGCCTTAACCACTGGGCCACGAAGTCCCTTTCTGACAAATTTTATTTATCTTATTTATAAAGTTAAGAAGAGAAGGCGATTTTCCCGCTTGCTCAAATTCATTGTAGAGTTGGTTTGTGCACTCTGAAAAGAGATAACAAAATAGAAACTTTTTTGTGTCTAAGTTATTGAGCCGGTCAGCTATCTATTTGCTGCATTTTCGCAATTTTCCCTTCAATAATTTGAGCCAATGTGTATTTTTTGGTCCGCAAGTGATGGAAAGTCCCACATAAACGTTTATTGCGTGAACTTGCTTCTGAAATTGATCATAAAGCAAAGTTACAAACGAATTAGGGCTGTTCTACATCTAACAGATGAAAGAAAAGAAAGAAAAACATTTATTGTCCATTGTTTATTGAGGAATAAATCACAGTAAAGCGGTGGATGATAGTTTACTCCCTTCTTCTTTACGAATACATAAATGGAAGGTGAATGTGTAAACATGAACTTCTTTTAGATTTCGCTTGGCTTCATATTTACATTCTGTGCAGTCTTCAGGTAGTTGTGGTTACCCGCTTTCAAATCAATATTCGAGTTTTAATGCATTCGCCACGTAAACTCACTGAGCAAATTAAATATTGTTGGCATTTCTTTTGTCATCAAAACCTCATCAAATGCCCTCGGCAACCTTTACCCGCCTGGTGCATACCCCGAAAATTTCTTTGGAAGCCCGATATTATAGTGACGTCGCAAGCGAGTCGAAATTAACGACACCGGCAAACACTATCATCGCCTAAATAATTGATTTCTTCCTGTAGTAAAGCTTCTGTTCAATCATTTTCTTTTGTTCAAAAATTAGCTCAAAATGTAGTGATGACGGTGCACGGACTGTCTCTAGAAACATCAAAGATTTTGGTCATGTGTTTATTTTAGCCACGTCGGATGTGTACTTCAATGCACCGGAAATCTAAGAGAACTTGTGTGATACGTAAACAAAAGACTAAGAGTTCGGTCATGACCATAGTGGAAGACGTTTGTACATTCGTTGATAATTCAGACTCATTTCAAATTTGAGCAATTGGCAATTCCAGAATGAAAAGAATTTTAACTCTAGCTCCAATAAAATGCGTCAAACCCAAATAAGTAATGTAAAGGGCTCTAGACATCAGCCTCAACTCACCCCTCCTCTCAAATGTAGCGTTTTTGGCTTTATATTGTGAATGGGGATATAAACTACATGCTAACCATGTAGCCAAACATCGATGAACTGGTATATGAAGCGATCTTAGTGTGTTACCTGAGAAATTAGATACCTAGCTCGTTAACTATTTCATATGTCATATTTTCTATTGGGTCACGGCCTCCCTTCCATCCGGAGGTGCACAATCGAAAAAGTCAACGTTCGCGACCCCTGTCGCAGCCGCGTTTGCGGAAAATTTCGGAACGTTGAGGACGCCTCAATAGCCGTGTGACCACACTCATGACGAGGATGGAAGAGAAAAAAAATTCAAACGCCGTTAGTTGGATTAATCCATTCGTTGTAATCACCCAAGTGGAAGCACAAGTACAACTCAAAGGTTTATTCAATTAATTTAAGTGGTTATATGAGTCACTCACGGGCTTTGTGCTTCGACTTGGCGTAAATTATGATTCCGACTTCCCCCATTAAATTGACTCAAGCATACTCCGCTTCCGACACATACGGAATTGACGTGCGCGCATCAAACGCCGCCTGCAATTTGCAGCCACTACCAATAAACGCTATAAATACTCGATTACCGCAAGCTCAACTCTATCAATTCACACTTCAAACAATGATGCTTACAAGAACCATCTTACCAAACTCTTCCCGAGTGTTCGCTCGGTATGCGACTACTATTGCCAGCAACCCCCACACTCCTCAGATCAAGAATAAGAGTGCTGGCGGATTGGGTATCAGCACTAAGGTGTACACCAACGATGAGGTTGCTCAGCATGATGACAACAAGTTCATTTCGCATGCGATGTTCCCTCACCCCAAGTGGACTGACGAAGATTGCGCTTTGGTCCAAGTTGAGCACCGTGAGCCTCAAACTCTTCTGGACAGATTCGCCTACAGCGCAATTCAATTTGTCCGCAAGTCGTTCGATTTCGTTACAGGCTACAAGAAGCTGGATAACTTGGATGATACTTTCAAGGGTACTCGTTATGAAATGACCGAAGCGAAGTGGTTAACCAGAGTAATTTTCCTCGAATCCATTGCTGGTGTACCCGGTATGTGTGCTGGTTTCATCCGCCACTTGCACTCACTTCGTCTTTTGAAGCGGGACAAGGCCTGGATTGAAACTCTACTCGACGAAGCTTACAATGAACGGATGCATTTGTTAACTTTTATTAAACTTGGTCAACCGCTGTGGTTTACCCGTTCCATCATCTACGTGGCTCAAGGCATTTTTACCAACGTCTTCTTCCTTGCATATTTGGTAAGACCTAAGGTTTGCCACCGTTTGGTAGGGTACTTGGAAGAGGAAGCTGTTGCAACTTACACTCATTTGTTGCATCAATTGAAAAAGGGCGAACTCAAACAGTTTGACCACGTCCAAGTCCCCAAGATTGCCACCCAGTACTGGTCCGAATTGAACGAGAACTCCACCTTCTATGATTTGGTTGCCAGAATCAGAGCCGACGAAGCCAAGCACCGCGAGGTTAACCACACCCTTGCCAACTTGTCGCAAAAGTCTGACAGAAACCCATTTGCCTTACAAGTTACCCCCGGGAAGCCCGAACCCAACAATGGCTTGAAAGTGACCCGCGGGACCGGTTGGGAAAAGGATGAAATGACTCTTTGAGCTGTATATAGAGACCTACGAAGTTATGACTAATTAGCACATGAATACATATGAATTTGAGGTATTGTTAGATAAGATGATATGTATTGTTAATTATAATATGGGTTGACCAAAGCAACACATTGTTCATTACTGTGAGCTTCAATCAGCTATCGACTCATCGCTCTTGGATGCATGGACATTATGCTAGGATTTTTCGTCATCATTACAGAATTCGGTATTTGGTGTCAGAGACTTGTGTTGGACCCAAGACATGTCGGTGTCGGTGCGTGAGGCCTCAGGTGGAGGCGACAGCTTGGCTAAAACCGGCAGTGACGGCATGAGGGTGACTTTGTCATCATCCCCATCAAGAGGAGTCAAGTTGTCACCAAACAATGCTTGCCAATCAGTCTGAGGATCACCATTCTTTGTATCTTCAATTGATTTGGCAAGCAATGCCTCAAACTCAACTAATTCCATGTGATGCGATGCTGGTGGAAAGTTTTCCTTGTCATCCTCTTCAATCCCAACGTCATCAAGATTGATCACGCGGGTGTTCAATTTCTCAGCTATCATTGGAGGAGTAACGCCCATGGGAGTGATGCCAGCATCCAGGGGCAAATCGATATCAGTTAAAGGCCCACCAAATGCATTGATTTGGTTCATGAGATCGTTAAATTCGTTGTTGGGGGTACGTCCCACTGTGTTTTGTTGTTTTTGAATGGCCTGGTTGATCACCAGGGGAGTATGCAGGGGGGTCGCAAATTTGGAGGGTGACAGTGCTAGCTTTGAGCATGAGTTGCGGTGTGATTCAGAATGCAAGATATTATCGCCTTCATTATCCAGCTTTTGCTCCTTCTTTCTGCGCTCATCCTTAAATTTTCTTTGCTGCTTATACTTGCGTACCACCAGTTCTGGACGCATGAACCCTTTCGCCCTCAAAAAGAGGTAACACGCGTTACATAAAGGGCCATACATTCCTTCGTAGAGCCGCTTATCGAACTTGTCTGTTTCACGAGGGATTTCATGGTAGTTAGAGTGGAAGCCAGTTTCAATGTATCTCCATGAAGGCAGCATTTCAGCCCGACAATTGTTATTAATGCAACAAAGCCCATGGTTATCGGGTAATGTATTACCCGCCACGATATGGCAACGTTTGGAGTCCAAGTCTTCAACGTCTGGAAGAGCCTGGAACTTATGATCAAGCATGAACGTGTCTTCATTATCATCGTTGGTGCGGAAACTATTGGTGTAGTCATTAGCGCGATAGTCGCCATTATAGTCGAGGTCATCCGTTTCGTCACTCAACTCTTCGTGAATAGGCAGTGATTGGAGGGGGTAGTTCGTTAAGACCAGCCGAGTACGCATGGCACGAGCGGTCGGGGTTGAAGCTGACTTATTGTTCCGCGCCTGTCGGTTCATGTCTTGGAGGAATGGCGCCAGCTTGAATCGGTCTTTGACCAGATTCTGATCAAACCGCAGTTCGCGGCTTTGCTGATCGGCATTCATGACGGATAACAACAGCGGAGTCGCCGAAAACAATGGAAGCGACTTTGTGCGAGTAGCCTTGACGGCGCCCAGCGCCGATCCAATGCGTGACCTCTTTCCCGACGTCGCCGGTGCGGAATCAGCCTGACGTTTCTTGTCATAGCCGCCAAATACTTCGATGGTGTTGAGCTTGAGTCGGATCTCCAACGTCCACAGAGCTTCACGATCATCTCCAAACAAATTGGCACTCATATTCTGGCATACTCTTCCTGCCACCATTCTCAGTTCGTTGCCATTGAGGAATTGGCTGAGGTTTCCGTGACCGACAAAAGGTTCGTCGGGCTGTTCGGTGATGTCCTTATAGTAGACAGCGTAGTCACAACTGTCAAGCTTGAAGTTGTCGGGTGACCCTTGGACGATTTCCATCGCACAAAGTTTGAGGTCGACGCCACCGACGGTCATGGGGTCACCATTGGCACCAGCTATCTCCGCCAACTTGACGGGGAACTGAGTTTGAGTTCGAAGAAGGAATGGTGTTTGTGAATCATCGAAAGTGTATAACACCTTGATTGGCATCCTCCGGGTTTCAGTCATCCTCGTCAATTGCCCGAGTTGTGCCCGAGTGGTGTTGCTGCTAAAAATTCTGTGGTGGGTGTGCACACCTGTATTAGGCTGGGTTTCGCAACGATGCCTCAGTCAAAACAACGCGCGCGCGTCAGGTCAAGAATGAGACGCGTTTTCAGGGCTAAAACGACGAGCGAGAGGGCGGAAAAAAACTAGGCTTTGGCCGAGGCACAGTCCCAGTATTTATAGTGCGACTCTTACTCGGTGGTCACTTAGCTAGCGGGATTAAGGGTGTCCTCCTGTTTACGACGTCTCTAGCTGCATTGATCGCGCGTGTGGAGCCCGGGCCGTTGCTGACCAACGATGGGGTTGCTTCTCTCCTTTCGCATCACCTGCCGATCCCGGTTAATGATAAGTGCCTTAGGCAGTAGCACGAGTCGTCGACGTACGCCCTTTGTCATGTAATAAGCGGCATGGCCTTGCGTGAGTGCTGGCTGAGCCCGCAGCTAATCAACACTGATGACCATTAAAACCGGTAGGAAAGGAAGATTATGGTTTTGAGGGTGGCCCTTCATATCTTTCGGTTGGAGGTACCTTGGCTAAGTTACGGTTGCTCGCTAGTTGGCGCATACATGCTTAAATCGAGATGGTTGACTTCCCCATTCGCTGCGACAGACGTATGCATCAGTGCTCAGAACCAAATCATAACCCCGAAGAAAATTGTCCATCTTTCCGTAGCCATTAACATGAATAATCCATGATGATTTCATTTGATGGGGATGGTTTGTGTGCTTCGGGAATTTGATGTTTGCTTATTTTTAGGCCTGCCGCCCAGCCCCCCCTGTAGATGCGTATTCTCCCCCGCGCACGACATGTCGGGCCAGCAGATTGTGACTGCCAATCAGAATCACACGACCTTTTGTGGAGGTAAAGGAAACTCCAGTAAAAGGTTCATCGTTTGTAGTGGGCGAGAATCCCCGTTCGCCACCGCGTGACCAAGTTTTTAGGGATGAGAGAGATCGGGACACGATGCTCCTGCAAAAATGCGCGCCCCAGATTTTTGGCTGCGAAAAAATGTGCTTACATCGAGTCAAGTCAAATATATGCAAAAATTGTTGACGACAACAAAGTCGACCGAAATATATACAAATTAACCACTATTTATATCAACAATGAACCCAATGTGGTTAGTTGAGCCCAACAAGCGTGCGGATTTTAGTAATATTGGCATCGGCGATTGCTTTGGCCTTCGCAGTGCCTTCATCCAACACTGATTGCAAATAAGCAGGGTCGTTAACGAGTTTATCGTACATTGCCCGCTTAGGACGGAACTCTTCAATAAGAACTTCCGCGGTGTAGTCCTTGAGTTGTTTGTGAGATGTCATGTGCTTAATTTCGGCTTCAACTTCTTCAATGGTTCGATTCGTAACACCAGCAATGATCAGTATTAAATTGGAGACTCCGGGTCGTTGAACAGGATCATAATATATGGTTCCTTGAATGGAATCAGTCTGCGCCTTGCGAACCTTTTTGCTAATTGCATCAGCGTCATCAGTAACATAGATACAACCCATTTGGTCAGGGTCCAGCTTCGACATCTTCTTTTGAGGGTTTCTCAAACTCAAGATTTTCTGCAGTCTGGACAATAATGTGGTGGGAATGACGAAATGGTCAGTGTTGTATTGATGGTTGAACGATGATGCCAAGTATCTCGCAAGCTCCAAGTGTTGCAGTTGATCATCACCCACAGGGACATGAGTGGCGTTATAAATGAGGATATCTGCCGCCATAAGTACTGGGTAGGTGAATAGCCCGGCTTTGGTACGCTCCAATATCTTATCATCGAAAATCAGCGACAGTTCCGCATGTTGTCCCTTCAGCTTCCACTGGGTCATACGGTTAAGGAAACCCATCCCAGTGATACAGGTCAAGATCCAGGTGAGCTCAGTATGGGCAGGTACCAGCAGTTGGTGGAAAATGGTGCACTTTTGGGGATCAAGGCCAGCGGCGATGAGACTGGCAACAGCTTCGGTACGGCACTGGCGAAGCTTATTCGGATCCTGAGGCATAGTAAGGGCGTGTAAATCGGCAATGCCATAGATGTAACGACTGTTGGGCAGCTCAGATTCGGAGATGTTCTTCCACGCCTTGATGGCGCCAAGGTAGTTTCCCAAATGGATATTACCCGTGGGCTGAAGAAGAGAGAACACCGTCGAGTTGGCCGGTACCTTCGGCACCACCTCGAGCTTCTGTACTGTCTTCAACACTCGCAAAGACGATCGCATCAGGCGGAGGGCAGGTTCGCGCTATCGCATCAAATGTGGCACGTAAACAACTTAAGCTACCGGCTTTGTGCAATGAGCTACAAAATCGTGTGAGCCATAATTTGGTGAAATTTGATAAACAACTCAAACGAATAGATAGATTGAAAACATTAACGTCGTAAAGAGTTGTGGTATTTCTATTCAAATAAAAATAATAAAAAAAAAAACGCATTGCTGGTGATGGCAATGGGTGTCTATATAAAATCACTATGTCATGGATAGGATCTTGGACTCACATCGAGAATAATTAAGCACGGGCAGACGAGAACTCTCGGATTGGTGATTGGTATTCAGCACTATTAAACCCTATGCAGTCGTTTTCTAAGTCAGGACGAAGATGCACACGACAGATGACATCGACGTCACTTGCGGTCGCAAATGAAACCACCGTTGACGTTGTTGACTTCAATACCATTATCCTGCAACCGCTTCTCCAACTTTTGCCGCTGTAACTCCCGCCAGCGGTTCAACTTCAGATACTCGTGGAGCTTGAATCCAAACACTCGGGGCACGTACATCTGCTTCAGGTGGATGGGGATGGCCTGAGGGAAATTTTGGAAAAACATTGCCGGGAACGACGTGCCGAAATAGGCGCCGTCAACCACGGCGTGGCGTCCCAGCTTGGGGTTGAATAAGTCCTCGCACTTGGCGCAGTATAACTTGACCGGAGCCACCTTGGGCTGGTCGTTGAGCCCAATAGGCAATAACGGGTGCAACTGGCAGTGTACCCGGGGGCAGTAGCCAAAGTCTCCCTGTCGGTATTTTTCGAACATTTTGTTGAGCCCCCTCAGCGTCAAGATGTAACGGGCGTGGATGAGCCCGTACAACATGCGAGCGTTCTGTTCCAACTGTTCCCGGGCCTCGACCGGGTGGTTTTCTATGTCGTTGATATCGGTGATGATGTCAATAAGCACCAGCAACTTCAGCACTTCTTGGTTGAGACCGGTGAGGTTAAATCGATCTCTGATGTACTCATCGTCAATGTCGCAGAAGTACTCGTTCCCCTTGATCCCCAAGAACAAGTCGATCCAGTACTCGGTAAACTCCGACAGTGTGTCGGCCACGTACTCGTCACCCATGGCGATGGTATCCCATTGTAAGATGCCATCATTTGTTCGCGGGCCCGCGAGCGCGCGCAGCACCCTCCTCCCGCCGCCAGCACCTTGAGGGACAACCGCTGGCGAAGGTGCGAAAACCGCGCTGAGGACGAGTTACGGCGATGAAGTTTGTCGCCCACGACGCCACCCCCGAGCTCAGATGTGTCGACGTCAATCGCGACTACGTCATCACCGGTGGCGACGGCCTCGACGTCTACCCAACTCTGCTGTTGAGTCCCGAGCACGTGACGCTTACCCCCCACCACATCGACCACCCCGCCATCGTCTACACCGTCGCCATTAAACCTACCAACAATTCGGTGGTGTTTGGCGATAATGACGGCCATCTTTGGTTCTACGATATGGATGACGCCGACAGTGCCCCCAGAAAACTCTATCCCATGGTGGAGCGCAGCTCGCGGCCCCAGATCGTGCTGATTGCCTGGGACCCGTGTGGCCACATCTTTGCCTTCAGTACCGATGATGCCAAAGTGTGGATTTATGATCTCATGAGACAAACCATACAGGAGCTCACCACGCTTGATCGGACCAAAGAGAAACCGCTGATCCAGCGACTGTTGGCATTTGACCCTACAGAGAACTATCTTGTCACTTGTGGCGACGATACTATGGTCTACGTCTACCAATGGTACACTAGTGTTGGCAATTACAAGTTCAGACTCGTCCACAAAAATACCAAGCTCGTCAACTCGGTGCCGCTCCTTTGTGACCAACGCCGCATCTCGTGGCTGCCTGATGGCGAGCTTGTCGCCATTCCTCTGGCGCTGAAGCAGCATACCACTCTTATTTCACTCATGTCGCTTTCCCAAGGATGGAACCATCGTGTCAGTCTCGTTGGCCATGGTGTCGGCTGTGCTGGCGCTCAGTTTAATCCGAAGGTATTCACGTCAGCTGAACCGGCGACAGGCGAAACAATCTATTTCATTTTGGCATCGATTGACACCAATCGCAACTTGGCCATTTGGAACACCACTAAAGAAAAGCCTATCTCCACTCTATCGGAAGTGTTCAAGAGCGCCGCGGTGGATTTAGCCTGGCACCCTGATGGCCAACTTTTGGCGGTGGTCTCACCTGAAGGCAAGTTGGGCGTAGCCTACTTTGAGCCCAAGGAGCTCGGAGTTGAGGTGGGCCCTGAAGTGCTCAAACAATTGAAATCATTACATGATGAACACGTGAAGCCGATGGATTTCAAATACAGTGATGCACCGCCTCAAAGAGGCAAGAAAGCTCAAGCAATTGAGATGGTCGACCAACTGCAAGCTATCGACGTTCTTAAAGAAAAGCCGGAGTCCGGGTCAACCGAAGTCGTCAAGGATGAAAAAAGTTCAACACCCGCAGCGCCGACTGAGGAGGATAAATCTCCGGTGTTTGGCGAAATTGTACCTGAGATTCCCGAGGTGGACACCCAAATCAAGTCGGAAACTCCTTCGACACCACCGACGACAGCTGCCCAACCCAAAAGAGGCAAGAAGCGCGTCACTCCCGTCACCGCCTCGGCAACTAATCAAAAAGTCACCACAAAAGATGGTAAGAAGCGAGTGAAACCTACCCTTATATCAAACGGCACATCTCTGGCGCTGGCGCTGGTGCCGGCGATCTCATCCTCAATTGAGCAAGATCTGGGAATTCCAAAGTCGCTCATGGAGTTGAATAAGACCAGCTATGGTGTCAGTGAGGCTTACGCAAAACAGATCAAACGATCGAAGCAAGAGGAAGGGACCAGCAAGAAGCTAAAGCGGGACCTTGAACCCGTGAAGTTTATTGGTCTGGTTATGGTCAATCCCACGATTGCATTCTCTAAAGTGAGACTTGCTACCCCCAAAGTTCGTCTTCATATTCAGGTTGGTACTCCGAATGGTACGTTGGAGATCAGAAACGGTAGTGGTAATGAAACCATGCCGACGAGAATCTCGTTTCTTAAAAAGGAGCGCCAAGTGTGGTGTGATTTCATCCCGCGATACGTTCAGCTTGTCACCACTAGCGATGAGTTTTTGGCTGTGGCTACACTGGATGGTCAAATCATTATTTACGCACAGGATCTGGGCAGAAGAATATTACCCCCAATGATGCTTGGAGCGCCATTGGTATTCTTTGAAAGCCAAGGTCCGTACCTTATGGCGGTGACTCTGGTGGGTGAGCTTATGGTGTGGGATGTGACTCAGAAAAAGATCCATCTTCTGACAACGCTTGCCCCCGTGTTGGAGTTATCAGCAAAATTCCAGGAAGACGGTCTTTCTAAAAGTGACAATATCACTATGTGTCTGGTGCTGGAGAAGGGTACTCCCGTGGTCACGTTGTCCAATGGTGCCGGCTACTTATACAACACGGGCATGGCAGTGTGGCAAACGGTCTCTGAGCTGTGGTGGCTTTTTGGGTCGCATTATTGGGATCTGAATGAAGATGGTGATGCTAGCGCCAAGAAGGATGGTGATAAGGAAGGACTGATTCTTGATTTACTTGAACATCGTACTAATGATGAGGTCATCCGCAAGACCCGTACTGGACGGGGCAAGTACTTCAACAAGATCAATAAGAACATGATGATGAAAGAAGGTTACGAAGATCTCGAAAACTCCATCTCCATTTCTCATTTGGAAAACCGCATGCTTGTGTCGCAATTACTTGGTGAACAGAAAGAGTTTTACAAACACTTCCAAACTTATTGCTCGCGTATTTGTGAGCTTGGGTTAAAGACTAAGTTGTTTGAAGTGTGTCAACGGTTACTTGATCCCAGTACCCCGCAGTTTACTGATAAAAGCAATCATGATCTCTTGCGTGAGGTGGTGGAACTGTGTTCTAAGCACCGTGATGTTCAACGCATTTTGATTCATTTTGCGAAGAAGTTGGAATTAGTCTAGGGATAGTGTGTACTAAGACAGAATCTAATAAGCAGTGTTGTCATCGTAAACCTTTACGCCAAATGGGGGATCAACAATACGCTTGATACCTTCAGTTTTAGAAATGTTGTTGATGGTTTCCCCGTCCTCGTCAGATAACTTGACAACCTCAAAGTTCAGCTTGATCCGTTGAGGGTTGACCAGCTTGGGGAGAACCACGTATTCACGCCATAAAGCCCACAGAATCATAATAGTTGCCGGAGGCACGCCGTATTTCTCCCCAAGCTTGGCGAGAACAGGGTTATCCAAAAGAGGAGAGTTGGCACTTCCCAATGGACAGTAAGCCTCAATCTGGATGTTTTTGGCCTTGCAGTACTTGATCAATTCTTCCTGGGGAAGAAGGGGGTGTATTTCCACTTGGTTGGCAGCAGGAGTCACCTTAGTAGAAGGAGCCAGCAACAATCTTTCCAAGTTGGTGATACTGAAGTTGGACACCCCAATTGCCTTCACCTTAGACGGGTCAAGTTCTTGCAATTTGGCGTAGGTGTCGACAAAGTCCACCAGAGGGTCAATGGCCCACAGACCATCAGCCCGCTTGGGGATGAACTTGTCATTGCCATTAGTAGTGTCGAACGCCACTGGCCAGTGGATCAAGTACAAATCGATGTAATCGGTGTTCAACGCCTTAAGAGCATCGTCCAAAGCCTTCTGCGGGTTTTGGTGTTGCGTAGACCATAACTTAGTGGTGATGAAGATCTCACTCCGGGGGATGCCCAGGTCTTTTACAGCCCGGCCAATTGCTTCCTCGTTGTCATAAAAGTAAGCCGTGTCAATGTGACGGTAGCCAGTAGCAAGTGCTTCTTTGACGGCACCATAGACTTCTTCGGGTGTCAGGAGAAAGGTACCCAAGCCAATGGCCGGGATTTTAGCGCCAGTGTTCAAAGTGTAGGACATTTGGTGGCGGTTATTGCAGGGGTATGGCTCGGATTATATAGCCGGGCAAGAGACAATAGGCGAGACGTACGGCCCTCCTGCACCCCGGGCTTACTAATTTGTCCATGATTTACAACAATGCTAAGACATTAGATTAAGCGTGGGATATTCTATTGAATGTGATTGTTTTATTTAATGAATTTGCAAACCAGCAGTCGGAATTTTTATCTTTTGGGGTGGTGAGGGATCTTAAATTCCGCTGATACTGTAAGCGCATAATTCGGTATAACTTGTTAATACGAGAAACCGTTCCGCGGTGAATAGCTGAGCGCCACAATACTTCCTGCGTTGACTATATACAATTATTGAAGCTTGAAAGTGTTGTTGTTGTCCCATCCACGAGCACCCAATTGACCCGTTACTGGACCTTGTTCGCCATTGATGAGCTTTGAACCTGAGATGTATTCGACGTAGCCACTAGGACCACACACCACACTCAAGGCCGCAGGCTCCTTAGGTTGATCTATTGTCGTTTGAGCCCGAGCAAGAGCGTTGGGGAAGTACGTTCCCCGTTCGGTCTCTTGCGGAGCCTCTCTGGCCTTCTTGCGGTCTTCTTCCTCGAGAATCTTCATTCTGTTTTTAAGCTTCTCCGCCGACGACAAGTCGCCTTGCTCCTCAGCTTTCTTCTCCTGTTGTTCCAAGCGCATAGCACTTTCATAGTGGGGCTTGGCGGGCTCAGGGAAGTCTTGAGGTTTGAGTTTAGTACCTTCGGAATCATAGTGACGTACAACCTTCACGCGATCAAGTTTCTCCAAAAAGAACAAAAACCGATCGAGAGGACCCAACTCACCAGGCTTACGTGCCGAGTAATGGATAGTGACGTATCCCCTGTAAGGGTTACGAGACATTAATACCTGAAGAATTGGCGCAATACCAGTGCCGGCCCCATAGAACACCAAGTTATCATGCGCGGGCAACTTGAATCGCTTGTAGATATTTTCCACGCCGTTTTCAGCTTCCACCTTCAGCGGCAAGTCTCTGAATGTGGGCCGGTTGTAGTGAGCCCGAGCCGGATGGTATGGAAGCTTAAAATCGATATCGGGCCCCCGCAATAAGAGTTCATCGCCCACATTTCGATTAGTAATATATCTCAGGACCTCGCCGTCGTTGTACCGTTTGACATATAAGCACATCAGCCCACCTTTATCGTAATCAGTGGCATCATCATCAATTACTCGCAACAACGGTGCCCTTTCTCCCAGTCTCGTGTACTCAGACTTCATGAAGTAAAGCGGCAACGGGGTGTATGATCGTACCACAGAAATATCAGGCTGTTGTACTTCGACCAGCCACATACGGTCCCCATTCCACGGCAGTTTTTCGTTGTAGTTGACGTAGTACAGATATTGCCAGTGCTTCAGCTTGGGAACCAACTCAATGAGATAGTGATCATCATCAATTTGTTCCTTGTGAGTAACGATAAACGTGTGAAATTTCTGCGGATCCAAGATGTCTTGTGCCTGCTCTTCCTCTTCGCTTGGATAGATCCACACTTTCACCATGTACGCCCCCCATAACACCACTACTGCGGTGATAATTTTTGGGAGGTACCGTGTCCATCGATTCACCGTTTTCGGCTTGGTTTGGCCCACGGTATCCTCATTGGGAAGCGAAGGGTACTCATAGCTGAGTCGCTGGTGTTGCGAACGAGGGATGTAAGGTTTCTGCTGGCGTTTCAAGAGCATCTCAAGCCCTTGGCCATCGGTGGGTGCCGGTGCCGCTGGCAGCGTTTGTCTTTTCACTTTGAAATCGCCGATCTGGTGATCATCTTTGCGTGCCACCTGTTTGTCGTCGTGGGCGGGTTTCTTGTCCTCATCAGGCTTTTGCTTGTTATCACTGTAAAACCGAATACCCAAACATGGCGTCCGAGTTCGGAATGACGGTACCGACGCCCGGAGGATTACTCGTGATAGCATTGAGGTGCTGAGATCGCGCCAAAAGTGAGATCCAACGGCTGGTAAACAAAGTAACACTATTACCAAAGAAAAATTACGAGGTGATTATATTAACTGTCGCAAGTGGCTAATGACTTACTTTTATTTTCGTTATCGATGCTTTCTCTACCTGTACATTAACCAGTACTTTTCACATTCAACTACACACCGTGGGGTGCGAAGTCGTGGATATTTAGTCAGCGATGGAGCTTGTGCACAGCATCGATGCCCACCACAAGAAGTGCTGGAGTGTTTCGGCTCATCCCACGCTCCCCCTCATTGCCACGGCACTGGGTGATAAGTCGGCGAAGGTTTTCAAAGTCGGCGGCAAGTATCCTGAGCTTGGCCATCTTGAAGAGACCCATAAGCGGTCGGTGAGAACGGTGGCGTTCAAACCCCCCGTGGGCGGGGTCGACGAACCAGCCCAGGACTTCTTTGACCTTCCAGCGGTGGCGGTAGGCTCGTTCGATCTGACGATCTCGGTGTGGGGCATCGACGAGCCCGATACTGAGTATGACGAACTGGAGATGATGGCCCATCAGAAGGAGATTCTCACCAGCACGAACAACCAATGGAGTTTGATGGCAATCATTGAAGGCCACGAAAATGAAGTGAAGTGTGTCGCTTGGAATTGGCAGGGGACGTTGTTGGCATCGTGTCTGCGTGACAAAACCGTGTGGATCTGGGAGACTGATCCTGAGACTCTAGAAGAATTTGAATGTGTTCTGGTACTCAATGATCATCTGGGAGACGTAAAGCATGTGGCATGGCACCCTCGCCAGGACTTATTGGCGTCGCTGAGTTACGATGACACTATTCGCATCTATCGTGAAGACGATGACGATTGGGAGTGTGTTGGCGTGCTCAATGGACACGAAGGCACGGTATGGTGTCTGCAATTTGACCCCCGCAGCCTTGGTATCCGTTTGGTTCTGGTAAGTGACGATATGACGGCGCGGATATGGCGTACTAATGACGAACTCCCCGATAAAAGCGGCGAGCTTCCGTCGCTGATTCGTCGCTCAGCGGAAATGGAATGGATCGAAGAGTGCACGCTTCCTCGGGCTCACAAGTACCCTATCTACTCGGTGGCATGGTCTAAGACTAGCGGCCGTATTGTCACCGCGGGAGCTGATGGCATGCTTGTGGTATACGAAGAGTCTGATGGGAAATGGACGATTGTTGCCACCAAAGAGTATGCCCATGGAGTGTACGAAATAAATAGTGTCACGTTTGCCGAGGCGGACGATGGCTCCGAGGTCATTGCCAGTGGTGGTGACGACGGTAAGGTTAACGTTTGGACACTCTGCCGGTGATTTTTTAGCCATAACGAAATCATGACGTATAATTCTAGATTTATATAATTACAATGAACAAGATAAGCGCCAACAATCCCAGGAGGATCATTAAGCAGTAGCACATCCGTCCTCCGGTGCGCTTTTGGTAACGTTCGGCCCGCCGTAACTCCTGGTGAGCGCCGCGGACGTCGCTCGAGTAGTTGAAAAGGTTTTCTTCAATGTTATCAATTTGAAACTGTTGCTGGTTCACCACACTCAGCAAATTGTCGAAGATTTCGTTGATTTCCATCGTGTCCTGGTGGATACGGTGGATCTCTTGTTCGCGTTGGCGGATGGCGAACAGCTGTTGCTCAAGCTCTTCAGCATTGATCGGTTCGTAATTGATTTGCACTTGAGGCACCCCTCCATTTTGGGCAGATGGTGTCAGAGTATTTGCTTCTGTGGTAGCTTGAGCGTTACGGATCCGTTGAAACCGGCCGAGTGCTTCGCGGATGAGCTTCATTTGCAACCCTTCCTTTTGCCGCAAGTAGCGGATAACCTCAATGTCCTCCTTGTCCTTCTCCATTTGCTCAAGCAAGCTCAGAAGCTGGCGGACTTGGTCGTTCATCTCCTTGAACTGCTCGGCGACATCGGTGTCATTTACCGGGGGCGACAGAAGCAATTCGTTGACACGATGGAGGCGAGCATCAACCCCACTGCTAAGCTGCTCAAACTCGGGATAGTCCTTGTATCGGTTGGAGGCCACGCTTCCCTGCTCTAGATCATCGGCATAGGTGTTAAAGCTCATGGGAGGCTAAAGGGTGGCGTGTGCATGCGATAAGAGTATTGTCTTAGTCAGACTAGTGAGGAAGCTTAGTCATCAGTTTTTTTATAATAAACGAGACCATCAGCTAACAGCACTCCTAACCATAGTAAGTCCGGCAAATATTCCAATTTCTGTCAGGCGCTATCCGTAGCCAAATTGGTACTAGGTTTTTTTTTTCGCTTCTGGCAACCCGCATTATCATTAGCGATACGAAACATTGACGAGAGTTAGCGTCAAATGCCCCATATTTCGCACTGACTCATATATGCCACTAGCGCCGCAGCCAGCCGCACTCCGGGCCGGGATCGCAGCGTTTCCTACTGGTAAGCTTAAAATTTTTCAAATCAACATTTTGAATTAGCCATGGCCGGGGATAAGAAACAGGTCGATCCCACGAAGTCGTTCATCGCTGGTGGTACCGCAGGGGCCATCGAAGGCGTGATCACCTACCCGTTTGAGTTTGCCAAAACCCGGCTCCAGTTGATCGATAAGCTGTCCAAGCTGAGTCGTAACCCCTTGGTGCTTATCTACAATGTGGCCAAGACTCAAGGGGTGGGCGCATTGTACGTGGGGTGTCCCGCCTTTGTTGTTGGTAATACTGTTAAGGCGCTGGTGCGGTTCCTTGGGTTTGACTACATCAAGCTGTTGTTAGCCGACAAGAACGGCAAGTTGAGTGGTCCTCGTGGGGTGGTCGCCGGTCTTGGTGCCGGTCTTCTCGAGTCGGTAGTGGCGGTGACGCCGTTTGAGGCGATCAAAACCGCCCTCATCGATGACAAGCAGCTGCCACACCCCAAGTACCAAAACGGGCTCATTTCGGGGTCGGTGAAGCTCTGTCGCGACTTAGGGGTGAGAGGGATCTACGCCGGGGTGGTGCCGGTGTCGTTGCGTCAAGCGCTGAACCAAGCGGTGCGGTTGGGGTCATACAATGCCCTCAAGACGATGATCCAGCAGGCCCTGGGCAAAAAGCCCACCGACCCGTTGTCGGCGGCGGCCACCTTTGCCGTGGGTTCGTTTGCTGGCGTCATCACCGTGTACACTACCATGCCCATTGACACCGTCAAGACGAGAATGCAAGCGCTCGGCTCGGAGAAATTATACAAGAACACCCTCGACTGCTTCGTCAAGATCTTCAAGAACGAAGGGCTTTTGACCTTCTGGAGAGGGGCGACGCCAAGATTGGGCCGGTTGGTGTTGCTGGGGGGTATTGTGTTTACCATCTACGAGAAGATGTTGATCATCTTAAACTAGGCATGGAACTATATATATATATATAGCATCAATATTAATCATGAGAAAAATAAACTTTTATATTGTGAAAAGTGCCATTATCATACATTAGAGAAAAGAGTGTGGTAAATCATTCACGGTCGGCGTTGTCCGTCGCTTCGGTGATGGTGGTGGTCAGCGTCGGTTGTTGCGGTGCCAAAATTGCCCTTTCGGTCAATTTGACCCGGTAGTAGTCTATTAAAGCCTGGATGATGATGAACAACCCAAATGCAATGAGTCCGTACGCCAAGTAAGGCGCCTTGATATCGAGCCACCCGCCGCTGTCGTCATCGTCGTCGCCAACAGTCACAGTACTGTTGGAGAGAATCAGCTTGAAAGAGTCGGTATACGTGGCCACTTTCGCTCCCAGCCACAATTCGTTCACTTGAAAGGGGTCAACGGCAATTAATTTTGGCGGGAGCTTAGTGGCGCTGCCCATATTCAGCGGCACCCGTTTCCATCCGTACATGATGAAGGTAATGCCCAACCCGGTCCGGGCGCCGTTCTTAGCGGCATGGGACGTGTGCAAGAGGTAGCAGAGTACAAACCCCACAAATTGGAACGCTACCAGTACAAGCACGTTCCACACGTAGTTGGCAATATTGCCCACGGGGAGGCCGTCGACAAATACTTCGTCCTCATATATGGGGGAAATCACTGTCAGTTCCCAGTATTCGGGTGACGAGTCAGCAGCCGCTTCCTCATAAGTTGGAGGATTAATCTCTCGTTGGTGGGCTTCAGCGTCCAGCTCCGGCTTCGCCAGAAGGTTGCGGAACACCCCGTCGGTGCCCAGACCAATGAACCGGCCCGGTCGATTAGCCTGCATTCTGCCGGTGGTGATCCCGTTATTTAGCCGTTCGTAGGTGGTCCGGATCGGCACCCATCGGTGGAACATGTTGACGGCTCTGTCTCTCGCCAGCGGGGGACGGAGGCCGCCCTGGTTCTCTAGATCGTGGCTCAGGCCCTCAGTAAGAGGATGGGACGCGGAACCATCGTCATGAGAGGTATTTTCGACGCGGCGGTTGTGGTCGTCATCGCTATCGCTGGCATCACCGTCGCGACTAAACAACACCGAGTCGGTGGCGGAGTCGCCGGTAGCGTCCATAAGCCGATGCAGCTCGTCGTTGGAGTTGTTGTTACCCGAGCCACCCGGCTCAGTGGGGTCCGAGCCGGGGAGAGAGTCGTACTGATGGCGACTCGATCGGGGTGGCAGCATGTCTGGGTGGGGGGGTTTTGAGGCTCGGCTCAAGACCACTATCGTGAGACGATCTTATCCGAGCGGACACGTACGTCACGTGATGCGACCATCGAATTCGGTAAACGTAGGTATTGATTTTTTTCTTTTTGGGTGGGCTAAGCGCGGGCTACCCGTCATGCGAGCGTAAAAGTCAAACTACTAAGATAGGTCTATGTAATTATAGAGCCAATTTGAGACTAGTGGCTGCCATAGTGGCTTCTAAGATTTTTGTAGACGCGAGTGGCCTGGAAATGGGCGGCAATGATCCATTCAGTGATCCACACGGGGAAGTACCGTCCGAGAAGGTGGAGGCGGTACAGGTAAGTACCTTCATAAATGTTAAAACGATGAGGCCGGCGAGATAATTGATCAAGTACTCGGCGAGCATACACTTCGGGCTCCATCGTACCCACGCGAGCCATATTCAGCACGTCTCTAATACTTTGGATCATTCCCTGGACGTTATAGCGAGAATGTGTGGGGAGAGTACTCACCTCCACCGGGTCAGCGAAGCCGGTATTGACGCCTCCAGTAATTAAAGAGTGAACTTTAACGCCTAAAGGTTCCAATTCTGAGTGGAGCCCCCACGCGTATTGATCAATTGCTGCTGAAGTCGCCCCGTAAATCAGACACCATTGTATGGGGATCCGACTACCTACCAGTGACTGGAAAACAATCTGACCCTTCGCTGTAATGACGTAGTCGATGAATTGGCGCACCACATACATGGGACCGTAGACGTTAGTCTCATAAGATTGGCGAAGATCAACATCGGTAAATTCCACTCCGGGAGTGCCCCCTAAACAAACGCCAGCGTTGAGGAATAACACGTCGAGACGGGTAGTCAACTCTCTCACCTGACTATAAGCTTCCACAATGCTGTCAGCATCCTGAATATCGGTGGCGAAAGTATGGACGGCGGCGAACCGCAGCTTGATTGGATTTAACTGCCAGAGTTCACTTTCAGGAGCAAGAGCAAACACCACGTAGCCCCGTTCAGCATATTCTCGAACCAACTCGCAGCCAATGCCCCCAGTGGCACCAGCAATAAGTGTATACTTCGTCATGGCCCTAAAATTTAGGGGTTAGCTTTACTCCGCAGTTACCGCATATCGGGCTGGCGCAGGTCGTCTGCAGGGTTCTGGCCCCCCGTTCTGCAGCGGCGACGCTCACTCGGAAAAAACACTCCATGAAAGGTGCCACTAAACGGATCGACGAAAACGTCAGTTTCGGAAGCGATAAGTCACATGCACCTTATCGGCAGTCCATTGTCAACCAGTGGTGGCATGATTTTTCCTCCAAGTGAGAGCATAACTTTTACGAAAAGTGGGGTGATTACTGTAGTTTGTCATATTGTCTTTCACTAGGATGTACCCCTGCTGTTTACAACTGTTTCTGCTTCTGCTGCTGCTTGCGGACACGTTCACGAAGCGCCCGGTACACCGCCAATGCCTGGAAGTGTCTCAGCACCCCCCACTCGACAAGGAAGTACGGAATGAACCGCGACACCCAGTGGAGGAAGTAGGCCTTGCACCCGTGGTACAAGTTGAAGCGGTCCCGCCGGCTCAACACGTCGCTCACCACTGCGTCGGCGTAGCTGCGGGGGCTGATATTGTCTCGTCTCGACATCATCGCCGACGACCGCATCGAGGCAATCATCCCGGGGACATCATAGCGAGACCCGGCCATCGACAGCACCGTGTTGGCGTCGCAGATGGCGGTGTCGACACCACCGGTGATGACACTGTGGACCCGCACCCCAAACGGCTTCATTTCGGTGTGTAACGTGCCGGCGTAGGCGTCAATGGCGGCCTTGGTGGCGTTGTATAACGACACCCAACTCAACGGCACCCGCGCCGCCACCGACGACGTGAACACAATCAGCCCTTGGCGATTGATAACATACTCCGCCATGTACTTGGTCATGTACATGTGACCAAACACATTCACCAGGAACAACTTGATCAACGCGTTGTTGTCGAATTCGGTGGCAGGACCCGCAATAGAAATGCCGGCGTTGTTGTAGAGCACGTCAAGGTTGCCGCCTTCGGTGTGTTGCTTGACAAACTCGGCTGCCTTTTGGCATTGAGTAGGGTCGGTGATGTCCAAAGCATAAGTGATCACTCCATATTTTTCCTTGAGGTCGTTAGCTTCCCAAAGGGTCGACTCAGGAGCCATGCATATCACCTTGAACCCTTGTTCAGCGAAAACGGTACACAACTGGATACCGATACCACCGGTACCGCCTGAGATCAAAGCGTATCTAGTCATTAGCCGAATGGGCTCTGGTAGCGGCAATCTCACGATGTATATACGCCATTGTCACATGGCTCCCAACTTACATGCAGTAAATGTTGAGTAAATGAGGGGAGCCCCTCCTATAGCTTCATGGAAGCCCGTTACAAAAATGCCAGCAGTGCTACTGGCAGCAGGTTCGGCTCACATGAGCGGAACGCCACTCTCCAAATTGTGGGGACAAATGGCATACCGTTCGCATCCGAGGTACCAGTAACGGTATATCGCAGAAACCTGCGCAAGTGACAGCTATATAAACGCCTGTAACTGACGATATACAATCATTAAAGGCAATCATGTTTTTATAGTATATCATGATTATTTGTAGTGGGGTAAAGACACCCTAACTGGACCATAATTGTGCGGTCTCGGTTTGCGGTTGGGAGCCCCCAGTGTTGATAGTCAGCCCCGCTTTGTATTGGTGACAACTTCCTGCCCGCTTTTTTCTACCTTGCACTATGGTGGCGAGGGTGTGAGGGTATGGTCACGTGACTATAAGCTGATAATCCGATCTCGATCATCTAGAGCCTCACAGTTAACCAAATGGGTAAGGGCAAGGGCGCCGGAGAAAACTCAAAGAAAGCCGCTGGTAACGCAAAGAAGGCTGCCAATGCTGCCGCTAAGGCTCAAGCTGAAGCTGAGCGTCTCGAAGCCGCCGAAGCCGCGAAGTGGGATGAAGGGCTGAAGAAGAAGAGCAACAAGAAGGAACTTGAACAGCAAAAGAAGGAAGAAGCCGCCCGCAAAAAGAAGGAGCGTGAAGAATTGTTGGCTGCTGAAGAAAAGGCCAACCCTTCGAAGTCTAGAGGCGCCGCTAAGGTCGCCGCGAAGCGTGCGGGTAAAATTGACGACTTCCTCAACGACATCCCCGAATTGCTGGCATCCGGGCTTGACGATGCCTTGGCAGCTTTGGCTTTGACTCTGGCTGAAGGTGGTGTGGCCAACAAGGATATTGACCGTCACCCTGAGCGCAGAGTGAAGGCTGCGTATGCGGCGTTCGAAGACCGTCGTCTCCCGGAGATCCGTAAGGAACAACCGGGGTTGCGGTTGCAACAATACAAGAACCTTTTGTTCAAGGAGTTCAAGAAGTCTCCTGAAAACCCCATGAACCAAGACACCAACGTTGCATTCAACGCTAGCAGATCTGAAGTTGATGCCAAGAAGCAAGAAGTGAGACTGGCCCGGGAGCTGAAGTTCTCTAAGTAGTATTATATATGGTAAAACTAGAATATATTAACAATGGAATTGCATGAATGTTTATGAGAACGCAATTCTTATCGTCATGAAGGTAAGCTCTACTAGTGCCCAATTATTTGATGTGGATAAGATCTTTTCAAAATAAAGGCTTATCTTTCCCTTGGGAACTTGACGTCGTCCTCGTAGTGCCTCTCAGTCGACGTGGGACTCGATTTCATAAAGTGCTTTTTCGGGCTATACGGCAGATAAATTCCGCCAATGATACATAGCGAATTGAGTCAGTTGACCAAACAAAGTAAAAAAAAATGAAGAAAGCATCAATGCATGTATTCTATTAATTGGAGTAGCTGTCGAAGCTTGTTGAATTGCATAGAGCTCTCGCTTATGACAGTAGCATCTCAGCGTGTAGATAGAGACGACGTCGACGATGTCAAAACAGATTGCAATATTGGGTTAATGTACATCGCGAACGTACGAGCGTATGTTTGATGCTACTGAAGGAAGATCGAGTTTATGCCAATACTCGCTTACGGAAAGGACACGTAATGTGAAGCTATACGATGGTCATCCCTCGCGTCGTCGGTGGCGTTGACGAGGTGACCCCTCATCCACTCACGTAAACGCTAGCCGATACTAGTAAAACTATCACTCAAATGGCTTCACATGAGCATTAGGTTCGATATGTAGATGAAAACACGTCGTTCAATCGGTAGGTAGATCTTTCCATGCTACTTAACGTTAAACCTTACGCGTTTCCTGCAGGACACAGCATCTTGTAATGTTGACGATGTACCAAGCATTCTATTAGCTATACAACGGCCGAAAGCCACCTATTTGGTGAACTAACCACGACCATCGCTGATGACCATCTCATCAAGATGTGATGGAAAATATTTTCGTCGTCGCGGTAATAGTTTTACAGGGTCGTGCGCGCACCGCCTTCATTGAATGCGAATTTGTATAAATACATCACAAATCCCCAAGCAGGTAGTAGAACCCAACCTAGACCTACCGTACTCTAACTTCAACCCCAACGTATGTCGCGATTAGACCGATTGGTGGTGCTCCTAGAGACGGGGTCGACCCCGTTTATTCGTAACACCGCTGCCGATCAGCTCGCGGACCTCGCCAAAGGCCATCCCGAAGAAGTCATCCTGTTGTTAGGGCGCGTCTACCCGTACCTTCATCTGACAAAATGGGAAACAAGAATTGCCGCAGCTCGGGCGTTCGGGGGGATCGTTAACCATGTGGAACCCAGTGATCCCAACCTGCCACAGGCCGAAGAATTGGAGACTGCTGGCGATGAGAAGGTAAAGCAGGAAATCATACAAGACACCATCATCGACGCCGAGCTGTCGGGCCCGCACATCAAAATTGAGGAAGAAGAGCTCCATATTAAGCAAGAACAGGACGAAGAGCTCGCCAAGCTCCTGGAACTGATGAACAATTTGGTATCCTTCGACCAATTCTCCCTCGCTGAACTCATAAAGCTGGGTAAACGTTTGCTTGCCGACAAAAGCGACACTGCTACCGACAGCTATGGTGACGGCCTGTTACTAGGTCGAATTAAAAAACAAAGAGTGTTGATGGAAGAAGAATCGCTTGCAGCCCAACCTGCGCTGCCATCTCCACCCGTTACCCCTGAGGTGAAAAGTGAGCCCGAAGTCAAACAAGAGGCGGAAGCTGCGCCGTCGTCGAAGCCGGTACTGCTGGCAAGACTCAAGGCAATGCAAAAACGCCGGGCAAAAGTCAGTGCTAAGCTGAATCTGCGGATACGGGCAGTTGACATATCACAGCTGCTGCTTTCACGACAACTTGCCGAGAATGGCGATGTATCTTCGGAAGAACCTCAATTCGACATGCACAGTCAACACGATAAACTTGTTGTCGAGGCTAAAGCCCCTGAAGTCAATCTGCTCATTTTGCAACACAAAAAGGTCTTAGGTCTCGTGTGGCAATTCCAAGGCGTGTACGAGTTGCTTTTGGCTGATCTCTTTGACGACAAGTGGGAGGTGCGTCATGGTGCCGCCCTCGGTTTGCGTGAACTTGTCAAGGTTCATGGTAAGGGTGCTGGTCGCATCGCGAAGAATCTGCGTGAGGTCAACGATGCTAACAATGCCGCCACCCTTGAGGATTTGGCAGTGAGATTATGTGTGCTTTTCCTGCTTGACCGTTTCGGTGACTACGTCAGTGATACTGTGGTTGCGCCAGTTCGTGAACTGGGCGCCCAAACCCTCGCTGCGTTACTTATTCACTTGGATGAGACTACAGCGCTTCGCACATTCAACTGTCTCTACAATCTTGTTCTCCAAGAGGGAATCACTGCTAAATGCTGGGAAGCTAAGCACGGGGGTATGTTAGGGGTGCGTTACTTTGTCCTGGTGCGCACTGACGTACTCTTAGCTCACTCCGAGGTGTTGGACCAGGTAGTTGAATTGGTATTGCATGGGCTTAATGAACCAGATGATGATGTCCAGGCGGTGGCGGCATTGACGTTGGCTCCGATTGCCCTGCAGTTTGTCACCTCCAAGAAGGAATTGATCCATACTCTTGTCAAGGTGATCTGGAACTGTTTGACCAATTTGCGTGACGATTTACTGGCACTGATTGGTCTGGTGATGGATTTGTTGGCTAAGCTCTGCACCCACCCTGAGGTCATCGAGATCATACAAAAGGAAGCTAAGACTGATCCTGAGCTGCTGTTTGAACAGTTGGTTCCTCGTCTTTTCCCCTTTTTGCGTCACCTGATTTCCAAAGTCCGTAAAGCTGTGCTCAAGACCATGCTTGAATTCCTCCGCATTGACGAAATTCACACCAAGCTGTGGATTCAACCCAAAACTTTGCGCTTAGTGTTTCAAAACTTGTTGGTTGAACAAAATGCCGAAGTGATGTCGTTGTCATTGGAAGTGTACCGTCGACTAATCGAAGAGGCCGTTCTTGCGGCTGAAGCGGGCGTGCTTCCTCCTTTGGACGAATTATTCGCCAACATCTGGTTACCCACGCTCCAACTTTTGATGACTCCCATCGGTTTTGCCCGTCACAACTATCTCATGAACCCTCAACTTATCATTCGTCCTCTGGGCAATGTGTTGGGTCCGTTAGACACTATCGATGACCAACACGCACGCAATCCTCGCAAACGGAAAGCTGATGAACCCAAAGCGGTGGTACCCCAAGAAGACTTCAAAGTTAACATTGACTTACCGATGCTTAAGGGTGATGTGATGTTACTCGGTGAAGAAGTGTTCGTCAACAATCGTTGCGCTGCGGCGTCGGCTTTTGGCATGACTCTCGCCAACCTTGGACGACCCGAAACGGTGTTTAGCCTGATTGGCGATTACCTTGATCTGTCGCACTCAACTCTGCGCTTGTTGGCTCCCCTCGTGATCCATGACTATGCTCTGGAGCTCAAGAAGCAGGACAAACCGGTTCCCGAACTGGCCCAACTGTGGTTTGTTGACCCACTTATGGAGGTGGTACAGAAGCCCGAAGACCTCCCTCATTTCCGGGAATTGGTGCCCACCCTCAAAGCTGTGCGTCTGGCGTGTATGGTTTTATTTGACGTGTTTGTCACGGTGGCTAAGGTCCCGCCTCAGAAAATTCCTCAAATTCCCGTCATCGTTCAGGGTGAGCCTGAAGCTGGGCCCGGGGCTTTCAGTTTGGAAAACGCTCGCACCATATCCACCGAAACCTTTGAGAAGCTCAAGAAACTGTTGCTGGCTACCTATAGAATGCTGGCTAACCAGGCGTTGGATGACGCTAAGCATCGACTTGAGCAGGCAATTGCTGAAGCTGAATCGGTGGCGCTGAATCGGCGTACCGCTATCGTCGCTGGATGTTCGCTGGCGGCGCTTGCCCTCGCTGGGGTTCCGAAGAAACTCAATAATGTCATTCGTTCACTTATGGACCTGGTGAAAGGGGAAACTATGCAGGTGTTGCAACAAAAGCTGGCTGAAGCCGTGGCATCGCTCATTGACGAATTACTCGCGGTAGATAAAGCCACCGCCGCTGACAAAATCATCAAGAACTTGGCAGCGTTTCTCTGCGTTGACACCCTGGAGGTGCCCGAGCTTCACCACAACGTTCAGTTCACTGATTGCATTCTTAGTCTTCGCAAAGAGGAGGCTAAAACTGATCCTGCTGACATTGCTGCTCACGAAAAAGCAGTGGCGGCGGCTAAGATCAAGCGTAATGGGGCTATGCTTGCGCTTCTGCTGCTCATTCTGCTTTACGGGCCTGATCTTTTCGACAAGGTCCCCAAGCTTAAGCAGCTTATGTTGAATGAGTTGGATGAGTTGGCCATTCCTGACCAATCTGAGCTCATCAAGGATGAGGCTCGCGGTCAACGTGTTATTGACGCCCTTGGTATGGTGCGGGCCTTACTCAACCAACTTGACCCGCTGTTGTACCCTGCCGTGGAAGGCAAGCTTGACGTTATTGTCGGTGGTCTTAAGCTGAAATACTCGGTATTCCGCTATCTGTGTGCAAAGTGTTTCGCCACCGTCGCTCAAGTGATGCCTGCGAAAGCTTTCCCCGTGTTGGTCGAGAAAATCTTGCCAATGTTGTCCAATGCCCTGGATCCTATTCAGCGTCAAGGTGCCATTGAAACGATTTACCACATCAGTGCCACAATGGGTGCCGATATCTTACCCTACGTGGTGTTCCTTATCGTTCCCGTTCTTGGGCGGATGTCAGATGTTGACCACGATGTGCGGGTGTTAGCGACCACCACTTTCGCTGCTATCATCAAGTTGGTTCCGTTAGAAGCGGGTATCCCTGATCCTCCTGACATGCCGCAGCTGCTTCTTGCTGGTAGAGATCGCGAGCGTGACTTCATTCAGCAGATGATGGACCCTACAAAGATCAAACCTTTTGAACTCCCAGTGCTGATCAAAGCCACGCTCCGTAAGTATCAGCAGGAAGGTGTTAACTGGTTGGCATTCCTCAACAAGTACCACTTGCATGGTATTTTGTGTGACGATATGGGGTTGGGTAAGACTCTTCAAACAATCTGTATTGTCAGTTCTGACCATTACACACGTGCCCAAGAATACGAGAAGACCAAGAAGGACGAGTTCCGTCGTCTTCCTACGCTTATCATCTGTCCTCCTTCATTGACTGGTCACTGGGAACAAGAAATTCAGCAATATGCTCCGTTCATGCTGGTGCTTGTGTATGCTGGTGGGCCGGTGGTAAGATCAGCGCTTCGCTCTCAACTTGCTGACGTTGATGTTGTCGTTACGTCGTATGATGTTTGTCGTAATGATGTTGAACACCTTACCAACATCGACTACAACTATTGTGTTCTTGACGAAGGTCACATCATTAAGAACCTGGCATCAAAGTTGACGAAGCTGGTGAAGCGAGTGCGTGCTCAACACCGTCTCATCTTGCTGGGTACTCCCATTCAAAACAATGTCTTGGAATTGTGGCTGTTGTTCGACTTTTTGATGCCCGGGTTTTTGGGTACCGAAAAGGTGTTCCACGAAAAGTTTGCTAAACCTATTGCTGCACTGAGAAACCTGAAGACCCTGCTGAAGGAACAAGAGGCCGGTGCCTTGGCGCTAGAGTCGTTGCACAAGCAAGTTCTTCCGTTTATGTTGAGACGTCTCAAGGAAGATGTGTTACTGGACTTGCCTCCTAAGATCATTCAAGATTACTATTGTGAGTTGCTGGACTTGCAAAAGAAGTTGTACAAGGATTTTGCAACGAAGCAAAAGAAGGTGGTTGAGGAAGAAGTGAGCAAGCTGACGGATGACGCGCCGGCGAAAGCTGAAGGTGCTGGTGGACAGACGCATGTGTTCCAAGCTCTTCAGTACATGCGAAAGTTGTGCAACCACCCCGCGCTTGTGGTGCTGCCTGATCACCCTCAATTTGACGAGGTTAATCAGTACTTGACTAAGCACAACCTGGCGCTCAAAGCCATTGAGCACGCCCCTAAGCTCTTGTCCCTTAAGACATTGTTGTTGGAATGCGGTATTGGCGTTCAAGATGTTGAGCCGGCGAAACGGCAAAACCAATTGTTGCTGGCCGAAGGTGTCATTTCAGAGCATAGAGCTCTCGTGTTCTGTCAACTTAAGGATATGTTGGACATTGTCGAAAATGAGCTTTTGCGGAAGTACTTGCCTCTGGTTACTTACATGCGTTTGGACGGTAGTACCGATCCTCGTGATCGGCAAGCGATTGTGCGCAAATTCAACGACGATCCCTCAATCGACTTGTTGTTGCTCACCACTAAGGTCGGTGGTTTAGGTCTCAATTTGACTGGGGCCGACACCGTTATTTTCGTTGAGCACGATTGGAACCCCATGAACGACTTACAAGCGATGGATCGAGCTCACCGTCTCGGTCAAAAGAAGGTGGTCAACGTCTACCGTCTTATCACCAAGAACACTTTGGAAGAGAAGATTTTGGGGTTGCAAAAGTTTAAGATGAACATTGCCCTGACAATTGTTAACCAACAAAACGCTGGGTTGCTGCTGATGGACACTAATCAATTGTTGGACTTGTTCGAAGTCGACGAAGCGACTATCAAAGAACAGGGTCCTCAAGAAGAACAAGGCAGCCTCCCCGAAGATGTCAACCAACAAGGGCTTTCTGGCAAGGCGGCGCTGGCGGTGGAGAAGTTGGCCGACTTGTGGGACGAGAGCCAGTACGAAGACGAGTACAACTTGGACAACTTCATTCGCACGTTGAAGTAACCTGGTACCGGTTTAACCAAACCACTTTTGCATGTTATAGTTACGAATTGCCCGGTGCACATAACGAATATCATCAAGATCATTTAACCTTTCAAAAGCGCGTAGATGTAGGTGGCGGCTTCGATTGCTTCATGTGATGCCGCACCCTGAGGTCCATATGCAATGGATTGGCCCTACCTAAGTGGCAACCCCCCAAATCAACAACTTAACCCTTTATACCAGGGTTTTAATGAAATCGTTACGTATTGTTCACTCATAACCAGGGTCACCCTCATTATTGTGATATCTTTCTCTACTGGTGGGGTATGCTCACTATGACAAACCCGATGAGTAATCTCACTTGTCGACCTCCTATAATCAGTGCTTCTAACAAACCGACCATGTGAGCCCTGTCACTAATTAACAACCTCTCACACTCTTTACCTACTCTTTTTCAATAACCCGTCTTCTAATTGTTCTTGGCAACCTTCGCTTAACCATGCCTACATCACCGCCCCATCGCGAAAAATCGCAGCCGCAGCAAGTCGCCATGAAGCAGGAGCAGCTTGACGAGATTGAACAACTAGAGAGCGACGCCAGAGAACTGTATCCCTATCTTGTCAGCGATGAAAAACTGAGTACCATGCGGTCAGTGGAGCCTGCTGAAGGTCCCAGTGTCGCCGAGGTGACGGAGGCCGTCGGCGTCACTCCTCCCTGGGTCCACTTTGTCGCCGGTGGCATCGGTGGTATGGTGGGGGCAGTGGCGACTTGTCCTCTTGACGTGGTCAAGACCCGGTTGCAGCTGGATATGTATACCAAAGCCTACAATCGTCTCCCCAAATCCCACAACCCGATCGTGCAGGCTTACCAACACTTTAGTGAGACGTTCTCGCTCATCAAAGGTCTTTACGTTCAGGAAGGTCCCCGGGCCCTTTTCAAGGGGCTTGGTCCCAATTTGGTGGGAGTTATCCCTGCTCGGCTGATCAACTTCTTCACTTATGGTGCCACCAAGCACTTTATCCAGCAACACACTGATAACCCTGAGGCGACCTGGGTACACTTATTACTGGGTATCAATGCCGGGTTCGTTACCCTGACGGCTACCAACCCCATTTGGTTGATCAAGACCCGGTTGCAGCTTGACAAGTCCACTGCTCGTCAATATAAGCTGCTGTGGGAGTGTCTTACCAGTGTCATCAAAAACGAAGGGTTTACTGCATTATATAAGGGGTTGCTGGCATCATACTTGGGTGGGGTGGAGTCGACATTGCAATGGGTGCTCTACGAGCGCATGCGTCTATTTATTCACAAGCGGAGTATCGAACGTCACGGGCTCAGTGGTGCCAACAAAACAATGCTGGACCATGTATTCGAATGGGCGGCCCGCTCTGGGGCAGCCGGGGCGGCTAAGTTCATCGCGTCGTTGATTACTTACCCTCATGAAGTGGTAAGAACGAGATTGAGACAAGCGCCGTTGGAAAATGGTAAGCCCAAATATACGGGGCTTATCCAATGCTTCCGTCTTGTGATCAAGGAGGAAGGATTGGCGCTGATGTACGGGGGGTTGACCCCTCACTTGTTGCGTACGGTGCCAAACTCAATCATCATGTTTGGTACCTGGGAACTCGTGGTGAGACTCTTGTCGTGATGTTCCCTGTGGTAATGATGTTGATGACTGTGTATAGTGTATCTTCTTGTATATATGGGTAGGATCGTCAGGATGGTTGTGACGTAATAAAAAAATAGTTAATCTATCTGTAATGTTTGGGCTACGCTGACTAAGGTTTGTATCCTTAGGTGACCTAGACTGTTTGAGAAAATAATGCAAGCGATTGCAAGTGGTATTGAATTGATGGCAGCGGCGTTTCCCGATTGTGTAATGCCCCTTTTCCACACATACACTCTGCTTGAATAATGACTCATACGATGCATTCGAGAGCAGCGCGTCGAGGTCGTAATCAGTAACTTTAAGTGTGACCATGTATATAGCAACCGACAATCCCCTAGCCTGACTTATTACACCCTATGAGTCGGACCTCGTCTACCCCTCCCCGCTCCGAACTGAGTCATCGGCCGCGCACCCGCGATTTTTTTCAGTTAAAAACCCTCCGTTCACATTGTCATTTATAACTCGGTTAGCAAAAATGTCGACTCAAGCCGGCCAAGTGTTCTCGAGGGAAGCTCTCGAGCAAGTGTTGAAGCGGAGATTCTTTTATGCTCCTTCGTTTGAAATCTACGGCGGTGTGTCCGGGTTCTACGATTTTGGTCCCCCCGGGTGTGCGTTGCAATCCAACCTCATTGACGTGTGGCGGAAGCACTTCATCCTCGAAGAGGACATGTTGGAGGTTGACTGCACCTGTCTTACTCCCTATGAAGTGTTGAAGACCTCGGGTCACGTCGACAAGTTCGCCGACTGGATGTGCAAGGATCTTAAGACCGGTGAAATTTTCAGAGCTGATCACCTCGTCGAAGAAGTGTTGGAAGCGAGATTGAAGGGTGACAAGGCTGCCCGTGGTATCAAGGAAGAAGTCAAGGAAGAAGATGAAGACAAGAAGAAGCGGAAGAAGAAGGTCAAGGAAATCAAGAACGTGAAGCTTGACGATGAAGTCGTTGCCGAATACGAAAACATTCTTGCCCAAATTGACAACTACGATGGTCCCGCTCTCGGTGAATTGATTGCCAAGTACGACATTACCAACCCCACTACCGGCGGCAAGTTGGAACCTCCCGTTGAATTCAACTTGATGTTTGAAACTGCCATCGGTCCCTCGGGTAACTTGAAGGGTTACTTGCGTCCCGAAACTGCCCAAGGTCAATTCTTGAACTTTGGCAAGTTGTTGGACTACAACAACGAAAAGATGCCCTTCGCCTCTGCTTCGATCGGTCGTTCGTTCAGAAACGAAATTGCCCCCAGATCGGGTTTGTTGCGGGTGAGAGAATTCATTCAGGCTGAAATCGAACACTTTGTCGACCCTGAAAACAAGAAGCACCCCCGTTTCGTCGAAGTGAAGGATGTCAAGCTTAACTTCTTGCCCCTGCATGTTCAAGAATCTGGTCACACCGAAACTGTGGAAAAGTCCATCGGTGATGCCGTCGCCGAAGGCATGGTCGACAACGAAACTTTGGGTTACTTCATTGCCAGAATCGCCTTGTACTTGGCCAGCATCGGTATCGACCCCAAGCGTACTCGTTTCAGACAACACATGGCCAACGAAATGGCTCACTACGCCTCGGACTGCTGGGACGCTGAATTGCACACTCTGTACGGTTGGATCGAAGCCATCGGTTGCGCTGACCGTTCGGCTTACGACTTGTCGGTCCACGCCGCCAGAACCAATGAAAAGTTGGTGGTCAGAGAACCTCTCCCCGAACCCAAGACTGTCGAACGTTGGGAATGCGAAATTCAAAAGAAGAAGTTCGGTCCCAAGTTCAGAAAGGATGCCGGTACTGTTGAAAAATGGTTGACCCTGAGAACCGAGTGTGAGCTTGAAGACTTGGCTCAAGAATTGAAGTCGTCGGGCAAGATCACCGCCGACGTCCCTGAAGTGGGGCAGGTCGAAATCGACTCTGACTTGGTGTCGATTGACAAGGTCACTCGTACCGAGCACATCCGTGAATACACTCCCAACGTCATTGAACCTTCGTTCGGTATTGGTCGTATCTTGTATTCGTTGTTTGAACACTCGTTCTACACCCGTGAGAATGATGCCGACCGTGGGGTGTTGTCGCTTCCTCCCTTGGTGGCCCCCACCAAGGTGTTGGTGGTGCCTCTTTCCAACGCTGCTGAACTTAAGCCTATCACTCAAAAGGTCAGCGCTTATATCAGAAAGCAAAAGCTTCCCTTCAAGGTGGACGACTCCTCGGCTTCCATTGGTAAGAGATACGCCAGAAACGATGAATTGGGGACTCCCTTCGGTATCACCATCGACTTTGACTCCGTCAAGGACGACTCGGTCACCTTGAGAGACCGTGACACCACTAAGCAAGTGAGAGGCACTTTCGAAGATGTCGTTGACGCCATCAAGGCCATGACTTACGATGGTGTTCTGTGGGACGATGCCACCAAGAACTTGAAGGTTTTCGAAGGCCAAACCGGTGAGTAAATATATAGATAATAGGTTACGATTTCAAAATAAAAGAATTAGGTTTTTCTCATGCTCATCATAAAAGTGGTGTCCACGTCTAATGATCGTCGCGCGGTGTCTCACCTTCTGTATGTATCTAAATTTAGCGAAAGAGTGTCCCCTAAGTCATCCATCTGATTTTGATTTGAATCATTAAATTAGTCCAAAACATTCACACTACTTCAAATCGGCCACCTTCGTCCATTTTCGATGGCGTTCCAAATCTATCCTCCCCACTTTAACATTCGCGCTCATCAGTGAAAATTTTACCACGCCCACCTTACACACATCGCCATGAGACCGATCAAACTTATGGGTCACGAGAGATCGTTGACCCAAGTGAAATACAACCGGGAGGGCGACCTTTTGTTCTCGGTGGCCAAGGATAACGCCGCCAGTATCTGGTACTCGTCCAACGGGGAACGTTTGGGCACGTTGGAAGGCCACAAGGGGGTAATCTGGTCGATCGATGTCGACCCGGAAACGTTATACTGTGCCACTGGTGCTGGTGACCTTTCCGTCAAATTGTGGAAGGTTGAAACTGGGGAATGCTTATACACTTGGGACCTGCCGTCGCCGGTGAGACGGGTGCACTTCTCTCCCGACGGCAAGCGGTTATTGGCGATTGCCGACCAAGTGATGGGCCACGTTGGTACCATCACCATCTACGACATAAATCGCGAGCAAGGTCTGCTGCAGCTGACGAAGCCTTCGTTGGTGATCGAGACCGCCAAGGATGGCGCCAAGGCTACCGTGGCTGCGTTCACTGGTGATGGCAAGTACATCATCGCTGGTCACGACAATGGTTTTGTTTCTAAGTACGACGCTGTCACTGGTGAACGTATTGACACTTTCCAAGCTCACGGTATTCACAACGAAGATCAAAACATCACCGTTACCGACGTCCAATTCTCCCCCGACTCCACTTACTTCATTACCTCGTCCAAGGACCGTTGTGCTGTCTTGGTCGATGTGGAAACTTTCGAAATTCTTAAGGTGTACAAGGCCGATGCCCCGATGAACACTGCCGCGATCACCCCGGTGAAGGACTTTGTTATCTTGGGTGGGGGTCAAGAAGCCCGTAATGTCACCACCACTGCTGAGTCGCAGGGTAAGTTCGAGGCGAGATTCTACCACAAGATCTTCGAAGATGAAATCGGTCGTGTCAAGGGTCATTTCGGTCCGTTGAACACTGTGGCCGTCCACCCCGATGGCACCGGGTATGCCAGTGGTGGGGAAGATGGTTTCATCCGGGTGCACACCTACGACAAGACCTACTACGACTTTTTGTTTGATGCGGAAAGATCGGAGAGAGCCAAAGAAACTCTCACCGAGGAAGTGGCTGTTTAGATTATCCCACGTTTGCATGATAGATGTATAATAATGGCACGAAAGGTAAGTTTTCATGACATTTCGTTGTAAACTGCAGCTAAACACAAGCCGTCCCCCACGTCGTACCCCATTCTACTTTAGTCAAATAAAAAGAAATTTGCTTCGGCCCAAATGTACATCGTAATGTATGGTCCACGTGAGACGAAACAACTTAAAGTTACGCCATGTAGAGCAAACGGCAATCGTTTTTGCCTCGCCACAAACTGCATCTGGGCGTTTACGAAAATTTCGGGACTGACGTAAGCGTAGAAGTCTCCGTGAAAAATCAATAAGTTCTGTCAACTACATTTGTAGATGCGCTAAAATTTTATTTCAAAATTAGCGTCGTTAGTAGGAACTGACAGCAGTCCGTCTGAGACCAGCAGTGTAAAAATTTTATGGAATGCCGTCTCAGGAATTCCGCTTATCGGCCTGCATGGGTCATGACTGTAGACACGGTGCGTTGGGGGGTTATATGTAGGTCCTGATGACAGTGACGCCATCACTTATCATCGCTACTGGAGCTTCCACTCCTCATTATGCCCCCTCTGCGTGCCCTTATTAGCGATAGTGATGACGATCTCGGTGGCGGTTTTGTCGTCAGCCAACCCCTGCGGCGCCGGCGTCAGACTAGGGAAAAGCTGGTGTCCTACGCTGAGCTGAGTGATGATGAGATCGATCTCAGTCAGTTCGTCAAAGTTGAAGAGACTAGAGCGTCCACCAAACGGCTGAGACAGCCGAAAGCATCTCCTATTGAAGCTAAAAAGCGGCAAATCAAAGAGGAGTCATCAGATGACGAATTTCACATATCTGACGATAACCATGAGGAGCTGGAAGACTCTGAAGTCTCCGATGGCGAACTAAAATTGGTACGTGCTCGAGAAGTGGAACGTGATGGCAGACTGGCACATGTGGCCATCGAGCTCGATAGTGCTACTGAAGATGAGGACGACCAACTGCTAGCGGCTCGGGCTCGGGATATGGCTCGTGAAGCTTCAGACTCAGTCAAGGAAGAAACTCCAGCCGATGAGTTGGGTAAAGAAGACGGCGACAAGAAGAAGAAACCTAAGGCGAAACGGAAACCGCGGCAAAAGAAGCCCGCTAAGCCTAAGATTCCATACTATACTCGGGTTACTAATCAATTATACGAACAGCACCCCGAGCTTAAGGATGTGTTTGTTCATTTAGAATCGCTCGGACGTGCTCCAGTGCAGCGGGCAACTCAACCACCGGGGATGACCATTAATTTGTTGCCGTTTCAGCTTGAAGGTTTGCACTGGCTTGTTTGTCAGGAGCAAGGGGAATTCCACGGTGGGGTGCTTGCCGACGAAATGGGTATGGGTAAAACCATTCAAACTATTGCCCTCATGATGCATGACCGTTCCAAGCGACCTAATTTAGTAATCGGACCGACAGTGGCGCTTATGCAATGGAAAAATGAAATTGAAGCCCACACTGAACCCGGCATGCTTAAAGTACTTTTGTATCATGGTGCTAATCGTCCTACTAATGTGGCTGAGTTGGAGAAGTACGACGTTATCCTCACTTCCTACGCGGTGCTTGAATCGGTGTTCCGTAAAGAAAAGTACGGGTTCAAACGTAAAGAGCGGAAAGTCAAGGAAAAGAGTGCGATCCATGCAATTCCATTTTACCGGGTGATACTTGATGAAGCTCATAATATTAAAGACCGTAACACTGGTACGGCAAGAGCGGCGATGCATCTTAATACCCAAAAAAGATGGTGCTTATCGGGGACACCTTTGCAGAACCGGATTCTGGAAATGTACTCGCTCATCCGATTCATGCGTATCGAACCTTTCAACAAATACTACTGTTACAAATGCCCTTGCGCTAGTGAGGAGTGGATGTTTTCTAATGGACGGAAGTGTGATGAGTGTGGCCATCTGCCAATGTTGCACACTAACTGTTTCAATCACTTCATGTTGAAAAACATTCAAAAGTATGGTATCGAAGGTGATGGTGCTACCAGTTTCTATCACTTGCGTCTTCTTCTCAAAGGAATCATGTTGCGTCGTACTAAACTTGAAAGAGCTGATGATTTGGGTCTTCCTCCTAGGGTGGTGGAGATTCGTAAGGACTACTTTAACCCTGAAGAAAAAGATTTGTACCAATCTTTGTACAGTGACTCGAAGCGTAAGTTCAATGACTTTGTTGCTGAAGGGGTGGTGCTTAACAATTATGCTAATATCTTTACGTTAATCACTCGGATGAGACAAATTGCGGATCACCCAGACTTGGTATTGAAGAAAGTGGGAGGCAATATTGGTGACTTGGGCCGTGTCGAAGGGGTTATCATGTGTCAGTTATGTGACGACGAAGCTGAAGAGCCTATTGAATCGAAGTGCCATCACCGTTTCTGTCGGCTTTGCGTTACTGATTACTGTGAACTGTTCGTCGGTGATGAAAAGCACTTGACCTGTCCTGTTTGTCACATTGGTTTATCAATTGACTTGGAACAACCAGCACTTGAAGTGGATGAAGAGATGTTTGCCAAGGCACTGATTGTTAATCGGATTACGCAAGGGGCTCATGGTGGCCAATGGAGATCGCTGACAAAGATCGAGGCGTTGGTGGAGGAGTTGTATCGACTCAGACTGGACAAGCATACTATCAAACTGATTGTGTTCTCTCAATTCACCCTGATGTTGGACTTGATCGAGTGGAGATTGAAGCGTGCAGGTTTCGAAACGGTTAAGTTGAGTGGGTCGATGACTCCTCAACAGCGTGACTCCACCATCAAGTACTTCATGAACAATACGCAGGTAGAAGTGTTCCTTGTTTCTCTCAAAGCCGGTGGTGTTGCACTCAATTTGTGTGAAGCATCTCAGGTTTTCTTGATGGATCCTTGGTGGAATCCGTCCGTTGAATGGCAATCAATGGACCGTGTCCATCGTATTGGTCAAAAACGCCCGATCAGAATCACACGGTTCTGTATTGAGGATAGTATCGAGCTGAAGATTATTGAATTGCAGGAGAAGAAAGCAACCATGATTAAAGCGACGATTAACGCAGACGAGTCAGCTGCTAATCGACTCACTCCAGACGATTTGCAGTTTTTGTTCCAGTAGCAAGCTCTACATGTATATAAATGTATCAGAGTACCCGTATGACCTAATAGTATTCTTTGATGATTCACTGTCGCAATCATTTAAGCAAAAAACGCAAACATTACCATTCAGATACATGTTATGGAGGATTTAATTGAGTCAGGTATTTTTGGTTTCTATATGCGAATGGTAAGCTGGTAGCTCGAAGTATTAGTCTGATTGGGCCTCTTGGGCCTATTGGGAACTCCACTTACGATGATTCTTCCTGATGGAATTGCTGATTTCTTCTTGTAGTTTATGCTTTTTCAAAACCTAACGATTACTCTCAATTAGATTCCAGTGCATATGCAAGGCAAAATTTTATCGTTATCGCCGCACTTGACTCACACTGGTGCCGACTCTCCACAATATGCGGCTCGCCGACGCGGCCGCTTTCGGGTTGCCCCGGCACCTCCATAGTGAAATTTTCACCCGCCAAACCGGAGCGAGTGTCATCCACGTGACATCTTGATCTAAAATATCAACGATTTTGATTCTAATCATACGGCTAGACCATCATTCTACCTTCCTTTACAACTGGGAGCCTTTCCACTTACATTATCGTGCAGTGCTCACCATTTGCCGTAGTGACTCACTATTCGCATAAAACCAATCGGGCCGCCAGAATTTTTCACTAGGCATGGTTGACTTTTGGCAGGAATACTTGGAGAGCCCCACGCTCTCGGTGTTGCCCCATGATTTTTTGAAGCCGGCAAACAACCAGTCGGTGGAAGCGGAGTATGAGTTTGAATTGCCAGGGACGTTCGTCGACGGGCTTGCGACGTTTGCTGCTCTCATCTACCGGTTAACCGGCGACGACGACGTCGTCATTGCCACCGATAAGCTGGCGGAAGACCCCGCCTTTATCGTGCGGACGCAGTTGCAACCGGAATTACTGTTTGCTCAGTTACAAAAGAAGGTGGAAGCTGAGTACACCGCCAACGCTGAAAAAGTCGACTACCAGAGTTTAACGGAGGTCGCTCTGAGAATCAAGCAAGCGAAGCAATTGGACGACGAGCCGGGGCTTTTCCGGTTGTCGTTCCAACACCGTCTGCCTCGCCAGCAATTGCTGACGCTGGTCAAGGGGCTGGTGCGCGATCTTGCTGTGTTTTATGACGGCAAAGTAATGACTTTCTACTACAACTCGTTGCTTTATAAGCGTGACCGCATGGTGGTACTTGCTGAGCAGTTCACCCAATTCTTGAAGGCCGCTACTGCCAACCCTGAAACCCCTATTACTCACATCAACCTTGTCACTGAATCGCAACGAGCACAATTGCCCGACCCCACTCGGGACCTCGATTGGAAGGGGTACAGAGGTGCTATTCAAGATATCTTTATGGCTAACGCTGAAGCCCACCCTGACCGTACTTGTGTGGTGGAAACTAAGCTGTTCATGGACCCTGAGTCGCGGACGCGGACATTCACTTATAAGCAAATCAACCAGGCATCTAACATTGTTGGTAACTACTTGAAAGAGACTGGGATCAAAAAAGGTGACATTGTCATGATCTACGCCTACCGTGGGGTGGACTTGATGGTGGCAGTGATGGGGGTGCTCAAAGCCGGGGCTACCTTTTCGGTGATTGACCCCGCTTACCCTCCTGCTAGACAAAACATCTACCTTTCCGTGGCTCGCCCTCAAGGGTTGATCGTATTGGAAAAGGCTGGGGTGTTGGACTCGTTGGTTACTGACTACATTAAGGACGAGCTCAATGTGGTGTCAACCATCCCCCAACTTAAGCTCAACGATGACGGTTCGGTCGTTGGTGGCAAACTTGCTGGTAACAATGATGACTGTCTTGCTGCCTATGCTAAGTATGCCGATGTTCCTACCGATGTGGTGGTGGGTCCTGACTCCAACCCTACCCTTTCCTTCACCTCGGGGCTGGAAGGTGTGCCCAAGGGGGTGTTGGGTCGCCACTACTCGTTGGCATACTACTTCCCCTGGATGTCTCAACAGTTCAACTTGAGTGAAAAGGACAAGTTCACTATGCTTTCGGGGATTGCCCATGACCCGATCCAGCGGGATATGTTCACTCCCTTGTTCCTTGGTGCTCAATTGTTGATCCCGACCAGTGACGACATTGGTACCCCGGGTAAGTTGGCCGAATGGATGGCGGAATACGGTGCCACCGTCACTCACTTGACCCCCGCCATGGGTCAATTGTTGAGTGCTGAAGCCACCTGTGCCATCCCTTCGTTACACCACGCGTTCTTTGTTGGAGATATCCTCACTAAGCGTGATTGCTTGAGATTGCAACTGTTGGCGGAAAATGTCGCTATCGTCAACATGTACGGTACCACCGAAACTCAACGGTCGGTGTCGTTCTTCGAAATTGCGTCGCGGGCCAAGGACCCCACTTTCCTCAAGAACTTGAAGGACGTCATGCCCGCGGGGACGGGGATGCAAAACGTCCAGCTTCTTGTGGTCAACCGTAACGACCGTAAGCAAACTTGCGGTGTCGGTGAAGTTGGGGAGATCTACGTGCGTGCTGCCGGTTTGGCCGAGGGCTACCGGGGCTTGCCTGATCTCAACGCGCAAAAGTTCGTCACTAACTGGTACGTTGACCCGCAACAATGGATTGACGCTGACTCCGGTGACGAAGAATGGCGCCAGGCCGGGTGGCAAGGTCCCCGGGACCGGTTGTACCGGACCGGTGACTTGGGCCGCTACTTGCCCGATGGTAACGTTGAGTGCTGTGGTCGTGCTGACGACCAGGTGAAGATTCGTGGGTTCCGTATCGAACTTGGTGAAATCGACACCCACCTCTCGCAACACCCATTGGTGAGAGAAAATGTCACTTTGGTGCGTCGTGACAAGAACGAAGAACCGACTTTGATCTCGTACATTGTGCCCCGTGAGTGTGACGAGCTTGAACAGTTCAAGCGTGATGCTGGCCACGGCACTGACCCTATCGTCGAAGGGCTCGTGGTTTACCGTGAGCTTATCCGTGACATCAAGGCCCACTTGAAAAAGCGCTTGGCTGCTTACGCTATCCCCACCATCATTGTCCCGATGGCTAAGTTGCCGCTTAACCCCAACGGGAAGGTCGACAAGCCTAAGTTGCCGTTCCCCGATACCGCTCAATTGGCGGCGGTGGCGCTGGAAATTGGTGCTGAAGCCGACGACTCTGAATGGTCTCCTTTGGAAACTAAGATTCGCGATTTGTGGCTTACGGTGTTGCCCAACCGTCCCGCGGTTATCGCCAAGACTGACTCGTTCTTCGACCTTGGTGGTCACCTGATCTTGGCCACGAGAATGATCTTTGAATTGCGGAAGCAGTTGGCGGTGGAAATCCCTCTTGGTGTCATTTTCAAGCACCCGACGGTGGAACTGTTTGCTGAGGAAGTCGATAAAGTCATCAAAGGTGACGACTTCCAATTGGCTGACGGTACTGTGGTTGAGGAAGCTGAAGAAGAAAAGCCGTTTGACTACGCTAAGGATGCCGCTGAAATTTCTGCTACTCAATTGGCTAAGTCGTACCCTCTGCGGTCGCTGTTGGGTGACACTGTCAACGTGTTCGTCACTGGTGCCACCGGTTTCTTGGGGTCGTTCATCGTGCGCGATTTGCTCACTGCTAGAGCTAGCTTGAACACTAAAGTGTACGCTCATGTGCGGGCTAAGGACGCCGCCCTGGGGATGGAACGGTTGAGACAAACCGCCAAGACCTTTGGCATTTGGGAAGACTCGTGGGCCAACCGCATTGAAGTGGTGCTTGGCGACTTGGCTCGGCCTCAATTCGGCAAGGCCGATGCTGAGTGGGCTCAATTGGCTAACACCATCGATGTCATCGTACACAACGGGGCGTTTGTCCACTGGGTGTACCCGTATGTCAAGTTGCGTGATGCCAACGTCATTGGTACTGTCAACGTGCTCAACTTGTGTCAATCGGGTAAGCCCAAGTACTTCTCGTTTGTGTCGCTGACGTCAGCGCTCGATACTGACCATTTCGTCCACCTTTCCGACGAATCAGTGGCTCAAGGCGGTTCTGGGGTTCCTGAGCTGGACTCTCTTGCTGGTTCCGCCACTGGTTTGGGCACGGGCTACGGCCAGTCGAAGTGGGCTGCTGAATACATCATCAGAGAAGCTGGTAAGCGTGGATTGCGTGGGTGCATCACTCGTCCCGGTTACGTCACTGGGTTTTCGAAAACGGGGGCGTCTAACACGGATGACTTCCTTTTGAGAATGCTTAAGGGTGCTGTGGAATTGAGAGAATTCCCTGAAATCCTGAACAGTGTCAACATGGTCCCTGTCGACCACGTTGCTCGGGTTGTGTGTGCTACTGCCCTTAATCCTCCTGTTGCTGATCAATTGGCGGTAGCTCAAGTCACCGGCCACCCCCGGATTTCCATGCAAGGCTTCTTGAAGCTGCTTGCCACCTACGGCTATAACGTTGAAGGCACCGACTACTTGCACTGGAGAGTTGACCTCGAGAAGTTTGTTGTCGAACACGGCGATCTGGCTCTTTTCCCCTTGCTCCACTTTGTCTTGGACAACTTGCCTCAAAACACTAAGGCTCCCGAGTTGGATGACACTAACGCCCGCACCTCGTTAAAGGCTGACGCTAAATACACTGGTGAAGATGTGCTGGCAGGTGCTGGTGTTGATGAGAAGCAGATGGGGATCTATCTCTCCTACTTGGTAGCGATTGGCTTTTTGCCCACCCCTGATGTTGGCGGTAAGCTTCCGGCACCGCAAGTGTCGGAAGAGTCGTTGAAGTTGATTGAAGCTGGTGCTGGTGGTAGAGGTTCTGCCGCTAAGTGAACACTACGAAGTAGAACACTAGTTTATACATATATGATGAGCTATGAATGTACGAGCATTATTTAAAAGTTATATACAGCGCCGCCTTTTCAAACCGAACTCCAGTGGTTGAGTCACGTGATACGCTGGTGATAGTGATTTGGCGAGCTTGTGCAATGAAAATCTAAGCTGAAAACAATCAACAGAATGGTGCTCAGATGAAACTCAACAAAACTGTCTAAGCGTTATTAGATTAACTGCTCAAATTGATATGAAGCCATTGCTCCTGTTTCTGTTTCACTACCTAATGGACGACGCGTACTTTGCGTTTTTAAAGTGGGGGTTTAGACGATTGTCCCGTGCATTGCCTCGTCAACGGGGACAATTAATCTTCCAAGAAATTCTTCAACAATGAGCTATTGCCCCCCACCAGTATTGTTGGTCATCCCTTGATTGCCAATCGTTTGACCGACACTTGGAGGGCAAATGATATCGGCAATAATCGAGTTAAGGTCAGCCAAATGAGTAAGTTCTAAGATCACTGCTATGGCTTGTGTTTCTGGCTGATGACGACGTTGGTGCCATCGCGGAATGTGCTACACGCTGGGTGAGGGGACGCGCTCGTCATTGTATCCGTCGTCTCATTGACGACGGCGTGCTTTTATTAATCCCCTGTCTCATTGTCGACGGTGTGCATTTAGAGAGTTCCCCGCTTCATTTTGGTCTATAAAAGGGCGACTATTCCCCCTGAATTTCATCATCAAAAACTTGTTTGGGCGCTTCTCACTTACGAGTTGAGCAACTACTCGATTACATTCGACGCTCCTCTAACGAAGACCACCACCAGCCAACGACACAATCAACAAAATCCAGTTGGCATGGCTTGACGACGACGACGCTCATTGATTTCTGGCGAGGCAAATACCCCACTATATGATGGGGGCCCGCAACTGCTGAATACCATGGACCCCAAAATTATAACTAATGGGCCATGCACTAGCTGTTCTGCTGTTACACCAAGGTTTGTTTCATGTTCAAGCGATTGTCATGTTGCAGCCAGGTCCCCAGACCATCATCGTAGTCGGAGGGTTGACACACCATTTTGCGGCCCTCTGCACGGCGGCGTTCATCATAGGCGGTTTCCAATATCTGATCGACCCGTAACAGACAGTTATTACGATTAGTTACCATCGGCTGTCTAGGCATCTTAAAGGTGATAGTAATGATGGGTCACCTTTTTGATGATAGTTCTCACACTGGGGAGCTGACTGAAAGCACTGATAACATCCAAAGAAACTACAACAATGAAATTGTTTAAAATTCAAATAACCTGACCTACTACATACCATAATAAGACAAATACTTCCTCAAGTACTCATTAATTCGCCACTGTTGTTGAAAGACTGTGACCATGACTCATAACGTTTAAGACGCGGCGGGGGCAAATAAACGTCACGTGGGGTTTGTCTCACTGAATTCCCAACGGCTGAAAGAAACGTAGCTTGGGGGGATAAGCTAACCGAATTCCAGCCCTGACTCCCACCTAAAATATCACGACCGATGTAGATCTACAGCTTTAAATTGGCAAAACTGGGGATAAAGTGATGATATGTAGGTCAAATTTCGACCCCACCATGCTTGTCAAGGTGGGTGATGCCCCGCCCATAGCCGTGGCCCATCTCGCCACGTCTAAGGCGATCAATGGGTTTTCCTTTTGGCCGGTATCAGTTGCTTGCGCTGGTGTTACCACATCGCTCAGCCTCACTGTAATTAATCATGTTTGTTATCTACGGGCTACAGGGATGCGTGATCATAGGGGTTCTGAAGGACGCCTGATGATGAGATGAGCCATCGGTGCCTCACCCCGCTGAGGCGGAAATTTCCTGCTGTTCGCTTGGTGCCGAACGGGATTGTCCGCGTGTGAAAGGTGGTACGAGTCAGACTTGCTTCCCCACGGTTCTTTTGCGCGGCTCCGGGGATATCGCTGATAGCGAACCTCGAGTTGATTACACGCCATACAACGATAGCGTAGACGAAACTAGTTGGCGATCGCTTCAAATATTCACTAAATAGCGTCATTGTCATAGTATTTCAGTGATTTTTGTAATATAAATCCCCCACACGAGGACAATTTTCTTAGGTTGACTCGGGGTGACTCGGGCCATGACAATACCCGTCATATAAAGCTTAACCAAGACCCGCCCCACCGAAATCCACTCAGCCATGCTTAGATCTCGTGTCGTATTGCGGGCAGCCGCCAAGACTGCTCGGATCAGAGTTCCCCTGGTGGCAGTGGCTCCTACTCGGTTTTTGGCGACCACCGCCGATACTTCGCTGGACCACTACGCTAAGGTATACAACCCTCCCGTATCCTATGCCGGTTTGGACACTTTCACTCGTCGCCACATCGGTCCCAAGCCTGACCAAGTGAAGCACATGTTGACCACTTTGGGCTACAAGGACATCGACGAGTTTTTGAAGGCGTCGATCCCCGAACACGTGCTTGTGAAGCGTCCCCTTCAAGTGGCGCCGCTTGACGGTTACACCGAGCTGGAAATGCTCGCCCACTTGCACGACAAGGCCGGCAAAAACCGCATTGCTCGTTCGTTTATCGGTAAAGGTTACGCCGGTACTCACTTGCCCCCGGTGATCCAACGCAACTTGTTGGAACTGCCCGAATGGTACACTTCTTACACTCCCTACCAACCGGAAATCTCTCAGGGGAGATTGGAGTCGTTGCTCAACTACCAGACCATGGTCACCTCGTTGACTGGGTTGGACATGGCCAACGCGTCGCTTTTGGACGAAGGTACCGCCGCCGGTGAGGCGATGGCGTTGTCGTTCCACCAGCTGAAGAACAAGAAGAAGACCTACGTCGTCGACACCAACATCCACCCGCAAACCTTGGACGTGTTGCAATCGCGGGCCGACAACATTGGCGTCAAGGTGGTGAAGTTGCCCTTGCTGACTCCCGAAGGGCTCAAGGAGCTTGAGGCTCTTGGTAAGGATGTGTGTGGGGCGCTTGTGCAATACCCGGGGACCGACGGGTCGATCCACGAGTTCGCTGACGTCATCAAGACCGTCCACGCTAATAAGGGTCTCGTGGCCATGGCCACTGACTTGTTGGCGCTTACTTTGCTCAAATCGCCGGGTGAATTGGGTGCCGACATTGCCTTGGGTACCTCGCAACGGTTTGGTGTTCCCTTTGGCTACGGTGGTCCCCACGCTGCCTTCTTTGCCACTTCGCAAAAGTACGCCCGTAAGATTCCTGGCAGAATCATCGGTGTCTCCAAGGACCGTATCGGCAAGCCGGCGTTGCGGTTGGCTTTGCAAACCCGTGAACAACACATCAAGCGGGAAAAGGCCACGCTGAACATCTGTACCGCTCAAGCGTTGCTTGCCAACATCTCGGCGATGTACGCTGTGTACCACGGGCCCGAAGGCTTGAAGAACATCGCTAAGCGTGTTTACGGTTTCACCACCATTTTGGCCGACGCCATTGCCAACCAACTGAACCACCAAGTGGTCAACGACAAGTGGTTCGACACTATCACCGTTAAGCTCTCCGGGGTGCTGGCCAATGACTTGCTCAAGACCTTGTTGGACGAATACAACATCAACATCTTCAAGGTGGACGACCTGACGGTGTCGGTGACGTTGGACGAGACCGTGACCAAGGAAGAGTTGGAACAATTGATCAAGGCCTTCACCGGCAAGGACGCTCAGCTCCCCGCCGAATTGCCACAATTGCCCCAAGAAGTTTTGCGTAAGGACCCGATTTTGACCCACGAAGTGTTCAACACTCACCACTCGGAAACCGCCCTCTTGCGCTACTTGCACCTCTTGCAGCTGAAGGACTTGTCGTTGGCCAACCTGATGATCCCCTTGGGTTCGTGCACGATGAAGCTTAACGCCACGGTTGAAATGCAAACTTTGCTGATGCCCGGTTTTGGCCAGATCCACCCCTTCGTCCCTAAGGACCAAGCTCAAGGTTACAAGGAATTGATCGACGAGTTCGAAAAGGACTTGAACGACATCACTGGTTTCGATGCTACCACCAACATGCCTAACCTGGGGGCTCAAGGTGAGTACACCGGGTTGCTGCTTATCCGTGAATACCACCGCTCTCGTGGCGACTACGACAAGCGCGACGTGTGCTTGATCCCCGTGCTGGCTCACGGCACCAACCCTGCCTCTGCCGCCATGTGTGGCCTCAAGGTGGTTCCCGTCAAGTGCTTGGACAATGGGTTCATCGACATTGAAGACTTGAAGAAGCAAGCGGAAAAGCACCGCGACAGCTTGTGTCTGATTATGATCACCTACCCCTCGACCTATGGTTTGTACGAGCCTGGTATTCGTCAAGCCATCGACATTGTTCACGACAACGGTGGTTTGGTGTACTTGGACGGGGCCAACATGAACGCTCAGGTTGGTCTCACCTCCCCTGGTGACTTGGGCGCTGACGTCTGCCACTTGAATATCCACAAGACTTTTGCTTTGTCTCACGGTGGTGGTGGTCCCGGCCAAGCCCCCGTGTGTGTCAAGCTGCACTTGGTGCCCTTTTTGCCTAAGCACCACTTTGTTGAGGTGCCTCACGTCACCAACGAATCGATCAAGGCCGTCAACTCGGCTCCTTTCGGGCTGGCGTCGGTGATCCCTGTGTCCTACACTTACATCAAGATGTTGGGGGCTAAGGCTTTGCCCTACGTGTCACTGGTGGCCATGCTTAACGCCAACTACATCATGAAGCGCTTGCAAGGTGCGTACCAAATCTTGTTCATCGACGGCGAAACCGACGGGTTGCGTCACTGCGCCCACGAGTTCATCTTGGACCTCCGTGAGTTCAAGAAGGTGGGCATTGAAGCCATTGACGTGGCGAAGCGTTTGCAGGACTACGGGTTCCACGCCCCCACCATGTCGTTCCCCGTTGCTGGTACTTTGATGATTGAACCCACCGAGTCGGAAGACTTGGCTGAGTTGGATCGTTTCATCGCCGCCATGTTGCTGATCCGGGAAGAAATTGACGCTTACGCTAAGGGTGAACCCTGGGGTCAAGTGCTTAAGAACGCCCCTCACTCGTTGGAAGATGTTGTGGCCTCGAAGGACTGGGACACTCGTGGTTACACCCGTGAACAAGCGGCCTATCCCTTGGGCTACTTGAAGACCGCCAAGTGCTGGCCCACTGTGGCTCGCTTGGACGACACCTACGGTGACATGAACTTGATTTGCACTTGTCCTTCTGTGGAGGAATTGGCTGAAAAAGAGTAGCCGCTAATAGACGTATAGAATGAAATGAACATAGTAATCGGATATAATTTACGCTATATGATTAGGAATTCGATCACTGATTGGGCTTCTCAAGTTTAGACATTGGATATAGTATTAAATTAGTGAAGGGTATTTATTGATTAAGCAAATCTGATACTGACGGGCTCGCCAGCCAATCTTTTCAGCTTAAGCTTTTCTAAGAGCTCAACGGGGTCAAACTTTTCGTCTTCTTTTTCTTCATCGCTTGCATTTTTCTTGCAGACCCGCACATACGCCCGCTTGTGTTTGTGAACGATGAAGCGGGGCTGAATGACGTAGGTGAGGCTCTTCACCGTAAGCCCTTCGAAAAACTCTTCAAAGTCCTTGTGGATGGCCTTAGTGTTGAATTCGACAAACTCAAACTCGATACAACCTTCGTCATCAAACGCCACCGTCTTCTCTTTGTTGTGAATAGAGGCGGTATCATCATTCTCTTTGGTTTCCGGCGCTTTTGGAGAATAAGGGACGTGGTGGTGGGCGGCAAGCGGTTTGCCGTGCAATCTGGTGTCGTTCATTAAAGCAATGGCGCCGTTCGCCTCGTCCAAGGTGTTGAATCCAGCGTAAGCAGTGCCATTGGGGTACTCGCCACGCCAGAGCGGCATAGACTTGACTGGGATCACGAGAAATTCGCTGTTGTTAGTACCTTGATGTTGCTGTTGACATGTTTGTGTGGCAACACTTACGGAGCTTTCTCCTCAAACAACTTCATGAGATCATTCTCAGTGGTAGTTTGGTCGAGGTTGGTGATAACGATAACTGGCTTGGACATTGTGGTGAGGTAAATCATCCACACAATCACGAATGATTTATATCATGTTTCACTCTGTTGGCCTCCTTCAATTAGCAGATTAAGCTGTACACTCAGTTATCTGTAGTCTGAGAATATGCACGCTGGAAAATATCTTAACGCCGATTTCGACTCGTTAAAATGATTTAATCTGTCACACATTGGAAAGTAGTGGATTCATCGTATGCACGAATTAGTCGGGTGGCTTTCAAAAGTTGCCTTCATAGGTACCCTCGCTGTGCCGCGTGGAGGCGATATTAGCATTAAGGTAAGGTTCCGGTGAACGCCGCACCCCGCGCAACACTCACGCCCATTCCCACGACGCTTAGGGCCCCCAGCCATGGAGTGGTATAACAAAAGACGCTATAACGGGGGTACCCTGTCTCCCATTGAACGGAGTTCATACTATTATGGCCAGTACCCTCTCTACTGCAGTGATTGGTTCACCTTGGGCGACAGGGACACTATTGCATTCTCCACTTACAAAGAAGGCTTCTCCAACAAGCTCCAAGTCGTCCAGGGATATGCTTACGGCAAGGAAATGACCGAGGATAGCGATCCGGACCACACAATTGAAGGGTTCGACTTCAACTTAGCGGCGGAAGTGAACTTGGACTACCCGATAACCCACCTCCAATGGGACCCTCTTAATACCCCCCGGTTGGCAGCATCGCTGGATTTATTACGATTGTACAAACTTGAGTACGACGATAATGATACTATGCTCGTTCAAACCCACATGCTTGCCAATAACCCCACCACCAAGGACGATATCAATACATTCCCTCCAGTGACCTCATTTGACTGGAATTCCACCGATCCCAGCATTGTTATCACCCTGAGCATTGATACCACTTGCACTGTATGGGACTTGCATCGTACCTACAATGATGAAGGTTCGGAAATGGCTACGGTGAAGACGCAGCTTATCGCGCATGACCTGGAGGTGTTCGACGTCAAATTCGTTTCCAAACTGACAGACATATTTGCCCTGGTTGGCAATGATGGCCTGATGCGTGTGTTTGACTTGCGGCTGCTTGAGCACTCTACTATCATCTACGAGCCCCCCGCCACCAAGGCCATGAACACCAAAGCATTACTCAAATTGCTGACGCTGAACATTGACCAGCACCACTTGGCGACCATCGGGGTCAATTCCAATGAAGTCATCATCATTGACATGCGGATGCCGGGGCTTCCTGTTGCTCTGATCGATGGGTCGCTCGGCGGGGTTCTGCCGGCAGCGATCAACTCGATCCAATGGCATCCCACGTCCAACTATTTGTTGACCGGAGGTGACGATTGCCAGGCTCTAGTGTGGGATTGTTCAAAGTTGTCCGGTGAACTGAGCACAGTTATTGACACTCCAGTGTTAGCTTATGAAGAAGAGTATGAAGTTAACAATGTGTGTTGGCGGCGTGAACAGGGAGACTGGTTTGGTGTGGTCAGCGGTAAAGGGTTCCAAGCTGTAGGCTTTTAATATAGATAATCAATACCTTTAGCACTGACATACCCTTCAACTGATATCGTATCTGCTTATTGTGATGGTTATGAGGGCGGCTACGATTTCTAAAATCCCGCAGGCCACGTTGGACTAGTGAAAAATTTTCACTTGAGGGGTGAGAGGGGGGTGAAATTAGACAAAAATTTTGAAAATACAAGTTAATATTCAACTCAGTAGTGCTATTAAACTAAACTAACTAGCTTACTTCTTAGCAGCCTTTTGGGCGGCCTTGGTAACCTTACCAGCCTTGTCGGACTTTTCGACGGCCTTGATGACACCGACGGCGACAGTTTGTCTCATGTCTCTGACGGCAAATCTACCCAAAGGAGGGAAGTCAGTGAAAGCTTCAACACACATGGGCTTGGTGGGGACCATCTTGACGATGGCGGCGTCACCAGACTTGATGAACTTGGGGTTGTCTTCCATCTTCTTACCCGATCTTCTGTCGATCTTTTCAATCAAAGTGTCGAACTTGCAGGCAATGTGGGCGGTGTGACAGTCCAAAACGGGAGAGTAACCAGCCGAGATTTGACCAGGGTGGTTCAAGACAATAACTTGAGCGGTGAACGATTCGCAGCCCTTGGGGGGGTCGTTCTTCGAGTCACCACAGACGTTACCTCTTCTGATTTCCTTGACCGAGACGTTCTTCACGTTGAAACCAACGTTGTCACCGGGGACACCTTCAGCCAATTGTTCGTGGTGCATTTCCACGGACTTGACTTCGGTGGTGACACCAGCGGGGGCGAAGGTGACAACCATACCGGGCTTGATGACACCGGTTTCGACTCTACCGACGGGCACCGTCCCGATACCACCGATCTTGTAGACATCTTGCAAGGGCAATCTGAGGGGCTTGTCAGTGGGTCTGGTAGGGGGTTCGATAGCGTCAATAGCTTCCAACAAAGTCTTACCAGTCGACTTACCAGCCTTGGTTTCCTTTTCCCAACCCTTGTACCAGGGGCAGTTGGTCGAGGCTTCAATCATGTTGTCACCGTTCCAGCCCGAGATGGGGACGAAGGGGACGGTCTTGGGGTTGTAACCGACCTTCTTGACGAAGTTGGTGGTTTCCTTAACAATTTCGTCGAATCTGTTCTTGTCCCACTTAACCGAGTCCATCTTGTTGATAGCAACGATCAATTGCTTAACACCCAAGGTGTAAGCCAACAAGGCGTGTTCTCTGGTTTGACCGTCCTTGGAGATACCGGCTTCGAATTCACCGACACCCGAGGCAATGATCAAGATAGCACAGTCAGCTTGCGAGGTACCAGTGATCATGTTCTTGATGAAATCTCTGTGACCGGGGGCGTCAATGACGGTGACGTGGTACTTGGGGGTTTCGAACTTCCACAAGGCAATGTCGATGGTGATACCTCTTTCTCTTTCAGCCTTCAACTTGTCCAAGACCCAGGCGTACTTGAAGGAACCCTTCCCCAATTCGTCGGCTTCCTTTTCGAACTTTTCAATGGTTCTCTTGTCGATACCACCGCACTTGTAGATCAAGTGACCGGTGGTGGTAGACTTACCAGCATCGACGTGACCAATGACAACAACGTTAACGTGAGCCTTATCCTTACCCATTTTTGTTAGTTGGAGGAAAAAAAAGCGTTGCCAGGGGTATACTTATATAGGTGTCCGCACCTTTGTGTGCAGTCCGCCATCGAATGCAGAAAATTTTTCTCTTAGGTTTGCGGTGGCAATGCATCCGATGTATGTCACACGTGAGCTAGGGTGATAACCCTAACCGACATAAATCTTCCCTAAACTCTTAATTTGGTGTCAATTTCGACGATTAAAAGTGATTACCTTATTGTCAAGTCGTCTAGGTAGATGTCAGAGTAATTTTGAGTGCCATAGTCTATGCCAATTTTGATTTATTTGAGGTCAACTTTTTCTATGGAAAAGGCGGCATCCCGTTCAAGGCGTTTTGCCACCTCATGTAGCCTTTATTAGAGGGTGAATTCCGTATCCCGGAAATTCCATTTCCGACTTTTAGGGTTGAATGGGTTTATTGCAATGAACGAGTTTGGGTTCAATCCGCCATTACGTATTAATTACTATGATCTTAAATACACTTGCACTCTAACGCGAATAGTTTCATTGCCCAAAGGCGGTTGATCGTTGACGATCATTGATGTGCCTGATGTCATGTTGGTGTGCAACGTGGAACATTCGAGCAACTTCCGACTGCGTGGAAGACACGTACACCCCAGGCGGCATTCATCTCACCCCGTCACCCCGTCACCCCGTCTATTCTCGCGTGTGTCTACAATAAGCGGTAACTATTAGGGTCGTAGTATTTCTTACTCAGGTTGGTTTTTAATTTATCTATCATCCATCCGTCGAAACATGATGGCTCATCGCAATCAAGGAGTTGCCCTGCATTGAGCTCATCGCATATATTAATTGTCATGGCTGCTCCGCCTGTAGCCGTGGATAGTGCTGTAAGTTTCGATCGCGAGCATCAGTCGACAAATGCGGCTAGTAACTCAGATAGACGAGATTAGTGGTTACGCTAACTATTAGGGTAAAGATAGACGTGTGGTGTACGAACTGATGGAAGTGTGCTTCTTTAATAGATCAGATTATCAGATGTAGCTTAGACTGGCCTCTGAAGGTTTTACATCGAATGAAAGATGCTCTCTTCCCCTCACCGTCTAAGCTGTCAAAGGGAGCACCTTAATGTTCAATTGGACGATAGACGTCAAATGAGTCACACATATGAATTACTCGTGTAACTATTCCGTATGAAAGCGGTTGACGTTATCGACCCAAGAATTCTGGAGAATATCTGCATGTTGCCACTTTTTCCATTTTCTCACCAAAACTCATTTATCTGATGTTTCGTCTTGTGGCGCAGTAAAGCAGTTGAACATGGTAGTTGTTCGAATTCCATGTAAACCTTAAAATGCGACGAATGTCCCAAGGTAGCCTACATATATATATAAGAAAGAAATGGCTTTCAAGATCTCATTAGTATATCTCAGTTTGTGTTACGTCAAGCACATGATACGACCAGATACTAAGTGCAAAGATAAAACTAAGAACTGAATCAAGAGGATGGATGTATCTGTGCTGTTGACTCGGTATAAAATTTCATACATAGTAATCGTCGTAGTTATTGATTTCATCACCTCATGCGTTGTAGATGTAGGTGCCATTGAGTTCACATATCAATACTCAGGCGAGTGGTCAGTGTAGACGAACGACGACGCTGGTTCCGCGCGTACGTGGGGTCAGTCTTCTTGCCTTTGGTTTCAGCGAAAAGGCCCAAAATATCAGTGAGTGAAACCACCCCAATCAACTTACCCTGTCCGGGATCCTTAGTAGGGGTATCTTGCAGCTTCAGCGGCGATTCGACAATCCACAACCGGTGCGATTGAGTTGCCACAAGCTTAGCAACCACCCGTCCCAACGTCAGCAGTTTTCTCACGTGGAAGATGGGGAATTGATCTTGGCCACGCTCGATACCCTTTTGCAGAAGGTTGTAGGAGATGAAATTGAGAACCAGCTTGAATAAGAGAGCAGAGTTCTTCGATGAAGTAACATTTTGGACGTCAGTGATGGAAATGTTGCCGATCAATTGGTGCAGGTGATCGATGACAGCCAATGACAGGACTCGTTCGGTATGCATTTTCGTGAGAGCTTCAATCAATAATTGATCATCGTAGATGGTCATCGGGTTGGTGGCACCTATTTGCAATTGCTCAAGAGTTTGATCGAATAATCCTTCTAACAGCGGGAATCGACGAGCATTTTCCCACATGAACCGGATCAACCGTCGTTGTGATAAGATACCCGTAACCTTGCCGGAATTGTCGGTAATTGCCACCCGATGAACACCATTTCCGAGAGTCTCCATGACACTGGGCAAGTAGTCGTGTTCATTGAATCTGATAAACGGGTTCTTCGGATGCACATGGATGATGAATTCAACGGGGACTTCTTCACCCCGCTTAGCTTTGGCAACGTACTCGGCATTGGCAGGAGCGTCGCCCACCGATATCTTGTTCATTACAAGGAGAAGGTACGTATTCAAGTCGGAGTAGTCAAAGGTACCGCAATTGGTCAAGTCGGTGTCGTTGGTCCGACTTACGGGGACCAGGGTCAAGTTGTGAGACTTCAAAGTCTCAAATGCTTGCTGCACCAGGACTTTAGCAGGGATCGAGATCAATTTGTTGCCATCGGTCAACTCACTTAATTGGATGTCGTTCCAATCGCCAATGACCAGTCCCGTGGCCAGCAGTGCTCGCAGCAGCACCAGGGGATTGCGGCTGATCAGCATTCCGAGAGACTCGTCATCTTGATTGAGAGGTGGCGGCAGCAGTAACATCTCGACAATCAGGGGCTTGCGCAGCGGATTGGGCAGCGCTGCTCCCGTGGCTCGAGTGAATGGCAGCATGAGTTAACTGAACGTGAATGGGTGAGCGAGCCGCAATTTGCGATTGTCGACACTGAGAAAAAAGGATGTATTGAGCCCTGAGGATCGAACTATTTCGAGATTTTAGGGGCGAATTTCAAGATACTCGCAAATTTCGCACTGTGTTGCCCGATGGTAGCGCCTCGGGAATACCTGCGGGTTTAATCTGGGGCAGCGTGAAGGGACGTTTGGGGATGGGATATATGGCAGTGTCACCCAATGACGGGCGTCAAGCCCGACAATTATTGGAAATCTACACTAAAATCTGTATTTTTGTTGAGATGACCGACGCTACGCCCGGGCGTGCCCCCTGAGCCTATGAAACATCGACCCACTTAATGAAAACGTTGAGCCACTCTTGCGCAGTGGATAATGTCCTATCCGCATTGGGCAAAGTTCAGGCGTAGTGCGGGTGTGTGTGTAGAGTTGAGTGATTAATGGGGACGGGGCGGGCCTACGTGGGGGGAGGTGTGTGGGTCGCCGCACCTGAGAAGGCGACCCACACTAGAGTTAGGTAGCCTAACCTTGACCCGTGTAATCCCGAGGATGGTTGGGAGGGGGGATGCGACTGTGTTGTGGGCTTCGGTAACGGTAATCCGTCCGCCCAGCCGCACGTGCACTCAGAAGCCATCGACGATAAGCAGTCACAGCCGATTAGGTTACGTCTAGGGCAGTGTCTTTAAAAGTACCCGAGGTTGTTTTAGAGAGGGACCTCCGTTTCCCCGAAGTTTAATAGAGTTATCTTTCTTTTTTCATACTTTTTGGGCCTCACATGCCGCAGCGAATTTCCTGTCTATAATTATCTGTTGGGTAAAAAGAAATTTTCTCCCAAACGGTGATCCGAGTTTAAAAGGGCTCACCTCCCGCAACACCACAGGAACGCATCATGGTTGAAACCGTTGACATTACCTCGCTTAACGCTGTGGCCGCGGGTACCAACAAGGCGACCCCCCGTATCGTCGCTCTGGGGTTCGGGGGTAGATTGATGGGTACTTCCGACATGGTCAAGGTGACTGCCGAGGAAATCACTCAAACCAACGAAATGGACATCAAGAATAAGGCTGGGTCGCAATACTCTAAGGTGGTTCACCCTTCGGAGAAGCCCTGGTCGATGTCCACCTTTGTGGAAAAGATCAATTGGTTGAACATGATTTTGGTTGCGGCAATCCCCCTTTACGGTTTTGTTGAGTTGTTCCGCATTCACTGGGATCCCCGCACTGTGGTCCTTGGGTTCATCCTTTACGTGTTCCTGGGTTTGTCGATCACTGCCGGTTACCACCGGTTGTACGCTCACAAGGCTTACGATGCCGCTCTCCCCGTGAGAATGTTCTTTGCCTTCTTCGGTGCTGGTGCCATTGAAGGGTCTATCAAGTGGTGGGGCCACTCGCACCGGGTGCACCACCGTTACACTGACACTGCCCGTGACCCTTACGATGCTCGTCAAGGTTTCTGGTACTCCCACATGGGTTGGATGTTGACCAAGCCTAACCCCAAGAACAAGGCTCGTGCCGACATTTCTGACATGATGGCCGACCCTGTTGTTGTTTTCCAACACAAGCACTACATGTACTTGATGTTGTTTTCTGCCTTCATCTTGCCTACCATCATTGCTGGCTTGGGCTGGGGTGATTGGTACGGTGGTTTCATCATCGCTGGTGTGTTGAAGTCGTGCATCATCCAACAAGTGACTTTCTGTGTCAACTCGTTGGCCCACTGGATTGGTGTGCAACCGTTCGACGACCGTCGTTCGCCCAGAGACCACGTGCTCACTGCTTTGGTTACTTTTGGTGAAGGTTACCACAACTTCCACCATGAGTTCCCTTCGGACTACAGAAACGCTCTCAAGTGGTACCAATACGACCCGACTAAGGTTGTCATCTGGACGTTGTCGAAGGTTGGTCTTGCCTACAATTTGAAGATGTTCTCTCAAAACGCCATTGAACAAGGTTTGGTTCAACAACAACAAAAGAAGTTGGACCGCATGAAGGCTAAGTTGAACTGGGGTGCCACCGTTGACGAGTTGCCCGTGTGGACTCGTGACGAGTTTGACGCTCGCGCCAAGGACGAAGGTCTTTTGATTATTGGTGGTATCATTCACAAGGTCGGTCCTTTCATTAACGAACACCCTGGTGGGAAGGCGTTGATCAAGGCCACCATCGGTAAGGATGCCACTAAGGCCTTCTCGGGTGGTGTTTACTACCACTCCAACGCCGCTCACAACTTGTTGAAGTCAATGAGAGTGGCTGTGATCAAGGACGCCGAGGTGACCTCGAACACTTTTGATGCCCAAAACTTCTTGGAACAAAAGGAGAAGGCAAACGCGACCAACTAATCAGCTGGTGATGATTATTTATTTTGGTTTAACGGTATAGGAATAGAAATAGGATGAAAATCTTCAGTTTACAATATATGCATTTATGACGTTATAATAATTACTCCGATAGTTGCGCGGGGAGGAGTGCGGACTTTGAAATGTTCGGAAATCCAGAGGGAGCTGGCTTTGCGGATGAAGCTTATGGGTTGCACAGTGTAAAGTGCAGCACATCTCCAATTGTTACTCCTTCATTGGCTGTGGTAATGCAGACTCCGGACTCAATTGTGAAGATCTGATCGTTTTTGTGAAGTGGGGTGAGAATTTCCCTTTCCAGATCGCGCTATATGTAAGAATGGTCTGACAGACAACAACTCTAATTTGACTACAGTCAAGGTGGCGAAAACGGAACCAGTACTTGATTCTCATAGTATAGCCATTATCCAGAGGTACACTATAACTCAATCGGAGATTTAACCTTGAAGAGTAGGTATTTCTGAAGGCAATTTAAAGTATCGAGCTGCAGAACATGCAGGAGGAACAGGCCACTAGGCAAACTCCGGGATACATAATTCCACTATGGGGTTTGGAACGACGGGATAAAAGCAAAGGTATAAAAGGGGATAATGACACCACTCTCATTTCTTCTTCAGAACCACTAACAAATTCATAATGGCTTTCCAAGTTCCCCTCGGTGCATACTTCTTGAAAAGAATCCCGGACATTGTCTTGTGGGGTGGCTCTTTCTCCGTGTTGGTGTTGTGGCCCCATGCTTTCCCTTATATCTACAACAAGATTGACAACGTGCCCCCCATCAACGCCCAATCGTTCATTGGTACGAAGCCAATCTACCAATGAGTGAATTGCCCACATATACGAATTAATGACCATCAATACAAGTTTAGCGACTAATTCTGTAGACCATCCATACAAAATCAAGGGAAGAATGGAGGCAATTGAATAGCTTCGGACTTTTTAAGCAGCACTCGCGACTGATTTGAACTCAGAGATTCTCTATTGATATTTGGCTCATTCAGTTTGTACGTTTGGTTTGTTCCGACGATTACAATATTGTATACCACGAACATGCTAAGTGGTTACTGTGTTATATCAGATTGTAGAAGTTTTGGAAAAGAGTCCCTTCCACCAGCACAGAAATGTTAAGTCAGCATGACTATAATGGAGGCATGATTTGCTCTGCAGGCATCCCGAATACGAGACGCTCGTTAGTTCTAGCGAGAGCGGCATCTAATCGATTTTGAAGAGTCTGCGTTCACGTTTGCACGGCAAAATCTGTGTTTGCGCTGACCCAAATATACGAACCGCTAAGCAGACGCGAATTTCATATAGACCTCCAAAAGTCTTTCATGATCTACTTGTCAATTTCAATTCCGTTTCCGATAGATCGTGTAACCTCCACTCACTCAAAGATATGTGGCGGTGGCGAATCCGAGAGTGGTGAGCATTCCGCAAGGCGTCCCCAATAGCGTTCCATTTCTGCGCATTTTAAGCACCGTTAAAAGCGCGATAACTCCGAATGCGTCAACCAGCGGCGTCGGCTCTGACTCCTAAGTAACTCTTGAACTTTCTTCGTAGTATTCCACACGTTATTGAAGCGTTATTGGTTCAATAGTTTGCCTTCGCACATAACCGTGGCGTGAACGCTCATGGAGGCAGTGTAACGTCTCCTTAGCGCCCTCGACAGAATTGCTTCAACCACAATGCATAGTAGCAGGATGTATTCGAATTTGAGTTTCGACGTCTAGAAGACCTATATTTTCTCACACGAATGCCCGGCATCACCACTGTTCTCGTATACCCCCCTCTCTTCCCCCACTTCCAGTGCAGTAACGGCGTTGGCGGTGGCTACGCCCCCGACGCATTCCCCAAAAATGCGTCAACTCTACCAAAAAATCCATCACGAATACACGGCACGAGGGCACAAACCATGAGAAAAGCGGTGGCGAGGATTCTTCCACAGGGTCCTCGCGATCTTGGCGGTACCCTTCTGGGTTTACGTCTTGACATCATGAGCATTGGTGAATTCTACGTCTCCCTCGACGACCCTCACCGAACGTGGCTGCCTGGTGACGAGGTTCTGGGTCAAATCATCCTTGCCACTACGAAAAACCTTGTCAATGTGGCAGTGACACTTTCCTTGATTGGAGTGATCAAAATAAATTCCCTGAGTCACAAACTACGCCCAGTAAAGCAGGAGTTGTTCAACCACACCATTCGAATTTATGGTGACGAAACAGGCCAAGCGGGCTTATTCAAGGGCGAACATCGCTTTCCGTTTATTGTCAAATTGCCCGTGAAAAGAATTTTCACCAGCATAGAATTTGGAAAAGGGCTGATCAACTATATCCTTCGGGCCGCGATTGGATCGACACAACTGTCACCGATATCTCAATCTGGAGAGTTGAGCAACCCCACATGTACTTCAGAGAAGGTTCTCAACATTCTCAAACCCATTGATGTACTGTTATTACCTCCAGCCAAGCCTAAACGTCTTATTATTAAAGACCCCCGACAGCAACGATTACTAATGAGGACACACCTGGTTAGTTCATCTGCTACGTTACTGACCACACTGAGTACAGAACTGAATGCCACTGATACACCATCAGAATCTAGTGGTAGCATCAAGTTATCATTCGAAATCCCTCAACGAGGTTTCATCAGAGGTGAGCTGATACCCATGCGATTACTGATAAATCACTTTCGCCAACTTCTGGACTTGAATGGGGTAATTGTCACCCTTGTAAGGGTCTGTCGCTTAAACAATGCCCCTGGAGGATTTTTAGAACTGTTTCGAAAAGATCTTCAGCAAGTCATTCTTCCGCTCTACGTTGACCCCGAGTCGAAACACGGGTTGGTGACCACAAACTTACGCGTGCCCCCTGATGCCTTCCCCACCATCGAAAAATGTCCTTTGGTTGGGTTTCAATATTATATTGAAGTGCTCGTTAATCTACTGGGGAAACCCGTCGACATCAATGGCGGGGCACATACACCAAGACTAGTAGATCAGGAAGGGAATTCACCTGTTGGACTTGATGCATCAATTGAAGCACCTTCTCGTGTGGCGTTCGTCAATACTGACAAATTCAAACGTCTGCGAAAGTTTTTACAGCTTACGCAAGAAATAATTATTGGGACGCACAGGCTGATTCCCAATGATGGATTACTGCCCTGGCTGCGAAGACTGTCTCTGCTGGGAATGGCCCTGCCACAAGTTGGTACCAATCCAACAACCCCCCTGGAACCTCCAATGCCTCTGGTACTCGAGCAAGAATTAAGAAACTCCCCCGAATTTTCTGAAGTGCCAGGTTATACCGAGAACATTGACACAGACATTCCCAATAATTTCGGCGTGATTGCAACGCCGTATCATGAAGTCAGCGTATCCGAAAGTAGCGACGAAAAGCAGCGCTTACAGGCTCAAGAAGCTGCACTTCTACCACTGGCACCTCCGGATAGTGACGACGATGCTCTGGCAACCACCGATGTGCCTGAAGCCCTCCCTTCGCTCCCTCCATACATGGGCAATCCCACCGCTGGCGGTGAAAATGTTTCAGATACACTGGAACAATAATTGCTCGGTTTTTTATAGATGTATTATATGTACATTCCGGTATTTATATATGCATTTAACTTCTCTTTACTAAGTTAGCGAACCCGACTCTCCACAAAAGTGCATTGCTTACAGATGCGTTGCGAACAATCCACAAAGGGCANAAAAAAAAAAAAAAACGAAGCAACCTATCAAAGCAAAATGCTTAGCAGGGCCAAAAAGAATGCCTTCAGCCGGAATCGAACCGGCGATCGCTGCATTACGAGTGCAGCGCCTTACCACTTGGCCATAAAGGCAAATGAACCTGCCTCCAGCCGGAATCGAACCGGCGATCGCTGCATTACGAGTGCAGCGCCTTACCACTTGGCCATAGAGGCGGTTGCGAGAAATGTAAAAAATGACCAATCATGAGCTAAAGGATTATGTCGATCTTTACTTTTCTATTATCGTTTAGAGTCTTGTGTACCCGTCATTGTCCAGAGTAAAGGTTTTCAATTTCTCTCCTTGATTTTGAAACGGAAAAATCAACATTTGCGTGTAAAAAGTGCAATAGATATCGTCGGACGAAATTCATTCGAGTTTGGGTACGGCACAGCTTGATTTGCAAACTGGAATAACAACCATCATCAACGTTCTCCATGTCTTGCAAGTTTTCAGCCACCTCCATATTGCCACCTCCTTCGCTATCAGAGTACCCTTTCAAAGAGTGAAAAATGTTCGACCACTCTATAGAATGACCACATAGCTTACCAGCTGCTGCTTGTATTTATCACCCAAACAGCTAAAGTTTTTCATTCGGATGAAGGTTGGACAGATAAAATCTTTTTGTGCATCCATGTCATCAAGATCAGATTCAGTGTGACATCATTTCATCGCGCCAAAACGCCACACCGTTGAAAAATCTAGGCTTCAAAATTTTCAAGGTAACCTTTCGTGAAGGTTTTAGCCTGAAAACTGTATTTACACATACCACTTTCTCACATTAAAACTATGTTTGATTCGGTAGTTATCGTTGGCTCAGACGTACCCACCATCTAATAAGCGCTTTACGCGATTTCTCACGATTGTTAGCAATTATCTAGAGGGGTATCCACAAACGAATCCAGCGAAGGCTGCACTAAACAGCTATCATGGGCATGACATTCCGTGAACAAATGAAGGGCTTCCCTGTCTGGCAAATGACAGTGATCGGCCTCATTCGCTTTTCAGAGCCTATCGCCTTTACATCCATGTTCCCCTATGTTTACTTTATGGTTCGAGATTTTGGTGTTGCGAAGGAAAAGGCAGACATTGCAACCTACTCAGGTTACCTATCGGGATCTTTTGCCTTCTTCCAATTTCTTTGCAGTGTGCAATGGGGGTATGCTAGTGATCGATTTGGCCGGAAACCAATTTTGCTCATTGGTCTTATGGGCACGGCATTATCGATGCTTCTATTTGGGTTCTCTCGAAGCTTTGGTGAAGCTCTCTTTGCTAGATCCTTAATGGGTATACTCAATGGCAATGTCGCAGTCCTTAGAACTACTGTTGGTGAAGTTGCTACAGAAAAACGACACCAGGCCACAGCCTTTTCGATTATTCCCTTATTATGGAACTTTGGTAGTATTTTGGGACCTATGTTAGGGGGTTCAAAGTATCTCACGCGTCCTAAAGGTCTGGAAGTCGACTTCAAGGGTCCCGACTGGTACGAAAACTTCATCACCAAATATCCTTATGCTTTATCTAACATTTTAGTCGCTTCTTTGATCATGTTTAGTTGGTTGGTTGCCTTTCTCTTCCTCGAAGAGACTCTACCTAAGGCCAGAAATCGTCGAGACATTGGTTTAGAAATTGGCAACTGGATACTTGCCAAGTTAGGTTATAATGCTTCAAAGTCCAAAGACGAAGAGGCTGAAACGGAGGTTTTGATTCCAGATGGAGCTTCGACAACTGATCAGCTGTCTTTCAACAGCGAATACTCACTGATTTTGAACCCCCGGGCAAACTACGCGTCAATTGTGGGGGACGATGAAGCATTGATAGATGATGATGCTAGCATTGAAAGTATGGGACCATTCAGCCGTCGCATGTCTGAGGCACTTCTACGCCGTTACTCAAGCGAAAACCTTACGATGTCGCGGATGACTACACGTGAAGGTCGCAGAACCCTTTGGCATGAGTTCAAGGAAGCTTTCACTCCAGCCGTCTCGCAAACGTTGACAGCCAACTTTTTGTTGTCCTTTCACACCATTGTGTTTTCGGAATTTTTGCCTGTGTTTCTCGCTGGCACTGCCATGCCTGAGAAACTCAAGTTTCCCTGGAAGATCGTGGGTGGTTTTGGTTATGATTCTAGCTCCATTGGGACATTACTTTCTACGACCGGACTCATTGGCAGTCTCAATATCATGATAATGTTCCCCTGGCTAGATCGTAAGTTTTCAACTACGACGAATTTTGCCGCTGCCTCCCTGGTGTTTCCCATTATCTATGTGACCCTTCCATTCTTAGTTTTTACGCTTCCAGGATATTCCACGTTGTTTCCCGAAGGATTCACGCAAGTGGCAATCTACGTTTTATGTTTTGTTAATGCCATCGCGGTGTCACTTGGATTCCCGAATATGTTAATGTTGGTTCATAGGTCTTCCCCCCCTCGCAATCGTGCATTCATTAACGGATTGGCTTTGAGTTTTTCTTCTCTCGCTCGGTGCGTTGGTCCATTAGTTTGGGGTCACATCATGGCATTCTCAGACAGAATTGAGTTAGGTGGGTTGTCGTGGTACATTCTTGCCGCGTTGTCGATAGCCGTTGCAATTCAGGCATTCTGCATGACTGACTACGAGGATACTACATAATTTAAATATGCATTTACGACATTCATAAGTAAACATTATAAATTCATTCAACTACACACCTTTTGCCTTCATCAATAAGACATGAAATTGATGCTCCACACTGGCGTTGAGCAATTCCTTGACTCCATCGTCAAAGATACTAATCAGTTGAGTGTCCGCATCCAGAACCACTGGGCTGTTGTTCCCGACAACAAACACCTCGGTACGGATATTTGGATGGTACTTGTGGATTTGCTTCGACACATTTTCTTTGAACATGAAAAAGTTGACTTCAAGTCCAGGATTCTTCCCAGTGAACAAACTATTGATTTCATCTTGACGTTGGGCAGTCATAGACAGCAGAAGCGAACCCGTTTTCACAAATACGTTCACCTGAGTTGTTATGCTTGCAATAAGTCTGTAAACAATAAACAACGCAAGTTTATCATTCGAAGAAATGATGTTGTCATTTGTAATCATGATATTGATAGATTTGGGGTCAATCAAATGGGTGTCATACTCTTCCCCGTATAACACAGCCGAGTCATCTTCTTCCACTTCCACAGTTGTGACCACCCCTGCTTTGTTCCCGACATTGTCTTTATAGGTTGAGTCACGACTGAATCTGCGGTAGCCAGCGAGCCTTTCATTGACGAGGAGAAGACCAAAATGGCACTTTGCTTGGTTGAACAACCGAGAGCATAATAGGTAATCATGGGAATCTTGACTAAAATTGCTAAGACGCAAAGATGTGAGCAAAAGTTCATCAGATGATTGTATCTGATTGTTCACAGTCAACACGTGGTTTTGAAATGTGGAAAGCACCAGCTTGAGCGTACATTCAAAATTTGACACCTCCGAAAAGGCTTTGACAATCATCAAGATGGCGGAAGAGTTCCCAAACTCAGCACGATTGTCATCGCTAATCATAACTTGATCATCATGTAAGTTGGTCAGAGCCTCCAACAAATGAGACGTTCTTGACGTGAACTCACGCAAATGGACTGCCTTGATTTCGTTCCTAGAACCTGCTTTGACGAAATTTTGCAAAAATTGCATGAGATAAGAAATTGTATCGATACTCTTGAGCAATAAAGTGGTACGTGAGATTTCATAATTCCCAAGGTCTGAGATAGCCATCAGTGCAAGGTTGGCATCCAGATTCGAGTCCTCATCGGCTTTGATTATGGGGTTGCCATTCCAATCGCATTCACCACGTAAGTATTTATCACGTTTCTCACGGTACGAAACTGGATATACCCATAACGCAAGGGGAGTAGTCAAAAAGGTGGTCACAAGTGCCATAATTACAAACATAGTGTACACTTTTTGCGAGATAATACCTGCTTGTAGCCCGACATTCAATACGACAATTTCCACAATACCCTTACATGACATCAAAACCCCAACAGCTAGTGATTCACGCTGGAAGAGTTTGTTAAGTCTAGCAGCGACATACCCACCAATAACTTTACCAGCCATAGCAAGACCAATAATGCCGATGGTGTAACCCCAGTCAATACCTTCACTTAACAATCCAAGATTAACATTGAGACCAGCAAGACAAAAGTAGATCGGAATCATTAAAATTTGCACCAATTCTTCGATTCGCTCAGTAACTTTGACTGCGTATCCACGAGTACGAGGTACAATGATTCCACACATAAACGCCCCAAAGATGGGATGGATACCGATGATATCAGTGAAGAAGGCCAGAATGAAGCAACACACAAGAATCATAAGCATCGACAGTTGGCACGGCTCACCCGTGACCATATCGTTGGTGAAGCGAGTAATCAAAAACCGCATCACAATCCGTACTGGATAAAGCATGAACAAAAACCACGCCAAAGTCAATAATAAAATGTACACGACATTGACTGGTTTGGATGCGTTGGCGAGAGTGACAGTGAGTGCGAGAAGAATCCAACCCGTTAAGTCATTCATGATTCCTGCAGCGAGGACGATAGTGCCGGCTCGATCACCAATCAAGTTGAGCTCAGTCAAAATACGAGCCAACACGGGGAACGCGGTAATACAAAGAGCCACCGCAATAAACACCATGTAAGTAGTGAAGGATACATTTTCGTTGTCCTTATCGGCGTATTGGTTGTAAAACCCTTTAGCGATACCGCAACCCAAGGCGAAGGGCACCGCCATATTGATAAGCCCTACGGAAAGGGCCGACTTCAAGTTGCGTTTGATGAACTGCACGTCAACTTCCAACCCAATCATAAAAAGGAACAAGATAATACCAACATTAGCTACCAACGTCAATCCGGCGATCAGTTCTTTGGGAAAAACAGTATTGGTAAAGTTTGGGACATGCCCCATCACTGAAGGTCCAAGCAACACCCCTGCAATCACTTCAGCGATTACCTTAGGCTGTTGGATTTTACGGAGCGGCCAATTAAGTATCCAGCAAAGAAGAAGGATGATGATGGACTGGAAAATAAAAAGCACATAGGGGGTCGATGCCAGGTACTCGAGTGGGTTTCTACCCGCAACGATACCGGCGACGTTTGACGTGCTTACAGCCATGTGTCAAGCAATGGGTGGGGGAGGGGACTTCACGATCTTCGATTATGGCGATAATGCGTATTTTATGCACCGCCTTGTTTCCTGCACAGAATTTACGGAAATTAAGCATAGCCTTACACGAGGACTTACGGCGTGTTTTCCCGCGTGCTTTGGTCTACCCAGAAAGACCGGTAGCGATGTCAACAATCGCCGTCAGCCGCGAGCTTTGGGGGGCAACGATGGGGATGGCGATTGTGGACGACAACGAGTATGAGGACGGCCGTGAAGGGCAACGCAATGTGCTCGGCGGGGCTGGGGTGTACTGGCTCGTGGGCTGCCGTTTGTTTGGAGGCAGAGCTAATCGTCATCGGGTGGGCGGAGTTATCGATTTGGGACGAGACTTCCCCGCAGCAGCCCTTCGTCAAATTCAACTGTGGGGTATGGCTCACGTGGTGTTACGCGAAGGTGACCGGTTGACCACTCGAGGTGTGAACTATTACGACAACCACGGCGTGCGACATTTTGCCTACAAGACACCCAAGAGGCAGATATTTACTGCCGATTTGGTTGAGTGTGGGTTGGTGCCGTGTCAATGGGTCCATTTGATCTGTCTGGCGGCGCGGGCGGCTGAATTCATCCTGGAATTGACCGAGCTCGATCCCAACGTGAAATTCATCTATGAGCCGTTGCCCACAGATTGCCTACCCAATAATTTGGAGGCCATGGCCAAATTGATCCCCCACATTGATGTATTCACCCCTAACTGGGAGGAGGCTTCGAGTCTTTGCAGCGACATACTAGCGGACGACGCTTCTGTGGAAGCGGTGGCGGCGACGTTCGCCTCATACCAGAAACCCAACTCGGTGGTGGTGATTCGACAAGGTGCCAAAGGGGCCTATATGGTGCGATCGGGTCAGCGAGACGGTGTCCAGCTCCCTGCGTATCATTTGGACCAGGCTCGCGTCATTGACGTCACTGGTGGCGGAAATTCGTTTTGCGGAGGGTTTGTTGCTGGCTATCAGATGTCAGGCGGTGACTGGGTGGCGGCGGCAGCGGCGGGGAACATTGTCAGTGGGTGCGTGATAGAGGCCCTGGCAATGCCCGAGCTCACCGTGAATGAAGATGGAGTCGAGCTATGGAACAACACGACTACCGCTGAGCGCCTACGGAGGTATCGGGAGCAAAACCCTCACCTCGAGTTCGAATTAAACATTTCATCGTAACATCATGTATTATAGAAAATGCAAAAGTCTATCGTATAATAAGTTTATAATTCAATTGTAAGTGGGGGTAGGATCACTGTTGTCGGTGACATCTGGCGAAGACAATTTGGTCGGCGGCGACGAAACATGGGACTGCGTAAACTTTTCCTCAGGAGCAGGAGTTTCGGGACGACTATTTGGGTTAGGGGGAAGGTTATCCGGACGATACAACCGACGTAACAACTCTTTGCGATCGGTCCACGCACGGATGCGTTTGCCGTAAATGTAGAGGGGTATGCCCCAAAGAGCAAGGAAGATCTGGATGCATCCGTAGACAACAAACGTCGTACGACCACCTTCACCCTGATGGAACCGGTTGTTGAATAACGAAAATACGAACCCGATCAAGTTTTTGAGGAAGTTAAGACTCACAAGCAGTTCAGCGGCGAACATTTTATATGAATCGACGACAAACGTGATAGCAGCAGTACTACCCATCGACGAGCCGAAACCAAGGCAGCCAAAAAACAAAATTGGAGCGATCCAAGGATCGTGTACCTGCGATGACCACCCAAAACCCATAAGACCAAGCGACATGGTAAACGTCGCCGGCACCACCATCAAAAGCCGATATTCAGGTTCATAGACCCCGTGGTTGCGCAGGACCAAGTAACGGCACAAACGATCACTGATAAGACCACATGAAAGCAGACCAAGACAGCCACCAACAAAAGGTGAGATGTAAAAACACGCCGTCATCACCTTCGAGTAACCATAGTCACCAACAAAAATATCCGAGATCGTTTCCGAGATGACGATAAGCCACACCACGGCAAAACAATAGATGAAGGAGCCAAAGAGTACGTGGGGGTAGGTGTAAAGGAAAAACGGACGAAGGGCGACCATCCACCACAGATCAGTCGTCTGCTTACCACTGTAAAGTTTGATCTCTTTGACGTAGGGTTTCTTCTTCAGCCTGATTGATCCATGGTCGTCGGTAATACCTACTGGGTTCACATTAGTCCCAGAAAGAGCGTGATTGTTGATGGAGGATGACAACGAAGTAACATCAGCAAGCACGTTATTTGTCGTGTTGCGACGAAGCGCGAACGCGTTCGGCCGTTGCTCAGGAAGTTGATAGCCTTTGGCGGCTCGGGCTGCTTCCGTTTCCTCTTCGGTACGTTTGTCGGGTACAGGTTCACGATCCCAGAAAGTGTCGGGAACAAAGAGGAATGTGGCGATAAAAGTGCCCCCTAAAAACATCAGTTGGATCCAAAACAACCAGTGACGGTCTAAATATTGGAATACCAAACCCGAGAGTAATGGGACAATATTCTTCCCCCCCAACATCAACATGGTGTAGATACCCACACGATACGCCCGCTCATGAGCAAAATAAATTTCGGCGATGGTTGCCGACGGGAGCGACTCGGTGGGACTTGCACCGAACCCACAAAGAACACGAGCTCCCATCAAGTTGCCAAAGCTACTGGCGGCCCCGCCCCAGAGCGATCCACCTAAAAACACTAAGATCCCCACAAGGTACACAAGACGCTTGCCATATATCACCGCCAGCGGCGAGGCAATAACTGATCCACACCCGAGGGCGAGCATAAAACCCCCTACAAGGTAGGAGATGGTAGTGAGGGGTTCGTGGAACTCTTGCGACAACAGGGAAAGGCCTGCCGCCAAAATCGGCAGCTGCCCACCTCCCAAAAACAGCTGGAAGCCGATGATCAACAAGCAAAGATCGCGTTTCCAGATCAGCCAGTTTAACGGATCGTTGGGTGAGTTTTGTGGCTGGGGGACGAGGATCACCCCGGTATCGGAACGCTTCATCACCGAGTCCGAGCGCAGCGTCAAGTCGTCGGGATCGTCAAGCATCACCACCGTCCCCGTGACGTTGGCTACGTCGGGCTGCTGGATGCCCAAGCACGACCTACGACTCTCGGCAGTCATAAAAGATGGAGAGGGTCGCGTGGTGTGTGGGGTGTGTTGGCGGAGAGTCAATGTTTTTGTCCTGGCGCCATCGGCGTTGCTGAGGTCTTGGCGCGTATGCAGGGTGGGTCATCGTGACTCTGGCGTCGGAGAGGTACGTGGCGATCAGGCGGCTATGGAAAGGGGACGCCTCTAGCTGTCACTACAAATGTGGAGAGCGGCATCGACGTGTTATTCAGCAGCGGGCCACCTGCGGTGCCCCCCGCATTCCCACGGGGACACGGCGGTGGCGGGTGCAGCGGTTACCAGGTGTTGCTGCCAAATACGAATGACTGACTTGGTGGGGGGACAAAGCCGGAGTGCTGGGGTTCCGGTGGCGAGGCTACGACTAAATGAGCATTGTTAATGAGAGGTAACCTCTTTTTTTTCTCTATTTCATAGGATTTGCCACTAGTAGTGGCGCGCGACCGCCTCCGGGTGCACAGGCCGGAGCACCTACCGCATCGGGATTAATTACTCGCGAGCTGCACCCTGTGGGCGTCGAGGTAAAGATAAAGCAGCCCAGGGTCCAGCGATCAGCGTTGAGGCGGCAGCCTCGTGTCATAAACCTAAATGGACCTGTCCGGGGGCATTTGTGGCTCCGTTTCAGTGTGAACGGCAGAAAAAACGATCCACAAAAAGAGTCGAGACTATGTCGCGGCACCCCTCATGGCCCAGAACGGACGACGAAATGAGATACGTAAATAGACTACATAATCTCGGAAGTGTGGGCTGCCGGCCACGGGGCCGAGGGTTTACGTGCCCCTTTAGGCTGGTTGGCTGGCGTAACCCCGGCAATGGCGGGGTCAGCACTGGTTTGTCGCCACCGCCGTCGTCGAGGCTATTGTTCCCATCGCTGCCGGTACTTTGTTGCTTTGTATATTTTCCAACCCCCCCTACGCGTAATCCGCCTCCTTGTATACACGCAGGGCGTCGGTCGCACTCGCTCCTCGTTCAAAAATTAACGAGCGATTTTGCTGGACGTAGCTCGAGCAGAGGCGATGACAGACGGAGAACTGAGGGTCTTCCGAGCGACCTACTCCAACGTACGTATCGACGAAACCACCAATGACCATGGTGAATTGGCAGTGGCGGCGCCGAGGCCTTGAATCCGGCCGCGTTTCCACCATTGGCACCCCGGCATCCCCGTCGTTGCTGACGACCACCACGTTGACGCGTCACCCCCAACGCCACACGACTGAAAGTTCCAGTACTAACCATTTAGACCGAGGTGTATGAGTGTTCGATGAACGACCTGCCAATTATGCGGCGGTGTAAGGACGACTGGGTCAACGCTACCCAAATCCTTAAATGCTGCAACTTCCCCAAAGCCAAGCGCACCAAGATCCTCGAAAAAGGAGTTCAGACCGGACGCCACGAGAAGGTCCAGGGTGGGTTTGGTCGGTTCCAGGGGACGTGGATCCCGTTAGAAGATGCCCGTAACCTCGCGGCATTATATGGCGTCACCGCCGACCAAGCGCCCGTGATCTTCATGGACGTGCTGGATCCCAATCTCCACATTCCAGCCAAACAGAAGACCACCGGCAATAAAGACCCCACCCCGATAAAGCGGAAATACACTCGGCGACCAAAGAAGTCTGAGGAAACGCCGACGAAAAAGACGCGTTTAGATAACGGCGCTTCGCAACCGCCTCTGGCAGGACAAATCCCCCAATTCAGTCCGACTCAGGTTCCCCAATTCCTGCCACAAATGTACATTCTGCCCCAACAACAACAGCAGCATCAGCAACAAATGGGACCTCCTCCAGGCTTCCCTTACAAACCCCAGCCGCCCCCGGTCATGGGTAATGTTGCCATCTCCATGTCTCAACAACAAGAGTTTATGCAGCGAGCCCGCATGCAACAGGCACAACGACAAGGAGTACCTCAACCGCATCCTCATGCCGGTCAAAATCATCCGGGAGCTCCATTGACTCCGATGGCAAATGGACCTGGCCACGGACAACATCCCAATTCTCACACCCCTCAACACATGCGTCAAATGCAACAGCAGCCGCCACAATATTACACTCCTCAACATGCTCCCCAACAACAACACATGTCACAAGGCCCCCCACCTCGAATGCCTCCTCAATTTGCGCCACAATCGGCGCCCACTCAGGGCTTCGACAGCTTGTCACTGCAACTGGCTAATGGCACTTGGTCACAAGACGATTTGGGGGCAGCTCCGGCTAAGGAGAGCGACACTCTGATGCTGCTGCAGGATGACGTGAAACCTCCCGTGTTTGGGCTTGACATCCCCGAAGACTCACTGTATTCGGCGCAACTTCTCAAGTTTTTCGCTGAAGATGATGCCGAAATCCCCTACTTCATTCATAACCCGCCCTATGACTTCAACATCAACGAGCCGATTGATGATGAGGGCCATACCCCTTTACACTGGGCTGCACTGATTGGCAACTATCACATGATCTACTTGTTGGTGCAAAAAGGAGCAAACATTTTAGCGGTGAACTCATTTGGTCTCAATCCATTGCTGAAGCTCATTAGTTTCAACAACTGTTATGAACTCAAAAATTTCCCCCAAGTGCTTGAATTGATGGACAAGTGCTTGTCTAATACTGACATTAATGGGCGCACGCCGTTACACTACCTTTGTCAATTTGCTAAAGTGCCGTCAAAACTTGATCTGCTTAAGTATTACTTGGCCATTTGTCTCAACAAATTGCGAGTGCTTTCTCTGGCCAATGATCAAGTGGTCGATTTGATGGCCAATGTGATCAACCACCAAGACGTTAATGGTGATACTTGCTTACATCTTGCGGCCAAGCTGAGATCTGCCGAAGTGTGTAGCATGTTATTGCAAGTGGGGGCGCGGGATGACTTGGAAAATAGCCAGAAGGAAACCGCCAGCGAAATCATTTCGCAGTTTCAGATTGGAGATGGTGGTTCCATGGCTCAAAAGCTGGCCCCCGGCCTGGCACTGCAACTGGCGGCTGCTCGTGGCGCACCAGCGTCGTATGTTGACACTACATCGATGTCGATGCTGTACTTGCCCCATCTGCTGGACCAATTCGTCATGGCAACGCCGGTTCAGGCTCGATCAAACCACACACCAGACACTCAACGTACTACGGTTCAAAGCGATGATATGGATGAAGATCTGGCTCGGGTGGATAAGAAACACTTGGACAAGTTGATGGAGAACAAGGAGAACTTTGATGCTAATGGCAAAGCGGGACTGGTTCCCGCTACTACTGGTAGTCACGGAGCACCCCTCCACCCTTCAAAGAGTCAGCCCCAGGCGGCGCCGGCGCCGTCGACGCCGTCGGTACTTGGGTTTGGCATGCTGACTCCAGCTAAGACTAATCTTGCCTCGCTTCCCGCAATTTCAGAGCATCTGACCCCCGAAACGCGTACCCGAGGCCATCCTCAGATGGTGTCGAATCATAGACCTCAAGCTCCAAAAGTACTGGAAGGTAAGCTTGAAGGGCAAACGCCATCAGCATTAGCATTATCGGACTTGGCGACAATGCTCACGGGTATGGTGGGGTCGTTGGCGGACACTTACGCCAACCAAATGGATTCACTTGACAAGAAAAAGGCCCAGCTCGAGGCTCAAGTGGCTGCCAAGCGCAAAACTGATCGAACTACCCAGGCGGTGTTCTCTCGGACGCTTGCGGCGGGCGGTCTTACAGAGAATGATTACACATCAGTACAAGATGGTAAAGACAAGTTGGTGCAAAAGGCCGAAGAAAGTAAGGCTGACGTTGACAAATTGGCTCAACGCGTCAGCCGCGTGTTGCGTAAGCTCCACACTCAAGCGGTGACTCTGAGAGTCGAGGATCTTGAACAGCAACACATGGCGGAGGACGGAAACCAAGGCGACGACGACGAGCTCGCTTCGGAAGAACAATGGCTGTACGCTCAGGAGCTTTGCAATTTACAAATCAAACAGTCCCAATTGATGGATAGCTACATTGAGTCCATCAAAGTGTACGGTGTCGATGAGAAGATGTATAAGTACCGCAAACTTATCTCGTTGCTGTGTGGCCTCCGCGTCGAGGATATCGACGGCTACATCGATGGCATCGAGGAATCCCTCGCTGAGTCTTCTTAAACTGGACGTCGTTTGCATTTACTAACAATTGAGAATGTCATTCATAGTTGTATTATTTACCATTATAATTTACCTAGCGATACTCAATATCGAGAAACCTCTCAGTAGAAGCGCGTCCGCCCAAATTGGTGATAAGTGCGAACGAACTTACCTTTTGTCGTCCCCGCTAACAAAACCATGGGAGGAATTCCAGTGACGAAGCTCGAGAGCGCGCCGGCCACGCTCACCAACTACCCGTCCTCCGTTGTTAACGGTGTCACGCAAGAGGGAGGGTTGTTTTCTCTTACATTCAAGTCGGTGACTTGCGCAGAACTCGTCCAAAACTTGGATCTCATGAGAGACGCCATTTCTCCTGCTGAACGCCAAAGTGTACCCAAGTTCGCTAATGACCTAGCTAACGACAAATCCTACCTTGAGAAGCTTAAAGAGGATGTTGAAAAATTAAGACAGCAAGAGGTGCCGCCGCTTGATGATAGTATCGGCAAGTTGCAGAGTCAGTTGGATGAAGCTCTTGATCAACACCAATTAGGCGACGTTTCCAAGCATATCAGACAAGAATACCAAGAACGCAATCCCGACAAGACTCTTTTGCTCGATATGGGGACACCTATACATCTGATTGTTGTTCCGGGACTTGAAGTCGAACAGGCGGCTGAAGACGACGCTTTGCTTACGTTTTAATAATGAATATAGACACCACTACTAATTCGTAATACAATATAGAAGAAAAATTGATTTTTTTATCAGGTGTATAGCTCATTACAGACCTCGCTCCATATGTAGAATCTCACGTCAAAGTTGTGATCCTGCATACATGCAAATGCTCATCGCCATAATGCTCGCCCGTCGTTCACCTTAGTCCATCAAGCCTAAGTATGTCTGATTCCGTGTACAAGGGCGAAGATTTTGATGACAAGGTGAGAAAGCAAGTCGAGTTCTACTTCTCCGACTCTAACTTGCAAGCCGACAAGTTTTTGTGGAAGATTTACGAAGCCAATGATGGCTGGGTTGAACTCAAGACCATCCTTACTTTCGCTAGAATGAGACAGTTCCGCCCTGAAGAACGCGTGGTGGAAGCTCTCAGAAAGCTGGAAAAGCTCATTGTGTCTGACAACGGTGAGGCCATCAAGAGATCGACTCCTGTGCCCGACTTTGACCAAATCAAGCAAAACAAGCGCAAGAACTCCGTGCACATTGAGGGCTTGCCCGAAACTGTGACTCAAGATGAGCTTGAGTCATGGTTTGCGGAAAAGATTGTGAAGAACTTGCCCAAGCAACAAGACCTTGCCTCGCTCCGCATGATCAGATCTCGCAAGGACAAGAAGTTCTTCGGTGTGATTGACGTTGAGTTTGCTACTCAAGAGGACGCCAAGTACTTCTTGGAGGACATTGAGGTGGCTTACCCTCAAGGTATCGTTGACAAGGATTCGGAGGAAGAAAAGAAGAACTTCTTGAAGAAGATGTCTTTATTGACTTTCAGAGAATTGAGAGAATCGGGCAAGAGATTCGGTGTAAACGACGTCACCAAGAGAAGAAACTCGTTTAATGACAACAAGAAGAACAAAAAGAGAAAGGAAGAAACCAAGGAAGAAACCAAGGAAGAAACCAAGGAAGAAACCAAGGAAGAAGCCAAGGAAGAGACCAAGGAAGAGACCAAGGAGGAGACCAAGGAAGAAGCTAAGGAAGAAGCCAAGGACTCTGAAGCCGTTGAAGCGTAAGTGGTAGGGTTTTTAATACATACTGTAAATTAGGCTAACGCGCACCCGCGTTTTTTACCATACGCGTCTCATCCCATCCACACCCATATGGCATCCGCCGAATTACGCGATCAGATCGCTAGTCTGTTTGGATCAGTGTCAGATGAGCTTGCCGAGCGCATTGTGAAACTTCTGGATCTTTACCACAAGTCAATCGATGACCTTTACGTGCTGTGGGAGTCATTCGCGGTGACCAAGCTCGATGCTGGCGAGTTCAACGAGACTAATGTTGATAAGTTTCAACAATACCTCCAAGAAAGTACTGTGCAAAAGTTTCTGACACCCCATAGGCACAACAAAAAACGTGTTCTCAAGACTGTCGCATCGTCAAGTCCAGCACCAGGGGAAGTGACGCCTCTCAAACGAGCTAAACTCACCCCTTACAAAACACCTAAAGCTAATTTCGGCAGTTCTCCTAATTACGAAACTGCCGATAGCTCCTACGCTGAGCCATACTCATCACCCACACGGAAGTCTCAAACCCCCAACTCGAACACCATTATAGAAACACTCAATCCCGATGTCGATTCCATTGACCATGGTTCAGAGGACAGAACTCAGAGAAATCACAAGATCGTGGCAAACTATGAACCCCAAAAATACAAGTACCGTACCATGGCTATGAAAGTATTGGAGGCAGCTGACTACCTTGATGACCAGATTGAAATGTTTGCAAATGAGTACATTCGAGTGAACGGAGTAACGACTGAGAATGAGAATCGCAGTACCGAATTTGGTAACCCTTGTATCGCCTCGCAAACTGATATTTTATGCTGTGGTCGCATTGTCCCAGATTCGACAGCTTATGATTCTAAGGCGGCACTCAATGATGTTTCGCTTTGCTTAGAAACTCTGCGGACTCAGGGTATCGGTCAACGTATACCATTGGATATCCTGAACTTAAGTTCATATCTGTTTTTTGCTGGTCAAATTGTCGTGCTTAAGGGTCGTAATCCTACAGGTCGGAGGTTTGTTGTACTGGAAGAGTTAGAGTTACCCAGTCTTGGGACATTATACTCGACGGCCGAGGAGCTCAATTCATATAACGAACAAGTCAAAGACGGGCTTAAAGTGGTGATGGCGTCGGGTCCTTTCAGCCCTATACAACACCTCGACTTCACCAAATTTTCAGAGTTCATCCATCATGTTAATACCGAAATACGCCCCGACGTGGTGGTACTCACTGGTCCCTTCATTGATGTTGCCAATTACGCCGTACGGGATGGTAAAGTAGAACATGATGATGGCCAGAACTTCGCTGATGACGACCAACTTTTCATTCAGAAATTTGTGCCGCTCATAAAACAATTTGATCAAGTCATTGATGTCATTCTTGTGCCTTCAATCAAGGATGTCGTGATGCGTCATGTTGCCTACCCTCAAGATCTGTTTGATAAAAAAAAGTATGGCTTACCAAAAAATGTGAAGGTGATGCCGAATCCCGCCAACATTTCCTTGAACGAGATGTCAATGGGTATATCTAATCTCGATGTATTCAAAGACCTAGTTGACGTTTCCAAGGGGAGTACATCTAACAGACTAGAACGCATTACTCGTCATATCATCCAACAACGACGGTATTATCCCGTGTTCCCGGGTCTGGTTGACCAACCTCGACCCAACGATCCTATTGATGGTTTGCTTGAAGGTGGTGCTCATGGCCAGCTATTAGCACAAACCAATGTTGGAGGTTCGTGTCTTGAGCTTTCCTACATGGGTCTCGCCGAATTGGGTACAAATGTGCCCGATGTGCTTCTTCTTCCATCCCAGGTGACGCCAATTGCAAAAATCATCGATGGTATCGTGACTATCAATCCAGGACAATTCATCCGACCTCATCGTGATTCGCTGAAGCAATCGGGGTCGTACGTGGTCATGTCGGTGCAACCACCGCGCATTGGCGACAATGTACAATTAGTCGAGGGTATGGAAGATGCTTACCGTCGTTGCTTGCCGCAACGTTGCCGTGTTGACATTTTACGTAGTTAGCAGGCCTCTTAAGAGTTGGCTGCGACTTCACGTAAGGCTGTGCACAACCATGTCACGCGCGCCTATAATTACCACCACCATGAATAAACAATAAATAGCCAGCCATTTTCTAAAATCCCCTCAAGATGACTCGCGGACTACAACGAGCTAAAGAAACCCAAGACCTCTCCACTCATCAATTTGGATCTACGTTGAGAGGACGCGTCACCGCTGTCAATGACGGCGATGGGTTTCGGTTCTACCATACGCCTGGTGGTCGCCTCGCTGGGTGGGGGTGGTTGCGGAAAGTGCCTACCTCTAGAGGTGATTTGAAAGGTCAAACTCTACCTATCCGCATAGCCGGTATCGACGCCCCCGAACGTCTGCATTTTGGACGGCCGGCCCAACCGTTTAGCGACGAGGCGATGTATTTCCTCCAGCTGTTAGTCCTGGAGAAAAATGTCAAAATCATCCCGTACCTGGTTGACCAATACAAGCGAGTAGTGGCTCGAGTCACCGTACGAACAATTTCCGGGCGTAAAGACGTTGGGGAAATTATGGTCAAGAAGGGCATGGCGGTGGTGTACGAAGCCAAGACTGGCGCTCAGTATGGTGATCGCGAGCAGGTGTATCGGCGGTTGCAGGACCAGGCTCGCAACCGCCGTGTCGGTCTCTGGCAAAACGAGCAAGTGGTTACACCTATGGAACATAAACGACAGTACCGCAATCAAGGCTCAAGCAAGCCAGCCCCTGCTGCGAAACCAAAACCAAAACCGGCAAATCGCAAACCAGCCAAACCCAAGGCTAAGCCCGCTAAGGCCGAACCGCCCGCAAAGCCTCGAAGTAAAGCGAAACCCACCCCAGCCAAGGCTCACGCGAAGCCGCATCTGCAGCAGCTCCGAACGCGAATTGTCATAGCACAGTAAATCGATACACACGTACTACCCACCCCACTTCAGGGCTTCCCCGATGGCAATTGCACTCCGACCGTACCAGCAGAAATGTATTGACTCGGTCATTACGGCGTTGCGCCGTGGCGTCAAACGTCCGGCGGTGGTTCTCGCCACTGGAGGAGGCAAAACCGTCGTCTTCAGTCATTTGATCCCCAAGCTTCCCACCCCGCCCGGACATGGTAGCAAGGTGCTTGTGCTTGCTCACCGAGTGGAGATCATCCACCAAGCCAGGAGAACCATTTCATCGATAAATCCAAGTCTAAACGTGGGTACTGAGATGGCGGCATATAAGGCCGATGTACCCTATAGTGACGTGATAACGGCCTCAGTATCTCTGCTATTTCGTGGCAACCGGTTGGAAAAATATGATCCGACTCAGTTCAAAGCTATCATTGTTGACGAATGTCATCATGCCGCAGCTGACTCATGGAGAAAGGTATTGCACCATTTTGGGGCGGATACCGACTCTACTTCAATACCAGTGATCGGGTTCACTGCTACTTTCATGCGGAGCGACGATAAGTCGCTAAGGATGTCATTCGATGAAATCGTGTTCCAGAAAAACTTACCGGAAATGATTGAGGAACAGCATCTTACTGACATAAAATTTCATACGATCAAATTGCAACTTGCATTGGACGAAATTTCAACTTCAGATAAAACCGGCGACTTTGAGGAAAAGGACTTAGAGAAAATCATGAGCGATTCCCGGGTTATCACTGATATTACCGCACTGTACCTCAATCTTCGTGAGCATGAAAACCTCAAACGAACCCTTGTGTTTTGCTCTCTGGTCGCTCATTGCAAAAACTTGTGTGCCTCTCTTCAGAGAAGTGGAGTCAATGCCCAATATGTTACAGGCAACACAAACAGGGTGGAACGCCAGGCAATCATTGATGACTTTGAAAGCGGTGTGGTAAACGTTCTTGTGAATTTTGGCATCTTTACTGAAGGCACTGATATTCCCAACATAGACTCCATCATCATTGCCCGACCTACGAGGCTGAGGGCATTACTCACGCAAATGGTAGGACGAGGTTTACGCAAATATCCAGGTAAGAATTGGTGTCATTTGATCGATATTGCAGATACGATGGGTACGGGGTTCCAATCAGTACCGGCTCTATTTCTGTTACCTACGACGTATGACATGGATGGAAAAGATTCTAAATCGTTGTATGAGCGGAAAAAAACCCCCGACGATTTAGCTGATCGACTTGACCATCTTCTCCTTACCGAACAAACCGAAAAGCAAGTTGAAGAGATGTTGACCGCTGATAAATGGCGAGACATGTCGTTTTTGACGTTGGAAGGCATTAAAAATTATCAGCATGGAATGGCAGACTATCTCAAAACGTCAGATGGTGTGTCGGAAGCGTTTCGAAGGAATGTAGGGTGGATTCGAATTTCAAATACAGATTGGGCAAAACAAACATCCGAGATGGGGTTCTATAGGATTAGATGGCTGCCGACAGAGTCTGAGTTCACATTATCCAAGTGCACTCTTCACACCGCTAAATTTCGATCTCAGCGGAGATTCAAAGTGGAGCGATACGTCGAGAATGAAAGTGTACTAACTACAAAGAATCTCGAGGAGTTGTTTGCGTTGACGAATATGGGTTACAGGGAATGGCACAAAAACAAATACCCAGCTACAAGGCCGCAGATTGATTTCGTACTCAAACGAATGAGTAAATTCATCCCACGAAGGTATAGTGATCCTGAGGCGATGGCTAAACTTCACGATGCCTGGAGTAAATCGCTAACTCGAGGCGAAGTGGAGAGCATGATATTTGCATTGAATGTATCTGAATGGGCGCTGTATCCCTGGTGGCAAGTACAGCGCGTATTAGGCTTAACTGCCAAACAAAAGAAAACTCAAACGTCTTGGATGAAGCGCTGGCAAAAGGAATCACAAACCGCTGAGAAGATTTATTAAGTCAAATGTGTTGGAAATTTGCTCTCCAACTTCCTGCATCTAACTTGACTTCGACTAATATTTCATTATCACCCATAATGATCGCAGTAAGGAGCAGAATCAGGGATTCTGCTCCCATATATACTAAGACCTATATTACCGGCAGTTTACCTCCGGTCTCTAGTCAGACCCGCATATACCCACGGATCAGTCTCGGTTAGAGTCATGGAGGCTGTCAGTACTGCATTCAAACACCTCCACTCTCAACAAAATGCATATCATTAGTCATAAAGTAGTTTATAAATGAGGTCTATTGCACGGAAGTTGTCTCGGCTTCAACTAATTGGTCGAGGAGAATCAGTTTCTCTCTGGTTGATGCACAAATAGTTTCCAAGTAGAAGAACCGGACGATGTCCGCCACTTTCGATCCCAAGACCATCTTCGTGCGCAAAATATGAAGGAGCTCGCTGAGTCGAGCGGTCCCCAAAAGCTTGATAAACAATGCTAAGTTGGCAACGCTAAGTTTGTGAAGATGAACCATGCGAAGGAACTTGAGCACGTTGTTGATCGCAAGCTTCACATTTGTGGAGCTAAGATAATCAACCAGTGTGATCAAGTTAGTGAATAATGCACAAACCAACTGCTCCTTACGCTGTTTACTGTGTTGAGTCAGCACCAAATGCTTGTGTGAAAGGGCCAATTGACGCATGTGGCTTATATCGCCGCAAGCTAAAAGTGCCCATGCAAGCTCACCAACCAGTTGACAGTGGGAGGGGTATCCGAGACCAGCGTAGAACTGGCACTGAGCAAGAAGCTCACGCAGCTTAGTCGACTTCACACCGTTCAGGTACCGACCAAAAAGCTCACCATAATCGGCATCTTGAAAGCCCATTTGGTATTCAAGCATGGCTTGGCGACCTTGCGGCAGTGTTTGTACCAGCAATGGAAGCTTGGCGTATACATCAGGGAATTGAGGCGAGTTTGTAGCCACTAAGGCATCCAAATAGGGGATTATGGGAGAATGCTCACTCTCCATGCAAATATGATCTTCAACAAGTTGAATCACTTGGTTAGGATCTTCCATCAAACTCAAATAAGCCAGGGCCCACATTGGAGGGTTGGTGGGTGAGAATGGCGCAAGTACTTTGTAAAACAAGCCATTCTTACCAGTTACAAGTTCTTGAAGATAACGGTTGTCCAGCGAACGTGTAGCAGCCACTATCCATTTCACCAAAACAGGCGTTGACGCCTTCGGCGACGTAAGAAGATGATTCACTACACAAATCGTGGTAGGATCATGGTCAGCCTTAACAAGTTGAGCCAACATTTCGGCATCATCATGACCACCAGCAGACAATCTCGCAAGCAAACGTTTCGGTGAAATACACTCTTCATGTAAGAATTCCGGCGTAAGCAACATTGTCCAAGTGTCACGGGAGAACTGCTTCTTTGCTGCAAACTCGCTCAAAAATGTACGAACACCCAAATTACGATTGATGCTCAACAAGTAGGTCAAGTCTTGTTCGAATTGCCAATCTGAAAGTGCAACAGTAACATCCTCAGGAATATCAACGTCCACATAGCGAGCAGCGTCTACCATGGCCGGAGTTAATGCGTGGCCTTCGACCACAAGTGAGCCGATAAGATGGTGAACGGCATAAGCAACTTGATATCTGCACTCCAAAAGCTCGCGATTGAGCTCGATATAGTGATTATCAGGTTCTTCGAATTGGGAGCACAAGATCAGAAGCAAGTGTGCCACTCGCGAAGCTAAGGGTCCTTGCGGAGGATAAGCAACAAGTAACAGAGAAAGAACCAGAATGCCATACAAGTTATCCTCCGCAATGTTCAACGACTCAAATGCTCTCGCGACCAACGGAGAGTTAAGAAGTGCAGCCACATTGTACGGGTACACCGCCGCAGCAGCTTCTGGTGCTTGCGGTACTAACACGAGATAGCGCGCCACTTCTGACATAAAGTCTGAAAACGCCTTGCCCTGATGGAATTGACCTTGAGACTCCACAATCTGGAGCAAGAGCCCATAGTACTGCGACGAAAAAGGTTGCGCTGCCAGAGTATTGCCGATAGCACCCAGGTACAAGTAATTGAGCACCTTCCGCAATGTTGCCACGTCGTAAATGTGATGAGACCGCATGATCATTTCCTTGAGAAGCTGGAAGACATGTTCATGATCACCAAGATCAATAGAAAGCAGAAGTAACGTGTCTCGACACTTGGCGGCTTCTCCTCCAAAATCACGTCGAACCGCGATACGCCCGTAGAGCTTCCACATGGTGGCGAGATAACTCAGCTGCAATGCCATGGCCTCGTTGAGCTTGGCAGGGTTCGTTTCGGTGCGACGCTGCCCGTCCATTTCCCGATAACGATGACAGCACCGAGAGATAATAGCTGCATAAACTTCGCACAGTACTTCCGGCAAGTAGGGGATGGCTTCAAACTTGCGCAAGACACCCGAAGTATCCGAAATGGCTCGTTTTGTCAGGGGACTAAATTCAAGTACTGCACTGAGGTACGCCAGCATCACTCGGCTAACTTGGGTTTTAGTAGGTCCAACCGCTGCATTGAGCAACAGCTGCTTATAGTCACTTAAGATGTCATCCAAAAACTTTCCTGCGGTGCTCCTTTGACCATTGGCAATCATCAGCGACAACACAGCACCATAAATGACATACTCGTCATCTTCCCCAGTCGCAACGCACTTATATTGCTCGAACAGTGCAAGAACAAACTTGTACACAGCATCCAGAGCTATGTCGTAGCGACCAAAGTGCTGTGACGATTTGATGAGGTTGTGGTAATAAGAACCATTAGGGATAACTCCCATAGTCGAGGTGACACTCATCAACCGCTCAATGAAAGCTTTGGTCATGACCAGAGGGAATCGAGCCGTCATTGCAGCCATTTGAGGGATCAACTTGATCAAATCAAGACCGCGGTAGTTGATAATTGACATGAACATACTCACGGCCATATGGGCAAACTCAAGCGCCTGGCTGGTCTCATGGGCCTCTGAGAATTGCGTTGTCGCAGTAGGAACTCTGATGGCGCCTCTGACAAGTTCGGCGAGAACCAAGTTATAGGTCTCTGATGTAGGCTTGAAAACAGTAAGCATGTCTTGATACACCGTCATCAATGTGGTAAGTTTGCGTTCCACGTCGTTCACATCGTCCAGGCTATCGCAAGGGCGAGTCGCAATAGACCGGAGCACAAAGTTGTAATCTTCAACCAGGGGTAAGGTCATATCGTTACGACGGATCAGTTGGTAAATGGGGTAAACCAAATTGGGTTCACACGTTTTGAGACTTTCAAGTTGGGAAGAAAGATAAGGGTCTATCAGTTGTGACAGCTCTTGCTTAGGGGTAGCTGATGGGATGGGCTCTTCTGGTACTGGAGGTGGCGGACATGTTTGAAGAAACCGCTTCACTCTAGCATCGGTGTGTAGCAGCCGCAAACCTGACGCAAACCCATTTGAGCGGCCAAGGAGGAGCTGGAGGGGCAGAGATATGCGACGGTGATCAGACTTGAGTTGCGAAATGTCCAGCTGAATATCAACATTTGCACGAGTGATGATAAGCTTATCACACACGACGACAATTTGTTCAAGCAGTACTTTCAGTTCCTCATAGCCGGCGATGTGCGCCAAAATTAGTTCGTTCACCAGCGGTGCCGCATGTCCCTGATCTCGATCATGACTGAACATCGAGAAGTAAAGTCCATAATGCCCGACGTCAATTTTGTAGAAGTTGCGGGTGGCTCCCAGTCTGGGGTGGTGCCACAGCTTCAGGGCGGTGTTGTGGAAAAAGGGCATAACCGCATGGGGATTTGTGAAATGTCGATACAGGGCGTAGAAAAACTCCACCCGGTTATGACATTTCATCCCCTTGATGAATGAAAACACCATCGTGGGCGTTATTTGTGGGGTATGGGTCTGATAGCTTAGGGTTGATTAAAGTGAATGAGAAAAAAAATCTGTCTGTGTTATGTACTGCACACAAGTTATCCGAGTCGGGGTTTGAGAATGCCATGTTAAGAACACCTAAGTTTGATAGATTTGACCGAAGTTTGCAACGGATGTAAACGGATTCAATTTTTCAGAGGCTATGATCGATTTTCCCAGCGAGAGGGATAATTTAGAGCTTCCTAGGGGACTCAAGATATCATCGGTTGATGCCTCCTTAAAAATTTGATCCCGCGCGGTTTACTGCAAGGTGATTTCTGAGTCATCCCACCGAACAGTGGTTCAAACAATTCAAGAAAACTTACGAAGACGGTGGTCTGCTAGAAACACTTTCGAAAATTTGCGTAGACCTTAACGATTGGGCCGCGTCATCGGGCATAGTGTGGTGTTTGATGTACAGTGATTGATAAGCACCGGTGCATCGTACGCTCGGGTTATAAATAGCACGGCTGTGATCTATTTTTGAGGCTGATGTTGGTGTGGCTCTGCACGCAAAACAAGGCCTAAGGTCCAAAGAAGCAATGTCATACAAACAATAGGATTGTAATTCAGGTGACCCTACAGTATTCCACATAAGAAAAGATACGATCTTGGCGCCGCCTATTTTTAGAGTGGTGCCTCGCTTATACGATTGCGGCTATGTTTGGGCACATTGTCGGAGTAGTTTGTGGTAATGAGGCGAGAACAGTGACCTCCCTCGATACGAGTCCGTATTCCAATTGTTGCTTAGTGAAGTGGCATTGACGAGGCACTTTCTCGATTCGGCAGGTTCCTTCAAAACAGACGGAGCGAGGTCTAGATTATGACGCTTTTGAACTGTCTTGCTTTACTCTTCATTCAGGTCATCTGTTGCTTTAGAGCTCGACAATTGGATCGACGTCATCATAGCATGAATACGGAATTCCCATCATTGCGGCTCATTAGTATTCTTTTTCAATATCAAATTAGCCCCGCTCCTCCATATAAATATTAAGAGTATTCTTCGACACCTATACAAGTTGGTTTTTGCAAGCTTCTCGTATATCAAGACTTTCTGCATGCTTCGCGCTAGATTGACATTGACTTACGCGCCCACAGGCCCATCACCAGGACATCGCTATACCAGGCTCTTCCAACTCGAACACAGTCTCCACAATCTCGCCACACAATTATCTGAGGCGTCATGGGATATATTCTAACAGGCATTGATGGGTACAACTTCAAGAGGAAAACCCGATCAGATGTTAACGAAGACGCAACGCAGAAACGTCGCCGTTTAGAGTTGGCCAAGCAGCGTTCCCAGCTGCCACTATATCGCCTCCCAGAAGAGGTGCTTGATATCATCTTTGTCATGACAGGACCATATAATGCATTGGCGCAGACTCTGCGCTACTTCCACAACCTCTTCCATTATGAACATTCCTCCACCCCGCCCCTAATATGTCAAAAAAACTTGCTGCTTGTGATGCTGATGTCACGAGCGTGGTACACTTTTGACGCTAACTATTCTCTTGACTTGGAAAAGCTCGCCAAGAAGTTCACTCGATACCGTACATATATTGACCGACTGGAACTGAGGCGAGCGAAAGCCATTCTTTCGGATCTCGGGGCTTACATTGTCCTCTTCATTCGTAATTCATCCGTGTTGGTGGATTCAGTGTTTGCTCAGAAGTTTATGACGCTTGAAGTCTACAAGAAGGTTTTCATGAAGATGCTTCGTGACGCCAATAGAACGGCCGAGACGTTTATCTCCAAAATCAATAGCACCATGGCACTGTACATCACCCAAACTGCCATTGAGCACCCGCTATTCTTGAGTCCCCGTGAGTTGGTACAGGAGTCCCAGCGACGATACCAATTTATTGAACTTGTGTTCAAACACTTGGCTATGCTTCTTGATTCGACAACTGAAGACCTTACAATGGAGGCAATTTCTGAATTTAAAGAACCAAAAAAACTAGCCATTGATTTCAAAGCTGATACCACGTTTACTGATGAGCGCCTCAGCATGCTAGCGGAAGTGTTGCCGCAATCAGCAGGGTCTCTACGTGAGTATCCCGATGAGCTAGTAGCGGTGCTTGAACAAAACAAATTGACGTATATGAATCTTGGAGGATCGTCACGGGCTCTTCCAGAACCGATGTTTTGGAAAGGGTTAGCGGATGCCCGACGTCGGGAGCTTTTGATACCATTGGTTGCTTCAGGGTGTGAAGTTGATCAAACTCGTCTTATGCTAGCCACCATCGAAAGTTATACCAACTCCACTATTTCCTTCCCCCTTGCCGACGCTTTACAAGAATTATACAAACTTGACGTTGCTGAACCTTTGGCTGCGGTGCCCTTAATTGAACTCTGCCACCAGTATCCAGATAATGACCAGTATACTGAGGCTTTGGTCAAAACGTTGGAGTGGGTATATTCTACTAGTCAGGGCCCGGATGAGGATAATACTCTTTGGAATGTAGTTGGACGACTTAAGGATCGCCGTCTCGCCGAAATTTTGTTTCGTTTTGACGACAGGCCTCTGCTGGATATTCTCGGTATCTTTTGAGCTTAAATATTGGAATACATAGCTATTTTGAGTCTTCTTTTCAGTAGGGAGGGGGCGCCGGGTGGTTGATGTCATACGATTGTTGTTGGTGGTTCATGTCATAAGGTTGGTTCTGTTGGACATAAGGATCGGGTATCGACGATTGGATTTGGGGGTTGGTGATTTCGTGGAACCATGGGTGTTGCAATGCCTGGCGGGCGGTGATGCGAGCTTCGGGCCGCATTTGTAATAACAACAGAAGGAGATTGATGCCCACCAGGTCAAGGTTCGGCACAATGCGTCGTAAGTCCTGAGCCGGGAAATTCTGCCAATTACTCTTGTATTCAGCATATTGCAGCACCCCTGGCCAATTGCGCTCGTTGGGGGTACCCATCAAACGGAAGATCTTCATCAATTGATCCTCGTTAGCGGTCCCCGGGAAGAGGGGCTTCCCCGTGCACATCTCGGCAAAAATACACCCGGCCAGCCAAATGTCAATCGAGGTGGTGTAAGCTCTCAGCCCCAACAATACGTCGGGAGCACGGTACCAGAGCGTCACCACTTCATTCGAGAATGTGTTGAAGGGAATACCAAAGGCCCGGGCTAAGCCGAAATCGCCCAACTTGAGCTCGCCCTTGTTGTTGATCAAAAGATTCTGAGGCTTAAGATCACGATGGAGGACGCGGTTGTCGTGACAGAACATGATCCCCTTAAGAAGTTGAAACATAAACAGCTTCACTACCTTCAAGTCCAACGCGCCTTGGTTACCGTGGACTTCCATGTACTTCTTGAGGTCCTTGTCCATGTATTCAAAAACAAGGGTTAACTTGTTTTCGGTGTGGATGACATCGTAAAGAGTGACAATGTTTTCGTAGTCCAATTCCTTCATAAGCGAGATTTCTCTGATGGCGGTGGAAGGCGTGCCTTCTTCTGAGTCGAGGTTAATCTCTTTGAGGGCGACGAGGGCGCCAGTGGCACGATTACGGCCCTTGTACACGGTGGCGTACGTCCCCTCCCCGAGTTTTTCGAGTTGTTGGAACCTGGTGACTTGTTAGTACAAAAGGAAAGTCGAGCAAAATATTCTGCGGGGCACTTACTGGGAGGACGAGGTCATGGCGCTGGCGGTGTCTCTCCTACGTCGCTTTTTTCGGGACCCCGTCTCGGCGCGACCATAGTAATTTTTCGCAGTGGAAAATTTAGGTAGCAGGGAAAGAAGAAGGAAAAAATGGGCAGTGACAGTGAGAGTGAGAGCCACACGGTAGCTAACCGGTGCTACGCGAGCAAGAGGAGATTAGCCCCAAACAGGTATGGCCAGAAATTTCTACGTCAAAAAAGCAAGCACAGACATCCTGCACCACCGGACGTACCGGGCCTCCCAGAAAACCCTGACCAAGCCCTTTAGAATGGCGCCAGTGTCTAGATATGGTAAACTTCATCATTGGAATGTCATGCCTGGGTGACGCTCGTAATTATCTGATGCTGTCGATTGCTGGACGTGGACAACAATAGTGTGAGGATCGACAAGCGCAAGCCACGCACCACCGCGCCCTCGTCCTTGTCAAAGAAAGCAAGCATCTCCCAGCGCCGTTAAGATCACCGAATCCCGCCTACGAGGTCTAATTGATAGACTAGTTATATCGTTAAACCTTAACGTGGCTAGAGCACCGTTTCGCTTTGATATCGGGGTGCCTCCTTGTCAGTAGCAACGGACGCATTGAGGAATGCCAGCGCTGTCGGAACATTCCTTGGCCTTCGATTGTCTCACGGCGCACTTGAGCGTGGCGATAGGCTTTACTGTGCGCCACATCGCTACTCACGAACCTTCCTTGGATCACGTACTGCCAGCGCCACCAGCGCCACCAGTGCTGGCTGGTAGGACAATGAGTAAGGGCGATAAGCACCGAGTTGTAGCGGACCGGGGATGTGTCAAGACATTTCGCTTGACGCAGTCAGCGCTTCAAGATTTTCTCGCATGCCTGATTACCCGGTGGTGCGCTGTTTGTTTGTGCCTTAAACCGGAAAACATGGGGTAACTCTTACATGCAACCACGGTAGTTTGTGGCGGTGAATGATGAATGACGGAATAATTCTTGGCTGTTATGTAGTATTATATCAAGGTGACACAACTTGTCAGCCCCCGCTGATGAACAGCTGTGTTGTGTATTTTTTTTTTCTCTTATGTACGAAGCACTCCTGTCCCGCGTATCGGGGCTTCCAATGTTAAAGCGCCGCTGCGCTGCTGGCGCTGGTGTCAGAGGCAGTGACCCCTAGGCAGAAATGTCGTGATCGTGACAACTTCGCCCGTATAGGAGGGCGCCCCTGCTAGCTATAGTGGAACCGCGGATGTCTCACTATCGCTTACTGATAACGACGGTGGGGAGAGTATGTTACGGAGTTATCGTTGTGTGAATTCCTTAACCTCCTGAAAGTGGGGAACCAAAACAATGCGTCAAGTGGTAGTTATGAACGAAAACAATGGCGGCTGATCTGGCGAATCGCCACATGAGAAACAGCCAAGGGCGACCACGATGGCGCTGATAGCACCGCCCAGAGGCAGTGGCCACCTTATAGCTGGCGGTGCTCTCGACTAGAGAACATGCGCCTCTTTCTGGCGTGATGCTCGCTCACCCACTGCATACGGGGCACTTTGAGGGATTCTGGTTATGCTATTTTTGACTCGCAATGACGTAATACAGGTCGGCGTGCGTCTGAGGTATTGTTCAAATATTTTTTCTCCAGAAATCCCAGTTCCCGGCGGTGAGGTGACACAGTGAGACCCCAAATTCTATATAACCGAGCCGGTCGCATCGTGATTGCCGAAACGCTTGTCTGAACCCTCACCACGTCCCCGTCAGTTTTAAATTTTTTCCGGACCCCAGTTCCCCTAAAGTATGTCGAAGGAATGCCTCTGGTTTTGGTATGTATTCGTCACGAAGCAGGATCGGGTTACGCTTATGTTATCCGGCGCGCCGGCGTACAGAGCGCTGAGCGCCCACCCTCGAAGTCTATATGAGGTGCATGATTCCCATCTCGACCCGCGACACACAACAAGAAAGCGCATACTAACTTATTCAGAACACAAAGAGAATGTTTGAGTCGTCCCCCGCCAAAGCAGTGGTCACTGCGGAAACGGTGGAGTCGCTACCGCCCCGCTTCGCCATCGACATGTACCCCGGCCTCCCTGACCGCTACCGCCTCGAGCTGGTGATCGGCGAAGGCGCTTTTTCCTCCGTCTACCGCGCCGTCGACACCGAAACCGACGCCACCGTCGCCATCAAAATCATCAACAAGGTCAACATGCTGGCCAAACAGCTCAAAAACATCCGCAACGAAGTGGAAATCATGCAAGAATTGCCCCCGCACCCCAACACCCTCAAGTTGATCGACACCATCACTACCATCACCCACACCTACCTCGTGCTAGAATACAGCGACGGCGGCGAAATTTTTAATAAGATCATTGAGTATACTTATTTCTCGGAGCCGTTGTGTCGTCACGTGTTCGCCCAGCTTCTCTCGGCGGTGGACCATTTGCACCGCCATGACGTTGTCCATCGCGATATCAAACCCGAAAACTTGTTGTTCTCCCGGATCCCGTTTTTCCCTCGGGATCACGACGAGTTCAAAAAGCTGTTGCGCTCGCTGGACGACGAGCTGAAGAAGGATGAAGGTGAGTTCCGGCCTGGTGTCGGCGGCGCCACCATCGGTACAATCAAGTTGGCCGACTATGGTCTTGCCAAGCGGTTGGTGGTGAAAGGATCCAACCACCCGATGAAAACCCCTTGTGGCACTGCTGGTTACACTGCTCCTGAGGTGATCAACGTTAATCAGCCGCGCAACTCCTCCGAGGCCGACTCCTACTCTAAGCTGGTCGACGTGTGGTCGCTTGGCTGTTTCTTGTACACTATTTTGTGTGGGTTTCCTCCCTTCTACGACGAGGATCACGCGCAATTATCGCAGCGCATTTTGCGAGGTGATTTTGTGTTCTTAACCCCTTGGTGGGACGAGATCAGCGATGAAGTCAAGGATTTGATTACCCAAATGTTGACCATCGACCCCGATCGCAGAATCACTATAGACGAGATCTGGCAACACTCATGGATGCGTGGTGCAACCCGCGTCAGCACCGATGCTGACGACGCCGAGTCGTCTGTTGACTACTTTGGAGCCAGTACCACCCCACCGACGCTGGCGCGCACTCCTGGTGTTCACGACCCGCAACGTGAGTTACGCGTTAAACAATTGTTGACGCCTCATCGACTGATGGCTCCTCTCAAATCGCCCGCTGCCCACGCCATCAAACTGGTGTTTGATAACCCGGCCATGGCCAACCCCAACCACGTTCGATTTATCGAAACCATTACTGAAGGGGTTGAAACCAGACTGCGTGGGGCTCTGATCAACCTGTCGATTGATCCGTTAGCGGTGCCTGAACGGCGTCGTTGTCTGGTGAGACTGCCATTTCCTGATAAGCTCAAATCGTTGGCAGGATTCAACGAAGTGTTCTATGGCGAGATGAACGACGACGATAGCGATGAAGATGAGGATGATGACGACGAGGCTGATGACAGTGACAACGAAGAAGGAGATAAGTTGACCACGTTAGCTGAGCTCAATTTGGGGCCTCGTCTACAATCTAGAGTCACGCTTACGACAGAAGACGAAGACGAATTTCTGTTGGACTCCAATCTGGATAGTCAAACGAGGCTGTCGCTGATTATTCTGGGAATCGCAGGCGATTTCAAGTTCACATTGAATCTTAATGACTCCAATCTTCTTACCCGCCGGCGGTCGCTGACAATGAAGAAGTGTCACGACATGGCGCCCGGCGTGGTTCCCGAGATGGTGTCAAAGACAGTCTCTCATTAATAACTCTTTGCATTGTTTACATAGTTTATGTCTGTACTGACTGGATAACTACTTGAGTACCTTGTCTCTCTTTTCGACTACAGTCAACGAGATTGACTTCGTAATTATTAACTATGTACATGTCACCTATCTCTTCTTAGGGGTGACTTGAGCTTCAGTAGGGCCCTCATCTTCTTCAGGGATCAAGGCATTGCTGCCTTCCAACAACTCAGCAAGTTCGCCAGACTTGGCCATTTGCATAACGATATCGCATCCACCGACGAACTCGCCGTTAACGTAAAGTTGGGGGATAGTGGGCCATTCGGAGTATTCCTTGATGCCCTGTCTCAAGTCGTCATCTTCAAGCACATTGTAGGCAGCAAACTTCTCGGGGTCAACGCCTTGTTGGCCGAGGGTTTGGATGGTTGCCCTGGAGAAGCCACACTGGGGGAACTCGGGCGTGCCCTTCATGAAAAGGACCACGGGCGACGACAGAACGGCCTCGTCGATGGCGCTTTTGATCTCGGTGGAAATCCAACGAGACGCAAGGGTGACCCGAGGGGCAAACACCCGGGGGGCTCTGAAAACAGCTCTAGAAAACATCTGGAGGTCTATGACAAATGGGATCTGTTTGAAGTAAGCAGTGAGTGCGAGTCACGTGATGCATCCCTGTTGGCCTAGACCATCCCTTGTCGTTAAGGTTTCGAGCTTAGAGAAACGTTCCAGATCTAAACTCTGTTGGATAGATAATTATGCTTTACTCTGCCCCAAAAAGTAGTATAAATACACTATTAACGATTGATGAGACATTATGCTCTATTTGCTCATAGCTATTACGATTATGTGCGACATTGTTATCGCCGCCGTCGTCAGGAGAGACAATCCTCTGAATGTTCCTCCATCTCCGCCAATCTTAGGAAAGTCTGAGACAACCATTGTTGTGGTGGGTCCTGGACTGTATCCAGTTTAGATGAAATACCTAACCTTGATTATACAAAGTCCAATTGCCACGAGTCGGTAAGCCACCATACAAATCGTCACCCCCAACAAGTTGAGACCAAGAGAGCCATTGAGCTTGAAGTAATCAAGAACCTGATAACCATAGTCGAATACACAACTCTCTGAGCCACAATGGAAAGTCTCGTTTTTGAATATCAAATTAGCGTTCAGTCGTACAACATACTTCATGGGGTTAATCCAATTGATGCCCCTGAAGAAGCCCGGTAATTGCATGGACATTGTTCCTCCCATAAACACTGCAAAGAGAATGCACATAGACATCAAGTTTGTCGCAAACCCTAAGTGGTCGAAAACCAGATTCCACATAATACCTACCAGCTCACCACAATTAACTGCAGCAAACATTGTGTAGAAATTGACAAAAAACATCGACGCCGTACGAGGCATACCAATACCGAACACACAAAGCACCAGGAACAATATGCATTGAAACACCTCAAACGGAATCTCATTGAAAATGTACGACAAATTGTACTGCACCAGCCCATATATCCCATCCTTATACTCTTGGTAAAAGATACCGCGCTCCATGGGATAAAGTGATATGTTGTTAAGAAGTCCGACGAAGTATATGTTCAAAAGTGATTGGATCAATCCCAATCGGTTGTCGACACCCTCTGCACCGTTCCTCAATGGGGCAAAAAAGAGTGTATAAAACACCGCCAATGCCACGCCCTGAAACCCTCTTGTGAACAATACATCAGGTGTGCGAAAGGTAGCCAATGTCTGTCGTGAAGTGATAGTTACCAAGACATTCCAAAACGATGCTTTTGATCGACGCAACTGGCTTAAATTCACTGAAGGTCCACAAGGTGCAGTAGTCTCGTTGTTTGTTGATGACCAAACTTGCACGAGATGATTAATTCGAGCCTCAGATACTTCGACACTCTCACCATAGCCTCGCAGAACCAAATCCATAATGAAGTCTGCCACGTTTGTATGATGATGTATCGGATATCCACAATTAGTGAAATGTTCTGACATTGATTCAACCTTGCCGTTGTATACAACTCGACCATATTTGCCTAGTAGCAATATCTTATCGAAGAAATGGAGCATTTCCTCACTCGGCTGATGGATTGTCAACACGACAGTAGTTTGGCCTTCAGAACCCAACTGATGAAGCAAGGATAGAATTGAATAAGCAGTTGTCAGATCAAGACCCAGGGTCGGTTCATCGAGGAATAAAATCCTTGGTCGATTGAGAAGTTGCACCGCTATCAGCACCCGGCGCTTCTCGCCGCCGGAAACTCCTTTGATAACATCATTTCCAATCACTGTATCAGCACAATCTAGAAGGCCCATCTGACGTAGAAGGCCATTAACAATAGGATTTAGCCGGGGTATCTCCTCTGGAGGAAGCCTGAGCTTTGCTTGAAAGTGGAGCGTCTCCCTTACTGTCAAAGCAGGAATCAATGTGTTGTCATGCTGCGTAACATAAGCCGATACGGAGCCTAACTGCTTCGATGTAACTTCGGTGGAATTAAGAAATATCGATCCCTGAGCTTGAAAACGAGTACTTCGAGGGAGTCTGTGTGACAAGTAGTTCAATAAGGTAGTTTTCCCCAGACCCAGAGGTCCCATTATAACATTCAACTTATTGGCTTCAAAAGACGCGCTGAAATCTCTCAAGAGTAGTTTTGAATTGGTTTTGTGCACCAAAGTAATCAAATTTGATTTCCAAGCTTCGAGGTTGGTATTCTTCAAGGAGATCGAGATTCCGTCAATTGCACTCGAAGATTGATTAGATTCGGCAAATTCGTGTAAGTCTTTCTCGTCCTCCCGGCTTTTTGAGGGCCTGACAAACTTCCGCTCATCTTCCTCATCACCATATCGATTCTTTTTCGTACTTGCCATAGATATATCATAATTCTTGATGTACCTCAAAGAAAGCACTGCCAAAATTGCATAGAGTATGATCCACGCTATGCAAATTCCAACTTGCTGCCACAAAAAGTTTTTGGGGAAGCCTAGAATCTGGATTCGAGAATCTCCGGAATATGCTGAGCAATCAGTGAGGTCCGAAGGACAGTCACCCATCCAATTATGAAATTGATTCCAAATCATCGCGCCATAGGTGTACCAGAAATAGGCACAATACTTGAGCCACCGGACGTAAACTGGCATTGTTCTAGAATTGACGAAAAAACCACATGAACTGTTCTGAACTTGATAGTACACGTTAAGAATGAGAGCCAGTACAGCAAACTCAGGACCCACCCCAAAACAGAACAACGCCAATACCATACCCGAAACTTCTGTGAGAAACGTTAATAAATAGTAAATGAAGAAGTGGCCAACGCCACCTCGCAAACCCCACATGAAATAGGTCAAAATTGTCCAGATCAATGTGATTGGAATATCCTCTAACAACAATCTCCCCAAGCGACGTGAGAATACGAATCCTGGTACCGAGACACAATTATCCTTATACTCACGGAAAAAGTTCTGTCCATCCGCACCCCATATTCGTTCAAGTTCAACGAACATGGGTGTGAATCCAATAACTTGCAAGGTGGTATATAGAGCTCCCAGGAATGATCTAATTCCTGCCACATCATGGTGAGGTCGGAAAAACAACCAACCAAATCCGCAACCCAAGACAATAATACCACCAAGAAACGATAAAAGTGACATTCGGTCGCGGAGACATAAAATGAACGACCTGTGTGTGAGAACTTTTAGTTCATTCATGAAGCTGTGCCTTGTCAGGTGGGGCCGAGTGAAAACTTTAATAATTGCCTCAAACCCTTCCCTGGAATCCTTCTCCAGAGGGATCTCTTGTTGAAATGGCATCACTTCTTTCCAGTGGGCGACCAAACGATCAATTCTTACCGACGTAGCCTTTTCCAAATCTTTTGATCTGGTATCCTTAACCAGTAAGGACATGATATAATCGAGGAGGTTGGCAGATTTCCGAGATTGCAACCAGGAAATGCTTCCGAAATATTTCTCGGCATCAGGAACAGTTCCATTATAGACCAATCGACCGCCCTTAGCCAACACACATACCTGATCAAACATCTTCGTGACTTCAATCCGTGGTTGATGGATTGCACATAAAACCGTCATACCGTATTCAGTTCCCGTTAACTTCTTGACAACTTGAATCAATCGTAATGAGTTTGACGCATCAAGTCCCGTTGTCGGTTCGTCGAGAAATACCACTGATGGCCTATTCAAAAGTTGTATCGCCAATGAGAGTCGTCTTTGTTCACCACCCAGCAATGTCGTAGTGCCCGTATAATTAGAAACTCTGGTGTCTCTCATATGAGATAGTTCAAGTACATCCAAAAGAGAATCCACAGTAGCTCGCTTTTCATCCATGGTCAAATGGGGAGGCATCCGGATATCTGCCTGAAACCTAAGTGTCTCTTCCACTGATAATCCTGGAAGGAAGACGTCTGTTTGTAATAGGTACAGGTTGGGAATGTACGAGTCAGCTTCTTGTGTTTGATATGTGATTGATCCTTGGAAATGGAGAGTTTGATGTATGTTCAATCGTGTCAGTAATGTGTTGAGCAATGTAGTTTTACCACTACCCGTACCCCCCATGATTGCCACAAAGCTGCCAGCAGCCACATCAAATGACACATTGTCCAAGATACTTTTCAAGGGGACCGTCGAAGGCTTGAATTTTCTTTGCATCCAACTGGACTTTGGGTCTTTGACACTCACGGTGAGGTTGCGGACGGCAACACTCACACGATGCTTTTCATCAATTGTGAGAGCATTGCCGTCCATTGTTCGATTTGGACCCTGATTATATCGTATAATTTGCGCACACCTTAAGGGTCTGCAACAAAATAAATTAGCAGTACGATTTAAGCGATTTGATTGTGCGGGGAGACGATGTGGCATCCGTGCATATCTTAATTTCGATTCAATTTACATTCCAAATACAAACAAACGTTCAGTTAAAACAATTGTTGAAATGGTTCTTTAGAGGAGGCAAGTTCGGTGCACTCTGCTAGTTTCAATGGCGTATACTCGTGAGCATTGAAAACGCTATTGAATATAGGCAGTAGCATTGAAACTTTAGAAACGTTCGGCCTTAAAGTTTTTGCTTTCATCGCATTCTCAAGATTCTTGTTGCAATACTTTGTAGTGTGTGTTGCCTGATGAACTAATTAGGTGCTTACACAGTTGTTGTGCGCATCGATTGACCTTATCATTGAAGGGTACCAAAGACCCTGATGCGCCCTGTCACAGCACCACTATGGCTACTACTTCTGTCGTGCCTTGTGCTTGCTTATGATATTTTGATAACAAATACTGTCCTGATAGAAGATGTCATCGAGATTTCAGATTCATCCCACCTGACTACGAGTTCGTCAGAACCCAACCCGTCAGTTGAAATGCTGTCAACAGATACAGGTTTAAAGTCGGAAATCATGATGAATACCACAGGGTGGTCGACCCCCATTATTTCACTCGAAAGTTCATCAATATCTCAGGACTCGTCGTCATTGTCATCAGAGGACATCGGAGTGGATTCAGTTCACAAAGATCATGTACTTGATACCAGCATAGACCAAAACTTATTGCACGAATCGTTGTTCCAATCAAACGGGAGTGAAGTGATATTGGACGGCACCCAGGAAGTTACCTCAAACGCTCTGGTCAGTCAATCGAGCGATGTTTCATCTTCCCCTATCTCAATTGAGATGATTGAACCTCCATCGACTCCAATACTCCAACGGCCAAGTCAAGATGGCAAGTTTGACACTGAAAATACTACGAATGTCTCGCTTTTTGATGACATATCTTTTCTTGAATCCAATAGGTTAATCTTCGAAGCAGCCGCACATGAGGGTAGCGACTTGTTGTCAAGCAATGACTCTCAGGGTTTCATGAGTTTTGAGGAGTGGAAAAAACACAAGCAACAACCTGAAAATGGAACTAATGCTTCGGTGTCTGCTAATGTGAAAGTTGTCTCTAAATCTGTGACCAAACCAAAAGCACCGCAGAAGAGATTCAATTTTGCACTGGCTGATTGTGCTGCTACTGTCGTCGATACTCTGGGTAAAGGCGCTGGCGCCATTTTGAACGAGAACAAGGATCTGTATTTGCTCAATGAGTGTCATCTGGAACATCAGTTTGTCGTTATAGAACTTTGTCAAGAGATCTACGTCGAATCAGTGGTGATTGGAAACTACGAGTTCTTCTCATCGCAATTCAAGGATGTGAGAATTCTGGTTCTGGATGTGTTTCCTAGTGCAAAATGGTGGATCCTTGGAGAATTCACTGCCGATAATTTCCGTAACGTTCAACAGTTTTTGATAGAAAGTCCTAAGATTTGGGCGCGTTACTTGAAGATTGAGGTCTTGTCACATTATGGAAACGAATACTATTGCCCCATCTCAGTCGTGCGGGCTCACGGCAAAACGATGATGGAAGATGCAAAAGAGGATACACCGTTAGACAATAATTATTTTGTCGAAGCTTCCATTGAACCCCCTCAACTTGACAAATGCATTATCAATCCGCCCTACTTAGGGCTTTCGCAATTCCTTCAGGATATTAATCTGACTAACACACTGCAAGGGTACGACCTGTGTGATGCTGAACCAATAATTTCGACTTCCTTGGAAAGTCAACAAGAATCAGTATACAAATCGATAATGAAGCGACTCACTTTGCTAGAGTCAAACGCTACATTGTCTCTTTTGTATATTGAAGAGCAGCTGAAGCTTTTGCTGGAGGCTTTTGTCAATCTCGAGAAACGGCAATCGTTAAATTTCGATTCATTGGTTGCTCTGTTCAATCATACAATCAGCACTCTGCTTTTAAATTTTAGAAGCAACTATGCTCATTTACACCAGGAGTATCTGAAACTCTTGCTGATGCAGAAGCAGACTCATGAGGAAATTGTGCGAGATACTAAGTACAAATTATCCTTCTTATCTGGTGAACTTCTGTTTCAAGAACGAGTATCACTATTCAACCTGGTAATCATTATTTGCATGCTTATCTACGTGGTAATCACCCGCCAGGCCTACGTGGACGACGTCAAAGATCGTGCCCGACTTCCTAATCATCTCCGACAACATAGAGTCAAAAGACCAGGCCGTCGTCGCCGCCGTCGCGTTCATTATGTACATCACTAATAGTAATTACGCATCCCGTCGTATTTAGGACCATAAGACGTCTGAATATCATCTCTCATGTTCAGTATTTAATTTGAGTGAAGGATAGAGCACTCGATACTCGACACGTAAGTTATCAATTTCCGGGTAGATACCTTTAATGCCCCTCGTGATTGTTCCCCGCCGCGCGATGAAGCGACACCTCTCAGATGACGAGGATAACCATTCCCCACAGCTTGATCCCCCAAAAAGTCGACAAAAGGTGACACTGCTGCAAATCGTACATGTGAACACAATTCAGCGGGCCGCACTCGACTTCGACCACAGCCATCAATGCTCGGTGTCCCTCGCAACTGTCAATATTTACTGCTGTCTTGTGTGTGGTAAATATTTGCAAGGTTCCAGTCATGGTTCGCCGGCTTTCATCCATGCCGTTGAGAATGGCCACCACTTGTTTGTGGCACTCGACGACGTCACATTTAAAATTCTACCTGAGGGAGACACGCTTAGTGACGAAACCGCAAGGAGGGCAGTTGATGATATTGCCAAATCCCTCAACCCTCCCATGCAAATTGATGGTAAAGAACTGAAGACTTTGATTGCCAATGTTCCTTACATACCAGGGTTAGTTGGATTGACGGGTGATGCTTCTGCCTACAATGTGATTATACAACTCCTAGCTCACATACCCAAAATCCGTGATTATTACCGTCATCCAAGGGCTGGTAAATTGGAAACTGAGTTTCGATTTGTTATTCGTCAATTATGGTCGCCTTACTTACTCCGAAATCATGTGTCTCCCCACCGTTTGATACAAGCTGTTAAAAAGCCCACAAACAATCCAATAACTGCTTACACTATCTTGGTCAATCGGTTGGATAAAGAGAACAAAGATGATATCTGGCGAGAGACCCTTCGAGGGGAGGTGGACAGTGCTGACAAACCCATTCCGTTCTGGTACTTGCTGATTGACGTTCTGGCACCCCAAATCGGGAGTGATGATTTGCTCGAGGTACAGTTTGACGAGCTCTTTAAAACAAAATACGGTGAAAAGGGCAAATATTCCATTAAAAAGTTGCCCCATGAGCTTCTAATTGTTTTGAACAGAAAACACGACTCTCAGACACGTGTCGTTGTATCACTTCCTTCACAAATCGTGATCAAAGATCATAAATACTGCTTGGTGTCTGTCATCAGTCAAAAGGCACAATCATGGGTATATTCAGGTGAAACCCCATCGGGTGACTGGTCTACATTCGATGGAGTCAAGGTTAGTCAATGTCCCCGACAAGTTATATATTTGGAAGACAACAGACTTTTGTTGTGGCGCCGAGTTTTATCTCCCGAAGATTAAATATCGCTGAGACCACTACGTTAATCTGCAAAGTCGGCCATAGGACGAGATCCTCTCACTGCTTAACGTACCCTTATCGAAGTTGTTGCGTTATTGATTGCCGTCTTCCACAATTTACGATACAGTCAATTCATACAAACTGCCTTTTAAATATTGCTACTCCATGTTGTGATTGTTTAGCAGAATGCTACTATGTGTGATGAGCTTCTTGCCAAATCTAACTAGTGTTGGTATTGGATTTCTCCAAGCTTTTCTTGGTCTCGTGTACTTTGTCTTCGCGAAACGGAGACGGATAATATATTCAATACATGATAATCAGTATTTGTCAAGAACGGTAGAAGCCCATTCGATCAAAGCGGGGTGATCCCGTTGAATGGCGGCTGGCTTGGACTCGCTCAACAATTCATCAAAAATGATTATGAGACTTGCAAGCTTCAGCTCTAGTATCAAATTGTTCTGTATCAGCGAAAGCTCGCTCTCGAATAAGGCTAAATCCCTCAGATATTGCTCTAGAATTAGCTCGTAGTAAGCTTTCAATGCCAGCTCGTTAGTCCCAGTGAAGTAGTCCTTAGTTGCTTCGGTTAACTTGTGTGATGTGGTGAATAAAGTGGGATGACGTTGTTTAAAACCATTCCACTCATATAAGGTACTGTAAATGTCACGTCTCTCAAAAGTTTCCGTGGCTTTACATTCAGAATCAATGGAGAAGGTTTTGTTAAAATTCGTTTGCTCAATCGCCACCGCCAAGAGCCATAAATCATAGTACGAGTCGATTAAGTCGGCCACGGTGATCAACTTAGGCTCCAACGATTTTGTGACAGCTTTACGTAAAGCTTTAGTCGTTTTGACAAGTCTTACAGGCACTTCATTTTGCACCTGATCTTCGATAAGCATAGGGAGCTGGTTAGTCGGGGCACTGTGATATGAAAGAACCATCAACGAACTGCCATTGTCGCTTGAATCGGCAGTGATGGGGAGTTTGTATTTGTTTCTGCTAGCGAGAATCATGGCATAACCCAATGATAACGGATCCGTGGGGATATATCGTCCTTTGATTTTACTCACACCGAAACAACCTAAGGCAAACAGCGAGTCCGTGGCCGCAGCTCCCTGAAAGAAATATTGGCGTGATCTCTCGAGATTGGTTGCACTTTCGACCTCATTGGCAACTGGAGGATACGTTACAATTGGGAAGTTTTCGAACAACACCCGGACGGGCTCTGGGACCTTCATGAGATGGTGCGCTGAAGCGATCGCGAAAAATGAATCTGTGGGGTGCCCCTGCAATTGACTGAAACTACAAACAAACTATTTTGGAATCTAATATTCGTGTATCTATCGTTTATTAACGTCAAATCATAACTAAATGTCGTCAGTGGGGATCAACCGGATGCTCAAGTCAAACCATTCTTCCCCGGCGTACTTGCAGTCACTCTTACCGTGGTTGGTGAAGCCGATCTTTTCGTAAAAGGGAACGAGGCCTTCGTGAGCAATGATGACCACTTGATCACCCAAGTCTTGGTTGGATAATTTTTGGATGTAGTCGTGTAACAACAACGTGCCTAGCGATTTGCCTTGCCAGTCAGGGTCAATAACAACGCCGTGGACACCGATCGTGGGCGACGACTCGATGTGGCCCAGGCCGGGGACATCTGGCAGGAACACGTCCATGCTGGCGTTGGTGATCGTCGATCCGTGGATTCTCGTCGCTATTATGTGCCCAATCAAAGTCTCCTTGACAACAGACGACTTGACGGGCAACGGGGCGTGCTCGTCGTCAGAATCGTCCTCTTGAGGGGCCGAGGCTTGGGTATTATCGGTGGGCAAGTTGATCGCCCGGTATCGCGGGGCGAATTCTCTGATGAACAACCCCAGGCACAACTCGGGGCACATATTCAAGCGGTACGTGAGCTTCTCCCGAGTGCTCCGCTCCTCGGGGGAGAACCCCTTAGCCTCAAGAGCGACCACCTGGTCAAGGTCTTCGATGGTGAGTGGACGAATTGAAAGATTGGGGGGAAAGTCACTCATGGCTAGTGGAGACAGCTTGGGAAAAAAATTGAACAATCGCGCGAGGGTGGCGACACGAAGTTAGGGTTAAGCCTCAGTGTCGAGAACTCCACACCGCGGCGTAGTGCACTTAAACAATCGTGGACGTCAGGTTTACACTTGGAGAAGGTGAGGCTGGATTCGATTTCTACATACATATCAAACTTTAGAAGGAATGCAGGTGGTTATGTGACATACAGGGCTCTCTTTAATGTCGTCGATAAACACGACGTTTGTATTACATAATCAAATCAAAGGATACGTGGTTTATGTATTTAGCGTATAAATAAAATTTATTTGGCCACAACTTCGGTGGTCCAGTCATTGGCGATCAATTCTTGGCCATCGACGTAGTAGGTCAGAGTAACGGGATAGTTACCTCTCAAAAGGAACCCGCCAGGGGTGGTGTCCTCGGGGAACTCGTAGGTGTACTCTTCTTCCCGGGGCTCGTAATCGCCGATCTCGATCTCTCTGGATTTAATGGGGATACCACCCTTCTTAGCCACTTGCTTGTACTTGAAGGCCTTCACGGGGGCACCAGTCACAGTGAAGTGAATGGTGGTAACGTATTTCGACGATTCGGGAATTTGAACCTTGAGATCGGGGCCACCGATTTCCACGGTGAAAGGCTCCTTGCCTTCAACCTTAACGGTGAACTTAGAAACGGTTAAGTTGTCGTTGACCTTGATGGGCATTGTAACAAAAGTGGTTTGGTTGATTAGCTTCGTAAAATTTCGTTGCTCTTTATATGTTTTGTACACCACGGCAATTCGGAGAACAGGCCTCGGTCAACCGTGCAGGCGGGGTTGTTGGTGGCCTCTGCCCCACATTAACGTAACTCCCCCATGGGGGCGGGGTGGAACAAACCACGTTAAATGCAAGAATCTATAGAATTGTCTTCTGATAATGTCCAGTTGTAATTAACCTACTCATAATCAAGAAATCCCCAAACATTGAGTTGGTTATTGAAAGCTACATAGCAAGTCAATTCGATTTGTGGCAGCCACATGGGCCTCACTTTTCGGGTTGGTGGGAATCGTAAATTCAACACGATACCTTTCGATCCTATTTTTTTTCCGCCTTGTTTGGCGAAGTGGGGAAGTATGGAGAGGACCACGGATGGTTCGTATACGCATTAGGTCTATGGTAATCTCGCACCAGCAACCTCAGCATTATTTCAGTGTGTGTGTGGGGTTGTAGCTATTTAAAACCGTTGACACCATACAATGAGATCAAGAACAGACAGATTTGCAAGCGACAGACATTAATTTAGCCGGTAAAACGGCTTGTCTTGTGGCGCTCAATTACATTAGTGTCGTTTTACCCTTCACTACTGACGAGATTTGCTCTATGTGCAGGGAAGACAATTTGCTCGTTGTACCAACGCATAGCTACTATACTGGACATGGAGTGTTTTGTTCCACCCCTTCGGTTTTCTACCGTTGAACCACACCTATATCGTGGATCCTATCCTCGCAAAACGAACTTGGCTTTTCTCAAACTGCTACAATTGAAGACGATCGTTTCACTCACTCCAAACCCCATTACCAAGCAGACGGACCCTGTGCTTTACGATTTCGCCAGCACCAATGGCATCGAGTTGATTCATATTGAGTGTGCACCACTGGGCAAGGGCAAAAAACGTGGTGTTCCTCTCGATTATACCACCATTCTACAATGCCTAAACTATGTCATCCATCAACAGTACGCACCAGTTTATATCCACTGCATAAACGGCGGTCAAGTCACATCATTGCTCGTTGCGTGTCTCCGAAAGCTACAGTTTTGGAGTAGCATAACCATCTTTAATGAGTTCATCAATTTTGCAGCCTCGATAACGGTGAATGACCGGAAATTTGTCGATGGGTTCAACGGTGAAGTAATCGTGGGTGAGAACAAGGTGGCATGGTTGTGGAAGGGTATGTCTAAAGGAGTTGTTGAACGACATCCCAACGTAAGGGTCGCCGTCGCTAGGTAGTTTATGATTAATGACAAATAAATGTAATCTATTTAACCCGACGGTAGAATAAGCAATACGCATTTCTGTTCATAACTTGATCGGGACGACAATTGTAGGTTACCTTTTCGTCATCAAAATAACACCACTTCTTGGACTTACGGTCGCTCTGTTTGTAGACATAACTAGTGTAATGTCCCGTCGACATAGATCCGTAATGATTAGCCACGCCGTATAGTTTATAGCGGAAAGGCGGCAGTTGATTTCGAATAGGCATATCCGTCAAGTAGGTCTGTTCCTCTTCCGGTGTCATCAGTTTCTGTTGTTCAGTCAATGCCGTGCCCACTTTGCCCGTCCAATACTTTGTTAAGTCGAGCTCCTCGTTGACAGGATAAGTGACAAATGTATCAAGCTTATTGAAGTACCCGTTTGAGTTTATACTGAATCGCTTGAAGTGGATGATAAGCACCTGTGGAAGTCGTGTAAGTTTGATTGTCTTTGTCGACTTCGTGGCACGCTTACAATGGGGACAATGCCATTTGTTATCGTCGTCCAACAATTCAGTGGTCGTGTACTCATCGAAGAGTTTCTCCACCAGGATCTTGTCGATTGATGAGCCATTATGGCGGGTAGGTATTGGTAGTGATAAAATCAGGAAAGAATTGTATGTTGTAGACGTGGTACCGCACTCGAGACACCGAAGCTGAGATAAGTATTGACCTTGAAAATAGTCGACAATGACCGAGAAATTGAGTCGAAGATATCGTTCCCATTCTACAGTCAGTGCCAATCGAATGGGTAGACGTTCTCGAGTCTTCTCTTCCTCTGGAGAAAGTTCGAGAATGCGTTTACGCTCCTCGAGGCTTGTGATGGAAGGCTGGTTCAAATCTTCGTGTAACCGGTCCAACATGAAATCCAAAAACTCGATGCAATCTTGCTGGTCGCATGATGCAAATTGATGGTTTGGCAGAAGCAGACCCATGGCTTCCTTAAATGTTGCCGGCAGTATCAGCAGGCCATTCTTTGTAAACATTAGACGCAAAACCTTCACAAACTGATTGGTCAAAATCCCTTTAGTTCCAAGCTTGTTGTCCATGTTGATGTGTTCCTTATAAGTCATACTGGATGGTGTCACCGACGAACCCATATTTGGGAAAAAGAAGTTGGTAAGTTGGGGAGTTGCAGCGAGGCATTGTAACATGCAGTTCATATAGCACAGATTACCCAAATTATAAAGCCCTGTGACGAAGCTGTCCAAAAGCTGTGGTTCTTTCGTCGCTGTCGCCGCTAGGGTGTTAGGTTGAAGAGTTGCCACGGTTTGAGACGATGAGCTGGAGGACCGCTTTGGCAAATCCTTGGTTATACCTGTCGGAGCCGACAAAGACATTGGGTATTTCGGTTTTACTGGTTTCTGTTGTGATGGCACCGGAGATGCTTCCTTGAGTGATGGTGTACTCGCAGAAGCCTGTGGTCTCGAAGGAACAATATATCCAACGGATGATGTCCCTCCAAAAATGCTTCCCCCATTGGAAGCCTTGCGATTTAGACTAGGACTCCTTGTAGGCTTTGCTGGCTTGGCGCTTGCTAAGTAATCGCCAAAACTCTTATGGTACTTTGCATCGCCGTTATTGGAGCCATTGGAATGTACTGGTGTCACTTTTGATGACGTGTCGGGTGATTTTTTGGGTACCTCGATATTCAGGGATCCGCGAGAAAGCGTTGCCGGCGGTGGTGCTATTATTTGCGATGTGGGTGTTTGACATCCCTGAGGTCCATAATGATCTATCCAAGCGCTTAAACCGCCGTCAATATATGCTGGAAACTTCTTTAAAAGACCCCGATCTTCAGTCATTACGAGATCAAACAATTTCCAAAATGGCGGCTTTTTAACGTCTATCGTGCTTAAGTCGAGGCTGAAATTCTTATCGTACACCACAACAAAGTCATAGTCGTGTAAATTGAGCCATCTTTGATATTGTAAGCTCAGTAAATGAAGTTGCAACGTTTCATTGAGCTTGTCGAGTGTATTTCCATGAGTAGACACAAACTCCACCCACTCAGGATTGATATGTACAACTTCGTTGAAACGAATTTTGCCAGACTCATATTCAGCCTTGGATTGATAATCAATAATGAGAACCTTCTCAGATTTCAAGTGTGACCCCACTGTAGCAGGACTAAGATTTTCTCGCCACTCAAGAGCATACCCAGCATTATGGTCACTGGTAAGATTCTTGAGACGGCTCACCAATGGATCCTCAGGTAATAAGAAATCCTTGATGGCCTGATATAACGGTTTATTGGTAGCAAGGTGAGCATTGATTTCACTCACGATTTCGCTCAAGGCAGGGTCCAGAATTTGAGATGCACAGAGTGACGCCACCTGGTAAAGCTGATAGAATGTCTGGTAATCACAATATTCTCTCGATTCAAACTTCTTGTGCTCACGCTTTAGTACCTCAAGGCAAATAATGCAATAATTGATAAGGGGCTTGTCAGCTAATCGCAAGCGAGCCTGGCTGACGATTTTGTACACCCGTTTATCCAATTCTTCGAGTGAATATCCTTGTTTCGGATTCCCCTTTAAGGATAACGAGGTCATGGCTGCTTCGCAACCAGTAGTGGCAACTGAGTGGAAAGCATGTGTCTACGGTGTGCATATAAGTGATAAGCACTACATGATCTGAATTATCGTGAGTGTCAACCATGGGGTGAAATACTCACGCTAAGCATATTATAGCATCCACGATAATCTTGATAACTTCTATCAATGATCAAGTTACGCTCATAATCCATTGTGAGTTGTTGGCACTTAAGTTCAGTTTGACAGGTATGTTAATGGGGACTAGTTGAACTACTTTACTTCGATCAAAAATGTGTATGTATAAATACAAGATATAAACGTTGATATGTAAAACATGATGATTCCTTTCGGCATGTTTGTCTAGAGTTGACTAGGGTAAGTAACTCCTCGACACCATCCACTTTACCAGTCATGGTCACGTGACGCAATCCTGACCATCAAGTCAAACCATGTCGAGTATGTCGAGTTTTTAAGAGCTTGCAACAATTGTTTTTGTTTATTGTAAATCAAGTTTAGGTTATTTAAATCTTAGATACTTATTCAGGTCGTTCCAGTTATTGGTGCTTGTAACAGTCAGCTCCCCAGTGTGAGAACTATCATCAAAAAGGTGACCCATCATTACTATCACCTTTAAGATGCCTAGACAGCCGATGGTAACTAATCGTAATAACTGTCTGTTACGGGTCGATCAGATATTGGAAACCGCCTATGATGAACGCCGCCGTGCAGAGGGCCGCAAAATGGTGTGTCAACCCTCCGACTACGATGATGGTCTGGGGACCTGGCTGCAACATGACAATCGCTTGAACATGAAACAAACCTTGGTGTAACAACAGAACAGCAAGTGTATGGCCCAATAGTTGTAATTTTGGGGTCCATGGTATTCAGCGGTTGCGGGCCCCCATCATATAGTGGGGTATTCGCCTCGCCAGAAGTCAATGAGCGTCGTCGTCGTCAAGCCATGCCAACTGGATTTTGTTGATTGTCTCGTTGGCTGGTGGTGGTCTTCGTTAGAGGAGCGTCGACTGTAATCGAGTAGTTGCTCAACTCATAAGTGAGAAGCGTCCAAACAAGTTTTTGATGATGAAAATCAAGGGGGAATAGTCGCCCTTTTATAGACCAAAATGAAGCGGGGAGCTCCCTGAATGCACACCGTCGACAATGAGACGGGGGATTAATAAAAGCACGCCGTCGTCAATGAGACGACGGATACAATGACGAGCGCGTCCCCTCACCCATCGTCTACCACATTCCGCGATGGCACCAACGTCGTCATCAGCCAGAAACACAAGCCATAGCAAATATTATCTAGTCTGGCTGAATCCATGTCAACCAACGTCAATCACTTTTGCCCTCCAAGTGTCAGTCAGATAAGTGGCAATTAAGGGATGACCAACAATACTGGTGGGGGGCAATGGCTCATTGTTGAAGAATTCTCGGAAGATTAATTGTCCCCGTTGACGAGGCAATGCACGGGACAATCGTCGAATTCCCCACTTCGCAGATGCAAAGTACGCGTCATCCATAAGGTAACTAAGACTATTGAAACTTTGGCTTCATGTTGAAACGATTAGTCCAGCAACTTTCAGGCAGCCTGATGAAGTTTCATCTGTGTCCCATTTGGTGGTCAGTTTCAGCTTGGTTCTTTCGGGTGTGCCGAACTTATCAATCTCATTCCATACTATCTCCCCATTGTCACGTGACTCGGCCTTGCGTAACTGGTAAATCTAAGGGCACAACTGTAATTTCGATAATACCGTGAACGTGCTTGTAGAATCATTCATACGTAGCTAAGATTAATGTCTATTATGAAAGCCCTATGTACAAGATTATTGGTCCGGCGAGTACTCCGACAAATGCGGCTGAAGCCGCTTTATGGCCCAATTGAGGCCAACAAACTTTACGCTGGAATCGCTAGCGCCCTCAGTTTTAGTGAAGCGGTGCCACCACCTGGGGTTCTTGAACGAGGGGTATTCAGGCGGAAACCCAGCTTCACGCCGCAAGGAGGCAACATGGCGCCGAAGTTCGGCGGCCAAATTCGAGCGAAGCTCTTCCGCCCATTTACCAGTTTTGAGCTCTTCTGAGAGGTCTCCCAGTTTACTCCAAGGGTCGGCAAAAACCAGCACAAGCTGACGCCACTTCTTGCGATACTCAAAGACAATTTCATCAGGAATAGCGTCTCCCACGTAAAGATGGATTTCCAGGCCAAGGTTGGCGGGGAACCAACGCTTCCAGCCCGTAATATCTTCAGGAGCAATCTTCTCGAAGCCATGGGCGAACATGGGAACGACAACTGGGGCACGCGTCGCTTCAAGGATAAGACGAGTTACACCCCACTTGAAGTACCGCATAGAGTTGTTATTAGGAGGTTGTAGCTGAAGTACAAACCCTTCTGGGAACACATGGAACCACGACGTTTCCTTCCTCACAAAAGGGAGCAGAGGCATCAACAACTGGGTCAGTTCAGCATTAGGTTTCAACTGCGGGGCTATTATGGCATCATTAAGTTGCTGGATTTCAATGGCGTCCTTGTATGTGGGAAGTGGTTGTTTCGGAGCTAAAGAGTCGTCGGGGCTGACGACTCTGATGGCAGCATCAACACTATCTTGGAACGGGCCAACGCCGAATCGGGCAATACCGAGGATCTTGCCAAGGTTGAAAAACCACCCTTGCCACTTGGTTCCAAAACACACATTGTCTGCGGCAAAACCCCACCGAACGTTATCGATATGGTTGATGTACCGGAAGGGCAACATCGCGACGTACGACGGGTCGTCACACACCAGCATGTGATTCATCACCGTAATGATCAGGCGGTTCTCTTCACGGGCCTTGGCAAACGCCAGATCCAACTTCTCGATACCATGAACCTGGGGCTTGTAAAGAATGTTTAGAAGCACCTTGGTATTAAGCGTCATGAAAAGACAGGTAGCATGGGAAGCAAAGTTCCACCACGGGGCCGTGCGAGGATATTCACTGAGAAACTCGTCCCCCCGGTTGAGCACAGCAGGGAAGCTCATCGTTTGAAAGCGACGGCGTCAGTGCTATCTGGATTGAAGCGGCGAGGCAGCGTGAAAGCGATGCGTCGTTTCTTTTTGTGCGTGCGACTAATGAGATGTCAATGGTTACGGGTCATATGAAATAACTTCAATAACCAGTTTGGTTGGTGATTTGCGGGAGATGTGGTAGCTGTTGGTGGATGATGGAGTTTAGCTTAATTCATAGATATTGTTTAATGTTTCATTGGGACTGATACTATCGCCAAATGAAAACCACGTGGGGTTCAAGAAAAACGAGACTTCCCCAGACACTCCGCCTACAATTGTAAAACCCTCTGACTTTCCATTGATATGACTTATCATTATATATGCCAACCTAACCGCCCGAACTGCTAAAGCTTGCACGGCTTGAATGTAACTCTCCCCTCAACTTTACCGTGATGTAATTTATCCAAGTATTCGGGAAGCTCAGCAAACGGCACCGCGGTGTGTATCGGCTTAATTAAGCCCTTTGAGATCCATCTCATAACCTCGATTTGTTCGTAGGATGTGCCCCCAAATGAATAAATCACCTGAACCTCACGCCGGGCCAAGTTATAGTTTTGAAGCATCAATTTGGACCGGCCCAATCCGACAGTCATGTACTTACCCAAATGCTTGACGTATTTCTGACAGATGTCCAGTGTGATCTGGTTACCAACAAAGTCAAACACTATGTCAAACAGCTCACGAGAGTGAGGGCATTTGGACATGTCGTGGTAGTATTCATCTGCGCCGTATTCAAGAGCAATAGAACGTAAACTCTCTTTGACGTCAGTGGCGACAATGTAGGGATGGTACACTTTCAAAATTTGAAGAGCGTTCAACCCTAATCCACCCAAGCCCACAAGAAGCACCTTAGATGTGGGACGCAAGTCGGACTTAACTTTTTGAATAGCATGGAATGGTGTCAACGTCGAGTCGGATGCCACAGCGGCAGTTGCAAAACTCACGTCTTCAGGGATGGGGAGTAAAGTCCGCAAGTTTTTAATCAACAAGTATTCTTCAAAACCACCATCGGTGTTGAGTCCATAAGCTTCACACCCCAGAGTACATGCGTTGTCGAATCCCTGACGACAGTTATCGCATGATCCACAAGCAGCTCCAATTTGCAAAGCGAAACGAGCTCCCAATTTCACCGTGGGGTGGTTCTCCAAGCCCAGGCCCAACGCAGCAATTGTACCTGCAATTTCGTGTCCCAATACATATTTGGTTGGAGATTCAACCCCAAGCCGCTCCATGGGCCCAACCTGGAGTAAGTGGCAATCCGATTGACACAAGCCAGCGGCCTCGACTTTGAGAAGGGCCTGATTGGCGCCAGGCACGGGCACTGGGTAATCCATCCATCTTTGGATACCTTCCTTCCCCTTGATCCATCCGTAAGCAGTCTGTCTTTCGGGAATTGACATGTTTAATGATCACTAGTCTCGGGAGGTGGGACTATATATGGTAAAAAATGCGGGGCGGCATCTCAATCTGTGGGGTAATTATTGTTACCGAGGGTGGCAAGTGGCGTGGTGGAGTAATGTTGGGATTTCGAGGGTTTCAAATCTACTCTTAGTGAGCGGTTAATAGAGATGTAAAGGTGTGTTTTGTGTACTTCTGCTTTCTTCGACTTCTATATATGTATATTAGTTCATAAATGAGGGCGAGATCAATCTCGCCGATGCCGATGGTGTCGCGCGTTCATAACGCACAATAAGGATCGGCGTAATACCCCATGATTCTATATAATTTGTGTTATAGAATTCACAACACAGCAACATTTTCAATGCAAATATTTTGAAGGAATACTCTCCCTTCAGCGGAAGTTGAAATCATAGATGGCAAATTCTCTCCGCTTATCCAAATCATCGTTTCCGGCGGGACTTCGATGCCATTAACTTTGAGCACACGCATCAATTGAAGTTCTTGAGAAGAGTTTGACAGTACTTTGGGAATCCGCTCTGTAATGTACTCCGCATCTATGTCGTTGTTGTACACATCAACCTTTCCAGGAGCCAAATGTTCAAACTGAACTTTGAGATTAGTAAATTGGGGAACCCAAAAGTCTCCACTCGACATACGATTATCGTTACCCAGGATTCGGTTGATTTCCTGATGTGAGGTATGTGTTATATCGCCCAAAAACACGTCGATAACCATCAGCGTAGGTCGACGGTTACTAGTGGGTAGCAAGCCCATCAGGAAAGTCGAGAAAAATGCCGGGTCAATTTCGAGCTGATCTCCAGAAATATGCATTGGTTTCAGCCATGAATGCTGGAAATCCACTTGAGCGCTGAATAAGTTGGTGTTGAGATAGTAATTAGATTGGAGTCCCTTGGTAATTTCAGGTCGCTCACAACTTGACATATCATATCCTGGAACTTTCGAGACCTTTTGGGATATCCTCAAATCATCGAACATTTTTCTATGAGAATCATTATTGCCCTTTTGAGGCGCTGAATCAAATGAACGGGGCATCCAAATAGGATGAGCCTCGGTGGAAAATACCCAGTTCTTTGGCGTCATGATTGGCGTATGCAAAAAGATCTCATCGTTGACATCAAATAAAAGATATAAGTACTTGAGTGTTTCGCCAAGCACAAATGTCTCCATACGGTCTTGACGTGTGCCAGATCGCACATCCTGGTATCCAGAGAACCCACATGGAGCCATGAATCGAGTCCTGAATGCTTCAAGAACCTGTTCACCAATGTGAAGGTACATCGGGTCCCTGGTCGCCCGATATAAGTAATATGTCAGCTCAATGTACTCAGGTCTCAATGGGTACCATTCTAGATCGACGGCGCACTCACCTTCATTGACTGCATACCGCCAGCGTTCAGGAATCAGTCCGTAACTATTCCAGATGCTGGTATATATCCAGTGGCTTGAAACAGCGTGCTTTATTCTTCCCGCAAGGACCTGAAGACCCGGCCAAAACGCCGCAAGAGAATCGATCCACTGGCCGTTTTGGGTACCATCATGCGTGTTTACATTGCGCCATATCATTGTTGACTCCAGAGGACCCCCACCTAAAATCAGGTGGGTGATGAGCGCACGGTATGACGTGTCAAACACTTCCCAAAATCGAGAATCACGAAGTACAATGGCCCCTTTGACAGCATACTCGTAGAACAGATCTATCAGCGCTCCGATGCCTGTGATCAGATCAACCCAATTGTTGGTTATAGGGTCCAACAGCATGGGTAAAAGTTCAAGTGGTGTACGCAGCAGCCAAAGCTTCCAGAACAGTTGTTGAGTGTAGGCTTCAAACAGTTCATCCCCCGTAAGACGTGAAAGTAAAGTCATTTCAAGAACTGGAGTTGTAACTCCCAGTGTGCACCCTTCATGTTGCAAACGTTTGGGGACGCCCTTTGCACCTTTCCTAAGGTTGATGCGGGGAACAGGTATTTGGGTGGTTGTTTTGAATGCTGTGAGTAGCTTCTTCCCCAATGTAAACGCCATGTCTAATAGGAAGCCATCGTAATCAATAGCTATGCGATGCCAACGTTCGTATTTCTCTGGAACGAGTGTATACTGGTTCACAACATCCGTGAGCAAAAGATGAGCGCTTATAAGCCCTCCCAACAGTCGGATGGAGAACTCAAATACTTGAACTATCTGGTTTTGATCGAAGAGATCATATTGACGTTCCTTCAAATAGCCAAGCATATCTTCAAGGTCGTCCCAACGTTCGAAAATAATCAACAGATCCAAATTGTCAAGCACCATCAGCAGGGCATTCCCAAGAGCATCGTTGCGGATGATATCGTTACGATCAGGACTGGGCCCAAAAGGCTGGCACGTTAGAGGAGTCACCTCATCATAAGGGAAACCATGTTCGATGTATGCTTGCCAACCATGTTCAAATAGTGCTCTCGTCTCATTCTGGAGATATCTGAGGTGATCCCCAGTGAACAGAGAAGCATTGACGAGTCCGATCAACGCTACACCTGCAAACACTGAGAGTCGCATAACTGACATGTGCGCGTAAGCGGAGGAGATAGCCTAGCCCACTCCGATGGGCACCAAGAACTGAATTACGAAATGTGACACAAATTCAATGTAACGAAATCCTAGTTATCGTAATAGAACATAGATTTTTCAGAGTTCATTGTAAGTAGATTGCCTTTCTTTTGAATGACAAGTCGAATGTGACGTCCAGTGCCCATCTGTTGTGATTGATATTGAAACACTTCGTTATATCTTTTATCACGTCTACGTTGGGGGCGCTGTATCAATTTTGTTGTGTCTCATAGGGTTCTTATTCCCTTTGTTAGTAGGTGTGGCCTTCAATGGTGAATCTTTCAATCTCGGTGATTTTCCACCACGCACTGATCGAAGCTGAGCATCCGCGTTGTTGTCGATATGGATAATAGCTCACCCCCGCCGGTGCTCAAACGTGAGGAGACGCCGATGGAGCCAATCGCTCCTGACGACACCAATGCTGCTCTTACGACCGAATCTGCGCAAGCGACTCCCGCGGCTGAGGATACTGAAGATGGGGCGACCGCCGAGCCCGAAGTCAAACGACCGAGGAAGGCCACTGCCAAAAGAAGTCTGGCTGAAGCAAATCGCAAACGAAAGGACGACAAAGCTACTTCTGCTGCAACTTTGGCTCAACTTGGCCGAGATACTGGTATCTCTAGGGCAGAAGAAGAGAACGGCTTTGCGTTGACACTGGTGCGGTCAACGCCCCTCATCAATCAAAAGAACTACTTCACCGACTATCTTAAAAAGGACGAACAGGTGGGGTTCATTCGCACATGGAGGAAAGAACGAGATTTCGTAACGAGGGTGAAGAAGGGTCAGGTTGATGAGCAGACACTTGAAGATGCTATCAACGGCAATAGTGATATTTGCAATTTCGAGTATTTTGATGTCAACGAGGTCGTCAGTGAGATGAACAAGAATAAATCCACTCCGGTCACGCTGAATACTGAGGATCCTATCAAAGACGATGATGATGATGACGATATTGATGACGATGAAGAAGGTGGTGATAAGTCAAAAAATGGCTACGATGTCATTGTAATCCATCCGGGATCTCTGTACACACGGATCGGTCGTGCTACAGATACTGTGCCAAAGGCTGTACCTACCGTTATTGCTGTTCCCACAACTAACCCTCCGCATCAAGATGGCGAACCGCAACCTCATCGTGATAACTCTGCAGAATCGGTGACCTTTGGTGAAGAGTTTGACTCGATCAAAGAGGTGATTAATAAAGATTTCCGGGCCCGCATGAAATACTACAAACGCCGTATTCTACCAAATTCTCACGAAACCGCGTGCAACTTCAATCGCAAACAATCTTACGAAGAAATACCTGACCACAATGATCCCGACAAAGTTGAATGGATCAACTTGAGTGAAGATAAATACAAAGACCACAAATTCTTTGTGGGCGACGATGCGCTCAAGCTTCCTATCGACTCGAAAATGCCCCTGGGGGCATACCCTCAATGGAAATTGAGATACCCAATCGTTGAGGGTCGCTTTAACGAGAACCTGCCCGATTACAATCTGCCCCAAGAAATTATGGGTGATTTAACAAATATCATCGTTCAATCTTTAAGTGATCAGGATGTTACAAATCTTGATAAACTCAAATGCATTTTGATTATCCCTGATTTGTACGATAAGACGTATGTTGAAACTTGGATGCTGATAATCTTGAAGTTGGTGGGTTTCCTGAGAGTTGGTGTTATCCAAGAGCTGGTGGCGGCTACGTTTGGGGCCGGTGCTACGCTGGCATGTGTTGTTGATGTTGGCGCTCAGACTACTCTGATAGCATGTGTTGAAGAAGGGATGATTGTCAACGATCTGCGGATCCGCCTCAACTATGGTGGTGATCAGGTTACTGAGCTTTTTATGAAATTTTTACTTGAAGGAAACTTTCCTTACAATGACATCAATTTGAGACGCCATAATGATGACTGGCAGCTTGCTCAACAGCTTAAAGAGCTGTATTGTACCTTCCAAGATGCCGACATTGCCGTTCAGCTTTACAACTTTTACAAGCGGAAGCCATACGAAACCACAAAGAAGTATGATTTTAAGGTCTTTGACTCCGTGATGATGGCCCCTTTGGGATTGTACTTCCCTAAGATTTTCGGAGTCAACCCGACACTGATTCCCGAGTTGGCGCTGACGAATGATTTGGAAACTGCCGGGCGCCTTTTCTCCGTTCTGGTCGACCAATATTCCGACACATATGATAATCCGGTTCTGAGATCTCAACAACTCTTGGGTGAACGGCCTCCCTATTCTGATCTTACCGATGAGCAAACGTTGTTGAAGTTGTGCGATTTCAAGCCTTCCGGGCCTCCTGCGGGCCCCGACCCTCAGCTCTCGGCTGTACTGCTCGAGAAGGCAATCATTGAACTGATTACAAACACAGGGTTGTCGCTCGATATGAGCAAGACGAAAAAGATGTATGACAATTTGCTCATTGTTGGCGGTGGACTCGCGACTATACCAGGTTTTGACCTGGTGCTTGCCGATCGGATCAGCATATGGAGACCTAAGTTTTTGAGCACTGACAACACGGCAAAGGTTATAGAATTTGCTAAGAAGGAGCTTAAAAGGGGTGAGGATAAATGGGTCGAGCTTATTAATGAGCTTAAACTTCAGCGCAGAACTCTGCCAGACCAAACTTTGGCCGACATTGAATTAACTCCCGAGGAGATCGCTGATATTGATGCTCAACTGGAGGTTACCATTGACTTGGAGGCCGTGGATGCCATCTGTGAGCAAGGCGAGCCATTGTCGGTTAGCGTGTTACCGCCACCACGTGAGTTTGATCCACAAATGCTTACATGGAAGGGGGGTAGTGTGTTTGGTCGACTCAAAGTTGTTCAAGAATTATGGATAACCAAAAACGATTGGGAAATGTTGGCACTGAGGTGTTTGTATTACAAGCTGTTATGGCAGTATTGAATGCTTTTTTCAATGAAGTTCCTTTATTTCAATTAATGATAATGCTAATAAAATGTAATGCAAAAAAACAGGGTTAATAGTTGAGAGGGAAGCGAGCACGAGAAGATGGCGCCGGCGTTGAAGCTGACAGTCGACTCGTCGAATTAGCACTAGTGCCTGACGTCTTCTTGTGCTTTGACAATCCCATAATTTCCAGTTTGTTCTTAATGTCTCGATCGTACTCCCATAACTTCTTCTTCCATCCGCTCAATTGAGTATGCAACTCAAAAAGCTTGAGAAGCTGCCGTTTCAGCTCAGCCTTCGACATCGACGCAGGATTTTTGAGTCGATTGTACAATAAAGCGTACTCCTTGTACTTATCGCGGAATTTGAGGGCAAGTTGATTGTAGTAATCCATACGTTTAGCCTTCGCGTCACCTGCAGCGGGACTAGCCGTAGCCGCACGACGCAGAAGAGGTGTGTCATCTTCTTCTGACAGAGGCAGCGTGTCCAGTTCCATTTTGAGCTTCTTGGTCTGCTTATCATCGTCGGACAGTGACAGCAGGGACAGGGAAAACTTGCGCTTCGCTAACGTTTGCGAAGTCAGCGGTCTCAGAGCAGAGGCCGTAGGTGGTTTTGTCGACGACAATGCGGCCTTTCCCAGTACCTTGGGTGATACCGTTGCCGCCTTTTTCGTAGTCTTTTTCATATGCAATATTCCGCCGCCTAATTGGGAGCGACGATTTTCGTCATCGGAAGCCATAGCCAGGCTTGGTGACCCCACCGCCAGCGACGCCTGGGGGTCACATATCTTGCGACGCAATGGATGGGCTTCCGAAAACCCTAATCGGGTAAGGGCTCGATGGATGTTGTGAACCACAAGCTTTCGTTCAAATGGAGTGTATCTCAGCCAATCCCACGGTTGTAACTCCTTGTAAGATTTATCCTTCAACAAATAGTGGTCACCTACAAGATCGGGAAGAGGAGACTCATCGTCCATAGAATCAATGTGGTCAATGTCGTCCAAATCCCCATCCGAATCACCAGCAGAAGCAGGCGTCCCCAGCTTATTTTTGCGCAGGCGTCGCTCAAGCGTGGGGAAGCGATCATTGTGGTAGAACAGATTATTTCGATCGTACTTTTGACAATAGTCCTGCTTTAATTGTGCGATTTTCGAAGCCAGCACCGCAGAGCCAAGATTAGTGGCGATGTCGTTATCGCTAGCAGGGCCGAGAGCTATAAATTGAACAAATTTCAAAGCTATAGCTGCATTTGAGTCGCCTGGTGACACTAAAAATGGATTAGCACGACGTGCTTGTTTTTGTTTGCTCGAAGGCAGTAGTTGCGCCAGCGCCGGTCGAGCGGGCTTGGTGGGAGACACTGAGTTTGCCTCCAATTTGCGCCGCTCTAAGTCTTTCCGATATTCTCTGATTTTCCGAGGGTCGGTGATTACCGAGAGCTTTGTGGAGACGCGACCATCATAGCAACCCTGACTCGAACCCAGGTTCAGATACACCTCGACGTTGAGGGTTTCGGGGATCTTGATACACGGGTACTCCGCGTCGCCGACCCGTATCAGCTATTTAGTTAGTATATGATTTTAACGTGCATATGTTTCCAAAGGGTATTCACGGCTAGAATATGTCGCTCGCACCCGAGAAAAAAAAAAATTAGCCCCTTGTGCGTCAAACATGCATAATCGTCGGTACCAAACGGGTAATGCTTGTCAACGGCGGAGAAGGTGTTTCTTTTTCGCAGGGTGGGGTGAGGCTCACCACGCAACGGGTACCGCGAAGCATGGCGGTCTTTGTGGCGTCACCTCGGCGAACGTGACGATTGGCAGCCTGCCGAGCGCAATCTTTCGCTGGGACAAGTGAGCAGATTTCTTTTCCACTGTGCGGCTCACTCGCGTCAGCAAGATTTGCCGAGGGGAAGCGAGCTCCACCGTAGAATGTCACCGGCGTGGATTTGCCCGGGAGAAAAGGCCACTCATAATCGTTCGAATTGGCAGGATAATCGTTGATATCGACGACTGTAGCATCCGCAACCTCTAAAGAATTTCGGGATCACGTCTGGTAGTGTGGCTTGCTGCAAGCCAACCACGAGCGTAGCCAGCGAGCCACGGTGGTCAGCTTCACCAAACACCGCCCGAGGATATAAGACTGTATTGGTAACAGCCCGAGGGGTGACGGATCTGACAATTCTTACCCGAGGTGGCGGGATCACCACGGCGCCGGGGCCGATTCCGGCGCGATTCGCCGGCGGTCTCGCCATCCCTGAAGCCGGAAAATGCTCCTCTTATTCATCCCGTAGAGGACCCTTTGGAAGTGGATGCTGGGGCTGATCCACTGTTGGAAGTACTTACCATGTAGCCGTCCTTGACCACAAGTTTGGGCTTTCCACCCTGGGCCACACACCGGTTGAACTCGTCAACCAAGTCGTGGTTAAGCCGGATCGTGAGCGCCAGCGCCGTCTGAGGTATTGGCGGTTCCAACCGGGTCACAATCACCATGGTGGGGGTGTGGTGTAAATTTGTTTGGCAAAAATTAAATGTGCGCAGGCGGTGAGGATTAAAGGGTTAAGAGGTACATCGGTGCTGGAGTGGGTTGCGAGGTGACAACCACGGGATCTGGCCCGACGCGGGCGGGCCCTGCAAGCACTTGAGGGCGGCTACGGACAAAGCGAGACAAAACAAATACACTACTACTAGCTACGGACACTATCTCTTCAGCCGCTGGGGCGGTGCTTCGCCGTTCAGGGTCAGCCGATGTGATTAGCGTGGGCATTAATCGGTGGTGCCGAGTATGCATGCGATCCCCGATTGGGAAGCGGGAGGGACGAGGCAGGACGGTCGTGACCAGACCCGAGCGGGCGGAAAATTTCACTGGTAGGCGAGGGGTCAGATGATCGCCAGCAACCTCCGGGAGACGATCAGACGACATCGGACGGGGTAAACCGGTCGAATCGTGGGCGTGGTCCGGGTGCCCAGCTTTCGCTTCTCGGATGCCCTGCCCCCATTAGTGTCGGAGAGGTTTAGCAAGCATTAAGCGGCTATAAAAAAGTGAGGGGAGTTACGAGCGGGTTAGGGCACCAACCCCCTCCTCGCGCTTGTTGGGGTGGGGCCAGAAGCTATGCTTATCCCCCACACCTGCTTGCAGAGAGGATTGCCGCCGCCATTCGCGTGGTAAAAATGTAGCGCTCCTATTGCCGGAACCCCGACGTCATCATACGGCGTAGAAATGCTACACAGTTAGAGTTCAGGAGTGTACTATGACCGCGCCCGTCATGTTTGACGCCGCCAACGCGGGCCACCCCCTCCTTTAGTTATCCACTCTGGAAACCAACTCGGGGACACTACTGTAGTTTCCACCCCCCCATCTAGTGCTCTGGGGCTCCCATAGTCGGCGGCGATCTGTGGTGATTCGATCCTCTGCGGGTGCGCCCACCGCCAGGACCAACTCGCACTTTTTTGTCCCTACAAAAAACCTGTTCATCTTCACTAGCCATCACTATGTTGCGTATGTTACAATCTGGTCTTTCGGTCATCGCGGGGACGGCCGAACCCGAGTACGGGCGGGAGGCGATTCACACCGTCACCGATCTGGTGGTGGCGGACTCGTTGCCCGTGTACCGCGAGACCACCGTGGCTGACTTTGAATGGCAAAAGCCTGGCTACACCAACGTCGAAACCCAGACGTTCTACTTTGTTGACTTGAAGCAAAACATCCAGGGGTTTGCCCAAGTGATCCACTCCAATGTCATGGGGGTCCACACCACCGCCGCCTTCACATTTAAGTTTTTCCCCATCGATAAGCCCGAAGAACAAATCTGGACCCAAACCACGTTGGAAAACTTCCGTGCCGAAGGGCCCAATTTCTACGCCGACAACTTGAGCATCGAGATCTCCGGCGACGACACCTATACCATCAAGAGTCACGTCAACGATGACCTGATTGTCGAACTTGAAGTCAAGCGCATGACTCCCGGGGTGATCTTTGGCAAGGACGGTATGACTTTGTACGGTGACGACAAGGCTAACCCTTGGGGGTCGATGCGCCATTTGTTCTGGCCTCGTTGTTCGGTTAAGGGGACGATCAAGCTGGCGGCGAAGAAGCAGTCGTGGACCATCGACGGTTTTACCATGTTTGTCATGGCCATCCAGGGGATGAAGCCCCACCACGCCGCCAAGTCGTGGAACTTCTTGAACTTCCAATCGGAGAACTTCGCCGCGGTGCAAATGGAATTCACCACTCCGCGGTCGTACGCCACCACTAAGGTCAACATTGGTTTGATCACTGATAACGAGAAGATCATCACCGCCACAATCAACAACGAAGTGGTGCACAAAGATCCCGTGGTTGACGAGGTGGGCTGGCCCGTGCCCAAGGAAATCGAGTTCAAGTACTTGAAGGACAAAAAGGAAGAAGCCCCCGCCGAAGACGACGTGGTGATTGCCACCTGTAGCGGTAAGTTGGACTCGTTAGTTGAACGAGTCGACGTCATGGCCGAAATCCCCCAGTTTGTCAAGAACATCGTCTCGGGGGTGGCTGGGGCCAAGCCTTACATCTACCAATTTTGCAACGAGTTTGAAATCGACGTCGATGGCAAACAAGAAAAGGGCATTTCTTTCAACGAAGTGACCTTCATTTCGGAATAGTGCCGAGTCTTATGTGTTTATGTCAATCACTGTATCGTATAATTAATAATCGTCATGTTCCTAATCCTGCGTCGACGCGTCCGTTTACTTTAAAAGAACCATGAGACTCGATCTTGTAATGTTTCCAAAGGTGCGAAATATTGCCTACTTTTCACCAAACCAGAAATCTAGAGTGCAAATAGCTCCACAAACTGCTTAGTATATTTCAGTGAAATTTGAAAATTTCCTGTAGGTCAAAACAAGCAAATGCCATCGTGTTATAACCAGTACCTCTCGACAGTTCAAATGCATCACAACTGCTGCTCACGTCTCATCTCTTCGCTGTCAATCTGCTTCGCCCGCACTGCATTATTTTCGGCTCGCTCGCTTCCCCTCTTATCTAAATCGCTCCAGTCGCGCGATCCGGACTGCCATCCTCGACCAAAACCAACTGCCAGCATTCGGAGCTTTCCCCCATTTTGATTTGCCAATAACAAATTGAAAGCATGGCACCGCAAATGAAAGGGCTCACCCAGTTCATTGCTGATCTACGCAATGCTAAAGATACTGAGGAAGAGCAGCGGCGAATCAATTTGGAGATCAACAATATCCACTCAAAGTTCCTGGGGAAAGTCAACCTGTATGATCGCAAGAAGTATCTCTGCAAATTGATGTACATTTACTTGTTGGGTTACACTGATCAGGTGGATGTGGGTGTGCGTGAGCTGTTCCAACTCTTGCTGCTGTCTAACTACTCGGAGAAGCAGTTGGGTTACCTCGCCGTCCAAGTGCTCCAGCCTTATCGTCAGGGTCGGGTCAAGGATTTCTTGGTGACCCAAATGGAGCAAATGCATCTGATCTTACTACGCGACCTCAAGCTGGACCTGGAGCCGATCAACTGCCTCGCCATCAACCATATCGCTCTGCATTACCGCGTCAATGATGGTACTACCATTGGACAGAATGATGACACTGCTCCTCTTTGGCAGGAGTTGGTTGATATAATCTATCTGTATTGCACCCTGCCGATATCAACTCCCATCATCAAATCAAAAGCGGCCCTCGCCCTCAACTCTTTGTTGAAGGTGTTCCCAGGGTTACAAAATAATTGGATCCCACGGTTACTCACGCTATTGGACAACCCCGACATAAATGTGATGACGTCCTCTATCCCCCTCGTTGAAATGCTTATTACTCAGGAGCCGCGTTACATCCGCCTGATACTCCCTCTGATTTCACGTCGGTTATACGCCATTATCGTCGAGCAAAAATGCCCAGAAGACTTCTTTTACTATAACACTCCTGCACCATGGCTAGTAATCAAATTACTTCAATTGTTGGAGCGGCTATTCGTGTCGCAAAAGCCTGACGGAACGCCCATGTTGTCTATCGTGGACTTTGACCATACAGTTCTCGGTGAGTTACGTGCCATCGTTGCTCAACTGATTCAAAACGCTGGACAACCTGCTCGCGGACTTCCGAATCGCAATTCACAACTGGCAATCTTATTCCAACTGGTTCTGTTGGCGGTATTCTTAGATGCACTGCCAGACGCAATTGATGGAGCAGTGGCTGCATTGTTAGGGCTTATAGACAGCCAAGACACCAACACCAAATACTTGGCTATTGATGCTCTTATTAAATTGACTCGAAGACTGACGGGTTTAGAATCACGATTCGACTCGCGCATGCCGCAAATCTTCCAGCTTCTATATGATAAAGACGTTCTGGTACGACGCAAAGCCTTGGATCTTATTTGCACTGTGTGTCATGCTGAAACTGCGCCCAACATCGTTGGCAAATTGCTCGATTATTTCCCGTATGGCGACTTCTCCATTAAACAAGAGTTGGCATTAAAAATCGCCGTGGTTGCGGAAACCTTCGCTACAGATACTACGTGGTATGTATCCACCATGTTACGTCTTCTTCTGATTGGTGGGGGTTACAATGCCAATGGTAACTCCTTCATAAGTCATGAAGTTTGGGAACGTATTGTTCAAATTGTTGTCAACAACGAAGAGCTCCAACCGAAGACAACTAAGTTGGTGGTTTCGCTCCTCAAAAACCCCATTACCCGTACCAACACTGACCCCAAAAAGGCCCCGCCTCCCCCTACTGGTACCCCTGAGAGTTTGGTTAAGGTGGCGGCAGTGGTGCTTGGTGAATTTTGCAACACAGTAGATCCCGAGCAGCTGTTCCGAGTGTTATACGATCACTACTTCAAAGTTAGCCTTGTTACCCGAGCCATGCTTCTTACAACATTCCTCAAGTACTTGGTAAAGTTTCCTGATGCCGACTTTATTGCTGATATTGTTGATTTGTTCGAGGTGGAGACGATGCTGTTGGACTTAGAAATTCAAACGAGAGCCCACGAGTACTTGATGCTTGCAACACAGCCCCTGCAGGAATTCAAACGTCACGTCGTCCGCCCGCTTCCAGTGTTTGTACAAGAGGAAAGTCCCTTATACAAGCGTCTCGGATTAGACGCTCGTCGTCCTGGGGCACGTGCAAACGCTGTTGCCGCCGCTGCCGCTCGTGGCGCCGTCGAAGCACCTAACAATGTCGTTAATTCCGGATTAACTCCGGGTTGGCAAGCCGGTTACAGCCGTATGCTCCACTACGACGCCGGTATCTTCTTTGAAAACCAACTCGTCAAAATTCTTTACCGCATTGTCAAAGACCATCATCAAATTACCTACAAGTTCTCGGTGATTAACAACGCGGGAAAGCTGGCTAATACCGTTATCAACGGATTTACATTACTTCTGATCGACCCTCAGTGCGACAATATCAACCCACTGTATGTGATAACCACGACTGAACTGCCTGACGCTACTATTTCCACGAAGACACTGATGGAACATGTTGTCAAAATCCGCCACATTGTCGAAAACAACCAGCTGCCAAGAATGACCATTACCTTCACCTGTGGTGGCTCGTTCAATCAACTTAATCTCAAGATTCCGGTGACACTATTGAGACTGTTGAGTCTGGGTGGAATGCAAATTTCCCTAGACGAATTCAATATCCGATGGTCTCAAATTGGTAGTCAGCTTGGGCCCGATGCTGGAGAGCGTGTCACCGAGGCAACCATCCCTCATCGATGCAATCTGTCTAACATTGTACGGCTTTTGACTCGTCTAGGGTTTGCGGTGGTACAGGGGCTGCCCGATGACGCCATGCCCATCGAGGTATACGGAGCAGGGATCCTTAACACCCTGCTGTCAAATTATGGTCTATTGTGCAAACTCACCCTGATAGGCGTTGATGGGAAGACGTTTAGAATCGCCGTCCGTTGTACAGGAGGTGGGGTTGCCGAAATTATCGCCGATAGTTTACGAGAAGTGTTGATGGCACAGTAGCACACAAATGCAAGTTCGAAGTAATCCGATGTAGTCGTCAGTCGCCAACGCTGCATAGTACGCGTGGAAATTTTGCAATTACGGTTGGGAATTGTTTTTCAGACCTTCCATCTATCGCGGAGACGGAAAAAAGCGATCTACCGGTTCCGCGCTACACTCTGTGCCACGTTGCTAGGTAAGGGGCTGTGGGACAACGCATAGACGCGAACACAAACACACGGAGGGGCGGAAGCTTTTCTTCACCCGAACCCGCATTTGAGACATATTGCCCACGCCACACAACTTGCAATTGCCAATTTGCGAGCTAAACGTAGAACGTGTGACCATATCCGATATTGCTGTCGAATGGAAACATCATTCGTTTGTAATTTCTATTGTTTGCACGTGGCGACAAATATTGTTTTCAATCTTGCTCGCAGAGCGAATTCTTCAGAATACGATGAGAAAGCGTGAATCTCACCCCCCAAAAAAAAGCGCCAGTAGTTGTACGAGACTCGCTTCGGATATATCGTTTAGCAGTGCAGTGGAACGAAACATTTTTTTAGGTCAAGCACACATCAACTGGTAGCATACGTAAGCGGTTAAAGTTAAACGAGGCCTGATGAGTCATCATAAGAACAATATATCTTGCTTTTAGATTCGGAACTTACCCAAATACGATTCCCCAGCTGCACACCGCCGAATTTAGTAACCTCCGGGGTATGGGGTTTCACTCCACAACATGAAAAAAATCGCGGGAATCGCCCCATGGGGTGTTGTGCTTTGATTTTATATTTTCTAGTGGGGTGAAGAGCGGATACAGGGTAGTACAACCTGCTAGCTATCATCTGACTCCTGGGTGGATTTGACATCGTGTAATCAGCGAACAATTGTGACAGGCTCGTTTGATCTTTTGTCAGCATCGATAAAGCATGGCATCATCGGGGGCGGAAGCGAAAAATTTCCGGGTTCCGAAAAAAATGCTTAGCGCGAGAGAAGATTGCAGGGTTCTTACCAACCCAGGACGTTAAATTAACAGAAGAACATGTTTCGGACGATGTGAACGTTCTCGGATTCCATTACGATTCTTTTTCGTGCAATCTTCTCTCTGGAGGGAGTTTCATAAATCTTTTAACCCTCGTACGGCTTGAACTATCTGTATTCCGATTATATCAGTGTTTACATAAACATGATTTTTTTCTTTCCTAATGCACCGCCTTATTCACAAACACATATATACTTGGCGTACGCCGCTGAAAACGTAATCGCTTCTTATGAGTTCCTCCAGCGACCATGACCTTGAAAAGGGTCACCTGGGGCTCACGAATGAGAATGACGTGTCAAACCTGGACGATAACTCGATCAACGAGTACAAAGGGTTTGATGAGCATACGAGCAAGGATATCCAGGAGCTTGCCAGAACCTTCACCAATGACCTGATCGGCAAGTTGGACTCCCGCGCCACTTCAATTGGCCTTCGCAAGTACTTGTCTCACATGTCGGCAGTTCCTGGTGTCCTGCCGTATAAGCAAGACGAGGTTGAAGATTCGTTGAACCCTGACTCCGAAAACTTCGATGCCAAGTTTTGGGTGAAGAACATGCGGAAATTGATGGACCTGGACCCCGACTTTTACAAGCCGTCCAAGCTTGGTATCGCCTACCGTGATTTGCGTGCGTACGGGGTTGCTGCCGACTCCGACTACCAACCTACCGTCGATAACGCCCTCTTCAAGTACGCTGCTGAAGGTGCGCGCATGTTGCAAAAGAAGGATGAACTGCGGTACTTCGACATTTTGAAGTCTATGGATGCCATGATGTGCCCCGGTGAAGTGACTGTCGTCTTGGGCAGACCCGGTGCTGGTTGCTCTACTCTCCTCAAAACCATTGCCGCTCACACTTACGGGTTCCATGTTGCTCCTGAATCGAAGATCTCCTACGATGGCATCACGCCTAAGGAGATTGAGAAGCATTTCCGGGGTGACGTGATTTACTCCGCCGAAACCGATACCCACTTTCCTCACTTGTCGGTCGGTGATACACTTGATTTCGCTGCCCGCTTGCGGACCCCTCAAAATCGTCCCGAAGGCGTCACTCGTGAAGAGTACGCCAAGCACATGGCGCTGGTATACATGGCGACTTATGGTTTGTCGCATACCCGCAATACTTGTGTGGGTAACGATTTCGTTCGTGGTGTTTCTGGTGGTGAACGTAAGCGTGTGTCTATCGCTGAAGCCTCGTTGTCCGGTGCTAACTTGCAATGTTGGGATAACGCTACCCGTGGTTTGGATGCTGCCACTGCTCTCGAGTTCATCCGGGCTCTTAAGACCTCCGCCGCTATCTTGGAACTGACGCCGTTGATCGCCATCTATCAATGTTCGCAAGAAGCTTACGACTTGTTCGACAATGTTGTCGTCTTGTACGAAGGTTACCAGATTTTCTTCGGTCGTGCTGATAAAGCTAAGCAGTTTTTCTTGGACCAAGGTTGGGATTGCCCTCAACGTCAAACAACCGCTGACTTCTTGACATCGTTGACAAACCCTGCTGAACGTACTCCTCGTCCTGGCTTTGAAAACAAGGTGCCTAAGACTCCTCAGGAATTTGAAGCTTACTGGCGCAACTCTCCCGAATACAAGCTGTTGATCCTGAAGATTGATACCCACATGGCTACTGTTGCCCAAGAAAACAACTCCGAGCGTTATCACGAATCTCACGTTGCCCGCCAATCGAAGCACTTGTCGCCTAAGTCGCCCTACACCGTGTCATTCTTTATGCAGATCCGGTATCTCGTTGCCCGGAATTTCTTGCGGATGAAGGGTGATCCTTCGGTTCCCATTTTCTCGGTTGTTGGTCAAGTGGTCATGTCCTTAATTTTGTCTTCGGTGTTCTACAACTTGGACCAGACAACTAATTCATTTTACCAGAGAGGTGCTGCTATGTTCTTCGCTGTGTTGTATAACGCCTTTGCATCGTTGTTGGAAATCATGTCCTTGTTTGAAGCCCGCCCCATTGTTGAAAAGCACAAGAAGTATGCCCTTTATCGGCCATCTGCTGATGCGTTGGCATCGATCATTTCTGAACTTCCAGTCAAGTTTGTGATGTCTGTCGGTTTTAATTTCGTGTTCTACTTCATGGTCAACTTCCGTCGTAACCCGGGGAGATTTTTCTTTTACTGGTTGTTGTGTTTCTCGTGTACTTTGGTTATGTCCCATTTATTCCGTCTGATTGGTGCCGTTTGTACTTCACTTCCTCAAGCCATGACCCCTGCTACTGTACTTTTGTTGGCCATGGTTATCTTCACTGGTTTTGTCATTCCTTTCCCGTCGATGTTGGGTTGGTCGAAGTGGATCTACTGGATCAATCCTGTCCAGTATGTCTTCGAGGCTCTTATGTGCAACGAATTCCACAACAGACAGTTTAAGTGTGCCCAGTGGGTTCCGTCGCCCTTGGTCGACTCCAAGTACGCCAATTTGCGTCCCAATGAAATGGTTTGTGCCGCCGTTGGTTCCGAACCTGGTCAAGAATATGTCCAGGGTACCAAATACTTGGCTGTGGCTTACCGTTATTCCAATGGTCACAAGTGGAGAAACTGGGGTATCACTGTTGGGTTCATTGTCTTCTTCTTGTTTGTGTACATCTCCTTGACCGAATTCAACAAGGGCGCTATGCAAAAGGGTGAAATCACTTTGTTCTTGAGAGGCCACATCCGCAAGCTCAAGAAGCAAGCTAAAAAGGCCAACGTTGACATGGAAACTGGTACTGAAAAGGCTGCCGTTCGCGACGTCATTGAAGCCGAAGCTTACGAAAAGGGAAATGAAAAGGCCAGTGATTACATGGAGAAGCACCAAGAAGAGCATAAGGACATTTTCCACTGGCGCGATCTTACTTACCAAGTTAAGATCAAGAAGGAAGACCGTGTTATTTTGGACCACGTTGATGGCTGGGTGAAGCCTGGTCAGTTGACTGCCTTGATGGGGGCCTCCGGTGCTGGCAAGACTACCTTACTCAATTGTTTGTCAGAAAGAGTTAGCTCTGGGGTTGTCACCGATGGTGTGCGTATGGTTAACGGTCATCCTTTGGACAGTTCTTTCCAAAGATCCATCGGTTACGCCCAACAACAAGATTTGCACTTGCCTAAAGCTACCGTTAGAGAAGCTTTGAGATTCTCGGCTTACCTTCGTCAACCTCGTCATGTTAGCAAGGCTGAAAAGGATGCTTATGTCGAATACGTCATTGACTTGTTGGAAATGAGACTTTATGCCGAAGCCCTTGTTGGTTTTCAAGGTGAAGGTTTGAACGTTGAGCAGCGTAAGCGTTTGACTATTGGTGTTGAACTTGCTGCTAAGCCTAAGGTGTTGTTGTTTTTGGATGAACCCACTTCCGGTTTGGATTCTCAAACTGCGTGGTCTATCTGTAAGTTGATGCGGAAACTCTGCGACCATGGTCAAGCTATTTTGTGTACTATCCACCAGCCCTCGGCTTTACTTATGCAAGAATTCGATCGGTTGTTGTTCATGCAAAAGGGTGGTAAGACGTGTTACTTCGGTGATCTTGGTGAAAACTCTTCAACTTTGATTAACTACTTTGAACTGCATGGTGCTCATAAGTGTCCCCCTCAAGCCAACCCCGCTGACTGGATGTTGGAAGTTGTCGGTGCCGCCCCCGGTTCTAAGGCTAATCAGGACTACCACGAAGTTTGGAAGAACTCGGAAGAATACAAGGCTGTGCGTGCTGAACTCAATGATATGGAAACTAGACTTGGTGCTATCCCTAAGGAAGAGGACCCTGATGCTAACAAGAAGTATGCTGCTCCTCTTTGGAAGCAATATTGTCTTGTGACTTGGAGAACTTTGCTTTCTGACTGGCGTTCACCTGGTTACATCTACTCCAAGGCGTTCTTGGTGGTGTCTTCTGCGATTTTCAACGGTTTTGCTTTCTTTAAGGCTGATACTTCAATGCAAGGTCTTCAAAACCAGATGTTCTCGGTCTTCATGTCGTTTATTCCTTTCAACACCATGGTGCAACAAATGTTGCCTTACTTTGTTCAGAACCGTGAAGTCTACGAAGTTAGAGAAGCTCCATCGCGTACCTTCTCGTGGTTTGCATTCATGGCTGCTCAAATATCGTCGGAAATCCCGTTCCAGTTTGTTCTTGGTGTCTTAGCTTACTTGTGTTGGTACTACCCAGTCGGCTTGTACCGTAACGCTGAACCGACTGACGCCGTCCATGAACGTGGTGCCTTGGTCTGGTTGTTAATGACTACCTTTTATGTCTACACTACGACCATGGGCCACTTGTGCATTTCATTCATCGAAATTGCTGAGAACGCTGCTAACTTGGCCGTGATGTTGTTTACCATGTGTCTTACCTTCTGCGGTGTTTTGGCTGGTCCTGATGTTTTACCAGGCTTCTGGATTTTCATGTACCGGTGCAACCCTTTCACTTACCTTATCCAAGGTATTTTGGCAGGTTCGCTCGCTAACACCAAGGTTGTTTGTGCCACCAGAGAACTTGTCCAATTTTTCCCTCCTGACGGTCAAACCTGTGGTCAATTCATGGAAGCCTACATTTCCAAGGCAGGTGGCTACCTTACCGACCCTAACACTACTGGCGAATGTAACTTCTGCCAAATGGCGTCGACCAACGCTTTCTTGACGCAGGTGAACATCAAGTACAGCGAAAGATGGCGTAACTTTGGTTTGGTTTGGTGTTTCGTTGCCTTTAACATTTTAGCTGCTATCTTCCTTTACTGGCTTGCCAGAGTGCCTAAGGGTAACAGAGAAAAGAAGAAGAAGGCCTAAATTTGATATCTTTATAATTAACCAAATAATATAAACTAATTATGGGATAACATGTAGCAGAAGTCAAAAGTTTGCATTTCCCACAAGATTTGAAACTGGATGTGCTTTGTATGGCGCTAATACGAAGTGAATGGTCGTTCCCATCCAAGAGAAATATAACAAATTCCTCATTGAATGAAGAAATCAAGGTGATTGTATAACAATTTGCACAAAGGATGACATGATGGATAGGTGCAATGTTCCTTTAAGTTCTATGTATCAGCGGTCCAGCCGATATTATTCATCTAGAAAGATTTGCACTCATACTTTACTAGCGTCATTTTCTCATCTAATTATACGCAACGGATATTGAACTATAAACCTCAATAAGTGCTTTGATGACGCTGAAATGCTCTATAATATGAAGTATCAGTAGACGCCGGCATTACGAGACGGCTTTTCACACTCAGACTCAAATTTTAAATCATGATCGTTCCAAAATTTACCCAGATAACCTTCTGGAAAACTTTTGTAAGTAAGGTCCCTTGGCCCAGTTGGTTAAGGCGTGGTGCTAATAACGCCAAGATCAGCGGTTCGATCCCGCTAGGGACCATTTTTGCTTTTGCATCACTCACGACATTGAAGATTCAAAAACATAATTTTTTGTTTGCAAACAGTCTAATTACAAAATTCATTTGAAGATTGACACCGGGCTCGTCAAGGTATCTTGACGTGATTCATCTCAACGGAGAACTTCATGAAGATAATGCGGATCTGCTGGACAGGGGAACTTCAGCCTGATACCGATTAAACATTAGAGGTGATACCAAGACGGGGCTTGCATTCAAGCTGCACGGTGCCTACGCTTTGAATAAACATTATTATGCCATTATATGCTATGTCATATCTCTTCATGGAATCTAGATTGAGAATTGTTAGAACCATTGAGATTACCAAAAACAGAATGTTGTTGCCTGGGCGGCGTGGTAATGAGGTCGTCGTCGTAGTCGTTGAAGTCGAAGTCGTCATCGGTTGTGGAGTCACGGGGGTCTTCGAAGAGATATTTATTGGAATCTCTTGAAGTACTCTTGGTACTGGGTCCTCTAAACACCAGGTCCAAGTTCAGATTGGCCACACCCCGATAGACGTACTCATCATCCTCGGGGTAGGGAGGATTGCTGTGACCATTGCCATAACCAGATGCAGAAGCAGATGCCGCAGCAGGGCGGTACAGATTGCTAGCGCCCCGCGAAAATCCAGCAGCCCCATAGCCGCCGGCAGCTACCGAGTCTGTGTAGCCATGTTCCATATCGGCGTCTTCTGGATTGCTGAATAACTTTTTAAATCCCTTCTCTTCGAGAGACAGAGAGTCGTGGAAATCGGGCAGCTGGTTGGCAACACGATTACGACGACGCTTGAGGATGATGAACAATACCACACACAAACCAATGACCAATACACCACCAATCAGACCAACCAAACCACCAATGAGTTTGGCGTTTCGCAGAGAAGTGCTATGTTGCAGGTCGTTAGTGGTGGACAGCGGAAGTGACACCACTTGCACCACAGTGGAATCGGGCGAGATGATTGTCAGCGTGTAAGCCTTGTTTCCTGTCATACTAGTAGTGGTGGGGCCAGTGAGAGGGGCTTCAGTGGTAGACGAGGTGTCGTCAGTAGACGTCAGTGTGATTGTATCGCTGGACTCAGAGGTTTCGGAAGTAACCTCCTCCGACGTCTGCGACGATTCAGTGGTCTCCGACTGTGAGGAACTTTCGGTCGTGGAAATAACTGATGATGAAGAGTGAGTCAGTGAAGATTCGAAAGTCGACCGTGTTGAAGTGGTTTCGCTTGAGAAGGAGCTTTCGACCAGCGACGTTACTGATTGAGAGGATGATTCCTCAAACAGGGATGACGGCTCCTCGGAAGAGAACAGCAGGAATTCTTCACTCAGAGACAGCGGTTCTGCAGAGGAAGATTCCTGAACCAGGGACAGCTCGATCAGCGACGACTCCACTTCCAGTGACAGGAACACTTCAGTCACCGATGTATCCAGGGTCGCCAGAGACAGTTCCTGTGTCAGCGACTCAAAAGAGCTTGTCGTGGGATCCGAAGTCAGTTGCTCGCTTGATGTAGGCTCTGATGTTACCAGTGGTGACGGGGTTGAAGTATCAAACGTTTCGCTGGACGGAAAGCTGGTCTCGGATGGCGAGGGAGTGGGAGTTGATATCAGAGGCAGAGGCAGTGGAGTGGGCGACACTTCACTCAGGGTTGGCGTCGTTGGTGTCAGAGGCAGGGGCGTCTCCGACGGTGACGGCGATTCCAACAGGGTTGTCGTTGGCAGATTGGTGAACAGGGGAGTATCCGCAGTGGACTCAGACATCGTTGTGGATGGCGTCGGCAGGGGATCTGACAGGAAAGGAGTGGAAGGGGTTGGGGTCAGCTCGGAAGGAGGCGTCGACGGGGTTGGCGTTGGGGACAGCACTTCGGAAGTCTGCGAGTTAGAAAATGAGCGTGAAGTAGTTGGCGTGGGGGCAGACAGCGCTGTAGGGGTTTGCGGTGTCGACAGCACGCTGGAAGGGTCTGACGTAGGTACTAGCGAATCGCTTGACGGCTCAGCTAGCGATGATGGCGAATCGTCCGGGGGGGTGGCCAAGTCAGAGGTGTCAAACCTTTGACTGGGCGATGAAAATGAAGTGACGGACCCGGGGTCGTTGCCGGTGCTCGGGGATTCGTTTGTGGTGGTGGTGGGGGCCTCAGACGGTTGTTGGGACTCGGTGACGGTGGGAGCCCTTTTTGATGTTTCGTCGGGGGAGGTGGGGAGTAATGTACCGGTTGATGGGGTGGCGAGGGGAAATGACTGATTCGAATCGGGTGATGCTAAATTTGTCGCCATTTTTTTTTTTATTTGGGTCAATATTGGGGCCTGTGGCTGTGTGCAGGAAAGGGCACGGCAGTCGTCAACCCTATGAAATTCGACAGATGGTGGATAAAAAAAATGAGGTTGGGCAGCTCGGCAACCAGTCCAGCAACCGCGGACATGCTCTAGGTTTTATCAATGCTTGAATTTAAATCGTGCAGGCGCACAGGTTGTCAATTGTAGTGAGTCGAGTTCGCTAGCTGTCCCAGTGGTTTCTTAATTTAAAAGTATGGCTAAAGCACGGTGCCTGTGAGAAAACGTAATTATGCATGAAATTTCCGAATAAGGTGAGGGCGGTGCAGGCACGACATTGCTATCTCGAATCTTAACTCGTGGGGTGACCCTCGTGTCAAAGTCTAATTAATGAGGTTTTACTAGACACCACCCTCATGATATTTTCGGCTTCAAAAGGTACCAACATCTGTTCCTTGCCGACTCAAACGTTAGGACAGCTCATCTCTTTTGACGCGTGTCGGCTGTAGTACCGCCTTCGATGCTCGATGTTCCCACTACAGTCAGCAACGCAAGGGGGAAAAATATTTGATCGCAAAGCCGCGAACCCATACCCTTCCCGATGCTCGAGACATTGATACACCAAAGATCCATCAGCATGCTTATGAAATGCAGAGAAGGTAGTTTTATGGTGGGTGCGTTATAGCGACTCAACCTTCACTAAGTAATGGCCAGGGCGGTCAAGCCCAATGACATCGAACAAGCATAGATATGTGCCCCCTATTTAGTAGCCAATTCGCTCACTGGCTCGCAAACTGAGCTTGGCATATGTGCCCCGTGACCATCCTCACTCACCATTGCCACGGGTTTAGTTTTTCACAAAGACGGGGAAGCTGTGAACTACAACCAAACCGGGAAATTACATGCATACAGCCTCACCTGAGAAATTGTTATCGGAGGTGTCGAAGCAATGTAAGAGAGCCCACAATTATGGCGACAATTTATCACAAGTTACGCTCTACTAGAGCCACTACAGTAAACTGAGTATGTTTTAGTGATGACTCGTCCCAACCACGGGCAATCCAATGCCAAGGATGACGTGTTTGAGTCTGTGGAATGTGGTTGTTACCAATGGTGAAATTTCCTCGTATTCAGTAACATCGCAACTGGTCAATCTCCGTGGCGTTTGTGGATTTATTCGTACAGTTAAAATAGCAAACTCTGATGTCGCCGATTTCAAGGGCCTTGCATAATCACTAGCAATTCCCGAAGTGAGACAAAAAAAAAAGAACCCCTTTGATTCAAAAGATTACTTACATTAATCATTAATATTAATGTGGGGAACATCTCCCACGATCATAAAAAACTTAATCATTAGCCAGAAATTTTGTTTTATCGATTAGCGCTTCGCCATACGCTTAATCATCCAATCCTTGAAGGCAAATACCGCCATCTCCCATGCCATCAACAAGGTCACCAATCCCAACGACACGTTCAAGATGAACATTGTCGTCCACCCGTGCCATTCGAAAGCGTAAATGATGGGATCTGTCAGTTCCATGAAGATCGCACCTCCCAATAAGAGGCAGAATGACAGGATCACCTCCGTGAACGGTCTGGTCGGGTTGGTCAACGACGTGTTCTTGGGCATGAGCATCATTAATAAGTACAGCGCCCCGCGGAAGAAGCACCCGTAGAGGAATAAGTTACCCCACAAAGTGTGGATCTCCGTAGACAAAGACAGCGCCTGGGCGTGCTTCAGCATGAGTACCCCAGTCCAGAAAATAGTGAGTACGGGGAACGGGTTAGGAGAATACCCTGGCAGCGCCTTTACCGCATGCGCGTCCAACTCCGCCACATCGGCGACATCGGGGTTGGCGATGGCATAAGCCCGCGCATCGGTGGTTGCGCGTTCACGACGCCACTTGGAGAGCTTAGCCTCACAGATGAGACCACCGAAACCGCAACCAATGTAAATGAAGGCAATCAGAGCGTGCTGCAAGTCCTTAGACGTCCAGGCACCGCCAGCACCAGCCAAGTGTTCCAAGAAGATGTTGGAGCAGCCGTAGATGGAAATTAAAAGCAGCTCAACAAACTCCATGGAGAAGGTGCCGGTGGGTTGGCGTTCGTCGGCCTTCAGCCCCACGCGCCGGATGAACTTGTGGTTCCACGCCCAGCCCTTGTTGGAGAACGCACCCATGTACCGGGCCAACGTCACGAGACCATAGGTGAAAAAAATACCCCCCTTGATGAAGTGAGCCAACATGTTGAACACAGCCTTACCCTTGCCAAACTCGCCCAACACCGCAATGGCGGTGGGCACGAGCGCGAGGAAAAAGGCAAAGTTACCCCAGTTGAGGATGTTGAACACAATCAGCGACACAATGTACAACGAGTTCAGCACCCGTTGGAACATGGGGAGCTTGTACACCTTGGCGAAGGGGTTGCGGCTGGGCCCGTTGAACACCTTCATTTGCTGTTCGGTCAATTCAAACAGCAGCAGACTGCTCAGCTCATCGGGACGCAGCAGCGTCAGCTCGCGGTCGCTCAAGTCACGAAGGGGTTCGCCTTCTTCAATGTCGAAGTACTGGTCGACACGAGCATAGTCAGAGTTGGCGCCGGTCAAATATTGGGTGCCGTAGTACACGGTGGCCGCGACGTATTGCGCCACGGTGGTAAAGAAAAGCACCCACAACATCGTGCCGTACTTGTTGCCGGGGTACAAGTCGGGGACCAGGTTGATGAAAATCAGGTAGTTGAACAACAGCAAAAGCACGGCGGCAGTGTGGACGGTCAACACCGGCATGTACCATGACAGGCCGACGTTTTTAAGCACAAGAGCGATGGGGTAGATGAAGATGAACGAGAGAAGTCCCACGATGACGTGGACCCAGAGCGCCGCCCGATGGTTCAGCGGGGCGTTGAAATAAGTCTCGGTGTCGTAGTTTTCCCACCACTGGCGCTCCAACGGGTCCAACTTGGTATCGAGAATGGGGACGCCGTGGGCGTGATGCATCAAATGAGGGGTGGGCTGGGTCATGTTCATGTTCATGGCGTGGTCGTCGGTGGCGGTGGCGGGGGATTGAGTCCCCGAGGGTGCTACCGCCATATCCATGCCGTCCTCATCGTGACCTTCGTGCCGGGGTTCAAGCGCCGTTGCTACTGCGAGGGGTATCGTCGCCAACGACGCAATTGCAACGAACTTCATTGTTTGCAGATGGGTTCGAAAGTAAGCGGGGGGTGCGGTATAGGTGGTGGTGAATTAATTTTCGACGTCTGGTCGAGCCGGGGGGTGAGCCGGTTTATGTAAGGGTTGCTCTTGCAAAGCCGGGATTGCCTGTGCCTATGCGTCTCCTGCATGGAGCCCAACCAAACCAAAACATATACTGCGATGACGGGAAAAAAAATACCTCGTCGGGGGCTGACTAAGAAGTGTAATCATGCCGGGGATTGGTCATGGGCCCAACTCTGTGGCTAGTACGGCAGATCCTGGCTCTGGGATAAGCGCTGTCGTCTAGGCAACGACGATGGTAGCAAGCCCTTCCAGCCCCATTGTGGCGTGGTTGTCATAGGAATTCTACTTTCGCATGCGACTATTGGCCGATCGGCACCGGAGGTTACCAGAGGTTCCGACACCTCACGTACACACCCGCCGTGTGTAGGGCTTTGCTGCGGGATTTGGTCTAGGCTAAATCTGTCACCGTGGGAGGGTCGTCGGTGCCGCCGGCCGGACACTGCGAGTGGGCTGACGCTCCGCTGGCGCCACCGCCGATGGTTGCTGATGTCGGGGCTTGCCCCCCTGGCTTCCCCGGGGTCCCGCTACCGTCGCGGCTACAACGTTTGCTAGGTCATCTCGACCCAATTCGCCACATTTACCTTGCAGGATTACACAAAGGGGGCCCGATTGTGTCCCTACAAGGGCTACACATGCTCCCGACGGAAGCGGTTGCTCAGGGGAAATAGGGGTTTTTTTTTCTGATAGCGTACGGCGGGGAGGGGAGGTCAGTCTACCTTTGCTTAGCCGGGCCATAATGCCACTTGCTCGCAGGCTACCGTATTATCCGTGCGCACGTCATGATCACATGGACATACTCGGTTCGGTGAGGTTGCGAACGCCCCAGCTGCCCAGCGGCTGAGGGTGGTGGTTGACCACAAGATCGAGGAAAAAATCGGTGGCAATTACACCTGGTAGTTTCTTTTTCCTCTAGTGGGGCAAATGAGCAAATTTCCCCCGTCAAAACGCTGACAGCCGACGACGACAAGGCGGTGCCGTCAACTTCTTTTCCGGTAAAATGCGCTCGCACGCAGTCATCCAATCGGCACCACCGGTTGGGGTAATTACTAGATTACTAGATGCGTCATTGTTTACCAGACACCTTAGTCGCACATGAGACCCACCGTACACCAAAGCCCATCACAAATACGTAACCTGGCTATAACCCCGGGAATACATTACCACGCCGCATCCTCGCCGCTACAGCCCTACGCCCACTACTTGGAAACCAGGTTGCCCCCTCCGCCACGAAATTGCTGGTGTGACCGGAGTTTCAAGCAATCCTTTTGCCGGTGCCAAGAGAAGGATGATGCACACAGCCCCCGAGGCATTTCCTTAGCCATATTTCTACCTAATCCGCATGAAGTCGCTACTGCGTTGGGCCATTATTCTATCTCTAAAAGTTTAACCTCGCAGCAAGTAGCGCTGCTTTGCCTGGTTGCGTTTTTCTCGGTTTCCCTTAAGCGGGCCATTGATCATGTCCGCCGTCACCCCACCCGATATAAGCGTCGTCCACGTATTAAGCTTCTCGAAACCGCCCTTATGCGTCTTGTAAGCCTCGATCTTTTTCGCCATGCTTTTCTTGTCGTTGGTAACAAACGGCCCCTGAATCTCCAGCTTCTGGTCAAGTTGAAGCCCCCCCGCGATAATAAATTCTGTTTCTTTAGTGGCTGACCCCAGAATGTGGTCACCTCTATCGTTAAAGAATACCGTCTCAAAGGGACTAATCAGTTTACCTGACACGTTAAGACCGTTGCCACGAATGACATAAAGAAAGTAATTGTAATCGGCGGTTAATGGTTGGCGCCATTCAGCTCCTGGTTTGACGGTGAAATGATAGAGCTCGATCGGCGTGTACGTGAACTCTCTGGCTACTCCCACACCATACAGCGACCCGCTGATCACTTTCACCGACACCAAGCCGTCGTCGCTGGTGTATACGGGTACCTCCCACTCGCGGAGGTCGCGATACCGCGGGCGACACTCCTTCTGTTTCCGGGGCAAATCCACCCAAAATTGAAGCAATTCCGCCGGCTGGCCGTCGGCTGATGGTACTGGCATCTCCAGGTGGACGATGCCTTTGCCTGCAGTCATAAACTGTAAGTCACCGGGGTATAATACGCCTTTGGACCCGGTAAAGTCTTCATGGCATATCGCCCCCAGTAAACAATAAGTGATCGTCTCTTGACCACTATGAGGATGCTCTGGAAACCCATCGGGACGATTGGATTTGAAATGGTCAAACATGAGGAATGGGTTGAATCGTTCAATGGAGTTAGTGCCAATCAGCCGCCTCACCCGGGCGCCGGCGCCTTCCGATTGCTCGACTCCCGTCACTACTCGTTGTATCGATCTCGGCTGAGACATGTTTCGATTGCGGTTTTCTTCCCCAGACTTACTTAACTACGGGTTTCTCCCCGCCTCATCGGGGTCGAGGTTAGTCATCTATTAGTCGGTGCGGCTCATGTCGTCCTGGATGGGTTTTCCTGTATATGCCCAGATCGTCTGGAATCGAAGTGAAAAATTTCAAACCCACTGGAAAATTAGATGAAAGTGAAAAAAGCACTCTTTGGTGACTTGGCTCGGAGCCGTGGAAGACGTGTAGTGTGTAATACTTCATTTTAGCATTTGTGTGTGATTTTTCACGGTATCATCGCCGACCATATATTAGCGAGTAAATGATACCAACGATACCCTACCTGGATAGTTCATGATAAGCTTACTACAAACGTCGGTCATTAACCTTTCTATTACTATACAGCGGTACACACCTAGAATTGCAAAGCTTGCCCCTTTTGCTTCTTGTCACCACCCAATTCGAAGTGCTTGCATCTCTTCAACGAAAGTTGAGCCTTGGTCTTGCACACGACACATTCCAATCTCAAGACAACCTTCTTGGTGGTCTTGGCCTTCTTGTGGAAAACGGGCTTGGTTTGACCACCGTAACCGGATTGCTTACGGTCGTAACGTCTCTTACCCTGGGCGAAGAGCGAAGCCTTACCGGCCTTGTATTGGGTAACCTTGTGCTGGGTGTGCTTTCTGCACTCCTTACCCTTGCAGTAAGTCTTTCTAGTCTTGGGAACGTTGACCATTGCGGAGCTTGGTTTTCGTAGGGGGGTCAGAGTTTTTCGCCTGGCGTACCAAGGGCGCGGTGCTAGTGCGGTGTGCGTATAACACGGCTCACGTGGGTAGGGTCGCAACCCTAAACGCGCGATCCCAATATAGCGCATCGAGGCCCAGCTAACGCTGGTGTATAACGATACACTATACGGAGATAATCGTCGGTGGTATGAGAGGTGTTTTACTTGTAGAGAAGTTATTGAAACCATTCAGTGAATCTCTATACCAATGGCGTCATTTTACACTGGCCTACACGTTCAAACTTAAATTATAACATGGCATCAAAATTGGTCATTACACTTATGGAATCAGGCTCTCCATTTCATGGAGGAGCATCCATTAATCGCGGCGCCATCAGGGCACGTGAAAGCTAAGACGACGGTTGTTCGTCAGCCTGAGAGTAGTTTTGCACCTCCAAAAGCGAGGAGTACAACGTGGTGAGCTCGGCCAAATCCGACACTGCCTCCGTCCGTAAATCGTAGATCATTTGCTGGAATGAGTGGGACTTGATGACCGCGATCGGAAGTCTATTCTCGGTTAAAAACTTCATAACGTGCTTGTGGAACTTCATCGCCGAGTAAGGGGCATTGTCAAAGTCGGTACGAATCACCCGACGCTGCTCTAATAAATTGTGGTCCAAGCGACGTGACTTGCGCTGACTCTCAGCCACCGTCACCCGCCGGGGGTCGTTGCCTCGAGGCCGGTTATATGCGTTGTTGAGGTTCGTTTGTACCGCGACTTTGTTTTCGTTTAATTCGGGGCTAGCTTGGGTCGCCGGCACCACTGCGGTAGACATCTGGTTTCTCATTGGCGTCGACTCAATGACGTTATCGGTGACGATATCGTCTTCTTCCTCGCGGTCATTCGGATAGTTCATCGGTTCCCCCAGGGGAGTGTAGGTCACCCCGTAACCATCAATGGGGATCGCTCGGGAGTAATTGACGCTGTTGGGCTCTAGCTTGTGGGTACGCAAGTGCTCGATGAGCTTTTTCGGCAGACCTTTATCGGAAGGCAATCGGACAATGATTTTGCCACAGAAATCGCAAGCGGCGACATTGGGGTCAGTGTAATCCTGGACGAACCACAGCCACACCCACAGCCGTTTCTTAGCCCCAAACTTCACCCCGGGACGGTTCTTCCGGCGCTTAATCGGCTTATCGCCGGCGTTCTGGGCGGTATCATGGCCCTCGTCGGTGGTGGTCAATGCCGTGGACACCGAAGCATTCGTCGGGCCTGAGGGTCTGGCCTCGTCGGGCTTATCGGAACCGATGACTAGCGCAGTATTTTCACGAGGTTGTGGTGGTGGGACCTCACGAGAACCATCCTCACGATTGTAGTACCCTGCGCTCAGTCCGTAAAACAGCATGCTTTCCGAACGTCAACGGCCGAAAGTAATCCAAAAATGTTGTTTTGGTGCGACCGGCACTCACCCCGGGAGACGACACGTTTGGTGACAATCGCGTGAAAATGAACACAAAACGTCGCTGCGAGTAATGTTTGATTACAGTTACTGTGCTCTGTATAATGCCGCTAGTTTCATAATTACCATAACATTATTTTAGGGGTATATCCTTCCTACAATTACGACCGAGACTGCATATAGACACCGGACCTCCCCGTTGATGCGACTTTGAACCAAATTCGGTGGTGTAACCAGCCTCCATTCTTCAAACATGTGGACGGCGTGACGTCCCAACAAACACGGGGACCGTATTTACATTGCTTCCAAGGGGTCAATAGAAGAAGTCTGTACTCTCCACTTTTTCTCCTCGGAAAATTTTGACATGTCGCCAAAGTATCGCGACCAATTAATCCGACCATTGACCAGCTTCCTTTAATTCGAAGCGAAAGGAGCCTTCGAAAGCGGGCTTTCACAACTATAATCGTCAATGCATAATAGTTGCGCAGGGATACAGCCCCGTTTCTAATGTTGACCAACAAGGAGGTGTGCTGGTTTTTGGTCCCTACTGGGAATATCTGTCTCGGCAGACATATGCATCATCGCGGTCTCGGAGATGCACCGTTGGAATGTCAACTTAGACTTTTTTAGTTTGACTTCAACGATCGTCGCACACTAGCAGGTCTTAATCTTCATCATCGACTAACATTACTATAAATAATACAATGTAAAGTAACGAGGAAGCCTACACCATCTCAAGGTCCCCGTTCATGCGCGACGCATAATGCAGCAAAATTTATGTACGTCATCATGGTTGCAAAAACCTTTCGGAAAAAACCTCTCGTGGGGCTGGCAAAAGCGCCGAAGATGAGAATACGTGTCGTGAACACTTTAAAAAGACAAGCGCCGGCCCACATGAGTTTTTTTTCACTTTACCCGAGTTTCCATTTATTGATACGGCCCTAGTGATGCAACTCCTCCTCCGTTTCCTCCTTTTATCATCCGCTGTTCAAAGTGCTGTGGTTAAGCTTACTCGAACTCGTTTACATACTGCTACCGTTGACCCCACATGGCATACCAATGTCGTGGTTGACTACACAACAGTGACCGAGATCGAATATACTACCACAATTGTTACTACCGTGTTTGGTGCTCCCACTACTTATGTAGCAGCCACCACCACGACTGTACCCATCGTGACCCAGCTGACACAAAAGGCTGTGGATACTGACATTGTTACCAACGTTGAAGACAACCTACTTCTAGCAGCGCCCACTGAGGGTGACAACACTGTCACCACCAGTGCAGCTCCGGAAGTGGCTCCTCAGACGCAGACGACGTCAGCCATCCCTGATACTACTCAGCCCGTGTCTTCTGCGGTTCCACAAACAACTAGTTCGTCAGAAGATCAACAGATACCATCTCAAACCACTGGGTATGTCATTGACTACACTTTGGATGACCTGGTTGGGCCTACTTTCACCTCAGAGTTGCCTCTGAGTACCGGCCAATGGTTGATCGAAAGCGTTTCCACTTACACCTCCGACGGATTTTGCGTTGTCAGCTACGACTACTATGAATCTGACGAGACCGATTGGATAACACTGACGCGTACAGTATACGTCACTCTGACAGCGGCTTGAACACATACATCTCTGATACCTCTGACCTTCATTCTCTCACCCACTTCTTCTGTTCGCCTGATCCTGTGCAAGAATGCCACTAGGGACACTAACATACTAGAGAGAGCATGACTGCTCCAATATGTTTTGAGACAGAAGTACTACAAATGGCTCAGGATAATACGAAAAGCTGCTACTGGCCAAATACCCGAGAGAATGTTTATCGATTGTGGAAGTCCGTGAACCCCATCACCTACTTTGAGACTACACATCATGTCACGATACGATTATATGAAGGTCACATTGACAATTCTTCAATGACCAAATTTATTGTTAACTTCACAAAAGCTTTTGACGCTTTTTTTTTCAGGTTGATTGAATAACTATAATCCCTGATGATTTCGATTAGACGATCTTAATTTAATTTTAGTAATATTAATAACTCAGACACTAATTTGTTAATGCTTTTAGTTTACTATTCGTCACAACATTATACAAAAGCCGACGCGCAACAGCAAGATCAAAATCTTTTCGAAAGACATTTTACATCGAAGCTTCAAAAATTCAAGTATATTTTTATTAAATTGATTTTTCATCCATGACCGCCGGCAAAACGTGAAACATGAAGTTCCAGCTCCTTTGAGTTCACCTATAACTTTACACTTGTGGACCATCTTTCATCCTTAATTTGCGTAGGTTCTCTTCTTCAAAAGTGGCCTTTTAAGTAAAATCCATACTCATAGTTCAGTGTGCTTTATATGTTTCTTCATAGTTTCTTTAAAAGATAAACTAAAAGCCAGAAAACCGCCATATGTCAACGACCTCAATGCTTCAGATTTTGCATCATGTACCACAAGCGTAAATTGGCCTGGTTAGCTCAATCGGTAGAGCGTGAGACTCTTAATCTCAAGGCTGCGGGTTCGAGCCCCGCATCGGGCTTAAGTTTTTGAAGCTTTTTTTGGTTTAAGTAACAAATGCTTTTCACGACATGGTGAATTGCTCATTAAATTTCACTATCGAGCTATTTCAGTGGTGACATTTTTCCATTTTGTCAAATGAAGTTAATAATCATATTTTTGAAAAAGTTCAGAGATTCACAATCCGGACTGCGAATTTTTTGAAACCCTAGACAAACATGAATAATGTGAAAACTGGCCTGCTCGGTCAACCAGTTTTCGGAATATATTACGATAGAGCAAGGTTCAGTGGTTCTCCACCTGGTCATAGACTTGTTTCCAACGGTGAAAATGTCATTGTTTCTTGCGAGGCGGACTGAGACTGAGGCAATTTTTCATTATCAATGGCCATGCCAACATAGAAATTTGAAAGTTGCTAGATATTTTCAACTGGAAACTATCATACAACAGAAGCAAGTCCAAGGGAACGAGCTAGAGCCATGCATATACTCGACTCAACCCATTGCACATTCATAACTTGATCAGCGAATGTTTATTCGGTTAAAACAGGCCGACTAATAGTTGTCGGAAATTTTTTTTGAATCCGTCGAGCACCGTCCGTGTTCATGCGTGAACTTAGACTTTTTGAGCTTTCTTCTCGAAATATTTGTATTGTGTTTCTGCAATGATCAAGATAGATCAGTTCCCCATTCTTTGATAAATACCGAAAACTTTTGGAAATGCGAGTCACAATTACTAATCGAAGCATCCGTATTCAAAGCTACAAATCAAAATGAAGCGCTTAGGCAGTCCTTTTTTTTTTTTTATCTAATAGTATGCATTAATATCTACCTGTAAAAAACGATTGTAGAAGACTCAAAGAGCCGCCTACCACCGTGAAAAAAACAGATAAGATATCTGCGAGTTGAGGAAGCAAGAACACACTGCAAACCTCTGTAGGTAGTGCTCTCGTCGGGGAGTAATCCTTTCACTGAGTCTTCGTAAGGAAGAACCGCTTGTTAGATTAGAAAACTAACAGACTTCTTTCAATTTCTCCTGTCTCGCATTCTTTTTCATTTATTTTCCTCATCGATTCCAAGTAGCTCAAATCTAAAACCCCCGAGTTACAGAATCCGGAAATCGCTGGTGCCAACAGATTTCCTCTTTTTGTACCATCAAAACAATTGTGTTACTTTGATAGACTTAAACATCAGGAATTTGACAAACAAGCCTCAAAAAATCCATTATTTACGCCCAACGGTGTTGTAGCTTGTAGCAGTTATCATATTATTGACTTCTAAGTATATAAGTCATGTTGTATAGTTTGTTCGGCCTTGGAGGAATACCCCGTCGAAGATACTTACACACCGGTATAGGTTTACCGGTAGGTGACCGGGGCATGGGTATTCGCCGGTAGGTTCCGGCGGTGGTGCACTCGGGAGGAGTCCGCGTGAGTATTATATAGAAGCATACGTGATAACTCCGGCAACGGAGTTATCTCGGTGCGGGCAGCTTAGGGTGCAACCCTAGGCTGAGCTGAAGTCACCCGCTCGGTGAATGCAGGCCCTGCATTCACCGTACAGACCCAGCACAATACCCTGGCGGGGCGTCGAGAGAGGAACAACTAGTATTGGCTACTTACAAGTATCTGTGTTTGTGTTCTGATCTCGACGTCCCGCCTCTTTTACGTTTAGAGCAATTGGATAGTATCAGCTTCATCCTTAGATAATACAACATNCCGCTCGTTGGATGCACGCCCTGCATACACCGTACAGACCCAGCACATACCCGGCGGGGTGTCGAGATTACAACCATATGCATCTAAACACAGTTATCGAAAGGTATCAAGTTTGAAGTAATGTTGGTCTCGACATCCCGCCTCTTTTACGTTTGGCAATTTCGAGTAGTACACGACTTTCACCCAACTTAATACAACAGATTTTTTTTGTTTTTAACTTGGAGATTAACAATATCTAAATGGAAAAATTTTCATTCTCGCTTCTGAAAAAAGAAATCAAGGTTCGATTCCTTGTGGGAACGAGTGATATATCTCCCTGCTGGCTGAACAAGTTTTTACCATCACACATATCACAATGATGAGACGAGCACACCAGTGCCTCCTCACACCGCACGATCAGGCTGGTTTTTTGTATGAGGGAGTAACACTTGAGTGTCCTCTAAGATGGACCTTTTAGACATTTTTACAGCTTAGATCCAAATGCAAAACTAAGGATAAAACATTCTCAGATGGATCAATGTCGACATCAATCGGTTCTGGGGCAGTCAGTTGAGGAAGAACAGGACGTGATGCGAATTCTCACCCAATAAGGGCGTGGAATGATCAGTGAAGTGAGGAACAGGACGTACAGTAGCGGCAAGGGGAACAGCCGAGGGCTGTGGATTTTCAAAATAAGGCAAGAGGTTGGCAATAGGATGCTCGGGACGTCGTGATAGATGAGGGTCGGGCTCAGGATGAATGGGGTCGTGGTATTCGCTTGCAGGTAACATTGGACCTCCACGGGGTTTTGTGGGTTCAGTACTTTTACAAGATAGCGGACCAAGTGTAGGTTTTCCGTCTTTTGGCCTCTCATCTTGATTCTATTTGTCCAATTACACCATATTTTATTGCTAGATTTTCATTTCAAAACATAATATCGTAGTTTATTTTGGAATAACGATGTTTTCTTCATCGGTTTCCTTATAGTTAGCCACTGAGACCACGCCGTTATCGTAATCGAAAAGCGTCACCACCTGGTTGAGAATTGCCCCGCCAATGAGAGTGATGTTACTGCTGGTTCTTTCAGAGGCAATAGCACCCAAATAACACGTTTCCCCTTCCTTGTGAGGCCTGACAAAGTCCTTGAGCGGGATATCCAAGATCAAATCACCAAACCCAAGCTGGAACAGGGTGTCGGGAATGTCACAGCTCACCGAATAGAGGGATTGTACCTGTTGAGGGTTATTGTACAACTGCGCAATCGGGTCGAGGATCGCCTGAGGAATCCACGAATGGCCAGCACCAGTATCCACAACGATGGGGAAGTCGCCAAAGTCAGGGTAATGGGTTACGCCGTTGGTGGTGACGTTTCTGAGGGGCACTTTAAACGTCGTCGGGTCAGAGTGAGTACTCCAGGCTGACGCCACCTTCGCTTGGTCGTAGCCACCAAAAATAAACTTCCCCTTCTGCTTATCGGAGGAGTAGTATGACGAGGCCACCCCGCGCTTGATGACCCCCGTGTTCTTCAAGTGGTACGGAAAAGTGTCGTGGTCACCTCCCGCCGGCGCCCGTGCAAGGCCGATATTACCGTCTTGTAAGCCGTCTCTTTTGTTCTCGACGACGCCAAATTGGAAGTTGGTAGTGACGCCATCAGGCAAAGCGACCGAGTCGGTGACCCAGTACCCCTTGTATCCGGAGGTGCCAACGTAGCCTATCGAAAATGGCGTGGTAAGGTTCTTGAGCGATGTCGATTGGGACGCCCACCCGTCGAAATTGGGGAACCACGACTCCCAGGAACCGGTGTCGGGGACGGGGTTAAACGAGTGTCCTTGAGAGCCAACCTTCACTTCCATATGGTAAGTAAACTCGTTGGAAATAGTAATATCGCCGGAGACGATCCCCTCAGGGTGTCTCTTGTCGAGGGGTTCAGCAGGAACCACCAACGCCGACGCTACCGCAATAAGCAGTAACAACATCATGATTGTTGAATTAATGGTTCATGTTCGGTGGCCTTTATATAGCTGGAAACTCCCCTATTCTCAGAGTCAAGTTCAACCCACCCTACGTCATAGACAATGGTGGGCCCCAGCCAAAAGCTTCACAAAGTGGTGGTTGCAATAGCACAAAGCGTGTCACCATCCCTTGGTTTAGTACATGAAATTGTAACCGAGACGTCAATTCAACAGGATAAAGTGGAATCATTGTATCCCCATTCCCTGCTTTCATATCCGATTTTGAAATTGGCACCTTGATTTCTTTGTCACATAAATTATACACCAACCGGTGTATACGAAGGTTTCGAAAACGACCGTTTAATGCACGGACTATGCTAGGACTAATTCCAATGTGGCAAGCGCTTGTTGGCAGCAAGCACCTCCTTGCTAGTGGCCATTGTCTTAAGCACCCCTATTGCGTATGTGGCGCGCCCACTTGCACCTGGTGGTCCCGAGTCAATCCTCCTGAGGCTGGAAACTGTGTTGGATTGATATTGTGGTCAACAATAGAGAAACGACTGACTCAGACCAAAAAAATATGACTCCGTGAGGAGTATATTTAAACGACCCCACACGTGTACCACCTTGGGATTACACCCAACGTCAAGTCAAATCAACCACAAAAGTGTAACCACGTTGACCAAACTTCCTCAAACTTACTTTCCCATGAAATTTCAATTTTTAGCGTAGACTACCACCCCTTCTATGTTGTATGGTTCCTGACGCGCCATGGTGCGCCCCACCTTGCCCAAATGTGAGAGCTGCCGCCGGCTACGAATCAAAGTAAGCGGAAAGAAAACTGGCTAAATGAGCTTGTTTATGTGACTAACGCCAGTGTGACTTCCAACATCCTTGCGAGTACTGTGCTTTCCGCAACGTAAAATGAATCTGGGGAGTGGATGATATGAGGGTAGTGGTATGTCATTAAGTCCCTTGTTTGCAGTAAAAAACCGATTAAACTCTCCATTGAATGAAACTACCGGCAACAGTAAACGTCATCACAGCTTTTGAAGCTCATTCGATACAATTATAGTTCGGATCTCGCCCTAGTATATCTCCCACCATAGCCTCAGCCATCGCACTCATGGATGAAGAAGCCACGCTATTAGCCACGCCATTGGTCCCCGCCGATGTGGCTAAGCGGTTCCTCCTCATGTCGGTGGCGGTTGCCGTGGTCGGGATAGTAACGGCAGATCTTGGAATGATTATCCCTACCGCGTTAACCGCTACACTAGCCATTGCCAGTCGGTACCCTCGGTCCTCATCAGCCAGTGCCCTCCTTGTTGTGGGCTTCCCTTTCCTTTCCATTGTGGGTATATTGGCTACCGTATGGTGGACTCGAGCGTTCTGGTGTGTGTTTGTGTGCTTAGCTGTGTACTGCCTTGAGATGACTCGGTTGGAAGCTCGCTCCTCTCCCCAGCGCCACGGCACCTCCACCTTCTTGCCAACGTAAAAAGTGGAACAGAGACTGAGCCGATGCAAATCTGTTATGATTGTGGTGTGATGTTTCAGGCGAACGAAGGCCATTATGAACGAAAGCAAAAGCCTCAGTTTGACTTACATGCTGTAGTGCTATCAATGTTGAATCAACCATTTTTACTGCAACAAGGGTGAGCTGTTTCAGTTACATTTTGATTGCCAGGGTGGATTATTAAGGGACACCAGCGGGTTCCCTTCATTACAAGGTGGTCCAACACCCACTCTTTGACTGTACAGTGAAAGCCACGGACACAAGTGCCAGTGAACGTCAAGATATATCTCAAATTCACATGACAGTCAAAGCGGCCGTTAAATTGATCGTCAAACGTGAAATGATGCTTGAGCATGTGGTGTCTGAGAGCTCTGCAACTGGCAAACCCGCTCCTCTTATACGTACACGTCCCGCTAGCCCGGAACTTACATACGTACCGGTGATTGTCGTCACCTGAGTGGAGGCGTACGTGTCTTTCCCAACTTCTAACATATCTCCCACAAACCGAACATTTTCCGGGAGCTATGAATCCATTAGACGGAGGTGGAGGTGCTAGCGATTGATTTGAGTGAGAATTGACTGGGGATGCGTCATCCAGCTCCTCTGATAAGTCAAGAATTGTGGGTATTTTCGAGGTGGTACGAACTTTGGCGACTGGTTCGTCTCCGTCAGAATCAAGCATCAAAACCATTTGATATTTATCAAAGGAGGAGGGGGGGGGGGGCAGTTACAGCTTTTATGGTGTGCCAGCTCTGATCCGTGCAAAAGTCTAATCCCTGCTTAAACCTTGTGTGATGAAGTATTCACACTATTGTCAGACAAAGAGTCAATAAGCTTCAGTCAAGTGTCGATGAATTCCACCCAACCAGGACAATGACACCGAGGATGAGTGTCTGTCGGACACAGACCAGACAGAGACAAGCATCTTACCTCAAACCACTTACAAAGAGAACTTGAGAGTTACAGTTTTACCAGGACCTTTATTGTGATGGGAGTTATTTGCACAGTCATTTTATCTTTGAAGGTTGATGGTAGGTGTCTTACGAGCATTAAAGTTCGGTCGTAAGTATAGCATGCCCCATGATGTCAGCAAACTCAGACTGTCTGTCGAGAGGAACTCAAAGTTGAAACGGTGTCACCTTCATGCTCCGACATGAAAAGTCAGAAACTCAAACTTTATGATAAATAGAGTTGACTGTACAGCCTCCCCTTAATTTATCACGCAATACCATGGATAAACCGTTGCCGGGCTTGCCTATGGAAGAGATCTTCGCCATGGCTCGCCAGGCGCTTGCTGACCTGCCGCTCCCCTTCTTCTACTACGGACGGGCTTTAACGTGGGCTATTGCCAAATACTACATGACTCCTATCGAGGAAGACGGCGAATTGATCGCGCCCTACACTCGTCTTTTCCACAAGCCGGCGGTGAAGGATTGCCTTCACCCGTTCGGGTGCTACGTCGAGTACGAGCTGGTGTTTGGCTTCAAATACGTGGGGTTGTTTCTTTGCGTGTGGATGGGGACTCTTTGCAACCAGGACCCGTCGGGCTACATCATTATGGACATCAGAACCAGTATCGTCAAGCATGTGCCCGAGGTGAAGTTTCTTACAACGGAACGGCCCCCTGACCCTAGCTCTTACTAGTTATTCGTCTTGGTTTCGAATGTTGAGTGAAGGGAATTTTCTGAGACAATTTGATAATGAATAAACAATCTCGGAAACATACAATGTGGTACTTAATGATGAAAATTTTACATAACACACCCCCTTTGAATATTATGGTGAGAGCGAATGATATGAATGATGGATGTAGAACAGAATCATGTGTGGTATACTTGTAATTATTGGCATCAGTGTACTTGCTTTTGAGACGCAAGTGGAGCAAAATTAAGCCCAATTTACCAGTCAATTGGTATAGAATGTTTTCATTGGATTCTACTAATCAGTCAACGACAAGTCTTAGTTTTTAGTTGTAACTGCCTGGTTTCTCCTGGAAAACCATGGTATACAAGTTTGCTCCACGATGTTGTTCCTGCAGGCGAGACGTTGGCATGGCTGAAAGGCGTTATTAAGCGCCATGGAAATCGCCCTTAATATCAAAATTCTGAGCTGTCACTTTTCAAACACACTCTTTGACATATGGCGACAAACATTTGTTAGGAGGCTATAATATAGTGTCACCTAAGTTTTGATGTTATCAGCGATTGTTTCCGTAAAAGCGCGTGTACCTACCGAATATGGGTCATTAAGGGCGTCGAGCGGCGTATTTACCAGGACAGTGCTACACCCGAAGCAGGCATTATAACCATTAAACTCTAATGTCACAATGGCCATTAAGTTTCAAACGAACTGAGCGATGAAGGACTCACCATGGATAAACGGGTTTATCGAGCTGGTGATTCGTATTTGCCGATATAGTTGAGGTATGCATCGACTATATGCAGGACATATGTTTGATCGATTTTGCTAATGAAATCTACAAATCGATGAAGACGTAGTAGAGGTTGTGCTAAACTGGTTTATCGCAATGTTGCACCAACATACATGGTCTATGTTATCGGCCTCGTAGAGCACTTTAAACTCATCTCTACAGTATGTAAGCCGAGTCAAGGTGCTGGACACTTGTAGTGGCAGGAGCCAAACTGCCTCATCATGATGGGGACATTGAGGTCGCTAATTATAAATGGTCGGCTTTGATGTTGATGGTGTGGACTCATCAGATATCGTAACTAGTGCGATGGGAGTGATGGAGATACAAATATTACACGATCTTCACACGCTGTTCGTGGTCATTACTACCCAAGGCAAAATCAATCTCTCGTAACTCATTATCGTAACTCATTATCATTATTAATATCATTCTCGTGACTCATTTCACTTCGTGCTCCGACCTTCAACGCGGAAGCACAACCAACTGGTCGTGGTCGTACGTAAACAAGTTCAAGTCATTTTCCTCTCGTTTGACAACGCCGGTCTACTCTGAAGGGTTATCAGTAAGAAGAATGAATGAATTCTCTTCATCCTCGTAACTTGTCGACTGATAATCGTCAAGAATGCCTGGCAAGGGGCCAACAACTACCCAAGTACCTCGGAAGCACTTTTGCGCCTTCACTGGTACGAGGAGACTGTCACCACATTCGGTTTTCGTGTACTCGTGATTGCCAGAAACCACCGTGCGACAATTGAAGCAATACCGGGCATTAATAACAGGATTGAAAGGTAAGGCAAAGTAGATGTTCGGCGGGATATTTGGGACGGAGCCCTGCATAAACTCATCTCGAACGATCTGGCGTGTCTCGCGACAATAACGGCTTTTGCCCCGGTGGTCAACTCGAAGGTGCAGCTCGAGTTGTCGAGGAAGCACTACCTTGGGGTCATGGCCCTCGGCACAAACTAAGAGGCCAGACTCGTCATGCTTGGCGACCCTCGCCTCACCACGACGACCTCGTTGAAAAACAGTATCGCCGTAGCTGTAAATCAAACGTGAATCGTTATAGTCGTGTTTGTTGGCAACGACAAGGGCACCAGTGGAGGCATGGTCAGGTTCCCAACATAAGAACTGGTGGAGAGCAGAGTACGAGTCGTCGACAAGCTCGCCAATGTCAGATAACTCTGAGTCTTCCGATTCGTCGGCGTACATTTGGCGTGAGCGCTTCCCTTTAGATTCAATCGAGTTGAGTCGATGATGCTTTCGGGACATGGCTGGGGCACCACACCCTCCTGTTGAAACGAGTGGTAGGTCATGGCAATCAAGTGTTTATGGGGTTCGCAATCACCGATCAAAATACCTGATGAGGAGACCAACTACTAAAGAGACAAGATATGTAAATTCAAGTCAAGACAACCGTCAGGATTAAATTAAAAAGCAACACCATAAAGCTAATTGAGGTGTACTTCGATATACCAGCATTTTATAGCCTTGATCTGGTTGTACTACTGAATATGAGATCTCCAACTAGTACACCTCAAACAACCTCATCCAGGTCAAACCCATACCCCAATCAACTTTCACCACATTCTAACATCTCATTCAAGTAATTGTTCATCAATATTTCACTTCCAGTCGTACGTTGATCCCATTTCCTCCTTACTTCCCAATCCGTCTCGGGCCTGACGTGGCGCAAGGCTTCCCCATACGCGAGGCCGGCTAGCGGCTAACTACTACCAACACACGCTACCTCCGCGCGACCCACCGGATACCAACAACACCCCCGTATATAAACAACAACCCGAAGGATGCCGCGGGTCAAGGTGGTGGACAAGGCGCTCTTGCAGTTCCATAACCTTTCGGAGTGGGCCGACTACATCGCCGCCCTCGCCCGGCTCCAGAAACTGCTCGTCGGCCACGAGACGCTGTTGGACGAGCTGGCCGTGGACGTGGCGCTGACGCTAGCCCGGTGTTTGCTGAGCCAATTGCCTCTGGGGGTGCACCAGAAGGCATTGGGGGTGTATATCCAAATATTCCTGGCATTTTCCGATGCTCATATCAATGAAACTGTCGAGCTTTGGCTCCCTGGTTTGTTCCCCGTACTCAGTTTTGGGGCGCTGGCGGTGAAACCAGTGGCGTTGGGAGTGATTAGAGACCAGGTGATGCTGCGCTTGACGGCGAAACTGTTGGAAGTGGTGGGATTCCCGTTGCTTTGTGCTCTATTACTGGGTCTTGAGGATGAGACGCTGGAGTTGTTTGCCCTGTTCCACGCTACCGTGGAAACTTACAAACGGTTGGTTAACGACGACTCGGTGTTCTGGCAAAAGCTCATGTTGGTGGTGATCCGGCTGAGCGAACGGCGGATGGGGGCGCTCCGGTGGATCACTCGCCACTGGCCTAAGATCACTGGCGATGACATTTCCGATGAGGCTAAAGCGATTTTGAACTTGGAGGCTGGTGGTCTTGCCGTACGCATGTTTGTTGCTGCTATTGCCGATGAAGATATCGTCGTTGTTCGTGGCTTCTTCGATACCCTTTTGACTCAATGGCCTTTGCTGGAGTGTCAAAAACGAGTACTGGCTAAGGATTTACAGCTATTAGTAATGGCGGTGGCCCTGGTTACATTAAGACGCGATATGTCATTAAACCGTCGTCTCTATACCTACCTTTTGGGTCCGCTGGCGTCGGACCTGGTCACCTATTTCCAAGAATACGGGTTCGGTCCGCTTGTCCAGGGTTTACTAGCGAAAATTGAGATCAACGCCAACGATGCCATCCGCATGCTGTTGCTGTTGGCGATGGACCGGTGGGAGATCAGTCATTTGGTGATTCCCAAAGTGTTTGGTGCTATTTTGAACGTATTTTGCACTTCGGAAGATGCTAAAGTCACCGCTAGTTGTCGCCAATACTTTGACGCGATTGCTCCCGAATACATGTGGCGTCAATTAATCACTGGTGACGCTAAAACTACGCGCCAGCTTGTGGATAACTGGCAATTTCCCAGCGATGGCAACGGCGACGTCGAGCTCGTGCTTGTTGCTCTTATGTTCCTGGCCAACCACGCCCCTGAAACCCTTACTAGGCTTGTCCGCATGTGTGCCCCGATGGAAAAAGCCACCGAGAGCGACGGAGAGGAAACAGAGGTATCAGTGGACGAGATTAAGACTGATGATATCACCACCAATATCGTCGACTACTACACCCAGAGAATCGCCGATAACGGACCTAAAGTACCTTACTCTAAGCCCCAGATTCGTCGCCTTTTAGTGAAAGGAGTCGTGGACTTATACAACCAAGCACCACGCCAGTACTCTCCCGTGGTGGTCGACGTGTGCAATTTGACTGCCACCAAGCTCTCTGTGGCCGATGTCGTCCACGATGACGTACTTGCCATTCAACAAGTGTTCTCCGTGGTGGAACCACCACTCCCCCTGCTGCTTTTAGCACAATTATTAAGTCAGCTATTAGCTCGTGATGACCTTCGCCAGGTGCCCAAACTTCTTGACTATTTCCCTAGAGGTCAAGTGGAAGCAGGGATCTTCCTTGAGCTTGCCAAGGGCGAAAGAGCGAGAGCGTACCAAGTGTTTGGCCAGTTGTGGCTCCAGTTTCTGCACCATGATCCTGAAGTATTATCTCGTCCATTACAGTTGGTGGTGGACGCCGTGCCTGACCCTAGTGCCGTGGGGTGTCTTGCTGCCATATGCGAACTGCTGAGGCGTACTCCATTAATTCAATTACTTGTGACACCGCCTCAAGACCCCGCTGATTACGGCAGATGGCAGTACCATTTTAATCTGGTGGTGGCGATGGTGGATGCCGTACCTCGAGCTCGTGAGGGATTTTGTGATGGAGATGGCCGTGCCAAGTGGTCATTAGTGACTCAGGTCGAGCGGTTAATGACGGAAGCGGCCATCGTTGAAGCTGATGGTGATCGCCAGTACTTTGATGCTGTCACCGCTGGTTTACTTATGGTACTGAAACTCGTCACTGGAGCCGAACAAGAGTTTGGTGACCTTGCCCAACGTCTATTTGAAGCGACTTTACGCTTTGGCGGTAAAGGCGTCGCTTACGAAGCTGTACAAGCTAAAGCTCTTGACGTGCTCCAAGGGTTCCCTTCATTAGCTAAAGTGGGTGATGCCGTGGTTGACTATATCCTCAAGGGGGTGGAAGTTGCTCGAACTCCCGTGGTGGTCGAGAAATGGATTGCTGTCCTTGTGAGAACTTTACCCATGGTGGGTGAAACCCAATTCTTTTTCGCCGTGGTGCCATTTACGGAAGCACTTATCGCAAAGCTTGATGACCCTGCTTTAGTGGAAGTGGTTTTCAAGGGCATCAAAGATATGGCTACCATCTCCCACTCCTACTCTCGTGCTCACCAAGGTACGGCTGTCGGTTCTGGTGCTCCTGGAACTCCACAAACACCATCTTCAGCATCGTTTTTGGGTAAAGTGTTTACGATTGAGACCCCTGCAAGTGAACAAGAAGGTCGTCAACGTCAAGCCGCCACTGAACAAGCAGTCAGAATCAGTGTGGCTGCCGCCGTCAAGGTGTGGACGTCACTGGAACTGGCCACTCGCCGCTTCCTTGTGAAGAAGTTACTCACTAAATTGCTTGATCTTGAACCAAAATTGGTGGTAGAACTGTTGGTGGCAAAGGAGAATGTTCGCTTAGTGATGATCGTCGATGGCGGCCGCCAAGTGGTTGTGAGCCAATTATTTGATACTGTCACTAGTGCTTCTGGTCTGCTCCAAACACGGACGCTGGAGTTCTTGGTGGAGTATTTCCGGTTCGCTGTGGACGCCGATAGTCTTGTCGATATCTGGCCGCAAACGTTTGAGTTCCTCCAGCTGGTAGCCGCTCACAAAACTGCTCTTCCTGGAGGGTTAAGACTCGCCGTGGAAGTGGGTCACTTGGCTAAACCTGGCGTTGCGCCGCCACCAGAGCTTGCTGATACTGTGGTCAAATTAGTCAACTTAGTGCTGCAAATGGAGCCTCGTCGCTCGGAACCGGAGGCTACCCTTGCCGAAGTGCTTCCTCGAGTACTGACGATTTATGGGAGTGATTCCGACAAGCTTGTGGCCACTACCAACACTGTGGTGTATAATGTCGTGGCTCCTGAGCTTAAACGGGCGTACAAGACTAGCTTGGCTCTGGTATCGCCGCAAATCATTTCGGTAATGGCGACCTTGGGTAAACTTTCCCCGACTAAGCTGTGGCGACAAACGGTAATTGAAGTGTTCCATCTGCCTCTGTTCTTCGATACTGAACCCGCTGCTTGGGGCCCTGTACTCAAACTCTGGATCAAACAGGATATCGATAAGTTTGGTGAGCTTTTGACCAAAGCAGCTCCCGCCACGCTGCTGATCTCGCTCTGGGGTGAAGGTCTGAGTGCTGAAACCAAAGAGAAGATTGGCTCATTGAAGAGAGTGGCTTACCTCCTTCTAATTGGCGATGTTGACCAATTCTTGGGTCAGTTTGATGCTATCTGTGACTTAATTGATAACTCGTTAGCCATGGGTGATAAAGTCCCCGCTGAGTACCTTGCGGCGTTGACGGTGATGGTGCGAGCGATGCTGATTCGCTTCTCTGAGCTCCACTTATTACCGAAATGGACAGGGATCATTCAATTAATCATGGTGGGGTTGCGTCCGTTAGCCACTCCCGAGAGGGCTAAGTTCACCGCAGGACAAACCCAGTTGGCATTGGGAGCAGCCAAGCTTTTAGACCAGCTTCTCTTACTTGGCTACGACGAGTTCTCGCTCGCCGAATGGATGTTCATCGGTGAGACTGGAGTCGTCAGTGCCATTGTTCGTCAACAACACCAACAAAAAGACGCGGTTACCGTCGCTTCAGTGAGCATTGACTCCACTTATGACCACCCGCTTGCTCCCCTCCTTAAAGGAGTGACATCCGTGGCACTGGTGGCGGCTCTCCGCTCATTTTTCAACGGGCTTAAAGTGGTCCACTACGAACGGGTATACTCGATGCAGCACGTCGACGGTGCCGCCATCGACGCTGACGTCTACGCCGACGTGTTTGACTAAGGGTCGAAATGCGGTATTATAATATTACTATATTCATCATCAGGGCTATAATTTACAAGGCGGGGTCGGGCAAGCGGCGGAAGCAGGCGACGAACTTGTCGCCGCGATTGCGCAGCACCTTCTGCCCTTCCTCGGTGGCGTTGTACATAATCTCGACACACTTGTCCTGGGCCTCCCACTCGTGGGGCATCCGCTCGAAGAGCGGGTGGGCCTCCAAATGCTGCACCATCCACTGGTGGAGGTCGGCGACGTCCGTAATCGTATACACGATGCCTCCTTCTCTCAACACGTAGGCGTATTCCGAGAGCAACGTCGTGGTGACGATTCTCGCCTTGTGCTTCCTCTGTTTGAAATGAGGGTCAGGGAAACAGAAAAACATCTTTTGTAACTGACCTTTCTTGAAGAAATTGGGTAAAAACTTCATCGCGTTACCCCGGAGCACGGCAATATTCTGGTAGTTGACCGCATGCTCCAAGTTCTGTTGTCTGAGGGCGATGATTCTGTCTTCAACATACTGAGTGACTTGAGTTCTGATTTCCATCCCCAAAATCAACTTATCCGGGAATTCCGGGGCAAGTTTCGTCAACAACCCACCAAAGCCACACCCGATGTCGGCGATTTCCACTTGGTTATTCTTATAGAGCTTCGGGTAGAGCCGCAGCCAGTCCATCAGTTCTGGCGACTGGGGGTACTCCAACGCGTGGTCGGAAAACGGGTTCGAGTGGGCCCGCTGGCGGTAGAACCGCTTCTTCGGCAAAGCGACAGCATCCTTCTCCTCGACAAACCCCACCTGCTTCGCCTTTTTCCGCGTGTCCTCTTTGTTGCCGCGGTACTGCTTCCGCTTCAGCTGTTCCACCATATCGATGAGATGAGGCGCGCCAACGCTAACTAGACCAAGGCTGAATAGCTAAAGATAAAGCCGGAGACTGGAACGGAAAAATGATGTGAGAATGTTAAGATGATGACACAGATTTGATGCAATTTGTGTAGTCGCTAGTAATTCACCTTATCCATGCGACCGAGAGGTAGTCCTAATCAGTATAATCGACGCCTTGTTAAATCATTGAGATATCGGAAGGAAAGCCTACAACAATATTTAGAAATCGATTCAAGTCTTCGTCCTCAATAGCATTTTAGACACCTACAGCACTACTATAGTAATGACAAGTAATGTGATTCAATTTCTGATATTTCATTACCATATGCTAACGCTACCACGGTTCGGTCATGGAGAACTTTTTGACGCCTTCCTCCGATTGTACGATAAACTCGTAATTGTGAGTCAGGTGGTTTTGGTAAGTCGCCATGGCCCCTCCAAACGCTTCCGTAAGAAGTCTCAAAAGACCCACCCGGTAGGCTCCTGTGAACGAGTTAACGTGGCGTTGGTAGACAAACAACCGCCCTTCAAGGGTACGCTGGTCCTTGGCGCTAATCTCGGCGTGGGTTTCCAATACATGCTTGTATCTGGCGACGAGTGTCTCGATGGCAATTCGGCGCTTAGCTTCGGCGTCGCCTTCGTGCTTTTTCTGGCCGACTATCGAGGCGTCAATGGCTGATTCAAGCTTCAATTCGGCGCTGATCACGTCCATTTCTTGAGTGTAAGTGTGGCGGCACTGTTGGATCAATTGCCACACTTTGAGGCGTTTGTCGTCCGTCAAACCAGCGTGGTTTTGGATAAGACCGTAGATCATCTCGTCGATGTCATGGTGCTTCGCCTGGAGCTCCGCTTGCTTTGAAGCACGGTACTTGTCCGCTTCCACAAGAAAGTTCTGGAAACACTGCTGGTAGTCCATACCCAATTTGGGGTGGACTCCACGGGGTTTATATTAGATGGTACTACTTTCCTTAAATGCCTTGTAAGCATATAGCGTGATAGTTACCTCGGTTACCTCATTGACTTGGAAGAAAGTGATATATAATGAGCTAATATGCTTCCAAGCGAACTTATTCAAAATCAAACAGACGCTTAACTTTAGACTTTTGCATCGTAATTGATCGTTTAACTCGCACTTCTTCTTGTATCCACAAGTAAAGGCATATTTAAACCACTTGCTGCAAATGACTGTACCCTGAATAAGCGATTGCCGTATAACCTTTGTCTAGCTGAGATGGCTTTACGATCAAATATTTGTGTTACAGTTTATTCTAGATTACCTTGAATTACTATGTACAGATGTCTATTTCTCGTCGTTGGCGGCGTCGCCGCCTTGTTGCTTGGCCATGTCGTCCTTACGGGTGTCCAACGTGAGGTACAAGTGGGTCGATGCCAGCTCCAACGTCCGCACCAACCCGGCGCCACCAAGCACCGTCAAAAGCCCCGCCAATTGGCCCTGTAATTGTTGCTTAGTGGGGAGATCCTTAAACTGGTCGACTTGGGCAGCGTCGTACACCGAAGTTTCCACTTGGGCGCCGATAACAAATAACTTTTCGTTGACCAGTTTAAGCGTTTTGAGCACTGCCTTAACCACCAGCGGATCAGTATCATTAATGGCAATCACCGCCGTCGGCCCCTTTAAGAGAGGCGCAAGCGGGTGGACGACGTCCATCGTCGCCTCTCTCGCCAGTTTCAGCGCCGGGTCCGCCTCGTCGGCGCTGCGGAGGTAGGCCTTGTACAACGAGTTACGCAAGTAGACAAGCTTTGCCCCCGCGGCATTGAGTTCCAGTCTGACGCGAGCGTTGTCGACCTTATTGAGGTTGTTGTGGTGGCAATACAACACGATATTGTTGGTGTCGTTGAGGTGTTTGTAGTAGTCAATAAGGAAAGTCTTGCGGGAAAACACGTCCTTAAAGGTGTCTCTGCCCTCTGTCAGAAGGTAAGGAGCGCTCAGCGGAGTCAGCGCAAGGGTGCGGACCAGGTGAAACACCCCCCACGAGCGGGTGAGCCGGGCCACCGCCGCAAACGGGGTTGTAGACGTCAACATCTTTGGGCGGAGGAAGAGATTTTTCAAAGGTTAATGGTAGTTGAGATCGAAGAGTGCGACCTGTCGGGGCTCGTAACGGAAAAGATGACGATTAAAAGAACCTCAGCCGTGAGACCACTATCATCAATATAAGCAAAAAAAACTTAACTAATCAAAGATAGTAATGTCTAATGAGTCATAATAACGAATCTATCGGTGATTGGTATCTGATGTCGTTGGCATCGTCCTAAGTTTTTGTTAGCCTCGTGTGATTGGTAGGGGCACTACCCTCACCCCATTAGGGAGCTTAGACGAGCTCGGAGTATATATCAGACGCCAATCTCCAACCAACCCCACGGATCCATGGACGCCGATGACTTTGTCCTGTCGCTATCGGCGATAGCCTCCCTGGACGATCCTCAGGCTACTGCGGCCAAGCTACCCGGCCACCATAAGACCCGCAAACGGCCGTCAGCCGCTACCGAAGTGGGGCTGAGAAAGACCCGTCCTAACGCCATCACCAACGGCGCTACCGGCGAATTAAACGATAATGTCAATCTGAGACAGGTCGAGTACCATATGCGCACCATCCAGAAGCTGTTGGAGTTCCTTTTGGCTCAAACTAGCCTCCCCGATGCCGGAGATGACCTCGTCAAGCTAGGGCATCGCTTTGTCCACGCTGCTAAAACCAATGATACTGTGGCTAAATTGGTTGATAATCTAGTCAAGAGTAACACCAATAAGGAGGATTGGCAGGATATCATCGGTGATGATGAGATCATGACTAATGCTCTAAATGATACCAAAGAAGTTTCTAGCCGATCTGGTGAGGTGGCTAAGCCGAGAGTGGTTAAAGGGGCACCTCTGTTACCTCCTATCCCTGATACAAAACTCTATCAGCAGGTGTTCACCCATAAATCGAGTGTTCTGGATAAGTTCTACCTTTCAGCTGTCGAGCTCTTAAAACTCCATAACGAGCGGCTAGAATTTTTGGGTGATTCCATCATCAATAACATCGTGACGGTGATGCTTTACGAGCGGTTTCCTGATCTTTCTGAAGGTCAATTGTCGCAACGGCGCTCGGAACTCATTTGTAACAAAACCCTTACCGAGTTCCTGAAGCTCTACGGGTTTCCTGACCTACTCAAACTGAACCTTGACCGTGCTGTGATTGAGTCAGGTGCTCAAAAGGCCTATGCCGATATCTTTGAGGCCTATGTCGGTGCGTTAACGGTGACCCACTACCCGAACATGGACCCGGTGAGACAATGGGTCCATCAGTTATATGAACCGAAATTACAAGAAATGGAGCGGGGGCTCGAACACGCCGAGATCAATAAGGACGCCAAGCTGGTGCTCTATTCGTTAGTGGGGCTGGCACTGGCCCACCCCGAGTATAAAGTGATTGCTAAGGGTAACGGCACTTCGGAGCCGTTTGTCGTTGAGTGTCGTCTTGGCGGTGAAGTTGTTGGTGTTGGTGAAGCCAATAACCAGAAGAACGCTGGTCTCCGAGCGGCGATGGAGGCGTTGAAGCGCACTGACGTCATTGAGAAGTACTACAAGTTGCGCCTCGAACAGGAACCGCTGGTGACGCAAATCCTGACCAAGAAACAGGTGACGGCGTCAGGAAACTTTGACGCCGTCGACTGGAGTCTATTCCCCGTTCCCAACGGCGACGACTCCCTCAAACTCCGTAACCAGACCAAGAACGAGCTCTACGGGCTCTGTGGCCGCCAGTTCAACGAGACCCCGATCTACCGCATGACCGAGCACCTGAAGCTGGACTACGAGGCCCACTTGTACGTCGGCGACCACATGTTGCTGAAGGGGCGGGCGGACCTGCGGAAGAAGGCGATGACGCGGGCGGCGATGGCGCTCACGGCCAACCGTCCGGCGATGGTGGCCCTTTTCGGTGAGGACTACGAGAGCAAGTGATGACCCAGCATTAGCATTTACAGAGCATAGAGAGCATAAACGAAATTAATAAGTTTTGGAGTCTAAGTACGTTTAATAAGATAGCGAAATTTTTCATCCATTTGATAAGGAGGAAAGTCAATAATATTCGTATGCGATCTAGGTTGTACATTTGGTGATTGTCGCTGCTGGATAGGGACGACATTCCAACCACTTCCCATTGCCACGGCCTAATTTAGTAGTAGAGGTAAACCCACTAAATTACCATATATACGCACATTCCCTGCTCTCTTACACCCACACTACACAACAATGGCTGCTCAACAACAACAATCCAACAACCAAACCCCCAAGGACAACTATTCCCTCGAAAAGGACTTCCGTTTCTTCGACTTGTGCGTGATTGTTTAATTTTCGACTATATATAGTAAATGGACACTCCTGCTAAATTGTTAGGATCATGGGATTCAAGAGTGTAGTGACAATTTCGAAATCAATGTCTACCCGGTTTCCTCGGCGTTGGAACCTGCGCATCGCTTCCAGGGGAGGCCCTGTACATGTACCGATTGCACCTGCAAGTGGCTACCACGTACTCCATACATACGGTCTACACTGAAATGATGCGATTCACAAATTGAACTAATTACCTTGAATGACAGTGATCTGGTGACTGGAACCGATCACCTTTAGGTCTATTAATTGGCACTTTGTTCGAATAGTGAGGGGCTTTAATAATTCTGCGATTGACGCTTCATTGCTTAATCTAATAAAGTGTGTATTATTTAGAAGGTAAGCGTGCTACGGAGAAGGTTTAGGCAACACATACCCTTCCGCGATTACTGAGTTTTCTTAGTGTCCTTCTTGCCCTTCTTGTCGCCCTTCTTCGCCTTGGTGGGGGCCTTAATCGTCTTCTTATCGGTCTCTTCGCCTTCTTCCTTAGGCGAGCGGAGCCACCAAATACCCCACACTAAGAGCACTCCCACGAAGTCAAGCACGGTCTCAACCACCTGGTGTTCAGCGAGGATCATGGGGGTTAACACAAGCACTTCGGCAAAGTCCGAAGCACCGCCAAACGAAAGAGGGCCGGCGAGTTGCGGCAATTGCATGAGCATCTTCTTACCCACGACGTAGTAGGCAAAGAACACGAGCATGGCGCCGTTGACCGACTTGCGCCAGGCGTGGAACTCGTTGGTTTTCTTGCGCAATCTCCACAAGCAGACAAAGCCCAAGGCGATGGTGCCGTTGACGATAGCCGACATCGAGAGGGCAAAGTACACCACGGCAGCGGTAGCGCTGGCATCGGTGACCCGGTGGAGGTAGGGTTTAACCGAGTCGGCGTAGCGGACAAACGTCACCACCAGCTGGTAGACGACGTCCCAGGGGATACCGTTAACGGAGATCTTCTTCACTTGGAACTCTTGAGGGATGGCGAGGAACATGCCGAACACCACTTCACGCATCACCCAACCAGATAAGTAGATGGTGAACGTCGCGGGGAACCACCAGCGGAAGCCCAGGTACGCCAGAATCAAGGCCAAGGGGATCGAGGCCAAGATGACGTTGCCTTCATTATTTTCAACAATGTAGATGAAATCGCTAAGCATTTCCTGTAACCCTGAGGTATCCAAGGGGAATTGGAGACATAAGTATTCAGTTGCAGCAATCATTGTCATTACAATCAAGTTAATAGCGACAACGTTGGCAATGGGGGTAGGGGCACCAATGAGCTTAAAGATGGTGATTGCCACCACCAGCAACGCCATCAGCACCAAGTGGTTGTACAAGTGGCCAGGAAGTTCTATGACAAGCGGTTCGTCCACTACCTTCACGCTAATGAGGTAAGGAGGGTTTTCCGGCAGTTTCGGCACGTAGAGACAAAACACACCCGGGGCAGTCAAATTAGTGGTCAATTTCTGGTTGAATGTCTCGGTGACCCAGTGGTCGGGCATCAGGCGGCGTTTAAACGTGAATTCCTGAGTGGCGGGCGAGTAGTCGACCAACCGGTTCAACAGGCCCTTAATGTAGGTATCGTTGTAGAACTCGTCCAAATTAGGCCATTGCGGCACGTTGATGCCGTCGCGGTAGTCGCCAATGATCAAAGGAAGCGGGCGGAGGTAGGGTGTCTGGAGATTCAACTCGAGCGCCGTGGCGTTCAGCACCAGCTCCACCATCACACACGCCCCCGCCCGGGCGGGAGTCAAGTGGAACTCGCGGTACAGCACCGCCACCACGCCGTACACAAACACTAGCGCCTGGAGCACTCTGGTAACCAACATAGTGTACAGACCAGATAAATTAGTCACGGGACAATAATTGGTAGGGGGATATATGGGAAAAAGTGCGAGCGCGTCGGAAGACGTGTCGGGAGTGGGGTCGCGTGTTTTTTTTCAGTGAACAATAGACAATGGAGTGTACAGTGGAGTGTGTAGTGCCCAAGCGGTGGCGGGTACGGGATTTCCAGGAAGTTCCGAGCTCCGAAAACTGGGGGGAGCCAGTGGCAAGGGGGAGGGGGAGATTTGCGGGTTTAAGCGGGGTTGTAGAAGCAAGATCGTTCGTATGGAGATATACGGCGCCATGGAAGGGAATAATTTGGCGAGATAACAGGGATATATGGGGTAGGCGGCAGCAGCAACCGAACGATCGCGAGCGGCAGTGCCGCCACGCCCTGGCGCTGGGTGTTTTTGGTAGGGACACGTCTGGCTAGTGATTTTGTTGGTTTGGACACGACCCATGCCACCGAACGAAAAGCGTGGAAGATGCCCAGCGGATAACGTGCGGCAGCTGGTGCCGACGCCGCGAAGGATCCCGGCATCGCTGGCCGACGGGACAAAAACATACTAGCAGAGAAACACGCCACAAAACCGGGGGCCTCGAATATCTCCGAGCGAAGCTTGGCGTAGACCATTGCCGTACGGGATTTACTCAGCACACGAGGAGAAGGATCAGATGGGTCAACTAGATGGGTAAACCCGATGAGGCTTAGACCTCTAGGATGAGTGACCTTAACGTGTTTCCCAAATGACACAACCGAAAGATAATTCGAAAAGAATTATAGTGATCATCATCGTAGCACCTTAACCTGTTCCATCACACTAGACCAGACCGACAACCAATATAACGGCAACAATACCCTTGAGGACAGATTTAAGTTTTCGGAATTATTAGCCACATGGCTTTAGTGGACGGCGACAGTCTAGACCCTCGGCATTGGCGGTACCCATGTTGTCTAGACAACCGCTGTCACAGCGATAACAGCGTCTCTCACTCAGTTAGTAAGTCAAGTAGACCTTTTTATTTGTTATTTAAGGAAATGACACTCGATTTCCAGGCGGGAGTCGGGCATAGACGAGGGGGTGGTAGAATGCACGCGGGCAAAGTCAGCGTGACCACAGGGTGGGCAACCCAGGATTTCGGGGCGTGGAATGTGCAGGGATGTCGACTACATCCCATACACACGGGGGGGGATGGGGTGGAACACCGAGGAACACGTCAAAACAGATATGAGTGACAGGTTCTTTGACGGAATCAGGTGAGGCAAAAGATTGTGCATCACTGGAAAGCAGTCTAGCTTGAGCGAGCGGTAGGAGGCGATGATTGGGTGAATCTGATGGATATGCTCAAATTTTTGTTCAGATTTTATTGTTGGCGTATTCCCCACACTACGAGTTAAACCCGGGATTGATTTATCATCCCAGGTGGCGAGCCCTGGAGTTACACAGCATGCTCGCTGCGGGGCATCGAAGGCAAATGACAATAATATTAATTACGGCGAGGCTCGCTAACGTGCAGTGTCGCATAATATCCGGGCGAAGAAGGCCCATATGGCATATACAGGCGTCGGCGTGCGTCAGGTACGATGTTGACCCCCCTTCTGGCGATGGATATCAACACGACCTGAATCATGCAAAATGGGATAAATGACCCCAGGCAGCAGCGCCAATGGGGTTGGAAAATGTAAGCGATTATCATACGGTATGTTTCGTGTTTTTACAAGTCATCCCTCGAAATCACGTCAAGCTGGGAGGAGGGCCTTTCCCCACCAAAATCTCCAGCCACCGCCCCAGCCCCGCGTCCAAATCCGTTTCGTTCCACACCCGCTCAAGGATATGAATGACTCGTTCCACTTGGGCCAGGTGACGGCTCCCTCCGATGCGATCAAGCTGGTATAATATCCCCCAGCGGAGGTCATCGCTATCAGCCAGTACCACACCGATGACAAAAAGCGGCCATATAAGGGCGGGAGTAGGCTCGGAAATCTGGGCAACAATGTCGAGCACGGCACAGCTGACTTGTTTCACTTGGCGGAACTTATCGGCGTACACCTTAGGCAGTTCAGGTGGTGCGATTTCTGCTGGGATGTCATGGCGAAGATTAAAGTATTCCACGTCGACTCGAGCAAATAAGTAGACGATGGCAGCAAGCCGCTTCGCTTCAAATACTTGTGATAAGGCTTGGGCTCCCATATCGGTTGTAGGGTACTGGTATAGCTGTACCAATTGGGCCTCAATGGCGTGGCGCTCATTTGACACCCAACCATAATCATTATCTGAAGGGTTAGAGCGTTGTACCATCGCTTCATACTGACGGGCTAAACGGGTAGTTTGGTGAATCAACAGCAATAGTCGTGCCAGCGTCCCGAATACCGCCAGTATTCCTGGATTTAAGTGATGCCCCATATCATTAATCAATGAATCAGATACTGAAAAATTGACCGATGAGGCACGCCTTTTGGGCGGTTCCCAGGCACTGACCGACGCCACTTCGTGGTTTACGAAAACCTCAATGAGAAATCGACCCATAAGTGTCGGGTTAGTGGTTATTGCTGGCTGCAAAAGTAGACTGCGGGCGTCGTGAATGTGCGCGAGCCACTGCGCCGGGCGCCCACTACCAATGTCGCCAAGCGCAAGCACTATATGAGTCGCCACCACGTCGTCCCACTGGTGCGGCGCCACCGCTTGGTCCTGGTACTGTTTGATGATTTCTGGTAGCATTGTCAGCGTTTGAGAGTGTAGTGTCAGCGCCACGGCGGCGTAGCGGCGGCGGTTAGCCCCTAGATTAAAAGCATTTTGGGCGCCCTGGGCGCTGGCGACGTCGCTGGCGGCGACGGCCACGATTGCAGTAAATAACAATGTCAGCTGAAGCGCTAATTGAGTAATTGCCCTCAATTGCAGGTCGTCGCTGCCCGTAATGACAAATCTGGGAACCATGGTGTGGCTCCAATGGTTGAATAACCAATTCTGTTCGTCGGCCAGCGCCACTACTGGTGCCGCCATTGGCGCCAGCGCCGGCGCCCGCGCCGCGCTATCAGCGCTCGGTATAGTTTCACAGTCGTAGATCTTGTTGAAATCACTGCCAAAGGCGTTTATAAAAAACGGGAACGGCGCCGTGGATCGCACCCACACCACCTTGGGGTCGGAGCAAATTGCTTGCGTCAATGTCTGCTGTCTCTGTTCATTGGGTAGTAGATAGCGCCGACGCAGCTGTTGGCTGATCATCTTGTTGAGCTTTGACCGGCCAAACAGGATGCCTTTAGCCAACGCCTCGTCCTCCCAAAGAAGCACGAGCCCGTAGGAGCACGGTAAGTTGAGGCGCAAGCAGTTGGTGCACCGGGGGCGATGTTCATCGCATTTCACTCGTCGCCGTTTGCAAGTGAGGCACCCGTTGCGGCTGCGCTTATCGCAGCGGCGGCGCCGGCGCTGTCTCGGCGGCTGTCCTGACGATTGTCTCGACGGCGGGTGGGGGGGCAGCAGCAACGATGGCAGCAGCGACATCCCCACAGGACTGGCGGAGGGCGGGCGCGCTGAATGGGAGGTGTGTTCAATTTTTTCCCGGCGACAGAAAAGCGGTGGCTAGGTGCCGGCATCTGTTCCGTTGATATATTTTGTGCATTTGGGCTTTGAACAAAAGCAACTGGGGGGCGTCTGCCTCGCCTGGTTCGGGCCTGCATGAAAAGCGTGTATTTTATTACGCCGCGTCGCACTGCCTGGCGTTCTCTTTGATACGTCAAAAAATACGGGGATATTCGTAGGCGAGCCCTGGGACTCACACACATACATTCCTTCTTCTCTGGTATCGACCTGCCCCGATTCTCAAGCTAGACCTCATCATCTGGGGTGACAAACGAGCGAAGAAGCAGCCCTGGCATCAAGGTTCCCCTTTAGGCATCGATAAGCATTGCTTCCCATTCCCCCTTGTTACACCCTGTAAGTCAGCATTTTTACTCTTATTGTATGCCCTGTCTGTCATCTAGCTTCCCAACATATTTTGGGGGGTGTGAGTCGAGTCGAACTGCTCTCGCTGGGTGCGTACCTCTCCCGGCATCGCTGCCGGTGCCCCTTGGTGTCTCGTCATCGTGCTCTGACGTGCCCGCGCGATAATTTAGGTTCAGGTGCTTGTTTCGGTGTCATATGTACGCGAAGCCCAGAGAGAGAGCATCGCCAGCGGAGGTAACGGCTAGGCGGCTGCCAGCATGAGCCAGCACCAAATTCTTCAATTTGTGGTGGTAGTTTTTGTGGGCTAGTTTTGGCGGAGCCATCAAAGCCCCTTCAATTGAACCTAAGATTGCCGACATCGAACACGAGTTCCATTGTATTATTCGAGATTGAGGCAAGGTAGCAATGCATGATACTTGTGATCCTAGTTTACTCCCATTTGGTCATGAGTTGCCAATTTCAGCGGCACCTTCATCGTCATTTTCGGTGCCTTTTTCAAACCCCCCCAAATAATATATTATTGCGATGAAACGGAGATTACCCTCGCCACAGGTCGGCGTTGCCCGCTACGGCAATCGTTCCTTCCCCTGGTAGGAGTCCATTGCTTTCTTTCGCTGCAGATCGAAAGATGGATCTGGAGTACTTCACCATCGGACACCGATGCACACTTTTCGTTTTCTGGGAATATCGACCCCTGTAGTTACCATCACAACCTTGACAAAAAAACATTCCAGAAAAAAATATGAAAAGAAAAAGTAAAATCTTCGGCAATTATCGAGAGATTGTCTCGACAACCTAAGGGCACTGCATTAACCTAATCAGGTAGGGGTCCCCGTTGGGTGAGATTCTTAGTGTGTGAGTGAGCCCTGGTGGTCCCCCGATTGCCGAACCCAGGGGTGTGTGCTCTTATATTGCCCAAACCGTTTGTTTGCTGTTCAGCCAAAAGAAGTCAACATACTCGAAACCACTAAGGAATGCAATCGAGCCAGCCTTCTCGGCACTAGCATAGGGGAATGTCGAGCGTTTTGTGGCCTAGATGTTCTGGCTCATCAACCTTCTTTCGGTACATACAAGACGTCTTCCGACACTGCTTCCGACACTTTATCGCACTGCGCCGGCACTACTCCGAGAAAGCCGCACAGGAGCCGCACACCCCCATTACGAAGCGCGCGCCAACCGCACACCCAACCAACTACAACCCGTCTCCCTTATCCCGCCATGTCGAATTCCTCACGCAAAAAGCTCCTTCTCATGGGCCGCTCGGGGCTGGGGAAGCTGTCGATGCGGCTGATCATCTTCTCCAACTACCTGGCCTTTGATACGCGTCGCCTCGGCGCCACCATCGACGTCGAACACTCCCACCTCCGCTTCCTCGGCAATATGACGTTAAACCTCTGGGATTGCGGCGGCCAGGACGTGTTTATGGATAACTACTTCGGCTCGCAGCAGGACCACATCTTCAAGATGGTCCAGGTGCTCATCCACGTGTTTGACGTCGAGCTGAAGCTGATCAACAAGGATATCGATACTTTCGTCAAGCTGTTGACGATGCTCCAAAAATACAGTCCCCAGGCGAAAATATTTGTGTTGGTGCACAAGATGGACTTGGTCCAGCTCGATAAGCGCGAGGAGTTGTTTGAAATGATGATGGAGAAGCTACAGGCGACGGCCGACCCTTACCGATTCCAGCTTAAGGGGTTCCCCACGTCGATCTGGGACGAGCTGTTGTATAAGGCGTGGTCGCAGATCGTGTGTCTGTTGATCCCCAACATGCTGACGTACCACCAGCTGCTCCTAAAGTTTAACCGCATCTTAGATGCCGAAGAGATGATTCTTTTTGAAAAGACGACGTTCTTGGTGATCTCGTCGACGCTGGCTAATACCCCGGACTTGGACCCTAAACGGTTCGAAAAGATCTCCAATATCATCAAGAACTATAAGCAGCTGGTGACGAAATTGCGCACCACTTTCGCCAACTTGGTGATTAGGGGTTCAAATAACCTCCACTTCTATCTCGATGCGCTTACCGATAATATGGTGGTGATGATTGTCTTGAGGGAAAAGCCAGGCATGCTGCAAGACTTCCTTGTGCTTGATAATATCAAGGCGGCCCGTAAATGGTTTGAAGAGATTGAGAAGTCCGACGGCAAGAAAGCCGTCGATGAACCCAAACATAAGCTTGTGCAAGCCTAGGCGACCTATACATTTTGTACCAATTTGAGCCACAGTTGTTAATCCACCGAGAAGAAGTATCGGTGGCAACATTGACTTCAACTAATGTTACTATCGAGATCGTCACCGGGACCTGGCTGCACTGAAAGCCACAGCAATCGGCCTGACGAGACCCGACGCCATTGACCAGTGGTGTTGGGCACAAAGAGCTCACACTAGCCAGGAAGTACATCGCCACGTTGATGACAAACTACGCAGTATCAGCAGTAGCCACTGAACCACAATGTGTCGTGCCAACTAAAAACATTATCACGAGACACATCAACCTATACCAATACATTCCAACCTCTGCTTTCTTCCCATGCCATGTATTACTCGTTCTATTACTCTCTAATTTGCTCAAAGCTGGATCTTCGGGAGGGCGTACGCCTCGGTGGTGGGCAACAGCAACAACGGGCGCTCGACCACCACCATCAGCAGCGCCAGCAACGGCGCCGCCTTGATGATGGGCCGGTACTTCTCGGTGACGCTGAACGACGCCAGCAGCGCGTCCACCGCCACCTCGGTCCCCTGGCGGCTCCGCTTCTTCCCCAGCGCCAGCGACATCAGCAGCATGTCGAAGTACGCCAACCACAGCGTCCCGTACACCCAGAGCTTGGAGTCGAGGTAGAAACACCCCTCGACGGGGGCGTCGTGGGCCAACAGCACAAACCGGGCCGGCATCTTTTGGTGGGCATTCAGCCACGGGGTAAGCAATTGCAGTCCCTGGACGAACACTTCCTTGATCGAGGCGCTATCGCTGTAGACGGCTAAACGGTCGTCGCCGGTGAATGTCATCTGACAGCCCCCGGAGATCTTGGTGAGCCGGCGGCCTGAGTTCTCGTGGTACACTTCCAAGTCGCCGTTGTGGCGGAGAATGACCACCGACGACGAGTCAGGCAGCACCGCCACCTGTCTCAGTGTCAGCCTCAGCCCTAGGGTTTCCAATTCGGTATCAAGCAGGATGGAGTCGGCAGTGATGGAGAAGCGGTAGATCTCTTCCTCAGCAGTGATGGCCACGAGCTTCGAGCCCACCCATCTCACAAACTTAGCCCCCGGGTTGATCTCTTCAAACTGGGCGTCTTTCACCTTGGTCACCTCCAATTTGGCTCCAGCGTCAACAATGGCAAACACCTTGATGGCGTTAATGGTGGCGACGGCGATATAGTCGTCGGACATGTCGACAGACGTGACATTCTCTTCGGCGTTGATGATGAGTTTCGCCACCAATTGCGGGGTCAGATTCTCCACGCGCCATACTTTGACGAACTGGTCACTGAACAACCCGACAAAGTTCTTATAGGTGAAGGTATTGCTTATCTGCTGGTCCACGGTAAACTTCTTATACTCGCCGTCCAAGAACTCCAGCACCAGCAGCACCACAATCAGCCGCTCGATGCCTCCCAGCACCAACCAATCGTCAAAGATGGCTAAAGTACGCACGTCGTTAGCGTGGAGCAACCGGTTAAACGAGTGGGCCCATTTCAGCAGCTTTTTCAGCTCGACAAGCGTGAACTGGTGGATCTTTCGGTCAACCCCAGCAGAGAATACCTTGGTGCCATCGCTACTGACGGCAAGCGCCAACACATCGGCGTCATGAGGCGAGAAACTCTGTAAAAGCGTCAGTGTCTTCACGTCCCAGAACTTGACCTGGCCCGTAGAGTCCCCCAGCACAAACTGCGAACCCCCCGGGATCACCGCCAACAGCCACACGAGTGTCAGTTCCGTCTTCAGCTTATCCACCCTCATCGTCGCAAGCATTCGCCCTCTTTCGTTCACCAGCCACAGGCGAATACGGCCATCGGCACACCCACCAATCACGACATTATCGTCAATCCACTTGATCAGCATCACCCTCAGGTCCTGGCGTTGTAAGATCAGCTGGTACTCGACGACCCCGCCTTCAATCAGCATGATTACGACGGAACCGTCGTCACAGCCGGCGGCAAGGTGGGTGCCGCTGGGGTTGGCGTCGACGCACCACACGACGCCGGCGTTGCAGTCGTAGTTCAGCTTCGGTCGCCACGTGTCCAAGTCCCATTCGGTGACCATGGTCGAGCCCCCAACGGTGAATATACGCCCGTCGGCGGAGCAGATGCCTTCGACTGACAGCGACGCCGTCCCCGGGATGGTTACCAAGTGGGTCCAGTGGGTGGGGTCCCACACCTCGAGCTGGCCGTTGGACCGACCCACAACGTAGCGGCCATCGTCGGTGAAACAACTCAGAAGGATCGTCGCCGGGGTATAGTCGACAAACCGGCACCGGTGCACGTCCATGGTGTGATGAGATGCCATCGCGCGCGCCGCACCTGTAGACGACCACAGTAAGGGAAACGACAACTCTAATGAACAAAGGAAACTGCAACTTTATGAAACGGAAGAAGGAGCAAATCTGTTTCAGATTCTGAAGAAATTAGTTTAAATTCTGATAAATTGTCACTAGCAATAGAATTTGTGGGAGTTGTAAGTGTACCCCAAAACTATGAGATGAGCTTGAAAGGTTGCCAGATCCTTGGACCATAGCGATCAAAATGGATGCCAGTAGTTTGGATAGTACAATCTTAGGCTATTTTATCAGTGATAAGGTGGTCGGCTTGAGAGACAGTGCCTATATGCATGAAGTCGTGGTTATTTACAACGGTGATTTAGGTACAAAAAGTTTACCATCAGTTTGATATTACCTATACTAGCCATACGTGTTTGAAAAATTTGAGGAGACATCTGTTAGAAGACCATTTGTTGGTGCCATATCCACTATTACAGTAATTGTCAATTTCGTCACGAAGTGACTAGCAAACTGTAATTGATTAGGAATATGAGTTTGGTAGATGAAAGCAAAGACCCATCAAGATACACATAGGCTCGTGGCATATAGAGGACAAACAAGAGCTTAAAATCGCTCGCGTTATCAAACCTTCTATTGTTTGTTTATTCTACTGGGGGCGACGGCCAGCCGACTAGACAAACCCCCCTCTACCTTCTTCCTAGACACCTAGACAAACCCGACGAACGCGTTCATGAACCGCAACAACCGCAAGAACCACTTGTTCTCGTCCAGCACCACCATGTTGATCACCAACTCCTTATGGCGACGCCCACCCTCGGACAGCAGCACCACCGTGCGCTTGACGTGGACGTTCTTCTTTAAGCACCACACCACAAATAATACTGCCAACACGGAGAGGGAGAAGCTCTTGAGTAAACGCCACCCGTAGCCGGCAAGCATGCGTGCCCACCGCCGTAACCGCTGTCTCAAGATGGTATAGGCATCGACTTCATCCTCGGGGGTTCCCCTCCCGCTCAGCACCAGGTGGCGCCGCTGGTGGACGTATTCCCTCGTAAGCTTATTCACCACCACGTTCATCTCCCGCTGCCAATTGCGGAACTCCTCGATGGTCTGCTGGGGTGGTTGTTGAAGCTGTTGCTGTTGTTGCGCTTGTTGCTGGGCGTGGGAGAGCGCCAGGTGGTACACCAGGGGCGCCACTAGCGAGCCACCAAACCCACGGTCGTCCAGAGCGATCAGCCGCCGCAGGTGCGAGTATATCCTCTGCAAATTGTTGCGGTACACCGAATTGGTGCCTCCCAGGTACTGAGAGAACAGCGGCAGCCGCGGCGGCAACGGGTAGTCGTGGTGAGGCGCCAGCACCACTAGTTCCTCATCGGGAAGGTCTTTGATCTGATCCCAAAGAAACTCTAATTCTGCCAATAGCTCACGCGCTTCCGGCGTTCCCAGCGCATACACTTTCATCGTCTCGATCAAGTAGGCGATATACCGCCGCTTGGCCTCGGTCTTCAGCACCCCCAGCTCCCGTTTCCACGCGTCCCACTTCTTCTTGGCGCCTTCGTCCTCAGCGGTGAACCCCACGGGACGAGGCATGACGCCGTCGACGTCGCCCTCGGTCGCCTGCTTGTATAATCCGTAGAGTTTGATGCGGTTCTCCGCTGGGGGGCGGGGCAACGTGCCGTAATTCAGCCGGCTCAGGAGGGCCCTGATCGTCAGAATCGCCTTGAAGAACACCCGGTCTGCTGTTAGTACTCACATTCAAGCCAAAATTGGTCTGTTATCGCTGTTTCTTACCGATTGAGTCTGCCATGGTGAGGGTGATTGTTGTGTGCCACTGCGAGCGCGCTTGTGATTGTCGCGGGGCACCCCGCTAAGCGAGTCCTGACAAACAATGGGACGGATTAAAGCGAGTCAAATGAGGGTGGCATTCCAGAAATTGACCTAGATGACTCTGTAGAGTTGGTTTAAATGCTATAATTTCATAGTTTTGTCTCAAAACGCTGTAATATTGGCACACGGCTACTGCCAATTTGAGGGATCAGCCGAGATCGGTGGGGTATTATCGCCAGTCACAAGAGCGCGCCTCCCCACACTAATCGACGATCCAAGCAATTATAGTGGGTAGTGATTCATGTGATGGTGCTAGGTGCACGTTACCGTTGAGGAAAGATTGCGGTGACGCTGTGAACATCTCTAGTCACGGAGGAAACTGAACTGACTAGGCTCTTTATGATAGATTTTCACGATGTTGGACTACCTAATTGTGTACTATAGATTGTCTCTCAACCGAGTATTGACGTAAAATGTCCATTACTTGATCCACTCGAATCAGCCTTTCTGCAGTCGCTACTTGCAGTATCAAGTTTGGTACAATCCCGAACAATGTACACCAAATTGGGGTATACAACTTCCAGCTACCACCGGATCGACGAATACGTTGAAGAACCCTGAGGAGAATTCCTAACATGGCTCGACGCTATTTGACCCAATTGCTCGTGTTCGAACGGAGACGCCATGCTTTGCTCCCATCGTAAAGACAGAGACTACTTTTGCCAATCGGAATATCACCGGCACTACGCTCACCAGTGACTCCAGTGATTCCGTGTTTGTGGTATTAGATCAAGAGCCCCACACCACCCACCAAATATCCTCCCAACCTAATCCTGTGACTCGTACCCAATATAAGGTTAGTGAGGCTAAATGGCCAGATGTTGCTGGGTGAAATTTAACCCGACTATTGCTATAAACCATAAGCAATCTAAACAACAATCATAATCGGCACCTATATAGATCAGCTAGTGGCGAATACTAGCGTAACTGAAGCCAATGTTGTGGATGCTGTCAATTACCGATGTCGGTGGCCGCGACGGACATAGACGTCTGACAATTCCGCCAGCTGTCGCCTCCAATGTCTCAAAATAATTCTATATACTGTGCCAAGCCATCATATTCCACATTCCTCATCCCCGTCCGTATTCCTCCGATGGTCCCTGCGTACAATATAGGGCAATACGACACTTCACCCCCTTGCCCGGCTCCCAACCACTCACCCCTGCCAGCCTACATTCCCAATGGTCCGATGCCACCAACCTAATTCCAAAAATAGACGAAGTCGGTTTCTATTGGTGTCACTGCCTCTTTGGTTTACCTAGTCAGCTGTCGCCTCGCCTTGAATGATCTCAAGTCACGTGGCCTTATCTCTCCACAGTCACGGTGAGGCTACTACTACACGCCATCTCAGGAAACCGACACCATTAGCTAACCGACAAATCATGTGTCGTTTCATGATATTCAAGGGCCGGGAGCCCACCGTGCTCTCCGACTTGCTCACCAAGCCCGCCCACTCCATCATCAACCAGCTGTTTGATCTGCGGCTCCGCCTCGATATGAGAAACCCCATAAACGGCGACGGCTTCGGTGTCGGCTACTATACCACTACCGGCGAACAGGCTCCGTGTTTATTTAAAGCGATTACTCCTGCTTGGAATAATGTGAATCTCAACAACTTGTCCCAACTGACGGAACTGACATTGGTTTTTGGTCACGTTCGTGCACTGACCCACGGCGTGTTAGCGGAAACTAATTGCCACCCTTTCGCTTATGGCAAGATTATGTTCATGCACAACGGTGGCATTTCCGGTTTTGAGAAGATTAAGCGACAACTTGTCAACCACATCGATGATCGCTTTTTCATGTTTATCCAAGGGTCTACCGACTCTGAGTGTATTTTCGCTCTTTTCCTCGATACCTTGGACAAAATGGGGTATAATCCCGATGATGTCAACCTTGAAGTGACCCATAAAGTGCTTAAACAGGCGATGCTTCAAACCATCGAGTTGGTCAAACAATGGCAAGTGGCAGTGACTAAGGAACCTTCATTACTTAATCTTGCGGTTACCGACGGGGAAGCGGTAGTGGTGTGTCGCTACATCACTTCGTCTACTGAAGAAGCGGCGTCGCTCCACTTCTCCACGGGGTCTCGCTTCTTTGAATACGAGCCAGGCCATTTCAAGATGGAACGCCTCAACCGCAGTCAGGACGTGATCTTTGTGGCTCTGGAGCCCCTCACGTTCGAACGCGGCGACTGGATCTGCGTCCCCACCAACACCATCATCACCATCACTAAGAATAATACCGTGCTCATGTACCCGATCAAGGACGAGTTCTACAACGAGCTGGAGCGGTCGCTGGATTTTGCCATGTCCAAGGGGCTTATGGGAGGTGTGCCTACCAAAGAAGACGAGCCTCAAGATGACGACGGAGTGCCTCCTTTGGAGCTTGAGGGAAGAAAAGGTAGCCGCGTCGAAGTGGCATCCAATTAGAAAGCATCTGGGGGCTACTGGATACCCCCATTACACATCATACATAATAGGCATTTCATAATAAATCCTTCGCTAGCATGACGGTGGCTTGAAATATACATACATAATACGATCTTGCGTGGTCAGTAGCACAATACCGCAGCGGACAAAAAAGTACAGGAGTTTGACAGCAGGCAAATGGAGCAGGTTCAGAAGACATTTTGCAATTGAATTGACCGAAATTGACTCAAGACAACTTGGCGAATTGCTTATTGTCCTGGTTTGAAATAATAGTGATCTGCGATTGATCTTATTGTCAAAGTGCATCATACAAAAAAAATCCACTTGCCAAGAGATACAGCGGATGATGTTTGATCGTGTAAAACAATGACCGTAGTTTTCGTTCAGTTTTATAAGGGTTCAAGTTTGCAAGGCGCCCGAGAGGTCATTGATTTTGATTCAATCTCGCAACTTCAAACAAAGTTTTGGTCAAACAAACTTTTGGTCAAACGAAGTTTTGGTCAAAGCATCTCATATCAACTTGACAAATCCAGAAATAACACTTATGTTTGATTACTGTTTGTCTCAACGCAAGTGCATGCTGCGTTGGTCTCAATCCATTCATGATTGACTTGTACAAGGCTTGTTTGAACAGCAAGTTGCCAACGTGAACGATTATAATCAACATGCATCTTGCTATCAACATAAACATTTTTTAAACAACCCTTCAAATAGTCCCACTCTGGAAATACTTCGCTTTCCCTTTGATGAGAACGTCAAATTCGATGTTAAAAGTGTTAGTGACAGGCAAGGGTCTCATAAATGCTAGTGAAAGATTATTCCAACACTCCGGAGTTCACATTTAATAATGATAGCATCATTTTTCAGCTTTGCATGTGTTGAAGTCCTCCAATTGCAGTATATGTCTCAACTTGGTTGACATAAAGGCTCCGTTCATGTGGAGAAAGCCAGTAAATAAAAGGTTTGGCGCAAGTCTCCGAATTGTCACGTCATCGCCTTCACTTTAAAACATATGTGCCAATATGTTCATTATCGACCAAAGTGTAAACCAGGTTATTTTCAGGCCAAGGCTAGACGGACCGGAATGTGAATGAGGCGGGTTTGTAAAGACAATGTTGCGCAATGCTGAATCGGAGACCCTGCTTAGCGAAGATACACTACTCATAGGTCATGTAAATTTGGATGACTTGACTTGCCACCCCGTTTGCTGTTCTGTAGTTTGTATCCTCGCGATTAAATGTATACCTGATAAGCCGCCACTTCTTCTGAAATTGAGCCTGTGAAGACCATACAATGAATAATACTGCTGGTGAATGCCAAATAAAATATTTGCTTCATTTTCAGATGAATGGTGACGTTTGAAACCCCATTTTTCGCCGTCTGGTTCTGGGTGCTTGTTCATAATTGCCGGATATACTTGATAATTGTCAAACCTACAGCGCAACACGTTGAGAAAACATTCAAACCTAATCAATGATGCTCTTGTTGAGGTTTTTGGGGTGTCCTCTAAATCCTACTCCACATTATACTCATGTGAGCTCAAGACAGCTCTTTAAAAAACCTCTAGAGTGGGGTGGGATGAGTTTACCTGGCAAATTTATTTGTTGAATCATTTTCTGTTGTGAAATTCCTGACTATATTGTCTTGTTGTTGGTTTTAATGAACGCTAAGCGTATCCATCATGCTTGAGAATCTCAAAGTCGGATTAAAATACTGTTGAAACTTACGGAAATTAACACCCAAGGTCATAAGATGTCTCTTTCAAATGCAATACAATCTTTGGTGTTTCACTGATGCCTTGTGTTTGTATTTCTAACACTTTACTTTACTGAAAAGCTTTATCAAGGCTCAATGTGAAGAATGAAGATCAATTACATTGGTCGAAAAATTCGTCTTGAAGCAATATTTCGAGCTAATGTTGCCTTACAACAAGTACACCTATATTCCAAGTTGCTTTAAAGCCTGTTCGATAAAGTTGGACGTTCATCAAATATAAGAAAGCGCTCAACCAAGTATTTCAAGAAATAAATCTCAAGTAATTTGAAGAATCATCGGTGAAATTCAATCCATTCAAAGTAAACGAATGCTATTTAAGCCTTGAATAGACTAGTTTAAGCATCAACTATCCATGCTTTCAGTAACATCGTCGTCCATAAGACTTCTTTTAGCGTTTTTTGGACTGGCTTTACCCGTAAAATCAGGATAATTCCACTTGTAAGACACCAAAAAATCACTGAAATGACAAGCTCATAGAGAGTATAAGTTCCAATTGAATTGCACACTCGTGAACGTCTTGTTTATCGTTAAAAGCCCTCGTTGAATCGTTAGTTGCGTCGTATTAACGTTGAGGTATATTTCACGTTACATGGCATAAACTTCGAGGAGGAATTCTCCAACGAGCTCAAGTCTTCAATCGCAGTTTAATTTTCAGTTGAAGTTTTCAAGGAACCCCAAACTCCATCAAGCTAAGTTTTAGACAGGGTTTTTCATTCCCTGATGGCGTATAGAATAACATCACGCCAGGAGTGTCTAAAAAATTGACGCCAAAATATACTTTTTGTGTTATGAAGGCGCAGTATCTGCGTCAAACCAGAGTTCTTAATGGATATTTTATTCATGCCGAACAGGCTAAACTAGCCCGTTAGCCTTCCCACCGATACATCGAGTCTCAGTGACGCAGCGCGATGCCATGTGAGCTTCTTTTGAAAGGGCAACCGGCCACAATGACGGCTTTTGTGAGCATTATTCGGCGTGGTCTCGATAGCAGTTGCCAATACATTTAGCAGTGGTAGACACCGCTTGGCGACGGAGCGATTTTGTCGCTGAAAGCCGTTTTCCCATCGTGTCGACCGCAAAAGCTTATTTTGCCGTTGACACTTATTTGGTGGCTATACGGTCACAAATTACAAGAGTTCCGGCAGGGGTGCCGACAACGGATCAACTGTCGGAACGGCGCGATGGTAAACACTGGCCACGTGAATACATACATAATACCAGCGAGATCAAACGTCAGATACCGCCATCGCCAACATGCCCGATTATCTAAACCTAAGTGATTGACATGTGAAAACCTTTTCAGTACGCTGAAATGTCATCTGATCCAACCCCAATCCTTATGATTCTCTTGTGATTATTTGTGTCTGTCGATCATATGGAATCAGCCACGACGCCGACGCCGCACGCGCGCACCGAGAGCACGCTGTTTATGGTGAAGACAGTCTAGACAGACAATGCCCTCGTGGCTGCTACCATCAGTGCTGCCGGTATTTATACTGTTTTTCCTCTTTGGCCTCATCAATAATGTCCTATACGTGATCATTCTTTCAGCAGCCGTCGATCTCGTCGGTGCACGGACTCCCAAGGCAGCGGTGTTACTCGCCAATATCCTCCCCAGCTTTACGGTAAAAGTGGCAGCACCGTTTTTCATTCACAAAATTGCCTATGGTCAACGTATGGTGGTGTTGGTAGCATTGCTGACGGCGGGGATGCTTTTGGTGTCGCTTCCACCGCTGATACCGCCCAAGATTGCTGGTATCATGTTAGCCAGTGTATCACTGGGAGCGGGTGAAGTGACGTTTCTACAGTTGACTCACTTTTATCTGGGGACACTGGCCGTGGGAGGTTTCTCTCTGGGGACCGGGGGTGCGGGCATCGTCGGCAGTTTCTACTACTTGTTCCTCACCAATATCTGTCGTTTCGCTAGCTGGAAGGTATTATTGGTGTCGTCAGCAATGCCACTCGTGATCTTGGTAGTGTACCATCGGCTTTTGCCGCCTCAGGAGCCTAGAGAGTCTCTGGGAGATGAGATACCGGCATGGGCCACCACCGATGCTGGAGCTCACATCAAGGATACTCTCAACAAGATCAAGCCGTTGGTGAAGCCGTACATGCTCCCCTTGACGTCAGTTTACTTATTTGAGTACGTGATTAACCAGGGGATCTCCCCCACCTTACTCTACCCGCTCGACCAAGTACCCCAGTGGCTCATCCGCACCTACCGCGACACCTACGTCGTCTACGGGTTTCTCTACCAACTCGGTGTGTTTATTTCACGACTGTCGATCAATTTTGGCGTGCGGATCCGCCACCTCGAAGTGATGGCGATCCTCCAAGGGTTGAACGTCGTCTTCTGTGTAATCCAGCTGATGCTGTTCAAATTCCCTTTCCCATCCATCTGGATGCTATTCCCCGTGATGGTGTATGAAGGTCTTCTAGGAGGGTTCGCCTACATCAACACCTTCGTCGCCGTGAGCGAGGCCAGCACCGACGACACTCGCGAGTTCAACATGGGCGCCGTGAGCATGAGCGACAGCTTGGGCATCGTCATTGCTGGTATTGTCAACTGGGCGGTGGAGACGCGGTTGTGTCGGTGGCAGGTCGACCACGGGCGGCTGTGGTGCCAACAGGGGTAAAGAAGCAGGCAAAAAAGAATATATACATTTATTAGCTTTTCAGCGCCGACCGGGTCAACGTATTTTCGTCATCGTCATTAATGTCGTCATCGTCACTGGAAGACGTCAGGTCCTCCAGGCTCATGTCGTCCTCTGCTGGCGGCGTCGGCAGCAGCTTGAGGGCGCCGTGGGCGTCGTACAACAGCAGCTCTCTTTGGTAGGAGAGGCCGTCGTCGTTGGGGTCCTCGTAGTCGTCGTCGTCGTCGCCACCAAACGCCATCGCCTCGACGCCGCCGCTGCCCCCCGTGAGCAGCCCGGGACTCAGCAACTCCAGCATGTAGTTGCGGAAGTGCTGGTCCTCGTCAAAGTACACCACGTCCCGCGGCTTATTGTCTTCGTTGTGGTCGTCGTGGTGGTCGTCGTCGTCGTCGTCATCGTCGTATTTATCAAATACAAGCTCCGTCTTCACCTCCTCGATGATCTCGCCCAACCCTTCCTCGAAGGTGTGGTCGTCGTCATCGTCATCGTCGTCGTCGTCGTCGTCGTCGCCGCCGAGGATGGCGTTGTACTTCTCTCTGGTGTCGTATAGCACGTTGTTCACGTAGTCCTCCCACTGCTGCTCCTCAACCTTGACGTCGATGAGCTCGGAGAGGGTGTTGGCGGGGTAGAGCTGGATGAACTTGACCACCTCCTCGGCGATGAGGGTCAAGTGGCCCATGAACCCGAGGCGCAACCCGTTGTGCAGCTGCTCGTAGTCGGTGCAGAGGCGCTGGCCCTCGATGATGTGGTTGGTGATGTTCCCCGTGTGGAAGAGATCGATGGCCAAATACTTGTTGAAGCCAATGTCCATCAGCCCGTTGAGCACCTGCTGGACAATGTCAAACACCACGTTGTGCAAGAAGTTGTTCCAGGGGAACTTGAAGAACATGGCGAGGATGTTTGAGATGATCTGGGTGTCGAAGAGGGCGATCTTGAGCATGTCGCCGACGACGGGGTTGGCCCGGATCTGTTCTTCCAGCAAGTTCGCCGTCAGCAGCTGCGACTCGTTGGCGTCGCCCGACTCGTTGTCGTTGTTGAACGAGTCGATGGTGTCGTTGGCGATGTTGTCAGTGGCCACGGAGTCGGCGTTGCTGGCGTGGGAGGTGGTGGCGGAGATCGAGGTGGGGGCGGTGTCGTCGGTGGGCAACATGATGATCTCGTTGTACTTGAAGGAGACGGGGTCGAACGCCTTCATCTTATTGCGCACTTCGTCGCGTTCTTTGACGGCGTCAAAACCCTTCACTTCGTTGAGCAACAGCATGTTCAGACAGTGCAAGAGCTCTGCCACAAGCTCGCAGATCTTGAACCGCTCAAACCCGAGGGGCTCAATCTCGCCGAACGGCGTCTGCAACTTGGCGGGGGAGGTGCCGTCGGTGAGGATGGCGTTGAACTCGTGGATCTTGGCGCCAAACACCTTGAGCAAGTGGCCGAGGTAGATGGGGTCGCGGCCGGTGGGCGGGTGCAGGTCGAGACTGATGTAGAGCACGGGCAAAATGTCGTAGTCGGAGTTGTTTTTGCGGATGATCTCGATGATTATGCCGACGCCGTTGGCGAGGGCGTAGCCGCCTTTGAGCATGATCAGACACAACCGGTCCATGATGTCGTACAGCACCAACTCCCGCGTGAGCTCGTTGGGGCCAATCGTCAGCAGGTCGGTGGTCAGGTTGGCACTGATGGTGATGAGGGCCTTGAGGAAATCCGCCGCCAGCGCCTGGCGGACGAGGGCTTCCGCCGGGTCCTCGTCGTCGCCGATGTCGAGCAGCTCCACTAGCCGTTGGGTGAGCGACTGCAGCTGCAAGAAGTCGATGATGCCGGTGGAGTTGTCGGGCTTATCGGTCGAGATGAGTTTGAGCAAGAAGTCCATCAACGGCGGGTTGGAGACGTGGTTGATGAACTTGGCGACAAGCCCCTGCTGGTGGTCGACGAGGTAGTTGATCATCTCGTCGCACTTCATGTCGAGCAAGTGCTCCATGATCTTCATGAAGTAGGTCAGCGCGTTGATCAGCAACGGCTCCTTCAGGTCGAGCAACAGCCACAACTTGTTGAGGTTGGCCGTCAGCTCCATCACGGTGTCGGTGAGCAGCCACACGTCCGCCAGCAAGATCTCGGCGGCGATGGTGGCGCGGCGGGTGGCGCGATCGTCGGCGGTTTCTTCGTCATGGTCGTCGTCGTCGTCGTGCTCGTCGCCGGTGTCGTCGGTGTCGCCGGTGTCGTCCTTATTGGTGGTGGTGTCTTTATCCAGGGGCTCGGCGTCGGCGTCGCCCAATTTGCCGTCGCCACGGTACGGGCCGATGGCCAACTTGCCCTCGGCGATGACGAGGTCGACGAGCATGGCGAGCACTGCTTCTTCGCGGAGGAACTCGAGCAACGGCGGGTTATTCAGGAGGAGCTCCTGGACCAACTCGCCCTCGTCCAAGAGCTGTAAAAGGAGATGGAAGCGGTCCTCGTCGCTGGCATTGGCGGCGGGGTACGCCTCCAACAACGTCAGCACGTTGGACAACGACGCGAACCCCCCGTTACTGAACTTCCAAAACAGACCAGACATCAGCAGCACTCAGGGATCAAGCGTCGCTAGTGGTGGGCGGCTGCAATTTTTGTCCCGGGTCGAGTTTTTCGTTGGTTAGTGAGCGCGCCGTCCCCGGAAGCGACTCGGAGACCGGGGGCGTTCCCAGGGCAACTATGGCAGGCAGTAGAGGCGTGGTAGGGGAAGGAAGTGGTATTTTCGAGGTTGGCGAAGGTAGAGAAGTGGCTTGAGGGGTTGGTGTTTTGGAAATCGTGGCTTGAGTTGAGGGAATCATAGGAGAGAGTGACGTAAGCTGAGATGCCGCTCGAATAGGGAAAAGAAAGCTGGATCAGGGGAAAACACAAACGGGCGTCAGTAATACCTACCGATAACGCCCACTATTATTGATTGAAGCACTATCCTGACAAGCCAAGCCATATATAGGGGTAAGTGGTAGTAGTAGGACCCAACAAACCGGTTGCTGTTAGTGCGCCGCGTCTGTGTGTGTGTCTCATGCTCAGGTGGCGTTAGCGTTTGCTAAGGGTGAGACGATTTTATTTCTACGCTGCGAGCCCCGCGCGACGGTTGGATTTCTTTTCTGTCCCTGAGACGTGTAGTCTACTTAATTGTGGGGCAATGTGGCTTAACAAAGATCTAGCTTTATCGGAAACTTAATTACAATTTTGGACGACATCAGCAGGTGTGTGTAGTTTGTGCTTCGTTGAGTTTGCCACAATTTGTCGCAATTCCAATTATCTGGATTTAGGTTAACAGAGAGGCGCAGCGTTTACTAAAATGTGAGACACCCACGCACATTCCGTTTCATACGACGACAAGTGGTTGCGTCATTCTGTGGGAGCAAGCGTGCAACTGGTCGGCTCGAGCTTTCGTTGACTACGAATGTAAAGTGCTGGGATCCAACTGGCACGCAGGGAAGTGGAATGCAAGCACTTGCGTAATTGCAGTTTCAGGGGACAACCCGTTTCCCTATGCTTTGTCAACTGATTGTCCAGCGTGTGTATTCTTATTCTTAGTGAGGGAACTTTACCATGATTTACTATCGCACGCGGATCGGCCCTCTGTTCTGCCCCATACCTACAACAATCGTTTGAAAACCAAGACCATGTCAATGCATCGAGGGTGAAGCCTTCTTGGAGCAAATCGATGAAGGACAGAACTCTTGATGATGAGATGTACAGCAAAAGTGACGAAGCCAGTGATTCTACAAGCAACTGTATACATGACGACACCAGCGGCGCAAAGCAATGATACTTCCCTCGACTTCACAATTGGAAACTCCAACTCAGCATACCATGTCTACGAGTTACCTCGAATGACTCTCAATCCCACTTTCTCAATGTGGGGTTGGTGTAGCCAGTGTACATGCACTTGGTATATTTGTGGAGTCTGTGTGTGCATCCAAGCACAAACTGCTATAAGTACCGAACATGAGCTTACTTATCCCAATTGATTGAAATGAAGTTAGTTGTGGAGGACCATTCTCCCAGGCTCACTTTAAATGTGCTCTCCCCTATTGTCCAAGGTGATGGGACTCAAATATCTCCAACAGCTAAATTGCCTGACAGTTACAACATGAAATGGAAGAAACCTGATCATCGTCCACTGCAGAAGAAGGTGACTACATGGCGTTTGAAACCGAAGTCTCCACTATCCGTTCTGAAGTTACCACACGCAAAAGTGCCCATAACGAAGAGACCTCGACTCCCAATACCATTGGTACTGCTGCCGCCCCGTCAAAAACAACTGCCACTTGCTCTCAAATCTCCCAATTGCAAAGCTAGACAACCCAACCCTTACGTTGCTTCCGGTTCGTCTCCACTTGACTTCGTCTCCCCAAACTCGGACTTATCGGATTCTTCTGACGACGAAAGTAATCCCTCCAACAATTCTGAGGTGTTGATTATCTCTGATACTTCCGACTCAAGTCTGTCTGGACGCTCAAGTAGCTCTGGTAGCCTTGACTCCGATAGCCCCATGTCTGACCTGTTTCAGAGGACGGAGCTGATCCTTCACTTTGATAGTCAAAGTCGGTTGGTGGTGTGTGTTGGCTGCAGCCATCCCGAAGTGGTTTTCACACGGACTATGAGACAGCACCTTCGCCGCTTCCATGGAGCCAATGCTGCCCGTCACTTCCAGTCGGCTCAACGGTTTTTCGATGCCCATCCGAGACGTACTGAAACGTTTCCATCAAACTTACTATCGCCATTGCCGGTGCTCACGATAAACCGCAAGGTAAAGTGTGATGGGTGTTCTCGGTGCTGGCTGCAAAACGAGGAAAGACCATGCTCTTGCAACAGTAATACCCGACTTATCGGCACACAACGGTGCACTGTCGATGGTCCCGAGCTCGAGGTATTGACGTGGTTTATTGGAGCTGCCACCGCTTCACAGGAAAGCTTTCCCCTGATGTTTACTGAACCTGACACCGGCTCAGTTGATAGTATCTACGGACGTGAACAAATTGATTTACCCTACAGCGACTTGGTAAAATTGATTGACCCTGCTGATTTGGCTTTGGCTGAGGCCCACTTGATATACCTGACTTCATGGTTACAATACGCTGCTGTTCAAACCATTGGTCGTCTTGGTTTCCCCGACGATATCGACATAAATCTCAACGGGCTCACCCGCGATGGCACTTTGGAGTTGGCCATGCTTCATATCATGCGAACGTACCGGAGTAACCTTTCTTACTTGTTAAGCGGAAGGCTGAGACAAGCGCTTGATCGGATGGTTACCGCTTTAGACACACCCCTCCCCTCTCGCCGACGCTATGACGAAGATGATTGGAGTTTCCTCGACGCCGCCGACACTGCTGTTCTCGATGCAATATACTGTCTTTTGAGCCAAGGCCTTGGAGGTCAGTTTACTGAGTGTCCTTTCATTAGTGTGATTGCGAAATGGTCGACGAGTGGCCCTGAATGGTTTACTGATGAGCAAACATACCGACGTGTGTTGTTGTTTTTAAAGACGAGATTGCTTACCATGCTTTTCAGAAAAGCCTGTGTTGAAGCTCCTGAAGATCCTCGGGGCTGGATTGCCGAATCAGCTGAGCTATTCGATCCTAGAGGCAATCAGGCTCTAGGGAAGATGATTCATGTCGAACACGTTATGGAAATGTCTGATGATACATTATCTAGTTCATCGTCTGTTTAATATATGTATAATATAACTGATAATTTCCACCGAGGGAGTCAAATAGACCGTTAAAATGTGACTCTTCTGGCCTATTTGGTCGAGCAGGGTTGGATAATACGCCGCGACAAGCTCTTTGGAATACTCTAAGCTTAAGTTAGAGTCATATTCACGCCTTAAAACGAGAATTCCAACTTTGGTCAGCATGGAGTCATCTCAGTATATCCATAAATTTCGTATAAGGCACTGTGGCCGAGTGGTCTAAGGCGGCAGACTCAAGCGTTTAGCTTCTCAACTGTGAGGTTGGGGTTTCTGTTATCGTAAGATGCGCGTGTTCGAATCACGTCGGTGTCATTACTTTTTGCTTTCCGTCTACTTGATTCTCTCTCTATGTCTATGCCGTTGATCTTGGTTCTAAACTTTTCTACCGTGGTGGTGCAGAGAGTCGCCTCACTCTCTCAGTTAGCCATCATGCTCGCAGTGTCTACAATCTCAATATCCACGACCAATCACCCAACATCTAAAAATGATTTAAAAACGGCTTTTCGAATCGAATAGATAATACCAGTAAAATTTGAAAATCTCAATTTTCATTTCACCGGTTTTCCCTGGGTCCACCAAGGCTCATCCAGTTGATTTTTCCAGGTGTGGGTGCGCGAAAATTTCTTCCATCATGATCGGCATGGCCATGTTCAACAGAGCCGGGATGGGGCTCCGCGTGACTGCCAGACGGTTCTCGCTGGACCTCAGCGCCCTCAAGCTCAACTCCAACGGGCTGGAGCACTTGTACGCCGTGTTCAAGCTCCACAACATGCCCTACCTCGTCACCAAAGGCGACAAGGTCTACTTGCCGTTCAAGCTCAAACACGCCGCCGTCGGCGACTCCCTCACCTTGAACCAGGTCACCACCTTGGGCCTGCCCGACTACACCTACAACAACGACCAAGGCATCGACCCCAAGTTGTACACCCTCACCGCCCAGGTGCTGGAGATCACCCGCGAACCCTACCGCGAGGTCATCCGCAAAAAGCAGAGATGCCGCCGGGTGAAGACGTTCCCCGTCGAGCCCTTCCAAACGGTGTTGACGATTAACGAATTGAAGTTGAACTAGGCCTAGCGGACGAGGGCTAGGGGGTTTGACGTTTGTATATATTAAGTATTCCTCGCTGCATTAATTAAGGTTTCCATCCGAAGCTCTAGTAGTCAATTTGTTAGTTGTTGAACTTGGACAACAACATTCCATACGAATAGCTCTAGGCATGTGTTAGTTGTTGAACTTGGACAACAACATGTCGCCCATGAATTGTTTGGCGCGGTTCTGCCACTCCAACACCACCCGCTCGACGCGGTTCCACACCCCCAGCCCCAACAAAATGCGTTCTTCGTCCTCGTCCTTGCGTTGGTACTGCTCTTCGACCTTAAGCTGTTTGAGGAGGGCCTTATTGAACGAGAGCATGATGAGGGTGAAGTAGAATCTCACCACGCTGATGACGATGGTGCCAATGGCGGTCATGAAGATTTCGCGAGTGGCCAGCTGCAGTTGTCCTGAGAGGGGAGTAGACGCCAGCAGTCCCACCGTCAGGGCAATAACTTGAGAAGTGAGGGCAGACGCCGCCACACCACTGGACATTGACAGAGCAGCCGCCGAGGCCACGGCCGATACTGCTGAGGTAGCCACAGCACCAAAGTCCACTACCAGCGACACCAGAGATAAAACCAGGGTCGGTTCGGGTAAGTAGTCAGCATCGTCAGCAAATTCAGTAAACGACGCCACGGGCAAATCCACACCGAACTCACGCTTATTGGTCACCACCTCCTCGTTAGCGAACCAAAAGTGGACGAAATAGAGGGTATAGAACACACCGACAACACTATCGATGACGTAGACAAGACACGCCAACAGGAACTTGCGGCCGTTTTCGGGCTTCTTTTTGATCAGCGTCAACGCCGAGATGTAGAACGGCAAACAAAGAAGCTCCAACACGTTATAAAGCCACTGCCAGAAGTTGATCGGGTGCCCCGTGATGATGGAGAGGAACCCGTAGAACCCGGCGGCCTTGTTGAGGATGGCGAAGCCAAGGACGATCTCGGCGCCGATATATAGCGGCACAAGCCCCAAAAATGACTGTGGTTAGTACCAGTCGAATTTATCAGTTTTGCAACGGACTTACCTTGGGTAAATAGTGGGTCAAATTCATGGTTAACCCCTATTGACTTTAAACAAAAAACATACTAAGCGCGCATCTGACGGGAAATTTTGGACCAGGGCACACAACTATAACGGTTAGCGGCCATCTCATCGCACTTTGAGACAGAGACCTTGTATAGTTAGCATTATGGTCGATGACGGGATTGTCGACCAGTTCGACAAGGTATCCCTTAAGGGGCCCAAAATCACGAAGGATAAGGCCAATCGGGCCACCGTCGAGCAGGTGCTTGACCCGCGGACGATGAAGTTCCTCCAGAAGATCGTCAATACCGGGGTGATTCTGGGGATCAACGGGTGTATTTCCACCGGTAAGGAGGCCAATGTCTATGAAGCGGCCAATGACGAAACAGGTAAGGAGTACGCCGTCAAGATTTACAAGACGTCGATCCTTGTGTTCAAGGACAGAGAGAGATACGTCGACGGCGAGTACCGGTTCCGCAACCAGAAGAACCAGACCAATCCGCGGAAGATGGTGAAATTGTGGGCGGAAAAGGAGTTCAGAAACTTGAAACGGTTGTACACTCACGGCATCCCTTGTCCCGAACCCGTGGAGTTGAGATCTCACGTGTTGGTGATGGACTACCTCACCAAAGGGGATGGTCAGCCATCGCCTAAGCTTAAAGACCACCCGTTTGCCGACGAAGAAGAGTTCCGCAAGTATTATCATACGATGTTGATGTACATGAGACGCATGTACCAAGTGTGTCGTCTCGTCCACGCCGATTTGCTGGAGTATAACTCTATTGTCCACCAGGGCAAGCTTTACATTATTGATGTCTCTCAGTCGGTGGAACCAGAACACCCGATGGCATTAGACTTTTTGCGGATGGATATTAAGAATGTTAACGATTACTTTAACCGTAAGATCAAAGTGATTCCGGAAAGGCTCATCTTTAAGATGATTGTTGAAGAGAAACTTGCTGATGACCCCGAAGTGATTATTGACCATATTAAGCTGCTTCCATTGAAGGAGACCCACGACGATGAAGTGGAAGATGAAGTGTTTCGATCGATCCACTTTGTGCGGACACTTAATGCTCTTGACGAACGTGACTTCACCAAGTTTCAAGAGGGTAATATCGATGCCTTTGATCTTGTCAAAAGTGGGGATGAAGACGACTCCGATGACTCTGACGATGACGATGACGACGAAGAAGAAGAACATGGATCTGATGATTCAGATGATTCTGACGATTCTGACTCTGACTCTGACTCTGATGACGATAAGCCTAAACAATTGAAGGGGAAGAAGTACGAGGACAAAGACGATAAAAAGGCTCGTAAAGAAGCTGCCAGACTCGCTAAAGCCGAGAAGCGCAAGACCAAGATGAAGAAGCACGTGAAGAAGAAGATCATCGCCAAGAGAAAGACAGCAAAGTGAACACATGAATTTGCTTACACACACTAAGCGAAGAGGACTAAATCGGCGACACCACCACCTGCTTCATCCCCTGGGTGGTGTCGGTGATCTTCTGCACCACCCACGACGGCGGCACCTTGCGGACGACGAACGCCACCGAGTAGAAGACGGCCACCGCCACCAGCACCAATGACCCCGCCATCAACAACACGATGGCAAGCAAGAGAAACAGGTAAATAAACATCTCGAGATAGGAAAACAGCGGCATCGTCAGCCCGGCAAAGTTGTCGCGTTCCATCTTGTGCTTCTGCAAAATGGTGAAAAGCTCCATCTGGTCGTCGGGAGGCATCTGGGTCACCATCTCTTCAAATTGTTCCGGAGTAGGCGATCTGAAGTCACGGAGCACGGGGCTCGAACGGGGCTGGTACACGGGGCTGTCGGTGGGGTCCAATTGGCGCAACGGCAGTGGGCTGGGAGAGCGAGCCGCAACCGGAGGAGGAGCACTGGGGGAGGTCCCGTGGCCATGCTTAGCCTCGTGGCGTTGGGGCTGAGGCGATAACACTCGAGGGCGGGGTACCGTTCGCTGGTGCAAGTGGTGGTTGTTAGTGGGGCTGGGGGGGCGAGGAGCAGCTCCAGTAGCCACTGGCTTCAGGTTGCGACCACGGCCAACGGGCGAAGCACTGCGCTTAGCCAGGGAAGCATTGGAATGCTTGGGACCGTTCATGAGAGATTATCCAGAGAGGAGGCAGGATTGGTGGTTATAAACTGGTGGGAGCGGGCGCCCCTTGGTTGCGGGGCCACCATATAGTTGAGGAAAGTAGAAGTGGTTTGGCAGCAACCGTCCGGCAAATCGACTAACAAATGCCTTGACCACACCCCGCCTTAGCCCCACACAGTCTCCAGGGGGTCGGCTTCCATAGGTTGAGTCCATATCGGCAAAGTATAGCACCACACCAAGCAAGCACAACCAGGACAAGCAAATAGTCATTAGCATCATACAAAGCAAGTTAAATCAATTTACCATTGTAGAGTCAATGTTCAAATCAAGTTTCAATCATTTTCCAATCGGGTATTACCTCTCATATTTCAGTTTTGGTAGCTGGGCAATCTCATCTTATTCGATTAACAATTGTGCCATAGTGCGCGGCGATGGACCACCTCCACAAACAGTATCAAGGTACGACAACACACGATACGAGCTCAATTGACGTTTACAGGTTTACGGACTATGACTAACGATGATAGAACTTGTTGATGCCATTGCTAAATGTTCGACGTCGGAAGAAATCGGGCGGCTAGCGTCGGCAGTGGCCCGACTCACGGCGGAAACGGGCGCCAAAGTGGGCCTGTGGCCGCCGTACGACCAGCGGCGGGCCCGGGAGAAGCTCGATGAGTTAGCTACTACAGTCGAACATAAGCGACGGGAAATTGAGCCGCTGAGGTTTAGGTTTATTGGTGACCCCGAACCACCCCTGACTAAGCCGAGAACTATGGTCAATGTGGAAATGACACCGCTCGCCGGGGTCGGTCACGTGATCACAGACATCACCAATAATGACCAAGGTCGTACGGTTCTGGCGCCGCAGGAGCATGTGTGGATCCGGCAAGTGACCGGCTCACGTGTTGACGTCAGCGCTGCCCTGCTCCACGTAAACGATGCCGAATCAGCCATATTCCGGCTTAGTGTGGCGGGTCCCAGCGCCCTCCACCATTTGACAAAATGTGTGGTGATAATCAACCACTCCCACCAGCTACGCCTCCACCACCTTAACCAAGTGGTGGTGGTGGTTGCCGATGGAAAACTACGCACGTTAACCATGGAAAAGTGCCGTGAAGTGTACGTCGCCACCTCCGATAGCCGAAATGTGTCTGTGGACGATTTCGACTGGCCTCGCCGTGACGCCCCTGACCCGCATTGGCACCATGTTAGTGATGCCAAGCTCGTCACAATAAACACGGTTTTGGAAAATACGGAGTTGGCTGTGACCGATTGCATTGAGTCCGTACTAGGCTTAGTAACAGGTCACAGTGATCTATCACCGTGAGGTATTACAGTCTCGTCTACTGTCTCAAACTCACTTGGACTAATTTTCTCAGTTGCACGCAGCCGCGGGTGTCAAATAGGGGTATTGCTTTGCCGTGGCTAATTGTGGCACGTCGCTCGAATGCTCTCGCCCCCTTTGGCTTTCCCGTGCGCACGCCGCCATCTCCGTTCCGAGATTTGTGCGTGGCTTCCCCACCTTTCCGCGCGCAGCCTCCGATAGCCGCCCACACCCGAACACAAACGCGTCACCACCTACCACAATCCACTGACCCTCCCGACACCCTTATAAATAACCGGAAAACCTACCAATGACACTGTCCCATACCATTGTTCAATTTTATCATGGCTCCCTCCATTGCTCCGCCGGCGCCTCCCGCCAGCACCTTCGATCTCTCCGAGGCCCTGCTGCTGCCTAATAACATCCCCTTGGGCCAGTACTTATTCTTAAGAATTGCCCAGGCTAACCCTAAGCTCCGTACCGTGTTCGGCATCCCCGGTGACTTCAATTTGAACTTATTGGAGCACTTATACCTGAAACCGGTCGCTGAAGATGCCGGCCTTCGCATCGCTAATTTGTGCAACGAATTGAACGCTGCTTATACTGCTGACGGCTACGCCCGTGCCATTGATGGCCTTGCTGTTCTCATTACCACTTTCGGCGTGGGTGAATTGCTGGCGTGCAACGGTGTTGCTGGGTCGTTCACCGAGTACCTGCCAGTGCTCCACATCGTCGGTACTACCCTGACGAGACAACAGCTGTTACAAGATGACCAGCCCATCATCAACCACCACCACTTGCTTCAAAATAAAGACCCCCTCAAACAACCGGACCACGACGTCTACCGCAAGATGGCCGACCATATTTGTGTCGTTAACGAAAAGTTGGCCATTTCCGATGTCAACCTGGGAGACATCTACGGTAAGATCGATAAAGTGTTGCGTACCATTCTCCAGCAACGCCGTCCGGGCTACTTATTCGTCCCCTCGGATATCCCTGACATGATGGTCGATGCCCGGATGTTGGACCGTCCTTTCATTGTCGACGACGAACCGGCGATGCCAGTGATGGACGACGTGGTGTCTGTGATACTCCGCAAGTTGTACGCCGCCAAACTGCCGGCGGTGCTCTCCGACGCCCTCACCGCTCGCTTTGGCCACACCGCCACCGTCCAGGCGTTTGTCGACAAGTTGCCGGCCAACTTGCGACTTTTCAGCACCAACTTGGCCCGCAACATCGACGAGACTAAGGATAACTTTGTCGGGTGCTACTACGGGGTGGGGCTGCCCTCGCCTCAAATCAACTGGGAGTTGGAACACAACACCGACTTCCTCTTACATCTTGGTATTTTCAACGCCGAGACCAACACTGCTGGCTACCTGATGGACTTCAGCAACATCCAGGATAAAGTGATCATCCACCCGGACTACTTAGTGCTTGATGGCTGGACCCACTCTCTCATTAAGGGTGGCCGTCGTCTCTTTACTATGGGTCAATTATTGGCTCGACTTGCTGAAAGAGTGGAAACTAACAAGTTTACTGGCATTGAGACGAAGGAATGGTACAAGCACAACCCGCAAAAATTGCACAAACCTGATGCTGAAACCGATAACCAGTACGTGTCTCAGCTGAAGCTTGTCGACGCCGTCACTGAATGCTTGCTGCCCAACGATATCTTGGTGGTGGAAACGTGCTCGTTCCAGTTTGCCATGCCTGACGTCAAGCTTCCTACAGGTGTCAAGTACATCACTCAGGCTGTGTGGGGGCTGATTGGTTATGCTTTGCCCGCAACCTTAGGGGTGACTTTTGCTGTTAATGATATGGGTTTAACTGACCGTCGTATTTGGTTATTGGAAGGTGATGGTCTGGCTCAAATGACGGTCCAGGAATTGCTGACCTATTTGCGTTACCACGATATCCTCAAGGTCAACCCCACTATCTTTGTCATTAACAACTCGGGCTACACTGTGGAAAGACTTATTAACGGTCCTACTCGCTCCTACAACGATATCCAGTCGACCTGGCAATGGAGCAAGTTGTTACAAGTGTTTGGCGATGTTGACAAAAAATACCACCACAGCTCGAAGGTGAATAACGTGGCTGAGTTTGACCAGTGGTTTGCCAACGAAGAATACGACGGCAAGTTGAATGTCGTCGATGTCACTGCGGGTAAGATGGACGTATCTGACCGCTTCTTATCGCTTTTCCTCAAGAAGTAGAGTTAGACAAAAAAAGTATGAATAAATAATGGTAAATTGATTGCTCAAGATTTAGCCATGCTACAAAATTATTGACAGCATTAATATATTAAATTTTCGTATACTATACTCGTGGTCTCATTCTCATAATCATTATCTCTCATCATTAAATGTTTTTTTGTTTTCGTTAGGTTTCATTAGCAGTGGGTTCGTGCAACTTAGTTATAAGTCCATGGTTGGTATTGCCGACGGATACGCCGCGAGATCACTGGTAAGTGAGTGAATGACTCGTCGACAAGGTCTTCGATATCCGACAACTCTGAGTCACTCAGGTACACCACAGAGTTAGCCTTCGGTCTCGATTGTTTCGCGGTCTTTGTAATATCAGCAATTAGCGGTGGTGCCACCTTGGGTGGGCCTAAAAAAGCTGCCACATCACAGAGTTGCGGCAACAGCTTGTTGTAATGATCAGCTGGTTCTTTTTTGCCTTTGAAGCCTCCAAGTGGGGGAGAAGGGTACGGCAATTGCTCAGGAGAAGCAGGTACAGGGCTTGCAAGTGGGGGAGAGGAGAATTTGCACAATATGTTCGCCACCTCGATCCGCTTGACTATCTCAGGCGGTGGGGTGGGCGGCTTGCACAACAAATCTGCCAACGGGATCCGTTTGAAAGCAGAGGTTGGCGGAGGCGGTGCATGCTGGGCGCGGCTGTTACGCATACATATCCCTGTGGGCTCAGTCGAGTTGAGTCGACGACGCTTGTGGGAGGCGTCCTGCGGCAATTCAAGGCTCATGTTGAAGAGGGCTTGGTCCGGGGACAGCGTCATTGGTGAGACAAAATTTTAACCTCTCGTGCGCCGCACCTAAATCTGCGATCGCAGATTCAACTGATAAGGATGGTGTGGAGGGAGAGTGGTGAACGGAACCCAAACTACTTTAAGCTTCCATCTCGCTATATCTTCATGTTTTGACGAAGTCGGATGACATCAGTTTGGATTCAATCACTGGTCGCAAATCATGGTAACTCATGAAGTTGATGATATCGATAGATCGAATCGTTGCCCCCACCACCTGGATTCAGCCCCGAATTTCATTCGAGTTTTTCCGATGTCAACGGATTGCTGAGCTAGGATGTAGCCAGGTATATCGCCTCGGCCTGCCTTTGTAGACTGATGCTATAATTTCATCAATTCGACTCAATGAATTCTCATCGACAAGTCTAGATTCAATTGAACTCAGCACGTGTTGATTCAATGAGAATTTGACTTTCATTTTATCACTCGGTTCTTTCATATGACTGACACCCGATTAGGCTATCATTGGATCACTTCGAACAATAGGTTAAAGCCGTTTGCCTGTGAAAGATAACGCCTCCTTCATAACCCCTTCCCGCCTGTGAGTTGCTGACCAAAAAGCGAAGTATTCGTTGACTTTGAACGTCAAAGTCTCCAAATATAAGACACGCTTATGGGTCACTCCCCTCCCTCTCCTCGCTTGTTTTGTCCCCGCGCGCGTTTCTGGAAAACAGGTGACCCTGAGTGGCAATTTTGTTCGCAATTTTGATCCATGTGACGTTTATCACATGCCAGCCTCCTCACAAGCGGGGCAGTGACGACATCAACAACGCTCGCAATTAACCAGTAAATGGGAACGGCTGGCAATATTCAATGAAGAGACTCGTAGGAAATTCATAGGAGACTCATAGGAGACTTACTGGTGATGTCTGTATCTGCTCATAGAGTCGTTTTCTGTATACGGGATACGATGCACACCCCCTACGTTGGACGCAATCTACAGGCACAGGCTGCAGGGCTCGGCGGCGGGCGACTCCGAATGTCTATGACTATATTAGACTATATCCACTATTTGCTGACGACGTCGGAGTGGGCGATCTTGGTGGTGAACGAGGCCCGCTTCGTTCTCTTCCAGGGGATGTACCACCCGATGATCAAGTTCTTGACGAAAAAGTAGACGCCGACGGCGGGGACGAGCCACCACGCCCGCAAGATCTTCAGGTTGCCCGTGTACAACGTCGCCCACAGCAACACCCACGTGTAGCCGATGATCCCGTAGTACCACCAGAACACCCGCTCTTGCAAGTCGCCGCACCGCACCAACTTGTTCCGTTCCAGCGGGTTTCTGAGCAGGTCGGCACGCAACGGGCGCCCACTGACTTCGCACGAGTAGTGGAGGTAGAGCACAAGCACCTGCATCGCCACAAACCGCTTGAACGCCTCGGGGGTGCCCCAGGCCAAGCAGGCGGCGATGAGACCGACGTAGTTGAGGCCGGCGACGATGTGCAACCGACGCAATTGCGCCTCGGCCTGGCTGGCACGGGCCTCGTTGGTGCGCTGGTCGCGCATGTACTCCACCGGGTTAAACACGGGAGCAGACATGGAAAGGACTAGTGCTATGGTTGCAGTGATACCTTCGAGTATATATATGCTGGATGGCTGGGCATGTGAAGGCGAGCGCGGGGCGAGCTCCTCCTGCGTGTGTGCAGGCGAGTCCGACACTGGCAGTTGGGGTTTAGCGGTAGTGCCCGCCGGTGACGTGAAAGGGGGGGCTCAATGTCTCTCGCTTATTGCCGCCGACACATGAGGCAAAGTGTGGGGAACGAATTTCGGAGCGGACGTACGATTCGGAGTTCGCCAGTGCGACTCGCCGCAACCGTTCGCGGTGTCAGCCAAGGGCGCTGACTCAGCGCACCACAAGACAGTATAGGGAATATTAGGAGTCTTGGATGTCATAAAATATTATCAAGGTGCTGTCCATCAAAATTGAATAATTTCCAAATCGTAATTCAATTCATGCTGAGATTCGTACAATCGATCAATGACGCAAAAGTAGCCGTTGGCTTGTGATCTTTGAGATCTTGCTGGTGTTTTCATATGGCAACGGAAACAACGTTTTAGGGTGGTAGTAGGAGGAGGATATCATATGGGAATCGCAGTTAACACCATCACGGGTGGGAGTGGTTGCGGCCAGGCCACGCCAGAATCTTTTCTGGTCCTGGACTGGTGCTGCCCCTAGAACTATTATTATCACTGCCGGAGTGGACTTCCTCATACAGTTGGTGGTTCATCTCATGAAGAGCATCCACATGCTCAAGCACGTCGCGCTTGTCGTCGTCGTTTAAGCCGTCAACGTCACGCATCACTTCGTCAAACCGGGCGCGGATGATGTCGTCGATATTGCGTACGAGACGATTACCAAACTTGGTATCCACCGGTAAATTAAGCATAATCTTCTTTTGAAGAGTCTTAATGAGGCGGAGATTCTTAAGGATGGTGATTAAGTGAGCAGGCTTAGTGATGGTTTCCTCAGTGTTTGACAGCTGTAACGGCGGGTTAAGCACCACAAGGGCAGCATAGTATAACATGATGTGAATGTGGACGGGGACATAACGCAAGTTGTCCAATATATCCTTATCGTTAACCACAAGCAGAAGCACTGTTTGCGCAGCACTAACGGCAAGATTGGCCAGCACCACTGCCCCATCCCGCAGGGTCGAGGTATTGGAGAGGAACTCGTCGTCTTCGCTATCGTCCCACAGCGGCATCAGCTCGTCCACAGGGTTGATGTGGAGCTTGCGTAAGGCTTGGGAATTGATCAGCATCTTGGCGAAATTGTAGTAGATTAACGTCAGTTTCAGCAGCCACACCGCTCCGTGGTTTCCTGGAGCTAATAACACTGTCCACAGCACCATCCACTTGTCAAGCTCCAAATTCAGTTTCAGTGGGATACCGAATTGAGACGGGGCAATGAGATCCCAGGCGTTACCTTTGAACGCTTCGTTTAACGCTTGGTTGTATTCGACTTGCGATACGAGACGTAAGTCAGTGAAACTAGCGGCATACCGTTGGGGTTCATTAGTAGTTGTGGTAGTGAAGGTAGTAGACGTAGTGACCGCCACTGCCGTCAGTTTTTGTCCTTCTTCTTCTTCATCAGTGGGTTGAGTTCTGGGAGCCTGGGTAATGGCGTTGACTCCAGTTGGACCCCCTAAAAGCTCTCTCGAGTGGGTTAACGTGTACTCGTTGCCATCGATAAGTGGCACCCGGTTCATCAGAAGACTCTGTTGTCCGTCCAACACGAATAACAAGTACCACAATTTGAGGTAGTCCTTGTTAGTGTGTTTGTCAAACCCGTACTCTTTGGCTAGCTGGAGTGCTAAACCGGTAAACATTTGAGAGTTGGCCAACCAGAACGAACAGAGCACCAACGCCAATATCGTGTTAAACCCGTCTTCAGGATTAGTAGGCTTCCCTTTGAACAATATCAGACCACACAAATCGTGTAAATAAACTCTCAATTGAGCCAGCTTATCGCTATGCTTTGGGTGGTGGATAGAAGCGATGGCACTGATGGCACACACTAAAAGCGGACACAGGTCCCACACTTGGTCAACACTGATTTTATTAATCTCAAACCCAAAGAGCTGTTGGGCGATATTAGCGTTGAAAAAGCCGAATAACTCGTTGGCCTGATCACGACTTAAGAAACCCTGGCGGAAGTCTGAAGGGTATATCCGTCTTCGCTTATGAGCTGGGGGAAGTCCCAAGGGGGTCAATTCTCTTTCTGAGTCCAGCGACAGGATCAGCGGTGGCGGTGGTGGTCGCAGCGTGCCGTTATTGACCCCTCCGCCTTGAGCTAAAAGGTGCTGTTGATAGCGCAAGATATCGACGACATTATTGAGTTTAGCATCAAAGGCATCGATCTTCAGCTCCACCACGTGTTTCCATGATGGTTCCGGCGCCAGCGCTGGAGGAGGGGGCATAAACAGGGAGATGGGAGCGATGGGTCCATTTGGGGTCAGGGGCCCACCAGAGGGGGCAGGACCCCGTAGTTGAGGTAGTGAGGGGGGTAGGGGGTACAGTGGCGGTCCCATCGTCCCCAAAGAACCCACATTAGTGGCGGGAACGGGGGCCACGGCGGCGGGCGGCGCTATCGGGGGGACCACCATATGGTCGGCAAGCGAGGGAAGCTTGGACACGAACTGACAGTGCATCGCCCTCCCCGTCTTGATACACCGCTCACAGGGGAGGGAGTCGGTATAGATGCATTTCACTTTGGACCGCTTGCAGTTGGCACACGGCTTGGTCCGCTTCTCTCTCATCGCCCGGCGGTGAAGTATGAGTGCGCGCTAAGACCGATATAGTGGTGAATGTAACAGAACACAAAGACGATGGTCGAAAATGGAAGACAAAAAAAAAATTAAAGAAAATAAAGAAAATTAATTTGTAGTATAGTTGTATTTGTATGCTGATGAGTGGTTGGGATCTGACTCTGGAGTAATGTGGACGATTAGGGTTGACACAACAGAGGTGTAGTTCTATCACAACTGTTAGTGACACCGACGTGCAACTCTAGAGAACTGTCAATGGTAATAATCGTAGGTCGAATTCAACTTGTTGCGGCATTGATGTGACTGGCAGAGGATGTATTACTCCTCAACATCGGCGGACCCACGTTTACGGACCATACGCTGGATATTGGCCACCACATCATCGGTACTGATATTCAGCCCCGCAGAGAAGTTCTTGCGGATATAATTCTCCCTCTCGGTACGGTAGGCAGGGTCACGCAAGTGTGCTCTCAAGTGCTCGTCAAATCTCAGGGCAGGGATCATCTTACCAGTGAGAGGACACTTCACCAAATCGCTTGTAGGCAAGGAAGATTTAGCCTTGGTCGGTTGCTTGCGGATCTTCCCCTTAAGCAGCTTAGGCACCACTTCTTCCTCTTCCTCATCGTCCACTTTATCATCTTCGTTAGCTTCATCTTCCTTTGGCAATTGGCGACTAATCAGCTTATACTGGAGCTCCTTCAACGATAATGGCGGGTCAAGTTGTTGTACTTCATCGACTTCAGTAAACTCAACCACTCCCACCACGGTAAACTCCGTCCACGGGATACTAGCGAAGTGGAGCCACTGCTTCTTCTTAGCCTCTTTCTCCTCAGATTTAACCTCCTTGGTACGGGTGATATACCGACTGCGTTCAGTAGCTCGAGGGAACACTGTAGAAAAGTCCTTCGCCGTCTCCTTCAACTGGTCCAAATACTCGTTAGGAGTGCCATTAAGACGAGCCTCATTGAGCTCAATTAACCGGCGGTACTGATCCACAAGCCGACGGAATAGCTTATGGAAATGGTGCTCTTCACGGATAAAGTCGTAAATGGGGTCGTTTTTGTAGTGTTCTTGGAGTTTGGTAGCATACTCGTCACCATTGACCGCGGTGTATTTAGCCACCAATTTAACCACTTCATAGTCCCTAGTACTAATTGTGGGTAACGGAGTGATGAAATGAAGTTCAGGCGGAGCTTGTTTGATCTCAGGCTTGGCGCCACTGTCCAGCAGCGGCTTAGAATCCTGTTTGGCAGCCTCGAGCACTTCGAGGTAATACGGGTGCCATTCGTCGTCAGCCAATAAGAAATCGAACTTGTGGTCAGTATTGTTTTTGCGGATCTTCTCCTCAAACTCAGGACCGTTCTTTACCACGTACTCGGCGGTCTTTTCAATCAGCCGTCGAATCGGCAGCGGCGGAGCCATGGAGGATGAGATGACCGTGCGGCTCACTCCGATAAGCGCGACCCCGCGCAACGGCTGGTTACGGACATTAAAACATTGACCACGCCAAGTTAAACACGGAAGATATTTTAACCGACGTCCCTTTCAGGATAACCACTTTATAGAAGTCTTAGTATGTATTGCTCTCAAATCAATGGACCCGAGACAGTAAACGTGTGATAGCCATGGGCATATATCTATGTGCAGAACGCAAAAGTCCACAGTGACTAGCTTATTCTGCTTAGTACCACTGTAGTCCCTGTACTCATCTATTTAGTTCGAGGAGTTTTTCGCAACGAACATAAGCATTATCAGACATGTGTGGTGTTGGAAAACATTTGACCCTGCACATAAGAATCATGACTGCATGTAGTGTGTGATCTCCCAATCAGTGATTCCACGACATCAGTTACACTTAAAACACAGTTGAACAACATCACCGTCATCTATGCAATTCAAATAGTATTTGTGACAGTAACTGGGAGTTTAGAATTTTTCCTCACAAAAACTAAAAAGTGTGCTATAAAATCAGGAAAACTCGCTAAAATCAATCCATTTGCTCCATAAAATTAGTTGCCGCTGGAAGTATATTTGATATGATTTTGGACGAATTGACTTCGAAATGGACGTTGCTATGTGAGTTTAATGGTGGAAGACTCTTTTTTTTT